TTTGAAACTTCTGCATTGAAACTTTGATACAAATTTTGTGAAAGAGAACTTAAAGTTTGTCTTTTTCAACGGAAAAAAAGTTGACTTGCGTAAAATGTAAAAGTTCAAATTAAAAAAATGAGAAATTGGTTTCTTATCTATTCAACTGTATGAATCAAGCAGTGTCTATTGTTTCAGAAAAATTATGAATTTTTTCGGATAATCTGAATAAATATAAAACTAATTAGTTCAAAAATATTCTAATTTTCGATAAAATTCTTGACCGGACAGGGAAAAAATAACTCCTAGTTTTTTTTTCAAACAAACAGGCTGCGTTACTAGCGGCAAGGCCAAGCGTTGGGGAAAGCGGGTCGAATTGCATCTGTTATCATCGTCAATCTGCAAAACTGATAATTAGTTTATCAATGACTCAGAGGATAATTTTTTATGAAGCTGGAGAGGTAAGAAACGATATTATCATGAAAGTGTTACAAAAGATGAACGGAACTTCAAATTGAAAGTATTTTGGGGGAAAACCGCTAATAAGAAAAGAAAACCTTTTTGCAAACGAAGGCATTGAAGAAAAAACTCAAACCTGAAAAAATCAGTAAAAAATATCGGTAAAAGTCGGTATTATCATTTATCAATGGTCTCTCAATTTCTTGAAGTTAAAGTCGACCAAAAACAAATTCCGCTAGAGTTTTGCTGTTCAAATATTTTGGCCTACTGGAAGTCCCTCGATTTTCAAAAAGTTCAAAGTGGAAAACAGCTGAAAACAATCTTAAGGAACTCAAATTTTTGAGGTAGGAAAACTTCAAAGAAAAAAAAACTGGAAATCTGATCAAGAGAATCTTTGAGGTAGAAATTTGAAGTTGAAAGATCAAACTTAAGGAAGCAAAAGCGTTCCAAGTCCCCTTGAAGTGTTAAAAAGATAAAAAAAAGTCCAAAATTAGGAAAAACTGAAACTGATGGTAATCAGGTGAGAGTTTCATTATTTTTCAAGTCTATGGATATTTTTTTTTTTCAGGAAACAAATGGATTGGCACTGATTTCCGAACAATTTTGTTAGTTTTCGTCTTACAGTCGAATTATGCAATTTAACGCTTTTCAGCTAGTGAGTTGGTTGAAAAATAGTTTTTGCCTATTCAAAGCATCATGAATCTTGATTAAACATAAAATGTTTCCCACGGTTTCAAGCCAGGAGAATGATCTGATTATTAGGCGGCCTTCAGAACATCTTTTTTCGTAAAGTGCCCACAAAAAGAATCTTTTTCGTTTTTCACACGGCCAAGTAACCGAGTAGACGCAGAAATATTTGTGAAAGACAAAAAAAGAGAAAAAAGGTGGGAAGCGGTGCGACGGACGGATTCATAACAGTACAGGCGTAACAAGAGGGGCCGCAAGGCTCGTACGAGCAACATTGTTTGTTGCTCGACTTACCATATATTCTGTCCCACCTCTCGCGGCGGCCCAACTCGTCTGCAGTCTGTGCGCATTTCCTCCGTACGCTCACCATCAAAAACTCATACGAAACTCGCCAAACCATACCAAATATGCCCCATTTTGTTGGCTCTTTCTTGAATCATACTGTGTGGTCAGCAAAGTTCAAACTTCCTTGATCGTGAGTGGATTTTGAACTTTCAGAGAGTTGGATGGGAAAACGTTTGCAAGAAATATCAACTGGCGGGGCACACTCATTCATGAATTCGATACGCAAACTTTTCCAATGTCACGCATCTCGAAAAAACGAGATATTCGAGCGAGTTCCACAGATTTTTGTTACAAGGAAGGTCTTGAGAAGGGGAAGTTGAAGGTAGAAAAAAAAGATGAATGATGCAGAACTGAAAAACTATTCTTCTTCAGATTTTTTCCACAAAAAGCTGACATTACTGTTTCAAAAGTTTGATAGGTATGAACTTCCTATGTATATATTTAGAGCTCAAGGTGCGTAAAAAAGAAAAAGAGCTGGCTACTTGTGCAAAACCAGTTTCAGTTTGGAATATAAAAATAAAATTAGAAATCCAGTTTTTTTTTAAAATAATAAGACAACCAAAAAATCAACGATCCACTTCGACTGCGTTCTCAAGGTCAGTTTTCTAATGATTTTTTCTTTAAAACAATTCCTACTTGGAACAAACTCACTTCCAAATTTCAATTCAGCCACCACCCCAAGTCTTTAAAAAATTTACTGGTCAATCTACCATTGCACGAGATCTTCTTGTCTATTCCTTCACGACTCAAATGATGTATAACTGTATAATGTATTCTCTCAAATTCTAGATTCAAGTGAACTCGTTAGGGTTCACGCTGATCTGTCAATAAATTATTATTAAACGATCTTCGTCATAAAAAAAAACTTGACTTGCAAAACAACGCTGACCAACCCCAACGGGCTGAAGTACATTATTCCAAATATGAACTTTTTTTAGACAACATGACTGGTTACCGCTTTTCTTTCTTTCACAAAACGTTGTGCTCGGGAAAAAAAAGATTCAAAATAAAATTTTCTAGTCCGAACGCCATGACTAAACCAAAAAACTTTTAGAAAAAGGCTCTTGGGAAAAAACCTCGACGTCAAGTAGTCATGAAGGGATCAAACCTGATTCGACATCGCATCATTGCCGAATTGTCCACTCAAGTTCGTCTCAAGTTGGAAAAGAGGCCCATTCAACCTCATGCTCGATTGGATTGACATTGGTAGAAAAATATGGGAATTGTCAAGGAGTTTAGCTCGAGGTCTTTCTAGAAATGTCCCAGTTATAGCGTTTTGAAAGTGATTTCTGGGCATGGAACGTTTTTGAAATAGGGATTTTATTTCGAAGAAAAAGTTTGATCACATCTATCCTTGAAGCTTGGAGTAATTTTTAATTAAGAAATGGAGATATTTTTCTTATGAGCTAGTAGTGAATCGAACTAACTGACTAAGAAGATTCAGGTACAAAATTAAGGTGAAAATATAAAGAATTCAAAAATCTCGTCTCAATTTTTCGCAGTTTTTGTTTTTCTGGAGCATTTTGGGCCCTTCTTACAAAAGATAGCCTGTGTAACTTTTCATTGTATTTTGATGTGATGGCTTTTTTTGCCATGCGATTAGTGCAAACTTATAAATTTTGGTAGGTTTACTGTCAAAAGCATAGCAAAAGCTCAAAAAAGTTTTTTTTAGGGAAAATTGATATGGAAGCATCAGGATAGAAATAAAAATTCAAAAAAAAGGACTAATGGAGGACTTTCATCACCAATCAAAAACTTTTTTCAAGTTTCTGAACTTCCGCACGAACCGATTTTGGGTGGCCACATGTTTTCTGAGTAGTCCTTCTATCACTATGTTTCAAACCGGCTCAAAATAACCATGACCTGAGTAATTTTTCCACGTTTGGCCACCGCGGCGCGTTATGAAGTAGGCTTTAAAACAGTTAACGAGCTCGTAAATGAAATGGCGCAGATTCTAATGAGTGTCTACTGCAAGTTGACTCTTGCTTCACTGAGTTTCTATTTCTTCTCATAGAAATACATAAAATAGTTTAACCATAAATTCGAAAAAAATCATACTTTAGCTTTATAAATTTTTTTAAATTCACAATTTTGCTTGTGAATTTACGGTATTAAGTATAGAGAAATAATTGAGCCGTTTTCAGATCATAAAAATTTTTTTCTAGAAACAGTTTTTTTGTTTGCATGTTCTAAAAAAATGTCAAAGCAAAAGAGAAACGTCAAGTGTAACAACTTTCCCAGATGTTTTTTTCTCTCAAAACTTGACCAAAAACTTCTCAAAACATTTGCTCGGAGCCAAAAAAAACATGGAAACAGGGCGGAAACGGGGCCAAAGTTGTCCTGAGGCAATGGGAAAACATACGCGGATGTCCGCGGACCAAACGACTGGCACGCCTATAAACAATCTAAGGAGGAATGGCTTCCCTCAGAAACGACACCAATTCCAAATATTCGGGAAGAAATGAGTACAGAAGAAGATGCGTATCTGCTATCGCGACTTTGCGCCCCGACGGCGGCCGTTCTCGCGGTAAACTTTTGAGGCGCAGATAAAAAGTCTCAAGAATGTCGTGGCAGCATTTTCTGTTTCCCGCTACTTGCAAGAAATATAAAAAAGGTGGCAAAAAACGGATGAGACACCGCGGTGATATTGAAAGACGATAAGAAAAGAAAAAAAATGGTTTTCGCAAGGTTAGATGAGGGAAAAATAGATTATGAAGGGAAAATTCAAAATGGGATTGTACTCTACAAGTTAAAAAAAGTAATTCGGTCGTCCTGAAAAATGTTATAATCAAGGATGAGGATAAAAAGAATAAAAAAACTCAAAAAAAGTCACCAAAAAAACTTGTAAACCTCCATGAAGAGCCAGTAAAAAAACAATGAGCTCATGTCCATCCTGACCTTCTCCGGCAAAAAGAAATCTATATTCTTGCTTTTTTTCTCTTTGAAAAATTTGAATGAAAAAAATATGTATAGAGTAACTTCAAAAAAATCCGAAATTTACAAAATTTCCTTCAAAAACTTTTTTTGATACATTCGTTTTCTAATGAAAGGTAAATTTCTTAACAAAAAAAGTTATATTATGCAAGTCTTTTTGAGCTCATTTTTTTAAATTTTGACGGTTTTGGAGCTATCCTGAATGTCTTAGAGATTATTATACTATTAAAAAAACAAAAATAATTCTAAAAAAAGTTTTTTTGAATAGTTAAAGGTCACGACAATTTTTTTCGAAAAAAAGTTAGTCTAGTTTTCATACGTGGAAAAAAATCCTACAGAACTATACTTCAAAAATAGTGAAGTATTTGTATGATTGTTTTAAAGGCTCAAAAAAACACAAAATCGGAAAATGAGAGCAGAAAGTATCTAAATCGTATCAATGTCTTTGCTGAGAAACAATGAAAAAGACGACGTAATCGGATTAATAGCATGAACTAAAAATGAAAGAAAAAATTGAATGATTAGATTGAATGAATGACCAAAAAAGACGAAAAAAGTCAGGAAAACCAAAAAAGGAATGGCGGAGCGTGCGACGAATGGTTGAAACGGCAGGGGGCCTTCCGCCAGAACAATACATGATCCAACAAGGAAAGGAAAGGAGAGGGCATCGCCTATCGATCGAGTCCGACCTATGGGATGCTAGGTAAAGGCCACCCGTGTGCAGTCAATCCCCTTTTCGCGCCATTTTCCATCCTTTGTTCCCAACCGACACTATTCTTTTCAATTCCTTTGCGGTGTGTTATCTTTGTTCTAAGTGTATAGACAGGCTTTCAAAAAAATATTTGTTAGCTTTTTTTGGTAATATTAGAGTCGTTTTATCTATTTTTGGATTGCGGGCAAGATTTTTTTATGCGGTTTGCAAGTAAGGTAAAAAAATGTGCAACAAAAAAAGTTCTGGACCTTTTTTTCACATAATTTTTTTGTCCGAAATTGTTGAAAAAGTCGATTTGGAACGGTTCGATAAGCCACCGAGGTGTAAGGTTTTTGCCTTAAGTTGGCATTTTACTTCGGCTTAGTGAAAGAAAAAAATTAGTAAAAAAACAACAAGAAAAAGATAACAGAGCCCCAAAAAACCTTGGAACGGAAAGTAAACCAAAAAGACGTTTTTTTGCATTGACAAACTTGTTTTAAAATCATCAAGCACGGCAACTTTTCGTAACTTTGCGAACCCGTTTCAACCACAAAAATGAAAAATTTGTGCTGGACATTGAAAAAAAATTTCATAATAAATAAATGTGTTCTCGTTTTATAATTTGACTGACCATTATTCCTATCCTCATAAAGAAAAATGAGAAAAAAAGAAAAAAATTATAAACATCTCTATTCTTATTACACCCTCAGTAAAGGTTAATTAATAGCGCGAAAAAGAAATAAATAAGGAGCAAAAGTAGTTCGGACTGTGTCAACACCCAAAGCTTGCTGCTGACCCGTGTCCAGAAAGATGACAAAAAAAATATTTGGAGACCAGTAGCAGAAAAAGATGAGAGAGAACACCTCGAAGCTGACTAAAGAATTGGTTACGAAATTTAGTTGTCTTAGTGAGCAAAAGCTTATAAAAAAAATTCAATCATTTTTTAAAGTTAAAGTTTGCTTTAATAATTCTAACCAATTTTCTTCCGAAAAATTTCTGGTTGAAACTAGCAATTCATTTCGGTACTTTGAAGTTCCGTATTTGATACAATGATAAGTTCGAAATTTCAGAAAAAAAAAATCAAAGTTTAGCTCAAAGTTAAAGCTGAAGTTTTACTTTGTTGTGACATTAAACAATGAGAAACGGTTTAGTATGAAATTTACAACGAAAAAGCCAAAAAAATTTATTGAGTCTTATTTGAGTCATCATTCTACAAGTCTCACTCAAGTCGAGGATTTCCAAAGAAAAAATTAAAAATCCGGAGCGAAAGTTAGAGGAAGTGAAGTGGAACTCTCAAAGTTGTCATATCCGTAAGCTTGAAAGACGAAAATTCAAGCCATAGAAGTTATCAAATGCTTAAGAACGTTCGACTACTTGAAAAAGAGCCAAAAAAGGAAGTCAGATGATGGAAGTCAAAAGAGCGGGTCGTGCAAGGTAAAGGCCAGCCGTGTGGAGTCCGCGGCGCGGCGCGGCCGGTCGCCGCGCAGCCGGACGCCGAGGTGAGAGGCTTGTACAAACAGTCGGGATGCTGGACAGGCGGAAAGACAACAACCTCCGTCATATGCAATCAAACAATTCTATTCCGTTCTTTCGCCGTGTTTTTCTGTTGCTTTGTTCATATCAATTCGGACCGCTTGAGCCACCCAAAGATCCTTTGCAATCTTCATCCAAGTCGCTTTTTCTGTGTTTTTTTCCAATTTGTTTGTAGATTAGTCGCTGTTTGAGAATTCAAGATCAGCGGTTGATCAATCGCGCTTGGCTTCAGATTTTCAGACAGCGCCGGACTGATTTTGAGAGCTCAGGAAAAGTTTAAACTCAGGGGACATGTTAGAATCTTTGCGGAAATTGGACAAAGGTACTTCGAAAATTTTGAAAGCCTTTCAATACAAGTTCATTCTACCTGAAAATAATTATTTTAAGTTCTACGTTCGGGTTAGCCGAGAAACAATCAAACACATTTACAAGTTGAAAAAACTTCTAAATACCTGCTCTAACGATTTTCTTTGTCTGGCGCTTCTGAGAAAAAATAAAAAAAATCTCTAAAAAAATGAATCATCAAGAAAAAATTATAAGAAAACATACCGAACACCTGTATTCAACGTCACCAAGCAATTAAAAAATGTTTTCAACTTCCAGCTACATTCAAAATTTGGGAATGAAGGAAGGGGAATGTAAAAATTGAAATTGGAGTCATAAAATGAGAAACTTTTTTTTGGAATGAAAAAAAGCCCCTTCCAATGAGGTTACTGTAGCTACTTCTATATCCAAAAGCTTTTTTTTTTCACTGATCGAGGCATTTCAAAAAAAGGGCACATGTACAGAAAAAAAAACCAAAATAGCGATGGGGGACAAAACACAACGTTCAAACAGAGAAGAACAGGAAAAAAGAGCGTGGCCGTGCGAGTTTCAAGAGCCTTGTACGTAAAACCGTCGCTCGAGAAACAAATTGACCTCTTGTTGACTTTGGAACACATGTTTTTGGTCCCTCCATTGACGAGCCGTTCCGAAATTCTTTTTTTTGAGGTTTACAATGAATAAATCAAACAAATTGCTTAAAAACAAGTTCAGGATAATTGCAAATCTCTATAAAAATGCGAGTATTTCTGACCACTTAATGAAAGATGTTACCAGTAATCTCGGCTGCAAAGCCAGTCATCAAAACATAGAAAATCGAGACAAAAACAGAATTTTTTTAGGTGGCGTATCTATCAAAATATCTCTTGAAACAAACATTTTGAGCTCTTATCTTTTAGGAAAAGTGTTAAAATGCTTTTAGGTCCATCAGTGCAGCGAAATTTTAAAATTTATTTTTAGAAACGGTACAACTTTGCAATTTTGCAAGTTCAAAAATAATCAGAAGAATAAAACACCTCTACACGCGATAATGCATACTCCACTAACAATGGCCTCCAATTTGCCGCTTAAATTTACTTCTTACTTTTTTCGGAGACTGTTTTGTCTCATCGTTCTGATAGAACTTTTTCGAAAAAATCATGATGAAAATTTTAAAAATTCACAAAAATCGGCGCTGAACTTCGGGGCTCTTTCGAACATGGCTTTCTAGAACTAAAACATTTCAAAACGGTTTTTTTCGTTTCCGATAATTTTTCAAAGTTGAAAATTCACTCAACATAAAAGTTCTTCAGTTGTCGAGCCCATTGGAAAAATATATTTTTCATTTATTGTTTTTGCTTCGCCTTTTTGATTGAAAGGAAGAAGTCTAGATTGGGAAAATTTCTATTTATAATTCATTTCTAATCTTTGGCCAATTTTTTTTGTGATTTATTTGGTTAAATATAAAAAGTCGTATGGCCTCGGTAAATTAACTATTCGTTGGAAAGTTAATAAACTAATTGTGAGGATAGAGATAGCACTCCAATCAACATTCTCTTAACATTAGAATAAAAATGAAAGCAAAAAAGGAATTTCGAAAACTAAATCTTAGAAGAGACAGAAAAAAAGACCACCATGGGTCGCGATTGCAACGCACAATAGAATGGAATCGCGCCACAGATAGCGTGGAGCCGTGAGTCACGGAACGCGTACACATGCGTCCCAACTTGATGGATGTCCTGGCATATGACTCATCTTCCAGAAAGCCGCGAATTATCGTCCAGACGGGCCGATTTGCAACGGCAAAACAATTGGATGAGGTGAATAATTGATACATTTTTGCAGGCTGTGTCATCGTTTCTGGACTCTACTGAGTTTGAAGAAAGAGTAGAAAATTTTCACTGCTTGATTTTAAAAGAAAAATTTCAAGAACCAGCTACCAGAGTCAAGGTCAAAAATTGAAGTTTGGCAGACTTTTATCCATATTTTTCATTGAAATTTTAATCTTTTTCTGAGGGATTGGTCTAATTTCTGTTAATTTGATTGAACGTTATCAAATAAATTTAAAACTACTCTGAAAGATTTTTAATATTACGAAACAAAATGTGAAAGAAAGAAACAAAAAACAAAAATATGGAACGGATGCAGAAATGGAGCCGAAAGCTTTATGGACGAAATGAGCGGAGGGAAGAGCAGCTGTCATTTTCACGATCGAACGATTTGCAGCCCGGCTAACGACGGACTTTATTAGATTCAAGACTGTTCATGATTTTAAGCTGTTAATAATTGGGTAATTCGAAATGCAAAACTTAACGACATACAGACGATCGTAAAGACGATCAAATTGAGATAATGATTATAAAAAAAGTGTAGGCGTTTGTCTTTTTTTTCGGTCGATTTATAATAAACGTAAAAATTTGAAGAGTGATGATCAAGATTTAGGGTCACGAATGGAAAACCAATAATGCCCTCCGTTTTAGCGATTCGAGATTAAGTGGATTTTTGAACTTGACTTATGCCTAAGAGCGGCTATGATTGCAGATATTGCAGCTTCGCGCAAGTAGTTTCACGTCGGATGCGCTAAGAAATCTCTCGGGAATGAGTCAGAATTAAAATCTTTTCTTTTACTTGAAGGTCTTTACTTTTATTATTGACATGACTTTTATCAAACAATATTTATCTTGAGTATCGACCGAAAGCTTTGAAAAAATTTAATTATCATCCTGGAAATATGCTATGAAAGTGTGAAGAAGATAGAAATAACTATTTTATGCAATTGAAATTAATTTTCACGATCTCGGTGATTTTCAACCGGTTCAAGCTTTATCAGAAACCCAAAAATGTTTGAAAAGCACTTGGAAGCAAATTGTTCAAGAACAGAGGTCAGAAAACGCCTTTTCTCTTTTCGAACAGCTGCGCCTAGCCTTTCGGTGGCCCATTTTCAATTGAGCTGCGTTCTTTTCAGCCGCGTATTTGAAAAATGGCTGCGAGGGGTGCATAATGGTCATTGTTGGACTCACCGATATGAAAGGAGGAGGACTTTGGGTGGTTTGGCTAGGACACTTATCAGCCATCTTGAAAGCGAAACCAACTTTTCGTGTTCCTCAGTGCCGCCTCAGGGGAAAAAGTTTTGAGCGAATATAAGCCCCTCCGGAGGTGTCCGACACGCGTGTTTACGTTTGCATTCCGTTTAATAATCGCTTCAAAAAGTTTTTCAAACAAATCAGGCTATAGCCACTTTGAAAAAAAAAAATGAAAATATGAGTCCTTTTATATGAATAAATCAAAACCCCAATTGCAATTATAAGTGTGTGGAAAATTGCATCTGACAAGCTCCTTCTGGAAAATTCACGCATAAATAAAAAAAAATTGGCTTGTTAAGGTATTCTTTTGGGCTTGAAACGACATGAAGATGCCGATTCCTATTATTTTCATCAGTTCCATGTCTGTTTCTTATCTTAGTGAGTTACTCCGTTTCTGAGACTTAGCGTCAAATTTTCAAATCATGCGGAAAATCTTCCAGAGGGTCTCAAGAAGAAAGGACTACGGTAGCTTTTTTGAAAGTGTGAAACAAGCTTCGGTTTACAACATTTCAACCTTCAAGCACGTCTACATTCATGTAAACGGTGCAAATAGGAAAAATAATTGAATTTATGAGAACAGGGGCATTATGGTGTAAATGAAGGAGATGTCATGAGATGGGAAGAATCAACTTGAGGGGAGAAGAGGAACAGCGTCGGGCTCATTGATTTTCAATACAAGGGAGCAGCTTGGCTGGCGTCCAGGCAGTATTTTCCCCTTGGTCACGCCGAAATGAGCCCGGTTCTTTTCATTTTCCTCGCAGTGTTGGCTTTTCTTCAAATAGTGGTCAGTCGTTTGTTTGTTGTTTCTATTGTTTGATCTGTGTGAAAATAAGTAATAAAAAGCTGCAATAAAATTGTGGCGCCGAATGTTGTAAAGTCAGTATAAAATGGCTAGCATAGCGACAAAGCTCTCAATTTGAGTTATGACACATTTTTTGAAGTATCAATGAAGAAAACGTAATTCTAAAACTGTCCACTGACTTGTATAAAATATAAAAATTGGATTGTTCTCTGATTACTTATAAAAATGAAAGAAAGGAGCTTTGTTCTATTTTTTTGCTTGTATATTGTATAGGAATAAATTTAAAAAAATCGAAAAAAATAATTTTTTTCAAATCACTTTTTGTATCTAAATCAGATGTTTACCTTTTCAAAATTTATTGTACTGATGATGTTAATTGAACACCCTTTTTTTCTGAGAGTTTCCATCTGGAATATACAAAAAAAAAGAATCAAAAAGAAGCTTTAAACTGGTTTCTTTTGCATCTATATTTTCAAAAATTAACTTCAGAGAAGCTGTCCTGGTGAGCCAAAAAAATAAAAAAATAAATTGAAAAACTGACGAAAAATATCTCAGAATTCATATTACTTCTGTTAATGAAATATTTTCAGTTTTGGAACAGAGATCAAATCGGCGAGTTGGAATATTTCTCGTACGGAAAAGCAGCGTGGAGAAACATTTCAAGCAATTGCACGTGTCCGGACGGATCCAGGAATTGCTACCCACATCCCGCGGATCCAAATTTGTGCGGAAAATGTTTTTCTTCTTGCGGCGGTTGGGGAGATTTATCTCTTCCTGGGTGAGTTCTTTGCAGTTATTGAATGTTTGATCGTCTCTATCAGAACTTGTTAGAGCGAACTTTTATTGATCATCATAGTGACCTTTGAAAGTCAAAAATTTACACATCTTTATTGTTTCCCTTAGGACAAAGTGACGAAAAAATCAAACCCCCAGCGTCAAAGATTGTTTTTTCTTTAGAATCGTGAAGTCAAAAGAACATTGCTTCGCTTTGTCAGCAACTCAAGCCGATATGAACAAAGTGCTGGTTCTGATTGCTTCAATACACAAGCACTATCCGCAGAGCAAAATATTGATCTACAACGATGAGAAATCGGTAACGAGAATCAATTTTTTTCATTCAAAAATATGCTTCTTATTTTGCCTTTTTTTAGAAAGCTGAAACAAAAACATAGCACCCAAAAAAATAAATACACTTTGTGTACTTAACAATAATTTTTCTCTCATACTTTCCGTATGAAACGCATTCTGTCTGAACCTATCTCTTTGAGCTGCTGAACAATATTTCATCTTTCAGACAGTCCTTCAGCATCAGATGATAAGTATTCGGAACGTCCAAGTCATTAACCGTGAACAGCTGCGAACAGTCGCTGACCCATTCGTAACTCCTTTTTATCTTCGTGTACGTTGAAATTCCTACTAGGCCTTCGAAAATCAGCGGACGAGTCTTTTCCAGTTACACCTGAGAGATAGTTGATACCATCCCTTTAACAAAAACACGAAAAGTTTAGAGAACGAACAAAAATCGTTGAGACCTTTTAGGAAGAAATTACGACAAAATTTAAAGAAGTTCCTGATTGAATCAAATTCCAGCACTAGAGAGTTTCAGATCCAATAAAAATTTGAATAATTTCCATGATTCTACAAAAAGAGGAAACAAGTAAATAATTCCCAACGGCCTTTGATTTGAGAGGAAGATGTCTCTGAGAATATTCATTTCCCTGCCTCTTACGAAAAAAGGTTCAAACTAGAAACAAACAGTAAAAAGTGCAAAGTCAAAATGCGAAAAAGGAATGGCGATTCAGGATGCACTACAACGACATGAAAACGTCGTGTGGCTATCGAAGGATCTCGAATTTCTGTCGCCGAAGCTGGACATGCAAGCACGCACGTGGCCATCTCCCGTTACGTTCATCGGATATGACTCATTCAAAAAAGTTCTGACCGCTGGTAAGTGAAAGGCTTCGATCCTACTAAATCTGAAAACTGAAACCAACGCGATACGCTTCCAGGGTTCCGGGAATATTTCCCTTCAGCTGAATCTTGGCCTTCAGCACCTTTGGCTGTGCACCTGAAGCAGGAGTTGAACAAATTTATTAACTGGTGAATGAGTTTTTTTTTCTGTTTGGTCTTACAAACGTTGAAAAACTTTTTGTGATGATAATGATTGGTATGAAAAATCAAAATGATACGCAAAGATATTGTGAACTTGAAGACCTTTCTTTTGTGTTAAAACCATCTTTGAAGTTTTTCCGAGAGACTTCAACTTCTTTCAAATGTCCTTTCTTAACTTTTTCTATGAAGCTCACTCACTATTGAAACGGTGATTATAGCGTAGTTGTATGGAAGCCAAACGCTGATCAAAAAGCTCGAGAGAACTTTTTTGGGGAAAAATTTTAAGAAAATCATAAAATCCTTTGAATTTTCGACTTACCAACAAGAAATATCTCATGAAATAAAAAAATACAAAAAGAAATATGAGCTGACTCCGTTTAAAGAAATTTTCATTTCTCATATTCTAATCAGCCATTTTTCTTGAAAATTAATTTTGTAAGGATAATTTTTCAGGGCTTTAAAATGTGTCAGCGAGGATAATTGCTGGAAATGCACTGATGCAGCATCTACTCCTATCGATTGTACTATGATTTTACTCGGACAACTTGCCGCAGAAGAAGAAAAATTCAAACATAAAGGAATTCCCAAGAAAACTCTAGAACTCCAGTCTTGGTCGGCTCCAGAATGTGACCTACTCTGTACCATCTATTTCACAGGATTAACTACTATCGCTCTCTTTATTGTATGTTTACTTGTCCTTTTGATGATCTCAGGAAGTTTGAAAAAAGTGGAGTAGCTCTTTTTGTCTCTGCGAAATGGCTTACGGGTCTTTATGTTTCAAATTTTGTTTTGTAGTTACTTTTTTATGATGCAAATAATAAATTAAACAAGCTTTATATTGCTCAGAATATCGACTTCTTCATCAGCTGTTCATCTGACCATGACAACAAATTTTTCGTTTTTTGTGGCATCACTACTTTAAATCCAGATCCTGGTTTGATCTTTCCGTGCAAGTACCTTCGAAAAACAGATCAAACCATCAGAAGAGGAAGTAATGAAACAGAGAACCGACTTTGAGTACGCTCCGGCCACACGCGTGGGAACGTTCTTGCCTACGTCATTTGGCGTTGAAACGTCGGGAGTCGATTTTTGATTCAGCCTTTGGACGTTTTTCGGCGGGTTGCCACTATATAACGAGGTGATCGAGGGCTCTGGCAGATGGAAGTCAAAAAAGAATCAGTCAATCAGATCATCTCTCTTGTTACACTATCTCCGTTTTCGTCGTTGATTGCCCTTTCTTTCTCATCTTTAAACACTACGTCAACCTTCTTCGGACCGCCTCTTTCCATCACCTTCTTAAGAATAGCCGTCCAGTGTCAAGTTTATAAGTTTAATATGGGCAATGGGAAGTTTATCTATGCCGCGACTTGAAACGGTCTGGCGTTCTTGCCTTCCTCTTCTATTAATTTCATGTTTCTAAAAGACCTCGTCGATGAGATAGAAAACTCAGACAGATCCGACAAATTCAAGAAAAAAATAAAGCTCTTTTATCGCGACCCATTTTAAAACTGAATTGATAAAAACTTCTTAACCAATTCAGTACTCAAATTTGTAGTTTTGGTTCCCCTCGCTTCATTCCAATTTGCGTTCTGTACTGATTGATATAACTCATCTTGACACATGAACCTTCTTCAGAATCGCCATGCTCTTCTGCAAATTATTTCTCTTCCTTCAACTCATCGACGTTGTCTTCTCAATGAGTCTCTTGGATGCCTACCGTTCCGACAAGCTCACCAGAAGACGTCAAGGCTTGATGAACAACCAATTCCGTCCAATTTTGCACTTGAGAGGGGAAGACGACTGGGTTAGTTCATTATTTGTTCCAATCACGCGGTTTCTTTTGTTTTTGAAAGATTCTCTACCACTAGGCATGACCGTTGGCAAAAGATCGTTTTATTTTTCAGCAGCATCAAATCAACGACAACTTTTCGCCTAACCAAATCATGGACGAAAATGGCGTTGTTTACGATATGGACCCGACCATCAACGACAGGTTTGTATGGGTTTTTTTTTTTCTCATGAGGTGATGATAAAAAGTTCTCAGAATAATATTTTTTGTGGCCGAAAAATCGGAATAGAAATGAAACTGTTTCCAGGGTCTCACTGTTCTTCAACTCTCAACGCGCTAGTTCTGCACGGGCTGGAAGGAAATAATTTTTTCTGACTCTTTTGTACAAAGCCGCATGATCTCCATTTATCAACGGGTCTTCAATTCATACAAGTCGACCAACGAAATATATTGGCTTGTACCTCTGTGAATACTTTTTTTTTGAAAATAAAGAATTCAATGATTTTTTTTTAAATTTAAACTTATCAAAATGTTCGATTCTTCATGAGAGGCCGATCATAAAAACCAGAATCTTACGAAAAGTCCAAACTTTTCCAGAAAAAAATAAAAAAATAATCAGCAAAAAAATTAAAAAAAGAAGTTTACGGCTTCTTTCATTTTTTTCACCATCACGCTTTCAACTATTGCTTTTTTTGCTTTCATATTTTGAAACTGTTAATTTTAAACTCAGTTGGTGAGTCTTATTCATCCAAATTTCAAGTTTCTAGATGGAATTTTTTTAATAATAATAGTTTATTCACTGCCATAAAAAAACATTAGGTAGTATACAGAAAAAAATTATAAGTGATCAACATATGACGGGCAGAAGAATAGCAATACGCGGGAAGGAGTCAACCCCAACGAGTTGACAGGTACCCGGAAGTAAGAAGAAATTTTTTACAGTAGGCGAGAAGGGATATTTTCATAAAAAGCTTGATTCGGAAGATTATTCAATTTGATCCGAAGGGTTTCTGGGGTGACGTTAAAATCTAAATATGAAGTTAAATTGTTCCAAAGAGGAATAGTCCTAGAAAAGTAGTCATTAGAAAACTGACCAGCTGTCCGTAGTCGAAGTGGATTTCTCTGTAACAGGGATTGAGTGAAATACTTATTGCGATCGAGACAATGATCAGAGCCACAGACAATTTTATGTAGGGTGATTATATCACAGATTTTACGGCGAATGAACAAAGGTTTGATATCAAACTGATTGAGGCGATCGGAATAAGAAGAGAAGCTGACATTACAGCGAATGAAAACTTTCCGACTGAAGAGACGGAGAGATGATTCGAGTTTGTAGGATTCATCAGATGAAATGGCGGGTGAGAAAAGTTCGGAGCAATATTCAAGGACTGGAACCACGTAAGTTTGAAACATACGAAAGTAGTTAAGAGGAGTAGAAAACTTGAAGGTATTAAGTATTTGATTAGAGCGTAAGGTAGCAAAGGCAGAAATTCGATTTATGTGTTGCTTAAAGGAGAGTTTTATCATCAATAAACAGACCAAGATCACGAACAATGGAACTTTGAGGGATTTCAAGACGGTCGACGAAGTATCGGGTTCGAGGGTTGTCAGGACCAAAATGAACGATATATAGATATATATCTCATTGGTCCTAATGGTAAGAACGTTCTTGGAAAGCCTTCACGTTTTTCATCAAGAAAAAAATAAACTTTTTTTGACCTCATTTTGGCCTCACTCTGTTCAAAAAAATGTATGATCCGGCTGAGCTTACCAATCTGGAGAATCAAAGAAATTTGAAATTGAAAAAGAAACTTTTTGATAAGAAATCGATCAAAAAGTGGCCAATATCCCAGTGCTTCAGAGCCATCAAGAGAAAAAAAGATTTGAATCTCTTATTAATCAAATTTTTTTGAGAAAAAAATTCCTTTTTAAAAAATTTCAGAGTTCTCCCAATTTTTTTATCAGTAGAACCGTCGCATTATAAACAATACTTTCAATCTTTCCAAGAATTTTTTTCCAGCTTTATTCAGCCGCGACTCGCTGAAAAACTTCATAAAAAAGTTTTTTCATTGTTATCGTTCATTTAGTCGTTCTTCGGATGGATCCAAACTTTTCAGCACTTCCCAAAAGTCACTTGGAAAAATTCGGAAAAAAATACATTTACAGGGAAATTTTTTTTTCATTTTTTGACAAAAATAAAACCTTCTAGCTGGTCGGTTGACGTTCCAAAAAACACAAGTCTTTTTGTATGTCTGACTTATTTGATATATATTTCATTCTCCACCCTAATAAACTTTTCCGATTCCCAACTTCAAATTTATTGCCTATCAAAGAAATATGCAAAAAAATTTTTGTTTTTTTCTTTTTCGGTTCAACAACATATCTCTAAAAAAAACTGAGTTCTAGAAAAATAAAGAATAAAAAATTCGAATAAAAGATTTGGATTAAAAAAATTACGACTAAAAAATTTGCCATTTTCTGCATGACCGGTTGATTATTCCATGAAGCGAAAGCGTATTTTGCAAAGCTGAAGGATATTCTGAATTAACGATCCCTTTTCAATACGCTAATTACTCTCCATCGTGCCGAAAGGGTTTCTCAGCAAGTGCAAATCTGGGCAGCTCTAGCTCTCTGACGAGATAGTGCTCACTCTGCCGGCGCAGAGAAAAGGTCCTCTGCGTCTTGACTCAGATGTCTGCCACCTTCTCATCTTTCGTCTCCCTTCTTATTTTTATCAAAATGTCGATAACTTCTCGATTCTTTTTTTTCGCGTTGTACAAATAATTTGTCGATACTGACGTTTTATGGTGTTGAGAAGGTGTTTCAATTACTTTTTTTCAGTAAATATGTCCGGATTGGCTCACAAAACGGACGAAAGCTCCGGTATGGTGCTTCTCTCCGGGAATTCCCATCCAGAACTGGCTCGGCTAGTTTCAGAGTGAGTATTTCATTATACTCCATTTGTGGTTAGCTTGAAAAAGAATTCATGGATTTCTTGAAACTGTTTATTTGAAAAACTCTTTGGCGCTATAAAGGCTTTTATTTTCAGTAGTTTTAATTAAAATAGTCGTTCAAAAAACTTATCATTATTTTCAGCCGAATGGGAATTCGTCTTGGAGATGCCACCGTCTACAACAAAACCAACAGAGGTTATATTTATAAGAAAAACCTTCAAAAATAACTTCGAATATTTGCAGAAACATCCGTGGATATCAAGCAATCTGTACGCGGAAAGCACGTTTTTATTCTACAAAGTGGCTCGAAGTAACTTTTTTTTGATTCCTTCGAGAAAAATACCACCAGGAGGTGTTCAAAAAAAAATAAATTCTTTACAGGAACGTTAACAACGACGTAATGGAGCTGATGATCCTCATCTACGCCTGCAAAACCTCAATGGCCAAGGTAATTTTTCAGTTTATACAACATTGCAACTGAAATAATTTAGACGATCACCGTTGTCATGCCATATTTGCCGTACAGCAAGCAGTGCCGAATGCTCCGTCGATCGTCGATTCCAATGAAACTGATTGCGGAAATGATTTGCAAGGCTGGTAAGGGCATTCATTTTATCTGAAACTATTCAAAATTTCAAAAAGAAAGAATTTCCCCTTATTTACATTATTTCCAGGTGCTGGCCGACTAGTCTCCCTCGATCTATACAAGAAGGAAATCCAGGGATTCTTCTCCATTCCAGTGGACAATCTCAGAGCTTCTCCTTTCCTTCTCCAATATATCAAGCAATATGTAAGCTAATAATCCTTTTCACAATAATATCATTTCCATAACTTTCAGATACCTGATTATAAAAACGCAATTATTGTTGCCAAATCTCCCGGCGTTATGAACAAAGCGACGTCTTACGCCGATCGTCTTCGTCTTGGTGAGTTTTTTTTAATTAACCATTTTTTGAACAAAAAGCCAATTTTACAGGATGTGAGTTTTAAAAATGGTAATTTTGTCCTCCAATGCACTTTATATTGATATACGTATTACACAACTCATTTTTGCTATTGTGCGAAGCAAGGTAGGGGGTTCTCGTTTCTATTTTCCCTCGTCTGACCCTCTACTCAAAAGTTGCGCTTCTAACTTCTCTCAATCACCACTCGAAATTCTACCTAGCACGCCTCTTTTTTCTGAAATAAAATTCTCTTCTAAAAGTTCTATCACTCTTCGAAAAAAAAAACCCTTCTTTCGTACCTCACGAACGGCGCACCCTCTAATTTCTGGTGAATTTTGGTGTTTCGTGCCTCCTTTCTCACTGCTGAGCACGTTTCTCGTTTATCGGAATACGTATATTAATCATAAACTGTCATTTGGAGTAGTAACTTCTACATTTTGTTCATTCTCATTTTTGCAACTCACTTGTAAATTGGAACCAAATCAGCATGAGAAAGTGATTGTGAGCCAGATAATCACTGTGTCGTGAGAGTTCTTTGGAAAGAATGACTTTTAGGCGTGGCTGTGATTCACGGAGAGCAGAAAGATTCGGAAGAATCTGGACTGGAAGATGGTCGCCAGTCGCCGCCGCCCAACTATACCTCTTTCGAGCTTTTCCCAGGTGAAAAATCGAGATATTCTTTTCATTTCTGAATTTAAAAAAAAGCAGTGTTCCATTAAAAACACAAGTTTGCGAGGTTCTTGCGAAATAAAAACCGAGGCTTGAAAAAAACATTTTTCAACAAGACAAATTTTTGAATCCGCATGAAAAGGTGCAAAACCTTTAAAAAAAGTATTCCAAAAGAATAGAAAAGTTTTTTTTGACAAAATTGAGCCGTGCAGAAAAAAATGAATTTCTTATTGGAAATTATTATGGTTTATTATTTTTTTGAATATTTGAAAATTAATCCTTCATAAAAAACTCCTCCTTCAGCCCAAGAACCTAAGCAAAAGCCGCCGTTGACGGTTGTCGGAGACGTTGGAGGTCGAATCGCCATCATGGTGGTAAGTAGAGAATTTTTAGAAAATCTATGAATTCTGAAAACTTTCAGGATGACATCATCGACGACGCTCAGTCCTTCGTCGCTGCCGCCGAAGTTCTGAAGGCTCGTGGCGCCTACAAAATCTACGTTCTGACCACTCACGGAGTTCTTTCTTCAGACGCCCCTGCCTTGTTGGAAGCTTCGCCTATCACTCAGGTTTTTAGAATAGTTTTTTTCAATTCTGGTAGAATGTGCACAAATCGAAAAAACCAAAAAATTTTTCAAAAAAATCGTTCTGAATGCAAATCATGCTTTGTTTGAATTGAAGTGAGAGATTTTTTTCGTAAACTTTGCGCTAGCTTTTTAAGAAAGCTTCTTTCTTTCAAAGAAGAAATAGTCACTGTGCGCGTACGAATTTCGAAATTAGAAAAAAAGAAACCAGCATGAAATTTTCATTTATAGATATACAGTCTTCATCAATCAAGAAATAAGTACTGTAAGAAAATGAGATTTTGTTTGGATATTATGAAGTTGGGAAATAATTAACACAAAACAAAAAAAACCAAGTTGCTACACAAAGCTGATACAACATTAATTTTTGAACAAATCGAGTTTTACAGGTTATCGTTACCAACACCGTGCCGCACGACGTCCAGAAAATGCGTTGCCACAAGATCCGTACCGTCGATATCTCTTTGATGCTTTGCGAAGCCATCCGCCGCATTTACCACAACGAATCCATGGGTCAACTCTTCCGCGACATTACTCTTGACGATTAAAAACTCAATTTTCCAAACGGTTTCTCCCACTCAAGTCCTTGGTCCTCATTCATAAGGTTTTGTGATACATTTACTTGGTATTTTATTCTCTTGTTGTTTTTTGTTTGAATTCTGTTTCTTTAAAATACTTGTGAAATTGTAATCACGACTAATTTCCAATCGATAAAGTTGCATTTGATTTTCATTGGTGTTGGTTTTGAGAGTGAGGTTGAGCACCAGTGGAAGTGCTTCCTTGAATATTCAGAAGCGAACGTTAAGCCAACATTTGAGACGGGTTAGCGCCGAATTTAACCGTTTCTAAATACTGATCCCAGCAGCAAGCTCATAAAAAATTTGGATTTTGTCATTTAAAAGATTTTTGGAGCTTTGTGTAGGGACCGCAGGCCAATTTCCAAAGTCAGTGATATAAAGTTGAAACCTATATGAAAAGAAAGCTGATGGCAATCGAGAGCTAACTGCGAAAAACAGAAAAGAAAAAAATACGAAAAAAATGAAAAAGTTATAAGCAAAAAAAGTGGCGAAATCGGGGGAACCATTTTTTTGTGTAGAAACTTTCGTCAGGGTCGCAGGAAAAAGGGGCGTGTTTATAGATGCCGCGCGCTCCTTTGCTGTGCGTTAATTCACGCAGGAGACGTTTCGAAAACATATTTATTTGAGTTTTTAGAAGTTTTAAATGAAATATTAGAGTTTTCATATTGAATAATGCTCTTTTTCAATATCAGCCTACTCTTCAAGCACTCACGCTGCTGAAAAGCGAGTTTTGAAGAAGGTTTCAATGCAATTCGTAAAAAAAGAAAATAACCGACAAAATAGACCTTTGCGAAGGACGAACAGCATTAAACCGAATTGAAAAATGTAACAGTCTACTAAGAAGTTTACTGAAAAAAATATGTAAATAATCACCAAGTCCTTTTTTTCAGAGAGTTTTTTAAAAAAAGGGCGAAAGCGTTTTTTTACTTTTTGATTTTCTACTTCTTTTTATTTTTTTCTCTAAAGTTTGTGCGTCTACATGGAGTGTACGTAGACAATTTTTTTAGAATTCTTTACTTGACATTCTGAAAAAAATCAAAAAAAGTTGAGTAAAAGCGAAATTTAATACTTTTATCGCTGCTATAGTGGATATAATGATATAGGAAAAAAAGATTCCAATTATGAAATAAGTAAAAAAAGCAACTATAAAGCCACAATAAAATGAGAAAAACTTGAATAGAATACATAAATAGTTTTAAAAAAACCTTCTTCAAGGTTTCGAAAAATTTCGTGGCCTTCGCGGTGTCTGCAGATTTCCAGCGACGCGCAGTTTTAAAAATAACTTTCGAGCGTTTAAATTAACCATACTTTTTCGGGCCATCCTAGGAATTTTTTTATTTTTTTGAAATGTTGTAGAGAAATGTCTAATGTTTGATATCATGAAATAAAAAAACTTGCCCAGAACGCTTTGGGCCGTTTTCAAAGCGTTACGAAAAAACCGAAATTTTAAGCTTTCATATAAACTATATAATCGATGAAAAAAACTTAGTTTTTCTATTTTTTTAAAAATTTGCAAACAACTGCAAACAACCGTTTAAAAAAATATAATCAGTAATTATCGATTGCGTTTTTTTCGAAAAATAAGGAATTTCGAAAAATCGTGATTTTTCAAATTGCGTTATTTTTTTGAGGCCAACCATAGAATTTTTTTATTTTTTTGCCAGAATATGCGTTTTTTTAGTTGCTTTATGATATTCAAGAATAAAAAAAGTTGCCCGAAACTTTCAAGAAAAAAACGGGATTTTTTTATCCGTTTTTCGGCCACAAATGCGTTTTAAAAAACTGTCGTCGTACATTCTTATTTCTCATTTTTTTCAGTATTTTCTTTTTATGTAGGATTGTTAAGCATAGCCGATTGTATGTTTCCCCTAATTTTTTTCCCCAAATCGGTACAAGAAAACTGTTTTAAAAATATAAAAAAAGAACCAAAATGCAACGAAAATGACGAAGTTTTTTGAACAGCGAAGTGGGCGTGGCTCTGCGGTCCCTAGCTTTGTGACAAGAGCTTGTTTCGAATTGGAAGATTCAAATTCCACTGCTTCAAATTTAATTTCATAATTTTCGCCGCTCAAAATTTTATGTGTACTGCCTGAAAAGAATTTTCTACAATTTAATTAGCGTAAACTGTGGCAATTTTTGGACAGACAGGTCTTTACGGGAACATCGTAACGATCTTTTTGGATTCCTATAAGAAGCAAATGGTAAATAAAGTAAAAGTTTAGAAAAAATGATCAGAAGCTGCTGCATTTCTGTTGCTTCATCAAACTGGAAGACTTTATAAATGGTTTTTTAAAAATGCATGCTCTTTCATTCATTTATTTGATTTAGAGCTCATTTTTGAAACGAAATGATGAATCAAATGAAACGAGTTTTGAAGACTGTTTTCCCGAGTAAAATGCTCCCCAAACTTTGGGATCGTCTTCATAAAGAAACTATTATTTTGGGGCTTTTATTGCAGAAAACCGTGAACCACTTATTATCAAGTGAAGCAAAAATTTATCACATTTTGATGAATATCACAAATAATTCGAGCAGGCACACTAAAAGGAGGCGGTTGAATGGCAAAGAGGACACGCTTTGAACTTGACAACTTCGTGCTCATAAGCTCGATGTTTGCAGGTGAGACACAGCCAGAACTGATAGTCCAGTAGAGCACGACCAGTTGCGATGCAGATTGGGAACTGAAGAGGAAGATATTAGTTTTTTTTTTCATTTTGTTTTCTTTTTTTCGTTTTTTTCGTGTTTCGAAGTTTTATGGTTGCACTTGGATTGAAGCATCATAATTTCGGGAACTGTAATTGGAATAGTTTCGATATGCAAGGGCTTTTTCTAATGACTCAAAGTTTCTCTGGAGCAAAAGAGTTCAAATCTTTTGCTTCTTCAAAAAAGGCTTTGCAGTTTTTCAACGTCATCCCTTGCGATCATACCGTTTTGATGACTAATTAATCGAATCAACTGTATAGTCCATTTCGCGCCAGTTTGTCTTTTTTTTTTAGAACTGAAAGAACATTGCTTTCGATGCGTGTGATCTCTATCTTTGCATAAGCGCATAACTCAGCACGGAAGTTTTAGTGATATAAAGGCGCATCAAAGACAAGACTACTGTAGCTTTAAGGAAAAAATTTGTGACAAGCTGGCTTGAAGTAGTCTCTAATTTTGAACGTTACCTTGGTTTCACACTTGTGGCAGGACAAATCGTAGTCTCCAACATGCTCTTCGCAGGACGTGCATTGCATTTTCGAATTTCTTTGCTCGACAGGAGGGAACCTAAAAACATCTTTCAGAGCTCAAAATTAAACTTCACGAACTCGCTGAACAACTTCATCGATAACATTCGCAATGCTTCTCGTTCGTCGTCTGAAAAATCTTTCAAAGACTCCAATTTCATCATTGCCTTGCTGCATATCAAAAATTGACGAACGATACAGGCGGAAAGAGCTGTAAGTAAAATATTTTTTTAGTAATCTTTTTTTCTCTTACCAACAAGCGAGTAAATTTCTGCAGTGTTCAGAATGCCCTCGTAATCCAGTAGGACCAGTGCTGTTCGCAATGCGTCTTGGTTGTTTCCTGAAAATTTTTTTGATAAAGTGAAGCTTCTTTGACGTTCGAAAGTTGTAAAATTTTTGGAAAAAAATAATCGTAACTAAGTTTCAATTTTTTTTCCGAATGAACGATTTTTTTCATGGAACTTGAAGAAAAGCAACATTTTTTTAATAAAAAAACAGCAAAGTAATTTTTGAAAACCTTGGGTTTGTTTTAATAAAACCGATTCACAAAGAGCAAGGAATTTTGAAACTATAAGAGGCTACCTTTAATTTTTTCCAGTTTCCAGTCTTTCAAGGGCTTTTTAATGAACTAATTAATCATCGCTGCTTCCTGGAAGTTTTTTTCATGTGGTTACTTTTTACCTAAATAGATAAGAGTGAAAATATTCTAACTAATCAGAAAAACTTTTGACTTTTTCTTTTTCTATCTTTCGATTATTTTAAATTCATCATCATATTCTCTTTTCGCGCTATCATAATCTCTGCACCTTGATAAAGATGTCTGTTAGTCATCATCAAAAAATGATAGGCTTCAGCCCCTCTCCAAGCGTTGTCAATAAGACGAGACTCTTCCACAGTGACATTCATGTCTTCCTCGAGCAGTCCTGACAAAGTTGCCGAAGTCTGAATAGGAAAATAACTTGATTTGACTACTTTTCAAGAAGCCCACATCATTTTCGTGGGTTTTCTTGGAACGTTGTTGGTTGTGAAGTTCTTCGATCAATAGGGCTCCCAACACGTGAATTTTCTTCAGGCGCATATAAGGAGCGGATCTTTTTTTCTCCTCCTCTGCTATCTGAACTTTTTCTATTCACTGAAGGTATTTTTTGGAGAATAACTTCGAAGACAATTTTGGCAGAGTCAAGAAGTCGTCCAGCTCTCCTGTAAAGTTGAACAGCCGACAAAGATCTTTCATTGCTTCCAGTCACTTCTTCAGCGTATTTTGCGAGCATCTGATCCACATTTGCCAAATTGTGCGTTTTAGCAATAGCGTCGGCCTGAATTTAGAAATTTACTCGACTTCTCAAGAAGTTTTATACCTGATCCCAGCGGTTCAGTTGGATACAAGTTTGCAGAGCGTTTTTGACGAGTCCGCACTTCAAGAAGCAGTCGACCGCTTGGCCACACATCCCTCGTGCCGTGAAAGCGTCGCCGATTCTCTGGAAAGTTCTCTTGAAACAGTGATCTCAAGTAGAAATCAATGTCGCTACATTTGCTGTCTATCAAAAAAGTTTTTTGAGTTTTATCGCTAATCTTTGTATTGCAACCTCAAGGTATTCGTGATTATCTGGTAGGTGCCGCGATAGCTCTTCCAGCTCTCCATAAATATTCCCGCGGATCAAAGTTTCAATCCTCCGATCGGTATCGCCACATTGCTCGTATTTCTCAGCAGCGTCTCTCCTTAATATATTTTCAAGGAACTTTCTAGAGAATGACCAACCACTGATGCCGTTCGAAAAAGTAGTCGCCAACATGTTTGATGGCACTCAGCCTCAAGGAATCTTCTCCATTAGTTGGTAGGAGCTGCAGTACTTTGACCCAGTCGTAGTTCTTTGTGTACATTGCCAAGGCCAGATCCCTTAATTATTACCTTGAGAAATGTTAAACAAGAGTTTGTTTCCTTTCATATACCTGTTATCCGTTTTGTGAGAACCACGAAAACAGATTTATTTTTAAAAAGCTAATAGAATGGAATCATACCGTCTATCATTGCCCAAGTAAGTTTTCTCGGCAGCATCAAATTTTCCTAAGTGCGCGAAGATCTCCGCTTTTTTCAACTCGGCATTTTGAATATTACTGATTCTCTTGCAAAAATTGATTCCGCAATAATCGCCAAGCTTCACCTGAAATGGATTGTGTTGAATTTTTCAGGAAAACAAATTTACGTAGGCATGTTCAGCAGTGCTGATGTCCAATTTGTTCAAAGCCACTGCTGCCAGAAGCTTCCTACAAAAATATATTAAATGAAGAATCTTAATGAGAAAGAAACCAAAGTTTGGGATGAGCATTCTTTTCAATGAACGCCGTCGCCTCGTCGATTTTCATCCGCTCAAGAAGGTATTTTGCATCTCGCAATGACTGGAATATTGGAAATTAAGTAATGATAAAAATGCTTGGAATGAATGTAGATTGAAAAGGGCAATTTGTCGATTAAAGTCAGCATCATCATAGAAATCAGGGAAATTAAATAAAAAAACACTGGATTTTATGGTTTTTTTCTATTTAAAAAAAGGTCTTTCTCAATTTAAGTCATTCGAAAGAAAGATAAGAGAGCGCAGACAGATTAGACGGTTTCCAATCATTGTGGATGAACTACTGTGCTAACCTTTATTTCAATATCGTGAACGTTTTTCTTTTCAGGATGCTCAGGATTCAGAAGGAAATTGTCCACGAGAACAGTTCTCACTGTGAGCCCACGGAAAGAACAGATATACCTGAAAAAAAGTTTTTCTTTTCTTTTCGATGCCCAAAATAATACCCAGAGCTCGAAACTGGTTCTTCTGCGACAGTTCCCTTCAAAACTATCATCTTCGTCTTTTCATTCAAAGCAATCATGTCTTCTTTTTCCTGAATTCTTTTTTGTTTTTGAAAAAAAAAGTAGCTAATTTGCTCACCGAGTCCCAGCGAAAGCTCCAAACGTCTCGACGGTCCAGATTCTGCAGTTTGTTCAACGAATTTTCTCCGATTTCGAAGAACTGTAGCATGTTGTTGTTGTCTAGAAAATTAAAATAAGACGTTTTAGGAGAAATATAAACCCAATGCGGCGATTCGTTGGAAAGTACAGTTCATTTGCATCGCTTCAATGTTCTGTGGTACGGAGTAGCGTTGGAGCACAGAACCGTCGGCGATGGAGATCTTGAATAAAGCTCCCGATTCGCAGGCCTGAAATATTTTATTTTTGAACTGTCCTACTCAAGACCAATGAAAGGTCATCATATATCTCAGAAAATTGATAAAAATTTAAAAATAGCAATTATCGCATGATTGAATGATTTTCAAAAACCAAAAAATGAATTTATTTTTTCACTGAAAACCATGAAATTGAAGACAAACCGCAAGGAAAAAGGTGTCAGCCATGCACAAAGCGCTGATAGAATCATTTCCACGCTGAAACTGCAACAAAAGTTAGGTATCATTGAAAGTTTATTTTCTTAAGCACATACCTTTCTCCGCGTTCCGAAATCACTTCCCACTGGAGGATTCTCAAGAGCATAGATTCTGAAAATAAATAGTTTTACGAACTACAAAAGATAGGCTCACAAATCTTCTTTGCCATTATTCGATGCCAAGTTCATCGAGTTCCGTTGAGGAAGAACGAAATGCCAGATGAAGTAGGATTCTCCTCCGGCAATGACCGCAGCCGAGTTGTTCAACGTCACGCATCGAGGGATTACGTCCGTGTACTGAAAAACAAAAATCCTCTCAGAACATAGGAAAATAAAACCTTGAAGTCCAGCGCAGTTCCAATGCCGTTACACAACTGGGCAAAATACTGCAAAATTCAAGTTCGAAAATAATAAATTCTGTTGAAACTTACAGTTCCATTAGTGTCGTTCTGTTGGTTCACCAGAATACAATAAGACTCATGGCAAGCGATTTGCTCAAATTTCGTGACAGACTTGGTGAAAACTTCTTCCAACTGAATATGAAAATTTCTCAGATCTACTAATGTTTAGAAAACCTTGGTTTCATAAAAAACAACGGCGAATTCGTTGCGGTCCTCCCTCTCGTAGACGTAAATCACGGTGTGACCACAGTAACCCCACTAGAAACCGGTTTTTTTTAAAAAAATCCTTTATTGCGAAAATAATTTTTTGAATTTTTTCCTATGGTCTGCAGAGCAGTGTTTGAAAAGAAGATGTTCCAAGATAATGATAACTTTTTGATTAAATTGGCAATGAATGGAGTGTAACCTTGTACTGCGGCCTGATATTGCCGAAGTAAACGTTGCTATCTGTAGTTACAGCAATACGGAGTCCACTAGGATCCCAGGCAACTCCAGTGAGGGATTTCGTTTCTTTCACCCGAAGAAAGGATATCATCTGCAAGAATAATTTTTCCACATTCATTCTTTGACATTCAAAAAAGCTGAGCAAAGTCAATTTTTCAAAAAAAAAAAGCTTTCCATACCTTTCCATATGCCGACACGATATGCACAACAGCTTGTTCGTTCTGAGGCATGTCTGTTTGGAATCCGGTCACCTAGAGTAATTGAAAGGTTTCTTCAAACAAAAAACGGTGGCACCGCTATGAAGGAACCATTTGGTGCCCATCTAGCGCATGTTATTTTGAAGTTCGGGAAACGAACAATGATGGGTGCTGAAATCAGATAGAGATTGTAGAATTCTTTATTGTAGAGGACCTCGATTTGGAAAAAGCATTAAAAAAAGTAATAGGTTAGTTGCTTCACTTGTTTTTTGTATGAAAAATTTCAAGAACTAGAAATTTAACAATTGCACTTACATTGATCATTCTCCACTTTCATCAGCTGCATAACTCCGTGCGCGTAGGCCACCAAAAAGTCGCGGACGGTCTGTGTAGGCCTGAGTCCACTGAAAAATGATTTTTTCTTGAATCCGGCTTATCTTTAATTGGAAGTTTAAAACTGTAGATTATAGTCAAAAATTTTGTCGGCCGTTTATTCTGTATGAAATCACCAAAGTTGAACTTTTCAAAAATGATTTTCCATGCGATCCACAATTTTTTGCTTACCAGGTACAAATCCGCCTGAGATCTATCGATTGCCTGTCTTTTCGATAATTTGAGAGCAGCTGAAGATTCGATATTTTCATTCACTGAAAACGATCTTTTATATATGATATCTTCTCACGAAATTTACGTAGTGTGCTTGATTCATCTCTTTCAACTTTCGTTTTGAAGGTCGGATACCACCATTTGATGTCGACGATTGGTTCGCGATGCAGATCTCCTTTAAACATGCAACTTGGAGAACGAAATTCGAAAAATAACTGATCTTTCACAGTTTTTTTATTGTCTCAAATTTTTCACGATATCAGAAAACATTTTAAAATTTTGCACCAGTTCAAAATGCCCAACCAAAAACTTAAGAAGATAAATATACCTCTTCCCCCAATTTTTCAAAACGAAGATTTTTACTTAAATTACTAGAATAGAGATATAATATCTCTGTATGAATGGTTCAGTATTATCAACTGAATTGGATCTAAAAATGATAATAATCGGAAATGAGCTACTCACTAGCTAGAGCTGTCTCCATTTCGACTGTCTCCAAAGCGACCATATTGATCTTTTGCTGCAAATTCTTATAATAAAAACCGCAATCTATTCGAATCTCACCAAAAAATTCCCAACCGAGTCGTAGACGTGAACTTCTCCATCAGTTGTTCCAAAAAGCAAATTGTTACCATCCGGCGCCCACTTAAACCCAGATTTTCAAGATATCAGCTACAAAAATCGAAAAAAACCTCGCATCTTGCTAAAGTCGTTGGTAGATCTTTGTTCCATATCCGATTTCCTTCTAATGTTCCAACAATCACTTGTCCTTAAAAAGAAGATTCTTGATCAGAATATCGAGAAACTCAACCATCAGCGTATGCAATGGCGATTTTTGTTCCATCGCAGTTCCAACCCATACCGACAACTACACTTTTGTTTCTTGAACAAATATTTTTATAACTTTTGCGGATATTAATCTCACCTGTTGTTGATCATTTCTTCATTCCAAAAATCGTTCGAAACTCCCCAAACAATGATCAACCCGTTTGTGTCACTCGTGGTGAGTTTTTGTTGAACTTCATTCCACGCTATACAAAGTATCGCGCCTGTAGGAGAGAGAACGATAACTTCAAGTCGAGAAAAAAAGAAAGGGATAAACGTTTCGACGTAAGAAGTGATACTAATTAATTGTTGAAGTTGACTAAATACTATAGCGGCTTTTTTTTGACTTTGCTCAAATTTTTTTGATTGTGTAAACTTTTTTTGAGCCCTGCAAAAATATGATCAGTTTGAAAAAAGAACTTTTGAGAGCGCACTTGCTCCTTTGTATAAATCTCAAAATCTTACCGCTATGACCATCCAGAGCTTGGTTCACAGAAAGACTATTAGAACCTTTCACCGTGTCTCCACTTTCTGAAGAAAAATATTATTCCCCTGTTACGAAAATTCAAACCTAATCTGACGATTTTCAAAGTTCCCATCGTCCCACCAGTTGCAATGAAATGTCTATTTTGATTCCATTCAATGCAGTTCAATTCAGAAGTCGATGGTATTCCGATCTGAATTTCGAAAGAGTTAAAAAAAAAACCTTACAAATTTAAGACCTTTTTACTCAAGTACATTCCCATCGATGTTATCGTCTTCTCATTATATTTGGCCATTGTCCGCAATAATTCACGCACCATTTTCTGAAAAAAAGAATAATAATGGAGAGAATATCATAAAAAGGTGATATAAAACAATGCAAAAGGTCAAATAAGAAAAAAGGCTGGCTGAGATAAACACACGGATTTTCCGTTGCCGGCAATTGCGGCCTGCGTCTCCATGGTGACGCCGGGTTCCACCTGCATCAGAATCGGGCTGACAGTTATGAGAAACCTTGAAATATGGTTTTTAATAGCAATTGAGAGATTTATTTTCGATTGAGGGCTTATTGACTCACTTTTTATAAAGAAGTGTGAAACAGACTAATGAATTAAAGGTTTTTTTACAGGAGGAAAAAACCAAGAAAAAATCAAAGGATTATTTTTATTTGAAGTGTTATTAGAAACACAAAAAATGGACAATAGGTATTCAAGTTGAAAATAAACGAAACCGTATATAATTATCCATACAACATTCAATAAGCTAAACTATTCTAAAAATTTGATTTCGCTTTGAAAAGAAAAATCGAACTTCAACAAACTGAACCACTTATCAAAAATTCAAAATACATTTTCTAAAAAAATAGTAATAAAGCTTTGAATATAAATTTTCTCTGTTTGATCGCAAAAAAACGTCTGCATTGAATACTTATTTTCAGATAAAAATTTATATTTTTTAGAAATAATAGAAACAAAAAAACTGGACAAAAGCTACAAGAATTTTGAGTTTGACTATGAGATTTTTCAATCATCGCACTGTAAAGCGGTATTTAAAAAAAAACTCCCCGCTAAGAAAGCTGAGAGGAATAAACTGATATCCGACCAAATGTCAGTGACAAGCTTAATGATAAGCTCAAAGTCGGTTGTATAGGTTAGCAGCTAATCCATCAAGTGCCAATGGGATTATAAATAGATCAGAAAAGGCTCAAAACTTGCAAAGTGCTGAGCAAAATGGGAAAGTTGGTACTCACTATACTTTTCTCTCATGGTGACCTGAGATAAAAGAAAAAAAGAGTTCCAGTAATAGCCCAATTTGCACTTTTGCGAGTGTTTACCGTGACAAAAAAAGTTAGAGCACAACAATTCGGAAAAAAAGACCCGGGTTGACGATTTTCCAGTGAGTAGCAGTAAGTAGAATTTTTATCAAAAAAATTATCGCCTTGCAAATTCAATAAAATGAGAAAAAAAGAAAAACGGGGTACATGTTTTAATCGGAGCAAAGTTATTGAACTTGAAAAAAATAAAAAAAGGGAATGAAGCAAACATTACAATTGTAAGTTTATATGTTCTTCAATTAAGTGCAAATGTGACTCAAAAAGTATTTTTTTCCGAATAGCGTTCTTCTTCAATAGGAACTTTTTTTCAGTCTCACGCATTAAATTTATTTTATTTTATCATTTTTTTAAAAATTTTTTTAGGAAAAAAATTAACTCACAAAGAGGAGTTTGAACCTTTGAGAAAAAAAGGGGAACTCTTCAGGAAGCTTCTTGGACTTCAAGGAAATGAGAAAGTTGGGAAATTTGTAGGATTTACTTTTTATATTTGATCATGTTTCTCGGAAAGAAACTTTTTCTATTTTTCAAACCTTAAATTTCAATTTTCTACTTCGAACTTTCTATCATTAACAGATTCTCTGACCGAAGAAGTATGCCTGAGACACAGAGAGGCCTCTGCTTACGACCACATCACGTTGAAAACACGCCATCCTGTCCGATCTGGCAAGTTAAGCAACGTTGAGAGCCGGTAGTACTTGGATCGGAGACGGCTTGGGAACTCGGCTTGCCGTAAGCTTTTTACTCTTTTTCAACACTTCCAGATCAAATATGTCAGTTTCTCAAGTCATCTCGAATCAAAAAACAGTTTTTTCAAAGCTGATTTTTTAAAAAGAATAGTTAACTTTTTTTATTTTTTTCAAACTTGCATTCCCGATTACCTCAAGTTTTTTTGGATTTTGAGGAAAAAAATTGTCAAAGCAAACTTCTTCAAAAAAACAGTTTTGTTTGTTTCTGAAATTCGAGGTAACATTTTGATCAAAAAGAAAGTTTCACAAATTAAAAAAACAAAAAAATATTTTTTCGTGATTTTTCTTGAAGTTTGTTTATTTTTCTTGACAGACTTCCTTGTTTCGTCAGGTTTTTTTATAAGTAGAACATACTCAAAAAAACGATATTAAAAAGTTGCAAAATCTCAAGTTCGTTTTTATTATTGACGAATATCAGACTATTTTGTTTTATTTCTTGCATAGTTCTAGGAATTTTTTTATTTTTTTGTTCAGCTAAAAATTTCCATAACAGAAAACTCAAAAAAACTCTGATCTTCAGAATAAAAAAATGACTCGAATGTTTCCATCTTTTATTTTGCGTTACATCAGTTTTTTTTTAAGTTTTGCTCGCCCCTGCGTTTAATGTCTTATAAAATACTTTATCAATCCACGAATTTTCCATTTTTTGTCGTGTTGGTCCGTGACATCAAACGATTATCGGCTGATGCAAGAAGCTCATTAATTAGGAGAGAAATGGGCCTTTTGATAAGGAAACTCATTGGAGAACGAAAAACCATTGATAAGCTTTTTTTTCGTGCAAAGTACGTCAAAACTTTTTTTCTTTTTCATTTCCTTACGTAAACATTAGATACATGGTTGAAAATAAATCATTCCCCAAGTTTAGATATAGATGTCTGATGAAACGTCTAAACCAAGATAATCATGTTGGCGCGATTTTTCTGAAATTCGAAAATAAGAAAATCTCTGAAACTGTGAGACGTCATTTGATAGGGTTGAACTGGTTGTACACGGCTCAGTATAAGAATGAGAAAAAACATTTTTACGACCGGCTGAATTTTTTTGGCTGGGTGAATCTGCTGCGTTGGACGGCGTCTTTTTTTTGCATCGCACAAGGATTGAACATCTGCAAACAGTTGTGAATGAAATGTACCAGTTGAAATCTTTCATAGATTTGTTTCGCTGCTCTGTACAAAATTTAAAAATAAAAAAATTTATAGAGCAAAAATTTTTTTTACTTTTTGTTGGGTGTTGCAATTAATTAATGATTTTTTTGAGGTAATCTTTGGCAGAAGTTTCGGAAGTTATTCCATCTTTCGAATGAATATTTCATATTTCTTAAATGTTTTGCTATTCGATCTTTTTCAAGACTACTCCAAGAAAAAAAGTCCCTTTCTTTGATAATGAAATAATTTTTCACGCAGTATGTTAACAATTTAACTTTTGCTTGTTCTCTTTTTACCATCCTAAAGATTTTGGAAAATCTTTTTTTGCGTACTCTATCGGCTCTAATGACCGATTAAAGTCCAAATTGTATCTTTTGTCTCATGTCAACTGGCGGTCAGCTCAAATCGCACTGTTTTATGTTCTTTGGCCACTCGAAAATGTTTGATGCGGCTGTTCCAAAGAGCCGCGTGTTTGTTTATTTGTATTACTGCCGAAATCTTAACTATGCCCCGTCCGCGCAAAAAACAAGTAAAGAGCAACTGATTAATTCTTCTTTCTCTATTTCTCCAGCCTCGTCAAGCAAAAATTCTTTTTTTTTGTGACTGGAGCATGTTGAGCTCACAAATATCCGTTTTTTTGCGTTTTCTGTCTTGTTATCTATCGATTTTCTTTTCTCTCAGATGTGCCTCGTCTTTTTTGTTAGATGATGAAGGATTTTTGTAGATTTTGGCGTAGATAAATATGCCCTACAATTTTTCGTTGATCATTTCAAAACTTTACAAGAGTAAAATAAGTTCCTTGAAATGTTTATTCAGATGAAGTTGAGAAAAAAAAAATCTTAAACAGTAAATAAGTACATAGTCGATAAAGGAGTGTGGGAAAAAAACATCCGGTGATCCCTGTTTTAGTAAATTTTGAGAAAGACCATTTGGAATAATTACCACTTTGTTCAGATAATTTTTCTTAAGGCTTCATAAGTTAAGAAAATATTCTTGACGTTCATGAGTTTCATTTCAAGTGTTTATTCGCCATTCCGCAATCTGCAAGACAAATACAAAAAAATAATACATCAAAACAATCAAATCAATCAAATAAATCTAACAGCTGATCTGTGGAAACGGCTGGAGGAAAAGATTGTCTGAATAGACGGTGCTAACCCCCATTTGGTATTTAAGTTTGTTCTTTGTTTTTTTAATAAGTTAGAATTTTTCTAGATTTTAGTAGGATCTAATGATTTTAAAAACGATGTGTTTGTTTCGAACCATGAGGTGAGCATAATCCGAAACTTGCCGATTTCGTATTCAATGATAGTTTCTCTCTCCAGTTGGTTCCAAATGGGTATGACTCTATGATTTAGGAAGCGTTGTTTGATCAATTCATCCATTGGTTGAACAAGTCTCATTCCATTTCCTCTGAGTTGATTGTTTCTACTCGAATTCATCATTAATTTAACAGGCGACTCACTCCAAAAATATCCATGAATGTATTTATGAACGCAACAAACGTCTTTAAAAAGTCTTCTAGTCCATAACGTCGATAGTTTCAGTTTGGCTAATCTACTGCGATAATCTAATTTCGGATATAATCTTTTGGTAAATTTTCTCTGAACTGATTCTAGTTGATTTTTTGAAGTTAGAACATTTTTTAAGACTTTCCCTTTGCATTTTGGCCTCTCTTGAAACAGCAAAATAAATCAGAAATATTTTTTTTCCTTGACTGAAACAAAGCGAGAACATGTTTGCATCATTATTGTGGAGAATTTTAACCTCTTTTTTTCGTTTTTGCAGCATGACTAATCTCATTTTCTATTAAACTGCGCCTCTTTTTTTCTGCCCTTTGTTCCGTTGGAGAGTTCATTTTTGCTGATTGTCTGCAAAATCTATTTTTGTTGGAGGCTTTTTTCCAATCTTTCTGAAATCTCTCACATCAGCGATGTGAGTAATTTTGTTTTTCTTTTTTTGCCGTCCTATCAAAAGCCTCATCTTTTCAATGTTTCTTACACGTCAAGTGATGTTCTTTCAACGAAAAAAAACTTTCTTTATCCGTCGTTTCTATGGCTACTGGCTTTTTTGAGAGTTTGCAAATACCGGATTATATATCATTGACGTTCATGAAAAGTTTTTTTCATGATTATCAAAAAAAGCAAGAGACTTGTTGTCTGAAATCATTTTTCCGTTCAACATTTTTTTCATAAAAAAATCTTCCTTGGAGATACTTTAGGAGGAAAGTTTTTTTTGGTTTTTTTGTTAGAAAAAAATGAAAAATAGTAACAAAAAAATCAAAAAAAGTAAATTTTTTTCTTGAAGTTTTTTTAAAAATCAGAATTTCGAATCGCAGAGTAGACTTACCTTATTTTTTTAGATATTACTTTTTTTCGCATTCACAGCAATTCAATCCTAATGAAAATTTCAACTCCATTTTTCGTTTTCTCATTTGCTTCTCAACACCCATCTTGCTGCTTGAAATAATCCCTAGAGATTGTATTTGCGACAACGCTACAAAATAAGTTATTTACTCGCCATATTCGCTTTATTTCAGACTTTAGGCGATGAATAAAACGGGTAGAGATGGGCCTGCAAACAATTGCAGCACGAAGGTGAGCAGTTATTTTCGATGAACTCTGAAATCAAGAAAAAGTCAATTTCGGACTGATAAAAGAGTTAAGACAGTTGTTTCTTGCATTTTCTGTTTCCGTTAAGGATTATGGTCCAGCTCGTGACTTTATTTGCGAGGTGATTTCCGGCGATTTGAGTTAAAAAGAACGATTTTTCTCCGATAAATATTTTGAAGCGATAAAATCCTTCTTTACTTCTCATTTCGTGTGGTTGCAGGTTTCGAAATCGGAACGGTCCGGGCTTCTTCCTACAGTGACTTTCAAAATGCCGAAGAAAATCGTCAAAAAGAGCCGTTCTCAGAAATTTTTGGATGTCGTCTTCTCCCTTATTCCGATTCTTGGATGGCTGCCAAAGTATAAATTGAAAGACAATTTGGTCTATGATGCCATCGGTGGGATGACTGTGGGCATCATGTCTGTTCCGCAAGGTTGGTTTGAAGAATCTGAGCCTGAAAAAAGGATATTAATCAATTTTTGTTTGTGAAAACTGTTAAAAAACGAGTATACAGTTAGTCAGAAAAAAAGATGGATTAACCAAAACTCCCTTTGTTTCTGAGCTTCTTTTCCACTTTTCTTCTCGGGCTTTGATTTCTGTTTTATTACTAGTTAAAATCTTAGTAAATCTTTCACTCTGTGAAAAGTTCTGTTTTTGCGATTTTTTGAAAAATTGTTTCTTCTTTGTTTATACGACTAAAAATAGTTTTGAGTTTATTAGTAAGAAATGCAAACTGCGCGAAAGCTTTCACAGTATTATTCAAGTTTTTTTCGAATCACTTCAATTTTTTTCATAATCTCAGGAATGGCCTACGCCACCTTAGTTGGACTTCCCCCAGCTAACGGCCTTTACACTTCTCTCTTCCCTCCAATCATTTACATGATTTTCGGAACTTCTCGTCATGTTTCCTTAGGTAAAAATATTGGCTCTTTTTAATAAAAAGTTTTTCTGCAGGTGTTTTTGCGGTTGTAAGCTTATTGACGGGTAGCTGCAACATACGGGTGACAGAAATCATTGCACAGGAGCGGAATATAACAGTTAGCTTCGATGATCCTCAAATCACTGCCATTTCGGTGTCGATCGTGACTTCACTTGCTCTCCTTGTCGGAATCATCCAAGTGAATTATTCTCAAAATTGAAAAATATATCCTTATCGGTTGCAGATCACTATGGGTCTTGCTAGACTGGATTTCCTGACCACATATCTTTCTGAACAAGTGAAGGAACAATTAAATAACTTTTGAAAGAAGAGTTCAGATAGTTCAAGGCTTCATGACGGGTGCCGCTTTCCACGTTTTCACGGCTCAAATCAATAAGATTCTCGGCGTCCCTCTGCCCCGAAGGAATGGATTTGGCAAATTTTTCTTTGTAAGTTTTATTACCTCACTCGGAAAATAACTATGATTCTTAGATGTATTATGACTTCGCAATGAGATTGATCAACGATCAGCAGAACAATTACACAATAATCGCTTCCGTAGTTTGCCTGATTCTTCTTTTCTCGGCTAAGCAGTGGATTGGACCATTATGCGCGAAATGCTGCAAAATACCAATTCCAATTGATCTTTTTGTGGTATGGCGTAATTCAAAATTCAGTCAAGAATTATAACTTTCAGGTGATTTTTGGCACTTTGATCTCGCACATGTTGCACTTTAGTACGAAGTTTGGCATCAAAGTGGTTGGAAATATTCCAACAGGGTAATTTCAAAAAAGTCTTCTCAGTTTCATTCATATTTTTGCTCCAGTTCAGGGCTGAAGTGCTCACAAATAATTGCTTTGCTCTGAGGCTTCTTGATTTTTTTGCAGGAATTTTTAAGAAGAAGCTTGAACATTTTTTGATTCATTTTTGATAATTTGAGTTTTTTTTTCAGGATTCCAGCTCCAGCCGTTCCTGACATCACATTATTTCATTATTTTGTTTCTGACGCCTTCGCCTTGGCTATAATCATTCTGGTTGTGACGATTTCCATGGGCAAGCAATTTGCTCTCAAACACTCCTATGAAATTGACGTCAGACAGGTAATCTCAAAATAAAGGTGGAAATCAAAAAAAAAAAGCTTATGACAGGAATTTTTCGCTCTCGGAATTGTTGAAACCGTGAGTTCGTTTTTGCCATGTTGGCCTTCTTCAACAGCTCTGGCTAGGACGTTGGTCTATGAAGCTGCAGGAACGAAAACTCAAGTAAAGTGCACTTTTAATGACGTTTATGATAAAAACATTTCCAGCTAGCAACAATTTTCTCTACTTCAATACTTTTGTTGGTTATTTATGTTCTTGGGCCATTTGTGCAGGAGCTTCCAGAAGTGAGAACACTTTCATTGTTGATATTTCAAGCATTTCGATTAACTCTGAAAATTCTCCAAGCAAAAAGGTAAATGATCATTCTCTCCAGATTTTTCAACGATTTTGATTTGATCGTCCAAAAACAATTGGAGAAGCCAAAATTTTTTTTCCAACCAATAACTCCCATGAATGCCAAAAATTGTCAAAATCTCGATTTCAGTGCTTCCTCGCTTGTATTGTGATTGTCGCACTCAAAGGCATGTTCATGCAGCTCCAGCAAATCTCATTTTTGTGGAAAAGATCCAAACTTGATTGCGTGAGTTCTTCATTTCACTTGGTAGAATTATCAAAAACTTCCAGGCGGTATTTATGATAACACTCGTTGCCACGGTGGTCAGCGATATCTTGCCTGGACTTTTGATCGGAACAGTCGCTGGGGCTCTTCTTGTGTTCTACAGGTTCCAAGCGTGAGTTTATAATTTATTGCTAAAACCAAAGCGAAGGGAAAACTGAAGAAAAAATAATCCTGAGGTCAGAAAATCATGGAAGTTGGTTCAATTTGATAAGAGGCGGAAAGAAAGGCAGGCATTAGGGCGATAAATGAATGAAGAATCCTAGAAGAAAAAAACATATATTGAGAAATAAATATATAATATGAGAATACAGATGGCACTGGAGAAAAAAACAGAACTATTCAAGATGAGAGGGAATGAAGTTTGTTGAAAAACAATATTCTATGTTTTTATTACAGGGACATAAATTTAGTAGGGACTTGCTCCTTTTTTTAGGAGGAAAAACGAACACTATCGCACTCACGACAATTCGACCTAATTTAGAGGGACATTTCATACAAATAAACAGTTGGGGATGATCAAAGTCTTACTACCGTATAAAGTCATATTTGGCTTGTTTCAATGGTTTGAAAAGGCATAATATCTTATAAAATAGCTCGATTTGTTGCGGTTACGAAGAGGTTTTCTTGACTGTTTCTGGTGAAAATCTTTGGTGCAACCGATTCCAAACGACGCTTATATGTTCCATAATAAGGAAAAAAACATCAGCTGAGCCTCGATTTTAATATCAACAAATCCACAAAGCCATTCCATGCAATTTCATATCGTTTCAAATCATGAAATATCGACAAGTTAATAGTCTACCAATCATTCCTATACCCGAACTTCTTCGGATGGAAGCAGTCGTTGACCAGGTAAACCGTGTTGCCGTTGTACCAATCATTGAACTTGGTGTAGAGGTTGACCGAGATGCAAAAAAGCGGCTTGACCACGGTTCGCACGTACCTGAACAAAAAACATGGTCTATTTGGTTACATTTGCACTCGTGATGAAGGAGATCAAACAAGAGTCTTGTTTGCGTATCCAGTCGCGGAAATGGGTTCAAAAGCACCAAACCAATGTTCGCTGTTGCCCAGGCACTTGCAAAAGCTGTGGTCGGCTTCGTCTCGCGAGCATGACTCGATAAGATCGTCGTGCTCTTGACAGCAACGGTTTACCGCTGCAAAAAATTATTTCTCAATAGAGCGCAAATAGCTTTATAGCGGTGCAAAAAATGTGTGAATAGAATTCCTTCGAGGCAGGAATTGGATGAACACCAAAAAAATTCCAGCGCCCACTCAAAAATCTAGCTAATTCATAAGCTGCTTTTGAGGGTTTTAACGATCAATATAAGGTAGAAAGTACAGAAAAAAACCCGATTTTCCCAGAAAAAAACTAGAAAGAGACACCGAAAATTAAAAAACGTTCTTTTTGGTTCATTTTTCGACCTGATTCCTAATTTTGCTCTTCGAAGTTATAATTTTCAAGTCAATTAAGTCGTTCTCTTTTTTTGAACTTCTAGGAAAGTTTTCCAGCTTTCAATGATGAAAATATATCTGGCGTTTGTTTCAAGATAACTGTAGACTTGAAAAAGGTACACAATTTTTAATTTTTCAGATGCTTTTTCGATAGTTTCCAATTTGTCTCACGCTTCTGCTAACAGTCCATTTTTCTAGAAATGAACTCCTTCACTTTTGTTTGCTTTTAAGCCACAATAGCTCTCAACTGCGCTGGACGAACTCCTCTTTGAACACAGAAGAGTTCCAAGTGCAACTGATCTCTATTAGCTAACGTCAACAAAAACCAATCATTGGAAAAAGTACCTGTAAGGTCTTGAGAAGGAAAAGCGATGGCGAAAGAGAGAAGATTCGAAACTTTTCCAATGCCACAGTTCCAAGCTAGTGTTGAGGATGCCAGGCACAATGTCAGGAGAAACCAGCGCATCCTCTGAAAAGCAGCTTTTAGTGGGAAATATTTGAAAAATCTAAAGTTGCAAAAAAGGCGATTTAATAGACCTTTGATACAAAAAAGGAAGAAATATAATGAAAGGTTTGAATACCGATTTCGAACAAAAACTAGAATAAACTTTTATACGTAACAGATTTTGCCGAAAGTATCTATGACTCATCTGAAAATTTCGTGATTGGGTGACTCAAAAAACGCGCAAGGTTATTACCGAAAGTAGTTGAAAGAAAATGTTCATCTGAAACAACCTGTGTTGAAAATTTCTTTAGAAGTGTATTTTTAAAGTCTCTTAACAGAACAATATAAAAAGAAACAGTCAAATAGAAAATTTTGGTGGTAATTTCATTGCGTGAAAAAAATAAAAGCGTGTGATAAGCATCAGGATAAAGACGGAAGAGATCCGAAGAGCGCCGCAGGAAGCTTGATAAAAGACACAAGTGGGAAAGGCGATCGAGACGATTGGAGAAAAACGATTTATAAACATGTGAGTGGGAGGTTCACGTCGGCACTCCTGCCGGCCTCTGGCGATTTGTCCGGAATGAGCAGCACGGCGGTCCAGCGGCTCAAGTACGCCGGCCGCAAGCCTTGCGTGCTGTGCTTTTCAGCTTCACACGCCTTTTTTCGCTCTTCTCGCAGCCTCCATCGAATCAACCGTTCTTCATTAATCGGTTTAATCGCGCGGACCGTTCACGGTTTAGCGTCGGGAACTGCTCCTGTCGGCACGTCTGGCTTCGTTTTTCGCCCCTCTCATGATCAATTTTTAGTTTTCCGGAAGCACCGCGGGATTCTTTTTTGACTTGTGTTTGTGATAATGTAATTCCGTAGTTTGAACTAGTGGAGCTGAAAACTGAACTATAGAAATGTTTCTGAATGAGCTGGTGCTTTTTTTTAATAATTGATTGATAAATTATCAAAATTTTACAGGTTACTGTAGCCAAGTCACCAGGAGTGTTTTTTGCTTTTCAGTTGGGTCATTTCCCTTCAAAGATTTTGCTCTGTCAATCTAGAGACCTGGAAACTTAGATTTTTTTTTTCTAGAAAAGGTAAAATAGGTTTATAGGTTGAAACTCGGCATCGTAATATTCTCATTTCCACTAAGCAGCTAATATTGATCTCCGCATGTTATAAGTTGCTATAAATTATGTCAGTTCTTTTTTGGACTATTGATATGAAACATTTAAAAGTAGAAAATATTCCAGCAATCTTTGAGATCCTGATTCTGGACGCTCCATAAAATATGTAATGGATTGGAACAGTCATATAGACCGTATTTGTAGAAAAGTGTTTTTTTTTCCTGAAGCACACCATGTTCTAGAGTTTTGAAAAGTTAATTTTTTGAAATAAAATCTCAACTCACTTGTAACTCAGCTCGAAGAATTTTGAAACGCTACAAACTCCGTTTCCGAAAGACCGAAGAATGCGGAGCCTAGGAGCTCAAAAACACGCAGACTGATTAAAAAATGACTTTATAGGTAGATGGTGTTATCAACATTTACAACCATTTGACAGCTGAGTTGGAATCTTTGACAAGGTCCTGATATCTCATGACTGGAGTCGTACAGTTCCCTCACACATTCCAGCCTTCAAAAACCAGAGACTAAAGTATACAACTTCTAGTGAAAAGCTGGAAGTGTGCAATGGAGAGACGCGGAGAATCAACGAGCCTCTTTACATCGAATATGATTCACCGATTTTCTATATGAATGCCGGTTCTCTGAAAAAACAAGTGAAGGATGCGGTCGACGAGGCTCTTTTAAACAATGAGTAAGCGACTTTTCTGAAACTTCGAAAATGTCCTCTTCCAGTCAATCGGAAATTCATTACGTTCAGAGGAATGCGGTCGTCGTCGAAAAAGCAGAAGAGGTAGGCATTTGAAAAACGGAATAAGACACTTTTTTTCTAATTTCGGAACAATAAGGTCAATAAACCAAAAAATCAAAAAGAAAATGACAAGAGCCATTTTTTCAGCTCCGAGTCTTGTTTGACATGAGCAAAGTTCCGCAGATCGACTACGAAAGCGCCAAGAGCTTGTTGCAGGTTCGAGCCCTTCGCGGCGGTCACTCCCACTTTAAAACACCTTTTTTTCAGCTCCGTTCAGAGCTCAGACGAAAGAACGTCGAGTTCAAAGTGACTAAGCTCACAGGTTCGTTACAATGAGTAGAAAAAGTACAGAGGGGCTGAAAGAATTGCCGCAAAAAGCAAACAAACATTTACAATAACGTCCATTAAGCTATATCGTTTCCAACTTTTTGGCGTGACTTTTTTGGGAGAATTCTGAGCTCAGTTTTTGTCCATTTTATATTTTTTGTTTGCGGGGTTCTGCGTGGCCAAAAATAATTGGAAAAACATTGAGCAAACTCTGAATCACTTGCACTAAATTCACAAAAGCTCCAACTCAATAGATAAGCTTCAAACTTCAGAGAAAAACTTTTTTAGGTTTCACTATCCTTGTCAGATTTTCTATGGATTTCTCAACAAAGCTCTTTGTGAAACGATCAGTTTGCTCGCTGATTTTAGTTTTACTTTATTTCAGAGCTCCTTTTGATGAGGTCTTCCCAGGATGAAGACGTAAATCCATGGTAATTAACTGATTATTATCAGAAAAACTTTTTCAAAAAAAAAACCGACGGTTTTGATAAGCTCTTCAAAATTTTTAAAATTTTTTTCTTTTTTTATTGCATTGACAATGTTGAGCCAAAATGAAATTATGAAGAGAAATTTGGAAAACATTTGTGGCTATCAATTCAGACAACGTGAGAACCTTCCTTGCTAGACTTCCTGAAGATGAAGCCAGAGCCATCGTCGAGGATACGGAGCCAAGCGAAGACGATTTCAAAACTGCGCGCGAAATTTGAAACGGATAAAATCCACGGTTGATGAATCACTTTGTTGAGCTTTAATATGTATGTGACATATCTCCCTGTACATCTACAATTTTTTGATGCTTTTATTTTTTCATTGCGTACATATTTCTCGCAATAAGTGAAACCCAAATGATTTTTTTTCTTTCTGGAACAACCCGCAGAAATTAACTTTGAAAAAAAAACTGCAAACAAGCAATAATGAGACGAAAAAACACCATGGGCACTGGAACCGTGAAAAAACGGTTAATGAAAAATAACTTTCACCAATATTGTAGCAAGTCTCAGAAGATGGCGAGAACATAATCAGACAATTCACGGCTTGGCGAGTATCGAACAAATCACGGGATCATCTTTCAAATATAATGAAACAAATTTCGGGATCATATACCTAATAAAAAAGAGTCGATTGAGAGAAACGAAGTCAACAATAATTAATTGAAAAATAAATGAAAAGAGCGATACAAGAGCCATCCAAATAGTCGGTGGTGGTTGAATTGAACTCGCGGCAAGAACCGCGTCCGCACACGCTACGCGTCTCGCCTCCTTCTCTTCCTCCTTCGCTTTCAAGTCCGGAAAAATTGACCATACCTCAGAAATTTTTATAGAGTTGTTCTCCTGAGCTTTCGAAAAAGGGCTTACTAGGAAAGTTAGCTGTTGTGTTGAAGTTTTTTGTGATAATAAACTTCACCCGTAGGAAACAGCTGCAGAAAATTTGAAAATATTTGAACGATTCCTCAGAAGTTCACGACGGTAAAAGTGAAAATGTATATCTTACCGTATGGTACTGTAGATACGACTTCTAGAAACTTTGCGCACGATAAGGGATTGCGTGTGCAGTGTCCCATTCTGATTTAGCTTTGGTGTGAAGAAATGGCCGCGAGAAGCATCGGTGGAATGGCCCTAACAACGTCATAGGTTCAGTCCACAAGCTGAACATTTTCTTTTGCCATTATTCTTCTTCAGAATTGTTTTTGTGTAAGTGCTCTTTTTTGAAGGTTTGAAGAGTGGAAACATGAAACGGCTGTGCGTCGTACATATTCAAACGTCTGTACATTTTCTTTTCAATGAAGTTTTTCCTGTATTTTCCCATGTTTCCCCGTTTTTATGAAGGTAAACAATTTCGAAGAAAAAAAATTTCTTCTTCTTAAAAGTTGTCTAGGCAGATGAGAGCTTCGCTGAATGTACACTTAGAAAATTTTGTTTACTCTCAAAATGTTTATTTTGTTTCCAAAAACTCCTTCTGATTATTTAATCCTTTTCAAATCATCATTTTTCATTGAGTATCTTTTAAAGCAGCTGATAACCCAAATGATTGCTTTATTTCTTGAAACATTAACAGCAATTCATTTGAGAATCATCGTTAAAAGCAAGCATCGTTAACACGAAAACAAATCGGATAAGTGCGATGAAACGAGAAAGAGCTCAATAAATAGAAGAAGACGTTAATTCGAGCAATTGGCAACAGTGACTCGAAAACAAAAATGAACAAAAATATATATAATAAAAAAATTTACGGCTTCACAGGCCGAATAAAAAAAGAAGCCGATTGTGAGAACAGCCGTCGATGGTATCTTTTAACCGGTAATGTTGCTAAAAATAAAGATGAGATATTTACAACTGTGCGGTTTAAAGAAAAACGGAGGAACATGAAAACAAAGAATCCTAGCGGATCGAAGTCGAGAGCCATGTGTGAAAAACGTGACATAGATACAGTAATGAACGAGAAGAGCAATATTGCAATGGAAAAAAGCTTGTGTGACCCATATTTGGCAGCTAATTATGGATACGAATAGCCTTTTCGGCGGCATGAGCATTTCGGGAGCCTCGCTTGTTGACATGTTCAAGTCCGAGGTACGGGATGGCGGCGACGTCCACCATGGGGGACCTTCCTGGCTGATAGCCGAGTTCGGCCAGGTTGACCAGACCGTCGGAGTTCATGTCCAGGTAGCGAACCACGCGAGCCTGATCCACCAGGGCAAACTTGTATTTCTCGAATTCCCTTTCAGGAACTTCGAGAACGTCGCGAAGTCGGCCATGAACAGAGCTCAGAGGCTCCCCGTCGGTAACCTGAAAAATCCTTTTTTCAGGTTTCTGTCATTCATTCGAGGGTACAGACCTTAAACAAGAAAGGCACGCCAAACATCTCTTTCGTTATGCGGTCGAAATACGAGACTGGAATCAGATAATCGTTCGTTCCAATAACCGATTGATTTCGTGGAACTTGTTCGACTCGAATCTGGAATTAGACAATTATATCAAAACTATCTTCCCCTTCAAATCTTGACCTCTTCAAATCAATCAAATCAAATCAAAATGTTTCATTTCTCACACACAAGTACTAAAGTTCACGAAATAGATGTAGGGAGAATTTGGGAAAATATGTGTTCGAAACTAGTGGTGATGGAGGGAACAGGACTCGCGGTCTTCTAAATTTAATCTTTTTTTTTTTGCTTTTTGTGAACTCCTACGCACTTTATTGAAGACCAACATTGTTGCCCGATATTTTCTTTCTATTATTCGTATGTATTTGAAAGGAGTATTTTCAGAAAATTTTGAAGAAAATTGGGTTTCAAAGACCGGAAAGTCAATGATGAATGAACTGAGATTTTCAAGAATTTTCTTTACAAGTTTGGGACCTTCAATTCATTTTATTATTTTCTGATATTTTTTTCTTACGAGAAGTTCACGGAATGATATGATCTTATCTTATTACTGATACTTTCTCTAATGATTACCTGACTTTTCACTTATCTATTCAGTTGTTAATTTTTCTTACATACCGTGTACTCAGGAGAAGTCAGCTTCTTGTGGACTTCGTCAACCGGCGCGTCCTCGCTAAACGGCTTGAAGGCTCGGAAAGAAGTACTCGTTTGGCTGATGTAAATGAGGCGGAGATTTCTTGTTTTCGGAAAAAGTTGGAAGAGTTGAAAGGCCTCCTCCAAGATGTCAGAAACCTGCAAGGAACTTTGGAAATTTAATTTAATTTCAACGTACCTTGCCGCTTAGTTCCGGCCAAACAGTAATTTCTGAAATGTTCATTTTGTGATCCATCGCCTGGATTCTGAGCTGCTTCCTGCTATCTAAGTCCTGAATGCGAAAAGGCAGCAGAACACATTCAATCACATGACTGGAAATCATTCAAATATTTGTTGCTACTGTCGAAATTTCTACCGTTTCATCATATATACATCATAATAACTTTTCTCCTGGAGATTGAGCAAGTGACGCACTGTGCTCTTATCGAGCTGAATTTTGAGATTTATTTCCTGAGAAAACATTTGATTTCAGTACTCGGGGCTTTTGCAACGAGAAATATTCCTGGTTGGAACGATCTCCGCATAAACCATTAATTATCAGGACTTCCTGGGGATCACATCTGTGCAAAGCAATCAATTCGACGAGCTTCCAAATTGGCAAATCCTGGAACAGTAGTTCTTCTATGATTTTCATTTTCGAATTTCGAAACAACTCACCAGATCAACAACTTTGAAAACGGACCTGACATTAGTCAGGAAGCTATTTCTTATTTGGAGTTCGACACGAATGGTGTTGTGGAAAGCTTCAAGGAAAGTCTGAAAGTTTTTATGAAGTCCATTGTCTGAGAAAAGTTTCAATGATTTTGCTTGAAACTTGAGAAACTTATTCAATCAAATTTCTAAATTAAAAAGTCACGATTGAAAAAATAGAATATTTCATCAAGACATCTCGGAGAAGCTTACGGCATTATGTGAGAGTTAATCAAATAGAGTTTTATCTTCTCGGTCTTGCCTCAGTTCATGAGAAACTTTAAAAAAAACCTTCATTTGAATCGATATCTCAGATTCAAAACTTTTCATTTGATGATCTACACATAGTCTGAAGTGGAGCTTTTTTGTCTCGTGAATATTTCTCAGATTATTATTAGCTTTGAACGTCAAACTTCATTTTTTCATTGGATGGTCTACCTTGGCGTTGTCCTTTGAGTTGGTCTTTTCCCCGTCCTCAATGAGGATGATCAAACCGTCTTTGAACTCGTGGAGGCAAGACTCGGCACACAAGGCGATATCTTCATGTTCGATCAAACGAATGTAGTCAACCGTCACTTCCTGTAAATCAGTACTTCAGTTTGTTACTTCTTTTCTGATTTCAAAACCTCATAATAATTAAGCAGAGTCTTTGTGGACCATCCAGCCATTTTGCAGAAATGGTCGTGATAGTCACAAATCGTCTTGCGATACTTGAACACGGTGTGACCGAGGTTGCGAATCATTTTACAATCGAAATCGTACGCCTTGAGGAAGACAAGAATGTCATCTGAACAATCATTCTCTCTGAATTTTTCCGATATTCTGAAGACTCACTAGCATCGTCGTACGGCTCGTTGTTGTTTGGCATGAGAGGGTACTCAATGTAGACGAAGTGGCGATCCGTTTCGAAGACACTCCCAATCGTCTTGTCCGCCTCTTGAATGTTGAGCAGCTAAAACTCGAATAAGATCTGGAGTTTCTTGTTGATAACTAACGACGTTGGGACGGTATTGAGTGGTTATGGCGTCGATGTCTCTACGCTTCACCGGCGTTTCGGTGAACTTCCAAACGCGGAAGTTGAGAACGTTAAAATCTTCTCCTCCGGGATGCATCTGGGAAAATTTTTCCGTGTGAAAAATGCTGAGAATTTTATTCACCCGCAGGTGGTCAAAACAAAGACGATTGCGGAGTTCCTCGTAGAAATCTGGGATTAACAAAGATTTGCTGAATTTTTCACGCGACGCCTTTTCTTCGACAACTTCAAGTTTAAACAAATCTAGTTTGATAAGGGGATGGAGAAATTCTGACGTCACGATCTGCAAAGGTGTGACAAGATAAACTCAATGAAATGATCTTGGCCACGAACAACTAGCTCAGTGAATAGACGAGGGGGTGAGAGCTTCATTTTGTGACTGGGTTCCGCCTCGAAGATTTGAACAAGATGCTGCGGGATCTCATCTTTACTGGGGAGAGGAACGACCTCGGCTGAAATTATTAAAGGGTTCAGTTCCCATATACTTAGCTTGAAAGCTTTTTTCGTTATTGACTTTTCTTGAAGTTGATGCTTCCCAACTTTTTTGACATTTCATTTTCCGAAAACTTGAAGCCTCTTGGAAATTTCATATCTTACAACCTGACCTTCGTCATGAGCCGATTTATGAATTGTGTGAGAGCTTCAAAAACTCTTACAAATATTCTTTCATTCGGAATCTACTCTCAAGATTGCGTAAACCTGATTACTGTGCGAAAAAAACTGAAAAAAATCTTGTTTTTTTGATCTTGTCTTTTTAATCTCCAGTTTTTTTCATCTCTGTTTTTCCATTGTAACTCCCTACCGATCGCAAGCTTCTTGACGTAAACGAGCATGTAGGCGTTGGTGAAAAGCACGGCCAGGAGCATCGTTATCTTCGCCACCGTAGTTGGCCATGACCGCTTCACGAACACTTGCTCTCGACACAACGTCGTCGTCAAATTTGCACCACTGAATATCTTTTTGAAAAAAACTGTTTTCTTAGTTCGAAAAATCAATTTTTGAAAAAAATTTATAAACTATATTTTTTTCGAATTTTTTTATTAATATATTTTTTTCAGCAAACCTTGGGGCGCGCTCCATTAATTGCCGAGTTGTGGAGGTTCGTGTTGATGAAGACGACATAGTGTCCTCCGTGGAAATCTCCAGAATGAACCAGGACTGATTGCAAGTTGTAGACGCACTCGTCAGGATGAATGCCATCCGAAAATTCGGTGAGGTCCAGTTCTTCCGGGTATTCGAATCTGGAACATTTCCTAATAGGAAAGTTAACAAGCTTTGTGATTTACCTGTCATTTATCTTCTGCTCTGTTCCTTCGTACTGGAAGCGCATGAGCTGGAAGTGGAGTACTGGAGGAAGTTCCGCGAACTTCGTGTATTTCTCCGCGGGCTGCAGTCCGTGCTCGCCAGCGTCATACTTGTTGTCACCGTCAAGGCGCTCCACGGCAGTGTAGTCCCTCAGGGAGTCGTAGACTGCAAGTATTTATTGGTTTAAATGTTTATAGGAACTGAACGGCAAATTTTGAGGATGTTTTGAGCTTGGAGATGGTTCTCGAAAAGTTGAACTGTCGTTAGATTTTTGATCTTGTTCAAAGATTTGCCCTCTTGGTTCACACTCACTTGTTTTCTTGCCCTTGATGTTCAATTGGAGATCGTAGAAGGCTTCGGTTCTCCCGCTCTCGTAGAGAACATTCAAGCAACGAATGATGGTGCGCATCTTTCCACCGATGAGCTTTTTGGGATCACGTTTTCAACCTGAGAAAACTTGAATAAAACCCGAAATCCCCTACTCTTTTATTTGAATAAAATCTTTCTATTCACTGTTTCATATTTTTTCAAAAATCTTCAAAAGTCTTTTCTGTTTGAAATTATCATTAATTTTTGATAGTTAATTGATCTTGCAAAAATCTCTTAAAAAGTTTTGTCCGCAGTTTCCTCGCTAAATCAACTGATTTATCATTTTCTCTTCACCAACCGAAGTTCCCTTCATTTTGCTTTCCAGGTTGTCAAGCAGCACTCGGCAAAGTTCCTGCACATCGTGCTGCATGAAAGTCTCCACAGTATCCCATCCAAAAGATTCCGTCAGTTTTTTGGTACCAACTGGCCTGTCAGAGTGCTGAAAAAGACGTATCAATAGAGAGGAAAATCTTTTTCCCAACTAACCAATAATTCATAAAAGACCCGTTGCATTGCAAGTCCCACGTTCTGATCAATGGGTTCGTCAGTCACCGGCATCTCGAATACCGCCTAAACGCATCAAGGTGAAACTGAAGTTATTCTCTTTGAGGTCAACGAACTTTGCGAAGAGCTGCGGTGAAATATAAAGCTTGGAGAATCGAATTCATGTAGCAAGTCGCTCCCTGGTTCTTCAGACCAATAAATCCTGCGTGCTTCTTGCTGTCCCATTGAACTCCATGAGGAGCATCGGCCGAAACGTGGATCTCGAGTTTGATTGTGTCGTCCTTGATGTAACCCAAGTCAGGGTTTGAAAGTTGCTGAAATCAGGGAATCATTTCAGAGAGGATTGGATATAAATCACCGCAAATGTCAAGAAGGACGAGTATCCCCAGTCATTCTCTTTATAGTTGAATGGATGGGTGATTTTGCGGACATGGTCTTCGCCGCCGTGCTGATTGATGACCTGAAAGCAAAATCATAGATTTTTTAGAGGAACACAAGAATTCTTTAATGCAAATCGAGTTGAATATTTGGGGTCTTATGGGCCTGGATAGGAATCTAATTTAGATCTACTAAAACCCATGTGATACCGGAACAGAGTTGTTCCTCAGAAGAGGACCTTTTGAAGCGAAACTTTACCGGTATGAAATTGACATAACTATGAGTTTTCTGACTTCAAACTAGGAAATGAGGTAATTTTCAAGAAAATGAGTACCCGAAGCGTAGCATTAGCAACATAGCTCAAGTTGTTGGTGTCGGCGTCGCCGTTGCACTGCAGGAAGAACCCGAGAGCCTTTTCTTGCTTCGGGAAGGTGTTGCGCGCGTTTTGGAGAGCTCTAGAAAAAATATAGTTGCAAATTACAAGTCGAGTTTCGCTTGCATTGGCGGAGAAGGGACGGTAAAGAACCTGGGCATCGCCAAGATCTTCCAAGGCAGTCCGCGGACGTATTGTGGCTTCGAAAGTCGCTGGCAGTTCTCCGGCGGGGCGTTCAGGAACTCGGAGAAACCGTCGATGTCCAGACGCAAGATTCCGTCGGGCGCGTAACGGTCGACTGCGGCATCGTCCATGTCGTCGTCGATTTCCATCATGATATCTGGAGCTGAGAATTTCTGGTATACTTCATTTAGGCGAGGAGAGCCGTATGATAGTATGAGATGAGTTTTTTTTTTGATTTCTACAAGCCTTGTAGATGTTTAATAAATAGGTATTCTCAGAGGTGCAATCACCAAAACTTCGAAATAGTTAACGAAAGTGAGATGTTTTGAAAAATAGTCAGGCTCTTTCGCGGTTTTATATCTTCTGATCGGAATTCTTACGACGACTAGTTGATTAATTTTTTATTAGTTCAAAATTTGTTGCACACATTTTAAGCATAAAGAGCCGTCTCAATAGCTTTTCCATTTTGTCTAAGCTCGAACAAAGAAATAATGCAAAGTTGCAACTTTTTATGCGAATTTTAAGCGGCGAAAAAAATTCACTCGACTTTTTTTTGAAAAAATCTTTTGTGTACATTTTGAAAAACAGACATTGAGCTTTAAAATTATATATGACATTCCAGTATCAAAAAATAATTTTCGTCCTAAACTCCCCGTCAAAGTTGAATCATCAAAAAACGAAATCCGTTTCTTGACAACTTAACACACGTTCTCTGAGAAAGTCGATGAACTGCAGTGAAGCGTTGGTACAAGAATTTCATGTTTTGTTTTGAGAGTTGAATTTATTATCACAGTTACTAGACATACTGTGTAAATTTTTAGGCTACTTACTGTGAGGCTCAGCCCCCTCATGGGGTTACGGTAGGTCTTTTAGTGAAATTTTCTAACTTTTTTCCTAGCAAACGGAAAATTGAAGAGAAAAAAAACTAGAGCTACCAAAATTATGAGTCTTACGGAGATTTTCGACTTCGATGTCCCTGGGATAAGCAGTTGATCGTCGGAATGTTCAACTTCCTAACGTGACTAGCCGGAGTAGGGCAAGAATGTTTCAAGAGCCATTCTTGGTCAAAGTTCAAAGGGTCCTCACAGAAAAATGTTCGAAGATGTACTTTAGAAGGGCTCAGGATAGACCAAAAAGATTTGTAAACTCCCGTTAGATCATCTAAGTAGTGAAAAAGAACATCAGTGAAGGATCGGTTCAACTGAAAGCTTTCTGATTTCACAAATTCCGAGAAACCACGAAAAAACCAAAAAAAAGTTTTTTGATGGAAAACCAAAGAAAAATGAGCTTTTTCTTTGAGAAAAATAAATTTGAAACCTGAAAAAACTCGCAAAGCTCAAAATTTTATGTATATGAACTGACTACATGAATTTTTTTAGCAGATTTCGCTGCGATCTGAAATTTTTCATTTTTTTGAGCCGGTCAACTTCAGGCGCTTTTTTTGGCCAACTGGGTCCCCTGAAGAAAAAAACTCCAAAGCAGTTGAATGTAACTTTAAACATCGTCTATTTTTTTCGAAAAATGTATAAAAAAAGATGGTACATATCAGCTCACTGAGTGGGAAAATGAAATAAAAGAAAAAACAGCCAAAAAATGAAAAACATGAAAAATCCAAAAATAAAAAAAATTAGAGTGAATAATATACTTCCAAAGTGCTAAAACTTTAAAGAACTCTGTTTTCTAGCAGAATAATACAAAAAAAGCCATGGTATTGTTTTCCGAGAAAGTTAGAAATTTTCGAAAAATTGGTCAACCGAGTTGGTCCTCTTCGGCGAGCAGACGACCAACTGCGTCCCACAAAACTTGAACATGTGCTCCTTTTTTTCTGACTAAGAAAGGCCTGGCGCTTCGATTTATGAAATAAAATTTTACTACATTTGGGGTCCCAACCCCCGAAAATGCCCAAAAAAAGGAAAAAATCAAAGATTTTCGAAAGAAAAAAATGTTTTCAATGTCAAAAAATTTTTTTTTTCTTTTAGTTTTTTAATGAAAATGCTTTGAAATACCGTTATGTGTGTTTTACAAAAAAAGTTAAGAGTCGATCCGTCTACTAGGAAAAAAGTTAGAAAATTTCACTAAAAGGCCTTCCGTAACCCAATGAGGGGGCGGAGCCTTACAGTAAGTAGCCTCAAAGTTTACACTTTATGTCTAGTAACTGTGATAATAAATTCAACTCTCAAAACAAAACATGAAATTCTTGTACTAACGGTTCATCGCTTTTCTCGGAGAACGTGTGTTAATATTACGCCATGAACAGAACAAAATTTAATATTTTTCAATTCAATTCAACTATTATCGAATTTCTGAGCGTTTTGGAAATTTTTGGGTTTGTTGCACACCATAAAGTTGTTAATCAATACTAGACCCCATTTATTGTTGCTTTTTCGTACGTGTCTCGACAAGATGAATCAAATTATTACACCTTTTTTTTCTGAAAATCAAACAAGCTGGAAACGTCGGGTCATTCCAAGGTACTTTATGTCTCGATGTTTGGCCGTAACGCTAACTTTTGCAGCATCACGTCACGAGGCTTAGGTGCGTCTTTCAATTTGGGTCTTGAGCTTTATCAAAAAATTTTGAACTTTTAAAATACTTAATCAATAATCAGATTTCAAACCGTCATTTGCGGATATGAGAGTGTTTCCCGTGTCCGTTCCAAGCAAACTGGCATTTTCGCCAAACATTCCGATATCATTTTCCTCCACAGTACCAATTTTTCCAGGGCTCAGCTCTTCGACCTGAAAATTGCCTTTTTGATCTCAACTTATGCCAGAGCTAAAGCAACCGAGAAAGTTTCAAAAGTTTCCATTTGATGAATAATGAAACCTACCCGGTTTTCAGCGCTATTCTTTTTTGTGCCTTCGTCGGGTTTCAGTCGTTTAGAATTCTGCTCTTCGAGATCCGGTTCTTGGTTTCTCCGTTGTTTCGACTTAGGCATGATAGTACAACTAAGAAATGAATTACCTGAAATAAATATGTAGTTGTATGTAGTAAATCAGCTGGAAAAAAAGTTTTACATAAAGTTATCACGATGTATAAAAACCAGAAATGCAGAAAGAAGTTTAACCTCAAAAAAATGAAAGAAAATCTGCTGTTTACAATTATTGACCGTGTAAAATTACTAAGTTCACATTTTCAGTTAGAACTCGATCTTTACAAATAAAAAAATAAACAGAATACAAAAAAATTTGAAAGTTTTTCAGAAAAAAAATTTTAAGAGCTTTTTCCCTACGTTCAGTGCCCCTTTTCAAGAAAAAAAATTCACAGCTCAAACTTAAGGCTTTTTGATAAAAAAAAAAGTGGAAACTCGACTCTCAACCTTAAATCCATAAGACAAGACTTCAAAGCAGTTCAAATTTAGAATAAATTGGGAAACGGTTTTTTTCATGGAGAGGATGGACGACGGATAAACGAATAAGAAAAAGTAAGCAAGTAGAAAGAAGAAAACTGAATGATATTCTTTCTAGGAAATACGTCCCGTGGACGTCTCCCGCTCAAAAACGTGTTCAATGTCAAGGCGCGACGATAATTGCTGTTTAAGGTCAACGGTGCTCCTTTAAAATGACCCACATTAGCCGCACTTTTTAAGTGTACGCGGGTGATCTCTGAAATAATATCGAGCTTGTTAATGTTGACCTCAACAATGCACTGGGATTGAAAACCTTTCTACAGAGTATCCGTAGAAAAATTTGAATCGTTTCTCAAACTCTCAAAAACTGCAAACGTGCGCTAGCAACCACAACGGAAGACTCTTTAAAGGGCTCCCAGAGATACTTGTAACAAGTTTTTGGAAAATGTTAAACTGTTGAATAGAGAATCTTCTATTTTTTTTATAAAAATCACGTTTCTTTCCTAGAGCCTAATTGTTTGAATTTGTGTACTGGGTATGTTTTTTTTCAAGTTTTAATGCACTATATGAATGGTTACAAAGTCCAGAGATACCTTGAAGGTGATGAAATAAAAAAATAAAAAAACTTTAGATTTTTTTACAGAATACCTTTTTGATTTCATCGGATGAGTTTCCAAAAAATGAAAATAGCTGAAAATGCTTTTTTGACTTATTTTTTACCGGAAAAACCTTTCATCGGTTAAATATTATGTTTTCATTACCTTGCTGTTTTCGTATATAATTTTTTTAATTTTGTGTACACAGCAAATTCCCGGCGAGTATATTTTTGCCGGAAAAAAACAGGATACTCTGCATTTTCGGACGGCCTGCAAAAGAGACGAGGATGACTGACGGAAGCGCTGAGCCAAGCCAAGACGACCTTAAACCAATCGAAAAATTTGAAACACAAAAATCCATGGTTATATATATGTTTATTTCATTCACAAGGAGAAATAGTCATGAAAAATTGAGAGATGGCTAAAAAAAACTGAGGTGAATGAAAAAAGATAAAACCCGATATTTACAGCACCCCAACAAGTGCAGGAACCGGTACTAGTTATACACGTAAATTTGAGAGATGAAGTAAAGAAATTTCCTAAAGGAGTCTGGCCGGCACGTTCGAGTACAATTCTCTGCTGAGCGAGTTGAGGAGCCTTCTAAAGCGGGTCGGCCAAATGTTGAGGACATATCTAGAGCAGAGTCGATTCCAAATTGGAATGACTGAGCTAAAGAAGTTCGAAAAAGGAGAACCCGTCTGAACAAGCCGAAGAGGCTGTCGAGGCAAATGAGTTCTTCTGAAGTATTTTTCTGCGCTAAGAAAATGATAGATGCCCAAGACAATTTTTTGGAGTGTTAGCAATGAAGCGATTGTTCTTCTACGGAAAACATGCACTGATTCAAGCATCTCCAGACGATCAGAATACGAAGAAAAATTGGTGTACTTCTGATGAAGACTTCTCTTGTGAACCATCGGCAGGGTTTTTCAAGTAGAACAGTCCGCTGTGAATTAGTTGGCGGACAGAAACTATCAGAGGATTTTTTGTTTTCATGTTTACTTATTCAATTTGTTTTCGTTTTATTTGGACAACTCCTCAGATGTTCACGACGGTAAAAGTGAAAATGTATGTCTTACCGCATGGTACTGTAGATGTAAGGACTCTTTTTTTGAAATTTGAAAAGTGGAAACATGAAACGGCTGTGCGTCGTACATATTCAAACGTCTGTACATTTTCTTTTCAATGAAGTTTTTCCTGTATTTTCCCATGATTCCCCGTTTTTATGAAGGTAAACAATTTCGAAGAAAAAAAAATTTATTCTTCTTAAAAGTTGTCTAGGCAGATGAGAGCTTTGCTGAATGTACACATAGAAAACTTTTCAATCTCATAATTTTTATTTTGTTTCCACAGACTCCTTCTGATTATTTAATCCTTTCCAACGCATCATTTTTCATTGAGTATCTTTTAAAGCAGCTGAAAACCCAAATGATTGCTTTATTTCTTGAAACATTTACAGTAATTCATTTGAGAATCATCGTTAAAAGCAAGCATCGTTAAAACGAAAACAAATCGAATAAGTGCGATGAAACGAGAAAGAGCTCAATAAATAGAAGAAGACGTTAATTCGAGCAATTAGCAACAGTGACTCGAAAACAAAAATGAACAAAATATATATAATAAAAAAATTTACGGCTTCACAGGCCGAATAAAAAGAAGCCGATTGTGAGAACAGCCGTCGATGGTATCTTTAACCGGTAATGTTGCTAAAAATAAAGATGAGAAATTTACAACTGTGCGGTTTAAAGAAAAATGGAGGAACATGAAAACAAAGAATCCTAGCGGATCGAAGTCGAGAGCCATGTGTGAAAAACGTGACATAGATACAGTAATGAACGAGAAGAGCAATATTGCAATGGAAAAAAGCTTGTGTGACCCATATTTGGCAGCTAATTATGGATACGAATAGCCTTCTCGGCGGCATGAGCATTTCGGGAGCCTCGCTTGTTGACATGTTCAAGTCCGAGGTACGGGATGGCGGCGACGGCTACCATGGGGGACCTTCCTGGCTGATAGCCGAGTTCGGCCAGGTTGACCAGACCGTCGGAGTTCATGTCCAGGTAGCGAACCACGCGAGCCTGAGCCACCAGGGCAAACTTGTATTTCTCGAATTCCCTTTCAGGAACGTCGAGAACTTCGCGAAGTCGGTCACGGACGGACGTCAGAGGCTCCTCGTTGGAAACCTGAAAACGCTTTTTTTCATATTTTCGATTCTCATTTGAGTAAACAGACCTTGAACAAGAAAGGCACGCCAAACATCTTGTTAGGGTCGCGGTCGTAGTGAGACACTGGAGCCAGGTATTCGTTTGGTCCAACAACCAGCTGGTCTCGAGGAACTTCCTCGACGCGAACCTGAAACCGATGAGATGAAACGAACGTTATCTCTTAAGCTTATTTTAGCCAATAACAACCCCACTTTAGACTTCCTGTCAATAATATCTTTGATCTTCAACACATACCGTGTACATAGAAGAGTTGAGCAGCTTCTGATGGACTTCATCAGCCGAGGCGTCCTCGCTGAAGAGGTTGAAAACTCGGAGGGAAGAACTGCTCTGGCCGACGTACAGCAGGCGTAACTTCCCGGTTCCATTGTGAGAGAAGTGGAAGTCCCGACGAGCCTCCTCCAAGATGTGGTAAACCTATAGGAAACTCATGACTTTGATCATTTTTTTTATCGAATACCCTGCCGCCTCGTTCCGGCCAGACAGTCATCTCTGAGATGTTCATTCTCTCATCCATCGCCTGGATTTTCAGCTGCTTCCTGCGATCGATTTCCTCCAGGTTGAATGGCAGGAGAGCGTAATAGATGCGGTACCTGAAAGTCAATTATTTGTTTTTATTATCTTCGAAATATGTACCGCTTCATCTTGCGAGGATCATGGAAGTTCTGGCCATGGAGATCAAGGAAATGCCGAATCGTGTAACCAACAAGCTGAAATCCGGCGTTTTCTATTGAAACTTGTTTCGATTCTATTACTCGATATTGTTCCAGAGTAACATATCTCTGGTTGGTACGATCCCCGTATCCACCGTGGAAAATCATAATTCTGTTAGAATCACATCTGATCTCGGAACCAATGAAGTCGGCAAGCGCACGAACCGGCCACGTCTGGAATTTGACGATTGGTTCTCATTCTTTTTTTCAAGTGTTGATACTCACCAGTTTGATGGTGCTGATGATATGCTCAGCGGGCTCATGGAAGTTGCTGACGCCATCGTTGTTCATCTCGATGTCGACCGGAATCGTGTCGTAGACATTTTGCAGGAACGTCTGAAATGATTGATTCAAATCAGCTAATTTTGAAAATAAATTGAAGCAGAAATTTCCAGAAAAACATATAAAATTCCAGAATTGAAACACAAAAGAACAGATTTCTGGATGCTGTATGCGAGAGTTAGTTCGTAATTTACCTTTCTCTACCTCACATATCCTTAAACAGAACTTTTTTTGTCTCGTGAATACTTCTCTGATTATTGATAGCTTTTGAAGTTTGATGATCTACCTTGGCGTTGTCCTTCGAGTTGGTCTTCTCCCCGTCCTCAATGATGATGATCAAACCGTCTTTGAACTCGTGGAGGCAAGACTCGGCACACAAGGCGATATCTTCATGTTCGATGAACCGAATGTAGTCAACCGTCACTTCCTGTAAATCATTATCTCAGTTTGTTACTTATTTTTTTATTCCAAAACCTCATAATAATGAAGCAGAGTCTTTGTGGACCATCCAGCCATTTTGCAGAAATGGTCGTGATAGTCACAAATTGTCTTGCGATACTTGAGGACGGTGTGACCGAGGTTGAAGATCTTCTTACGATCGAAATCGTACGCCTTGAGGAAGACAAGAATGTCATCTGAACAATCATTCTCTCTGGATGTTTCAGATACTCTGAAGACTCACTAGCATCGTCGTACGGCTTGTTGTTGTTTGGCATAAGAGGGTACTCGATGTAGACAATGTGGCGATCCGTTTCGAAGACACTTTCAATCGTCTTTTCCGCCTCTTGAATGTTGAGCAGCTAAAACTCGAATAAGATCTGGAGTTTCTTGTTGATAACTAACGACGTTGGGACGGCACTGAGTGACTACGGCGTCGATGTCACTACGCTTCACTGGCGTTTCGGTAAACTTCCAAACGCGGAAATTGAGTTCCTCATTTCTTGCCTGCATCTGGAAGTTTTCCGCATATAAAAATCGAGGAAAAGTTGTTCACCAGTTGAGGCTCGAAGAAAAGACGTTTGCGCAGTTGCTTGTAGAACTCAGGGATCAGCATCGATTTGCTGAACTTCTCACGAGGAGCTCGTTCTTCTATCACTTTAGGCTCTACCAACTCGAAGTTCGAATTGAGCTGGAGCAATTCCGGTGTCACAATCTGCAATAGGATGATAGAATAGTTTGGATGATGATTTTTCAGTCCCATACCGAGAGCTCGGTGAAAAGATGGGCCTCCATCTTTTCCCGCTTGCGACGGTTTTCGTCATTTTTCTCTGTCTCGAAGATTTGAACAAGATGCTGCGGGATCTCATCTTTACTGGGGAGAGGAACGACTTCGGCTGAAATTATTAAAGGGTTCAGTTCCCATATACATAGCTTGAAAGCTTTTTTTGTTATTGACTTTTCTTGAAGTTGATGCTTCACAACTTTTTTTGACATTTAATTTTCGAAAACTTGAAACCTCTTGGAAATTTCATATCTTACAACCTGACCTTCGTCATGAGCCGATTTATGAATTGTGTGAGAGCTTCAAAAACTCTTACAAATATTCTTTCATTCGGAATCTACTCTCAAGATTGCGTAAACCTGATTACTGTGCGAAAAACTGAAAAATCTTGTTTTTTGATCTTGTCTTTTTTAATCTCCGGGTGTTCATCTCTGTTTTCCATTGTAACTCCCTACCGATCGCAAGCTTCTTGACGTAAACGAGCATATAGGCGTTGGTGAAAGCACGGCCAGGAGCATCGTTATCTTCGCCACCGTAGTTGGCCATGACCGCTTCACGAACACTTGCTCTCGACACAACGTCGTCGTCAAATTTGCACCACTGAATATCTTTTTTTTTTTTTGAAAAAACTGTTTTCTTAGTTCGAAAATCAATTTTGAAAAATTTATAAACTATATTTTTCGAATTTTTTTTTATTAATATATTTTTTTCAGCAAACCTTGGGGCGCGCTCCATTAATTGCCGAGTTGTGGAGGTTCGTGTTGATGAAGACGACATAGTGTCCTCCGTGGAAATCTCCAGAATGAACCAGGACTGATTGCAAGTTGTAGACGCACTCGTCAGGATGAATGCCATCCGAAAATTCGGTGAGGTCCAGTTCTTCCGGGTATTCGAATCTGGAACATTTCCTAATAGGAAAGTTAACAAGCTTTGTGATTTACCTGTCATTTATCTTCTGCTCTGTTCCTTCGTACTGGAAGCGCATGAGCTGGAAGTGGAGTACTGGAGGAAGTTCCGCGAACTTCGTGTATTTCTCCGCGGGCTGCAGTCCGTGCTCGCCAGCGTCATACTTGTTGTCACCGTCAAGGCGCTCCACGGCAGTGTAGTCCCTCAGGGAGTCGTAGACTGCAAGTATTTATTGGTTTAAATGTTTATAGGAACTGAACGGCAAATTTTGAGGATGTTTTCAGCTTGGAGATGGTTCCCGAAAAGTTGAACTGTCGTTAGATTTTTGATCTTGTTCAAAGATTTGCCCTCTTGGTTCACACTCACTTGTTTTCTTGCCCTTGATGTTCAATTGGAGATCGTAGAAGGCTTCGGTTCTCCCGCTCTCGTAGAGAACATTCAAGCAACGAATGATGGTGCGCATCTTTCCACCGATGAGCTTTGGGATCACGTTTTCAACCTGAGAAAACTTGAATAAAACCCGAAATCCCCTACTCTTTTATTTGAATAAAATCTTTCTATTCACTGTTTCATATTTTTTCAAAAATCTTCAAAAGTCTTTTCTGTTTGAAATTATCATTAATTTTTGATAGTTAATTGATCTTGATTTTCTCTTCACCAACCGAAGTTCCCTTCATTTTGCTTTCCAGGTTGTCAAGCAGCACTCGGCAAAGTTCCTGCACATCGTGCTGCATGAAAGTCTCCACAGTATCCCATCCAAAAGATTTCGTCAGTTTTTTGGTACCAACTGGCCTGTCAGAGTGCTGAAAAAGACGTATCAATAGAGAGGAAAATCTTTTTCCCAACTAACCAATAATTCATAAAAGACCCGTTGCATTGCAAGTCCCACGTTCTGATCAATGGGTTCGTCAGTCACCGGCATCTCGAATACCGCCTAAACGCATCAAGGTGAAACTGAAGTTATTCTCTTTGATGTCAACGAACTTTGCGAAGAGCTGCGGTGAAATATAAAGCTTGGAGAATCGAATTCATGTAGCAAGTCGCTCCCTGGTTCTTCAGACCAATAAATCCCGCGTGCTTCTTGCTGTCCCATTGAACTCCATGAGGAGCATCGGCCGAAACGTGGATCTCGAGTTTGATTGTGTCGTCCTTGATGTAACCCAAGTCAGGGTTTGAAAGTTGCTGAAATCAGGGAATCATTTCAGAGAGGATTGGATATAAATCACCGCAAATGTCAAGAAGGACGAGTATCCCCAGTCATTCTCTTTATAGTTGAATGGATGGGTGATTTTGCGGACATGGTCTTCGCCGCCGTGCTGATTGATGACCTGAAAGCAAAATCATAGATTTTTTAGAGGAACACAAGAATTCTTTAATGCAGATCGAGTTGAATATTTGGGGTCTTATCGGCCTGGATAGGAATAATTGGACATCTAATTTAGATCTACTAACCCATGTGATACCGAAACAGAGTTGTTCCTCAGAAGAGGACCTTTTGAAGCGACACTTTACTAATAGGAAATAGACATAACTATGAGTTTTCTGACTTCAAATTAAGAAACAAAGTAATTTCTAAGAAAGTGAGTACCCGAAGCGTAGCATTAGCAACACAGCTCCAGTTGTTGGTGTCGGCGTCGCCGTTGCACTGCAGGAAGAACCCGAGAGCCTTTTCTTGCTTCGGGAAGGTGTTGCGCGCGTTTTGGAGAGCTCTAGAAAAAATATAGTTGCAAATTACAAGTCGAGTTTCGCTTGCATTGGCGGAGAAGGGACGGTAAAGAACCTGGGCATCGCCAAGATCTTCCAAGGCAGTCCGCGGACGTATTGTGGCTTCGAAAGTCGCTGGCAGTTCTCCGGCGGGGCGTTCAGGAACTCGGAGAAACCGTCGATGTCCAGACGCAAGATTCCGTCGGGCGCGTAACGGTCGACTGCGGCATCGTCCATGTCGTCGTCGATTTCCATCATGATATCTGGAGCTGAAAATTGCCGGTATACTTCATAATTTTCATGGCCGCTAGTGAGATGTTATTACTATTTGAACTGATCGTACCAAATTTAGTTTGAGAGACCTTTTTTCATTTAAACTAAGAGTAAGGGCAAAATCTTTCAATTTTTAGAAATTCTAAATTGATAAAAATCCATATGTATTCCACTAATTTTTTTCTATTGAGTTTAGAGTTTCATTTTGAAGATTTCTCTTTTTGCCTTTTTTTCGATCCCTGTGCTCTCTACCTGTATTTCTAGACGGGGGCCGTTGATTTTCGTCCTGCTGGATGTCCATCGGCTCGCTGGGAATCGTGTTCTCATTGTTGAAGTTGTAAGAGCCGTGGTTAACGTTGTCACGTTCTCCGGCTGCACACGTCTTATGAGCTGCCTTTTTCGACAGCTTAGTAGAATCGTAACGGCGCGAGTGTTCGCCGTCTCGGAACCTGGCTCTGCTTTGACGCTCAGCCTTCGGATTGACCGCAAGGCTATCAGCAGAAATGGCCTGAAAACGAGAATACTTACAGCAATTTACCACTAATCGCTCACCAAGTTTCTGGACCTCGACGCATTTGAATTGTAAAGGGAGATGGCCTTTTCAAGTTCCTCAGGAGTTTTCGTCACGCAGGTAGGCACATACTCCTCATTAGAAGGGTCAGAAAAAGCCGAATCGAGCTAAAAAAAAAAGCATTAGCTCAGTTTCTTGTAAAACCACTAACCAAATTTTGTCTAGGATGCTTTTTTTCTCTGAAAATTTGTTCACCATCCATTAGAGTTGTAGTAGTTGATGAAACGTTTTGTGAGTCTTCTGAAAAGTTCAAATGAGAAATTGATTTCAATTTTTTTCTTATGAGCGAAAGATGAATATTACTTACCGTCGTTTGCTTTGGTCACTTCAGATTTTTCAAACGGAGTGAAGGCACTCTGGTTTTCAGAGTAGAGGCAGCCGTTCACGTAGGTTGACTCCTCGCTTCTTGGGCTCATCACAGGAGTGACACTCTGGCTGTTTCCTGGCGTGTAACTCTGGCTCATGTCCGAATCGTAGCCTTTTCCCTCGTATTCCGCGGTTGTCAGGTCATTTTCAGAAAAATCATTATCCTCCGTATTGAACTTTGTCACAATTCTCAAAGTTGAGTTGACATCGGGATACTGAAAAAAAAAATGAGATTGAAACATTTAAAAATTGATTTCACCGTTGCAACTGGTCTACTGAGTAGAGGCTTCCGACCATTGCTGTTCACCTCGTTATTAATCTTAATGGCGAGTTCCTGAAATAATGTTTACTTGAACTCAAATGTTCAACAGAAGACAAGAAAAGGTACCTCATCAAAATATCCTGAAGGCTGGATATTTATCTCAGCGAATTGCTCAACTGGCGCCCCGTGGAAGTCGGCTCCTCTATACTTGCCGTTGATTTGCGCCTGCAGTTGACGAGCCAAAACCTGTAATCGTCATCATAGAAATTTAATTCGTGAAAGTACTACCTCATCGCTTAATATTTGCCGAGTAGTAGGATCCATTTGGTCCTCATCGAGCTCTGCAGCTGGCTGAGGATCATCTGGCATTTCACTGACGACGTTTTCCATTGGAATCACGTTCATTGGCTCAAGAGAATCGGCCACGATTTCCTGGTCGACCATTTCGTAAAAAGTCCCGTCTTCATTGGGGCTTCTCTCAGTCAGTGTCGTGTTTCCGTCGACGTTGCCGACCGACAAATCCAAGGCCGTTTCTGAGTCAGCACCGAGAGAAGCTTCGTTTTGGGACTCTTCTTGATGTTCCGTTGCCAGAGACGGAATCTGAAAATCGGACATTAAGAGACTGGAAATTCGAAAATAAGCTGTATACCATCAGATCACTTTTGATCTTGGCCATATCTTCATTTGTCACAACGGAATGAGTCCGACTTTCTGATACGGAAGAAACCTGAAAGTTTACAACTTCAGATACAGGTAAGAATGGTAAAACTAAACCTCGACAACATCGAGTCTAGCTCTTTGAAAGTTGGACATGTTTCCTGATCGACGAACTCTCGCAATAGTTCTGTTTTCAGCGTTCCAATTAACACTCACCGAGAGTGCGAATTCCTAAGAAAAAAAGTAGATTATATCAACAAAAAAGGTCACTAACGTGATCTTTTTGTATCTGTTGAGCCTCTCTCCATTTACTTGGGTCAGTTGCATCATTTATGAACCCGTTCCCAAACGAAACGGTCTGAAAGGATGATGTCTTTACAATAACAGAATTTCCACTCACCGCGTTTTTCTGCTTCTCATTAATATCCGGCTTGGGTCTTTTGGCGAGAGGAGAAACCAAATTTGTTTCGTTTCGTTCGGTCTCATTGACCGGCAGGACTTCCGCGGGCTCTTCTGTTTCACACATATCGGGCTCCGAGTTTATTTCCTTCAATTGCACAAATTTTGAAAGAAAAAAGAGAAAACAAAACAGAATATTTTTATCCCCCGTCAAAAAAAAAATTAAGTTTTTGTGATATTCTGATTTTTCACTTATTATAAAAACATTGGAAGTTGTAAAAACCTAGCAATTTCCAAATTTATTGTGCAACCAAATAAAAAAACCTATTATATTCATTAAACACCTTAAGTAAGTTAAAAATATTTTCGCTTGGTTATATAAGGTTTACTTTTCGATGAACACCAGTGAACACTTTGATCACAATCAAAAAACTAAAGAGCCACCCAAAAAATCACCAAAAAACAATTTTGATGTAAAGAGAGTTGTGGCCAAAAAATGAGTCCTGCGCGGGAAAGGTGTGCGATAGAGCGCACAAGCCAGAGTGACCCCTTAAGTAGCGTCAGCTCTTTGAAGGGATTTCTATAAACGCTCGCAGTTTTTTATTACCAAAGTCCGAGTGCAGATATTCAGAAAACTTTCAGAAAATCAAAAATTTGTCGTGATTCAAACTTCTCCAAAAATTTTACGCGGAAACATTTCATCTGTTTTTGACCTTTAGCTGCAAAAATTTTATAGAGTCACTTTCAATGTTGAAGTTTGTAGCAATTTTAAGGCACTTAAAAAGAACGTAATCATATTAAAAAGTAACCAGCAAACTATGTTTTTTCCTAAATTTGATCTTCTGAAAAAAGCTTTCAATGAAATTTATTTTTGTGAACGTTTTTCCAAACAGATGGGTAAAAAAAGTTTTAATTGTTATTGTTTATCCCATTTTCGAAAAAAAAAAGCGTACCAAAGGCCCAACGGTAGTAGTTTCCTCGTCAGAAAGAGGTCTTTTCCTGGCTTCATTTTTGAGGAAGTACGGCCGCATCGGTCATTTCAATTTTTCGGATCATCCTCTTTGCAGGCTGCATGGACTTCTTTTTTTCCTCTGTGCGTTTCTGGAAATAAGCGGTTTAATTTTTAAAAAAATCAAGATTTAGTTTACTTCTGCGCCTGCATTATCTGTTGAGTCGGCCCTTTTTTTCGGCATCCTCCTGCAAAAAAAGTTTTGTAAAAAAATGAAAAAAATTTTTTTGAGTTTTTTTGTTTGATAATCATTCTCTTGAGGCTACTTTGTAGTTATATTCTAATTGGATATATATATATATATATATAAGTGATAAAGTAATGTCGATCTTTTTGAAGTTTTTTTCATACATTGGTTCTGAGTATAAAACTATTTCCAAGAATCAAAATTTTGAATTCACAAAAAAACTCACAAGGGAAATCTGCTCGGCTGGTCGCACGACTTCCATCATATTGACTGCGTCTTTTTTCTCAGCCTCCGTCGATTGCTCGGGCTCCTTAACAATTAATCAGTCGTGTTGTAATCCCGTGCCCTTTGTACTTACAGCTCCGGAGTTCGCTGGAGAACCCGCAGCTTCGCTTTTCTCCTGCTGTACTTTATCGATGAAACAGACCGTCTGCTCACTTTCTCTGGAAATTTCGCAATATTTCTCCTGAGATAAGCAGAATAATCATAAAGAACTTATGGAACGAAGGAGAACTGATTTTGAATTGAAAAAAAGTTTAAAAATAATCAATTTTAAGCAGATTGGCTTCTAAAAAAAGCCAACGGAACAAGAAATTTTTATAATTAAAAACAAAGAAGCGTTTTTTTGAATTTTTCTGTTTGAAGATTTGCGACATCTTTTTCTTAATGCAGCTTGATTGTAAAAAAATAACAAACTTTTTAAATTTTGAATCTCCCATAACATTTCATTAAACTAGTCGATTTCATTAAGAATTTTTATGAACGAAAATTCAAAAACTAAACGTATCAGATTTATGATAAGAATTAACAAAAACGTACAGGTTTGAAAACAAAGCTGTTTTTGGTTTTGATTCCGACGAAGAAGGAAGAGTCGGTATTGCAGAACTCTGAAACCGATGGCAATTGAAAAGATGATGATCGTTTTGAATGTCAATAATCGAACAAAAACAAATGAGGCGAGGTGAAAATAAACACGAACGGTGTTCGGAGAGTCGAGCACAGAAGGTCCCTCTGCGTCCATGTTGTTTTCGCGGCGAGCTGCGTCTGCAGCGCATTCTTTCCCTGCGTCTCTCATTGCCTTTCCCGCAATCGATGAGCCAAGTTCACGATTTTCCTAAAGTTGGGTCAATTAATATTGACCTAGTTTTTTGTTGAAGTGATCCATCCAGTCGACCGCGATATTAACAATTCAAATAAACAAGTTTACATGCGAGTTTCAAAGAAAAAACCGACTTTTTCAACAATACGGGTCTTGCAACGAAGCTCCGAGGAGTACGATATTTGCCGGCCCCTGTGAGAATGTGCTGTTACCCGTGACTACGTTCAACTCAGCCGAGCCGGAGAAATAACAATCTATCAAACTCTCTGCACGAGGACATTTTACTCTTTTTTTCTTATCTTTTTAATCAATATGGTAATTAGTGGCCTTATTCTATAAGTGGAAGTGTGAGCGCCAGAAAACGGATTTATGAGATTTTTTTGTCTAAAGAAGATTTAACTTTTGATATATAGTTTTTTTCAAACAAAAATGTTTTCGATGCTTTTAGAAGTTTCATGTAGCTGATAATTATTGGCAAAAAAACCGGTTTTTTTGGATTGCAAAAAAATGGAAATAAATCGAGAAAAATTTTTCCTGTGTTCGAAATTTTGCTAAAGAGGAAGGTAATTTCACGTTCCGGCTTAAAAAAACATTTTATGTAACTTAAAAAAATGACTCATCTTTTTGATAGTCTGGATAAAGGTTTCTATTGTCACAATTACGCGCAATCTTTCATGTCCGGGAAAAAGATTTTAAAAATTGTGTTTCAAAAGTGAAAACGCTTGACAAACTATGAATGGGATTTTGAAGTACATTTTTTGTAGCTAAAAGCTTGCACAAACTGCGATGGGGAATATGCACCTAAAGATTGAAGAAACTTCTCAGAAAATTCTAACCAAAAATCAAATTGACGTCCTTTGTAAGAAGTTCATGATTTTCTCATTAAACATGTGGTCTCCGATTCTCAAAAAATACAAAAAGGTGTGACAAAGATATTCTTGAACTTTGTATATTTCTTCTAGAGATAAGCCACCGAGTTGCAGATGTCGATCATTTTCCAGAAGTTTTGGATTGGATCATCCTGCCATTGTCCTATCAGCAAATGCTTCAAGTGGAGCCGCAAAAACTATACACAAAATCAAAAAAAAACTCCAAATGTTGAGTTTTACCTAATGTTTAATTATTTTTTTCAACTAGAGATGATGAAAAAAATCCGATTTCCTGTACCTTAGTTGACTGTAAAATTTAAGAATAAAAAAAGAATTATGAGGATAAAATTTTGAAATCATTGAAGTTGAGAAAAAAATATTGGAATAAACGGAATAATGAACTGATCGAAATCTTAAAAAAATGCTAGAAAAAGAAGTGTTTCTAGCTTTTTATAAAGCTCGAGGAGTAATTTCATTAAATTTTTTTCATTCCTTTCAAAACTATCATTCGTATCCTGTTTCACACGTTTTTCGGAAACCGTGGAGAATTTAAACACTTTTTCCTTTCTTTCCAAGAACATTGTTCGAGCAACCGCTAATCTTTATATAATGTCCAAAAAAATCTCTGTTTCGAAATTTATTTATGTTATTGACAAAAAAATAAAAATTCATTAATGAGAGTTATGTACTTCGTTGATTGAATTTCTGAACTTTTCATTGATTATCCGGAAACTCGACGTTTTCTTGAGTGTTGCCGGTTGTAATCAGAATGTGAGGTTGGATAGATGCTTTTTTCTCAAAGAACAGCTGCGTTGTACAGAAAAAAAGAAGATCGAACGATCTGATAATCACGCTTCGATTCGCGAACGAAAGCTAGACCACTGACACCAATGAAAAAAACACTGCTAAGAGGTGATCTATAGCAGGGATGAGCTATAGCAAAGGATGAGATCTGTGTATTCTCAACTTACAGTGGGGCTTTTGATTGAGATGAAAATTTCTGAACTGAGCCTTTGTCGGCGATTCTCAAAAATTATTCAGAAACCGAGAAAAAACAGAAAAAAACTGAATCGCACAAACAGTCAGAGAAAAATGGGTTGAGAACATTTTTTTTTCTGGACTAATTAGGGCTCGGCGACGCGTGTCAAGTTGAAACTTCTATGGCTTATGGTCCTAGGTAAGACCTCTTCGGAACAAGAAAGATTATCTGTTGAACCACAAAGACTCCTGGTTCACCTCACAAAGTTTCCTGGTTAAGCGCAATAATTTCATTCAAAGAAAAGGGAAAAAGAAGCAAAAATAAAAGTGAATACTGATCTTAAGAAAAGATGCGAAAAATTGAAAAAGAAAAAAAATCTGTCGCCGAAAGTAGAGCAAGTTGAAATTTGGTCCAGCTTCAGTAATAACTTAATGTGAAACATAAATTTTGAGTTTACAAAATTTATTTTTCTGATGAGTTAAAAAAAAGGCCTTTTTTCCCGACTTTAAAGGCAACGGTGGCGGAAAAAGGCGAGATGCGTAGCGTGTGCGTACGCGGCTTTTGGCACGAGTTAAACGCAACCGCCAGCGGCTATTTGGAGAGCTCGTTTATCGCTCTTTTCTTTCTCGTTTTTTTATTGATTTCTTTTTCAATTTTGGATTGAAAAGTAGTAGAAGAGATACAGAAAGAGAGATGGCTGAGCTGTTTGAAACGCGTGCGCACACGCTACGCGTTCCGCACCCTTCTGCATCTCTCTCTCCTTTCAAGTCGGATGGATCGACTATACAGTAGTTTTTTTATTATTCAATAAATCTGAGGCTCATTCTAAAAAAATAATAATTTTAATCTAAGAGACAACCAGAGAATTGGAGAACTACTGATGAATCTTATTTTGACAGAAATTTGGCATAATTTGATACTCCGTAATTTCTAGATATTAAAAATCCTTGTCGATTCCAAAAAAATTTTTACAGAAATGATTGATTTTTCCGTTTTTGTTTGATCAATGATGGTTTCTAAATTAGGATAGTGATGTAACTGAAGCTCTCAGAATAAAAAAAAATTGAATTGCATGTCAAAAGTTAAACCCTCTTTAAACCCCCTTTTAAAAAAACGAAAAATTTATTCGAAACGAGGTTTTTTGCAAGTTGAACTGCAATTTAAAAGGGGCGCGCCGTAGTGCAACAGCTTGTGTGACTGTCTACGGTCCACAGGATCACAAGTTCGATCCGCGCCTCGACCCAGCCAAGGCGTTTAAGAAATAATGGTAGTAAGAAACCACGACTTCGAAATCGCCAGCCGTCCCACACAAGGACGAATATGTCACTAGAGCCAGTCCACTGATAAAGAAATATCAGGATAGGACCTCGGCTAATCGACTTAGGGCGCCGACGCCGCTCAAGCGGTACAATGACGTAAGAAGAAGAAGAAACTGCAAGTTGAACTACAATAGTTGGCGTTGTCCGTACTAGTAGTGACAATATTTTTTAGAAGCTTTCTGATAAAAGCGCAAGGATTTGATAAAAAGGATGGAGAAGGCTTTTAGTAAAACTCTTATTTATTTATTTTTGATTATTGTTAAGGTTCCAAACTCATTCCTCTGTTTGAGTCCAAATGAGCAATAAATAGCAGAATGAACACGAAAAATGAAAAAAAGGAGCTAAAAACTGAATTATTTCGAACTAATAACTGGATCAGCTACCGATCGAACCCCCATCGGAGCTTTCTAGAGTTCCCAAGAAGACTGCATTTACTGGAATTTTGCGTCTTCGCTTATTTCAAACCGAATCCCATTATGGAGACCATGATGTGGGAATTTCGTTGTTGCGCAATGTCTCTATTGTTCGGCGTGTAAGAAATAGGCTCAGCTATGAGAACCTGCGCTCGCCATGCCCATCGTAAACCATCTTTTCGGCAAAAATGTCTTCGAATTCGACGATGTTATTCGCTAAAGATTCATAGTACAGACTGGTACAATTCAAATGCTTTGTATTGTGCTTGAAACGTTATTTTAGATACCGCTATCTCTAGACAAAAAAGTAACAAGACTTTGAATGTTTTTTATTCTTAAAATCAAGTTCAGAATCATCAAGATGATATTGAAAATTTTCCCAAGCCAGCGGTAAATGATTCATTTTTTGCTCGAATTATAAGTGAGAAAGGTCAAAAATATGGAAACAAGATCATAATCATTTCAGTTAGTTTTACGCGCTAACAATATTTTGGAAAAAAAAAAACTTTTAATTACTTCTACGCTTCCGCTGATGAGGTACTCCTATAAAAAAAGTCCTCCGAGAACCCTTTTTCTTCGACGGAAACCTATTTTTCAAACTTTTTGAACATTCTCGTTGCGAACATGACTAAACCCCATTAACATCGGGAAACAACGAGCGATGACTTATAGAATAATGGGATAGTGCCGGTGCACGAACGCCTGGATAAAGGCCAGCGGCGTGACTTCTGAGTGAGTAAGCGCGTCTTTCGCGTGTCGCGTCGAGGCCAAGCTTGTGATTCCGAACAGAAAGAGACTATAGTCTATTCGAAACGGCAAAAAAATGAACCTTACTTCTGCTGTAATCAAAGTTAAAAATTGTGTTTGGCTGTGGGATTTTTTTGAATGAAGGCAGTTTTTTTAAATAAAACAATGAGGCTCCTTTTAGTTTGAATTTTTTTTCAAGAATTTTCTCAAAAACTCATCAGTTAGTTGGTAGAATTAACCGCGCACTTTTAGACTCAGAGATTGCGTTTTAAAAACTCTTCAAAGTACTTGAACGTCAGCTAAACGTAAAAGCACGCATCTTTTGACAATCATAGCTCCCAAATTGAAAATTTGCATATTCTGAACTCTGATAGATTTTTCATCAAGTTCACTAAAAAGCGTTTCAGCAAATCTAAAATTGCACTCTCACAGCTTTTCTAAGTAACTTCTAGTGACAGGCTGGAAAATTTTGAAAAATCAGTTGGCAATTATGAACAGTTCCGATCGATGTTTGAGCGATGCCGGTGATGAAAAAGTTATTGAAACGTCTGAATGACATAAAATTCTGTTAAATCCAAATTATAGGCCTAAGAGCTGATGACTATTAGACGTAGTACCGTATTACCAACTTCAAACTTTAACGGTAAAAAAAAAGTTTGCCTACAGGCGCTTTGCAAATTTCATTCACATGCCACTAAAATAACGATATAGAAGATTTCTAGAAAGTTTTTTTAACGCTGCGTAAAAAAAATTGAAATGTCGAAGATATGACTCGCCCTTTTATTTGGTCTGTGAACTTACCAAAATGGGAAAGGAATAATCAAATCAAAAGATCTTCTTTAGGCAGAATATATCAGAACACGACAAGCGATTCTCGCGTTGCGTCATAGCCTAACGGACGTCTGGCACTGCAAGCTCGAGAAATTCTGTAAAAAACAATCGACGGACGCCGGTCAATAGATCGATAGGCAAATGCAGCAGATGTAAACATGATTGTTATGGAATAACAAGAAAGGAAAAGGAAATTTTCAGCTTCAATTTAAGATGAAAATTTCGAACTGAGCGTGTACATTTCCTTCTCTTGTTAATACATAATCGTGAGAATAATTTGGAAAAATGGATCGGAAAAAATATTTTCATGTAATCTAATTATACGGTATAAAATACGGCTTTCAGTCAAAGAGCCATCTTCAGCCTTTCAAAAAAAGATGGGATTTTCCATTCTCTGTATTCTAGAAAGTTCATCTTGTGTAAACGGAGCGTATTGGAAGCCGATTCGAATGGTTTGAATAGAACAATGGCGCGAAAGAGTTGAGAAGAACGAAAGCCGTCTGCCTTCTCCACTTTTTTGGAGACAAGGCGTACCTAGTTGACCGTCCGCACGTGTTGTCTTACTTGAAAAAAGTTTACGCTCCAACTCTCTCTGGTCGTCTGGCGCTCAGTTTGAATTTTCGAACCATCTCAGGGCTGAGAAAAAGAGAGACCTAAGCTGGAAGCTTCTGAACAACAACAAAAAAATCGAAAATTTGACGAAGTACTTTCTGAGGCTCTTGAAAATGTGACTAGATATTTAACGAGTCTGAAGGTATCAAGTTGAAGGTTTACTTCTGAAAAAAAAACCTTCGAACAACTCAATTTTTCCAGTGTGACATAAAACTTCATTATGTTCACAAGATTTTCAAAACCCTTAAAATGCCTCCCCGAAACGCTAACTTTCGGGCGAAATTTGTAACGAAGCAAAAAGTGCCAATAAGCGTGGGACATTCAAGATGGTAGTTAACCTTTTTCGAGCGAAAGTTGAGGTTTGGTCTTTTTATGAAAGAAGTTGGAGCTCAGAGCACACGCTAACAACTATCAACTTCCCTATACACCTTGAAAAACAGACTTTGCGTGTCAAGAGATCTTGCAGTTGATTCAATTGGCTGAAACGATTGACGGGGACTCCTCGTCAGAACTCGTTGCAAAAGATAGTCTCAGTCAGTGAAGCAAACCTCGGATCCGAACAGAGCCCTTGCCAATTCCGAAGAGCTGCACTCAAATGGGAACAACCAAAAAAAATGATTTCTTGTCAAAAATGGTAGAATGTTCCAAGCGACACGACACGCCCTTTCTGGCAGAGACGGTCTGCCTGTGCTCTCTTCCCTCTTGGCCGCTTCGGCTAGCTCCGCCTCCCCGAAGGAGCCGTCGGTCACAGATCTCCGTTTCCATTGCGCCGTGACCATTCCTACTCGTGCTGTCTCTTGTTTTTCTTTCTATATCATTAAGCTATACTTCTATCACTTTTCAGACAATGTTCAATTGGCTGAAACGATTGACGGGGACTCCTCGTCAGAACTCTATCAATGATGAAAACGTGACATCGGATGCTCTGACTCCGGTCAGAAGCTGCAATTTAACGCCAACTTCTGATGTTTCCGGATATGAAAAAAGCTCGAGGTCTCGGAAGGTCGAAAAACAGTTGGTCAGTTTCAATTGAAAAATATGGAACATCTATTTGATAGAGACAAAGATGGCTTCTTTTTTTTTTACTCACAATTAAGAACAGAGCTGCGCAAGATTCTGAAACTTTTCAAATCGGAAATATGTCTCACTGTAAAAATGGGGTAGACGCTTCGAAATAGGGAGATTTTCCTCAAAAAAAGGACTGAAATAAATTTTGAACTTACAATAGTTACAATATCAAAAATTTTCTGAGATGCCGTTGCTGACAATTTATCGAAAATTTTCAATTTTTTTGATTTTTTTTTCTGACATAGTTTTTTCATAGAGTTCGATGAGCATCACTATAGATTGAGACAGTTGAAATTGAAGAACGAACCTTTAAGTTATAAAGAATTAGTAAGATCATATTTTTGACCGAAATCTTACGGTTAGCTCAATGTTAAAATCAAAATCTCGCGATTGATATCAGAGTGAGCCCAAGTTGTATTCGGCGGCCTCACAACTGTCTGGCCGAGAGCCAGGGCGCGATTATTCATTGAGTATTACACATAGCTTTTGAAATCTCGAAAGTGCACTCAGAAATCATCTCACAAAATGAAGAGGTTGAGAAACGGTAATGAAATCTATATACAAAACGCCAAAAAGACAAATAATACATTTTTTTACGAAAATAGCTAATTCAGCTTGAACTCTGAAATTTTCGATAGATTTGCTCAAAAACTCTCGGAGGCTTGAATTTTTTCCAGATTTTCCTATTCTTATAGATTTTCCTGTTTTTATTTTTCCTATTCTTATTGGACGGTCAAAAAACAAACTTTTGGATGGCGTACAAGTAAGAAAGGTTCTACGGGGATAAATAATTGGTTACATAAATTATTTTGTATTTTGAATTGAATTTCACTCTCAACTTCTCAATTTCTTTTCTGAACTCGCCGAAAAGTTTTTAATCGAATGGTTACTATCCTTATTGGACGCAGTGTATCTCTTCTTCTGTTTTCAGCCTTTTCCGTATAGTTTTGAAGGACTATTTCTCAGTACCTTTTTGCACCAAGCAGATTTTCATTTCTGTTTTCAAATACTTATACCCAGGGCTATTCATTACAAAAATTCCGACAATTCTAATGTACAGATGTTAAGTGAGGCTGGCTACATCAATAACGCATACATAAACATAAGTGTCTCCCAAAAAGTTTCTGGAATCAAGTTATGGCTTTTCAAAACTTTTGGGATGCTCCTGACATTCCAGAAGGAAACCTCTGTTTTTTTTTGCTCCTATCTTACAAGGGTAATGCAAAAGTCGATGTATTGCGCTTCGACGAAACTTTGTACAGAGGTAATATCTTTTGGCGGCTGGCTTTAGCTGCCAACAGACGGCTTTGCATCTCGAAGCGTATAATGTAGGTTCGAATCCATTCCGGTGAAATTTATTTTTAAGTTTCTTTTTTTCAAAAATTTGACGATTTTTTTCGTAGATTTGTTATGCTCAAAAAAAGTTTCGAAAGTTACTGTTTATGGTCAGGATTTTTTTCTGAAAATTTTTCTAATGAATATAGAGTTCATAATTTTTTTCTTCGTTGAATGTTTTTTTCTGATGAGAAAAATCTCGTTTTTCATTAATGTACTCGAAAGAGATTCGACGGAAAAAAATTTTCATCGAGAATCTTACTCAAAACGATTTGAGGGGTTTTTTTAAAAATTTTTGTATTTTTTTATTATTTAATCTTCAAAACTTCATAATTATGTCCAAAAAAATAAAACAAAAAAACAAAAAGAATTTTTACGGAGAAAGATGCGAACCTGCATCATTGACTCCGCAATCCAAAGCCGCTAGCCACTACACCAAACCGCCTACTTGCAGATAGAGTGAACCGCCTTGAGCTGCCAAAACAACTTAAACGTTGAAAGTCCCAAATTATTTTCGAACAAAACATCGAATTTTTTTACTACGCTTTTTCAACTCCGCTTGTTCGAGGGGTCTTCTAGGCAGTTTTGGAAGCATCTCAGAAAATACTTCGGTTAATTCTCCACCGTAGCCTGTTGCGAAAAGCTTACACTATTTCCCCTTTCTCTGAGCACCTTCACAGTGAGAGTTTCTTTCGGGTGTGAACAGAGGAAACCCAAAAACACTAACTTCTCTGAATAAACTTCATACGTGCTATTGTAGGAATTTTTATAGGAACCTATCTGAGATCTTCAATTCCTTTCTTTTTTCTAGTCAATTTTTTCAACTTTTGCCGGGAAGAGCAATTTATTGGGTTTCAGAAAATACCTGAGAAAATCTTCTTGAAAACGAGATCACCAATTTTGAAAAAAAATAATCAATCAAAAACAGGTTTTGGACAAAGAAACTAACTCCAGCTCCATATGTTCAGTTCGATAGGTTTTGTCTCAAAGGCCAATTTTTTGAGGAAATTTGCAAGAGGAAGCTAGCTGAAACTTATAATTCTGAAAGGGAAAATAACATTTTTCTGATAGTTCCTGAATTTTACGATTCCTAAAAATTGCGTAATTGACCGAAGTTTTGATTTTTTAAGGTATATTATTCAAGATTCAAATACTTTAGTTTGTTATAGTCATAGATGAATTTTACAAGTCGGGGAACTGGAAAACCCAGAGCAAACAACCGCTTTTGGCAAACTAAAAATCGAATGTGTAGTTGATCAAGTTGAAAACATGGTCTTACTGTCCTTCGCCTCTTTCTTCTGCGCATAGTCAATCCAGTTCCGCCTTGAAAAACTCGAAATGTAGCAGATGCTGGGCTGGAGCCCAGAGACCGTGCTCTAGTTGGAAGCCTCGAAATAAGAGCGACGACTTCGAGTGAACACTTTACACGAAATTCATCATATTTTTTCGAAATTTTCCTGACGAGTCAATGGGTATTTCGGTGTAATAAAGAGTCAAAGAAAATGAGGTACAAAAGTGCTTTTCTACAACCTTGTCACACATCAGCTTTTCGCAATGTATTTTTTTTTCAAACTTGAGCATGTGAGCTTGTTTTATCAATGTTAGAATCAACGTTGTTTAGTGAGCTGCAGAAATTTTGCTTCCCTCGATAGTTGAAAAGCTGAAAGGCTAATTGTGATTTATCATTTCCCTCGGACACATTTAGCTGTGCGCAGAGCAAGAGAGAGGTCAGATTATGTCAATTGAAGATTTTCACTTGAAAGCTCTTCTAATTACCTGGGGACCAGGTTGCGCCCTGCGCTGATTGATAATTACAGAGGATTAACGTAGGTAGAGGATCCAAAACCTTCCTGTTGATTTAGAGCGCAAGTTTTTTTGCGGCAGATATGCCTAATGAGCTCTCAATCAAATATACTATTTTAAGCCCTGAGAGGAAAAGTTGGAAGTTAATGAAGGATTTCTGTGTAAGCGTTTTCAAGAAACTGAATCGTTTATCACAAAATTATAGAATTCTATTCAATGTCCGCAGTTCGAAACCATCAGAGGTCGTCTTGCGCAAGCTGAAAGTTCAACATCACAACACCAAACGGAAAAATTTCCTTACCACGACGACCAAAAATCTTGTTGGCAAAGCTTCGTTGCCAAAGTAAACCACGGGGTCTTCAGGTCTTAATTCGACCCCGTGGTTTACTTCGTATGCTTCAACCAACATAAAATTCCGGTTGTACCGGACACGTCCGGCTATGTTTCTCACAAAAGGCATCCATTGCGCGACAACGTAAATGTGGCCAGTGAGCCGGCTGAATATTAATTCTGCCGACCTTATTCTTTCGACATAACTGAAAGATATAAAAGTTTGAATCTCTCGAGCAACAAAGGCTCTTACTTCGGGAGCGTGACCGCCAAATCCCAAGCGATGGGGTTCCCGCGGATCGGCACCGGCATTCCGCCGCGAACCGGAGGCATGCATCGGTTTGATTTGAGAACTGGAGCTGTGAAGCTCCAGTGTTCAAATCTTTGCATTTTTTTCTCAAAAAAATAATTGAAACTTTCGAAAACCGTTGATCGAAAGAGAAAAACGAGCATTCAGTCGAAAATGCGGCAACAGTTGTGAGAAATGTTTACAAGAGAGGTGGTTTTTAATTAAATATTTAACATTCCTTTTTTTGACCAATTAACTATCGAGAAGAATATTGAAATTTTTCGCACGGCAGAACAGAGTTTTTAAAACAGCTTTTTTTGATATTCAAGATAAATATAGCCTGTGTACCACGAGTTTGAATTTCACCAAACGACATTTCGCTGTGCCGCTGCGCATCTTTGCGAACCTTGGTCACGCTCATAATTTTTTTTTCTTTAGTTAAGGTACTTTACTTTCATTTGCTCCCACAGCAATATCAATTAATTGAAAGCGTGACCTAAATTCGGAAGACGCTTCGCAAACTTACGCAGCGGAACAGCGGAATGTCGTTTGATGAAACTTCAAGTCGTGGCACACACATTATATTCCAAGTGAAAATCGATTATTTTCTGAAAATACCGGTTTTAATTTTAAGGGACAAGTTCATAAACATTTTCTAATTTTTCCTGACAAAAAAAGCTGATTGATCAAGAATCAGTAAAAGCCGGTATGGGTAGGTTACACGCCACTAATAAGGGAGAAAGTTAATCTTTCAAACTTTGTCATAGATTATCGTATGAAAAACGGTCTAAAAACTTGACCCAAGCTGAAGAAAAACAAGGAAGAAGAAAGAATTCAACATATATTTCGGAAAAAAAAGTTTTTTTTTCGCAAAAGGAGAGAAGTCGGAAAAATGCCGAAGTTCGGAAGACCACGACAAAATCTGAGAAACGAAGTCTCTGATGTCAAGCTCAAGATCATCTCAAGAAGCGCGACTGCCGCTTTGTTGCGATGTGATCCTACTGGATCCACCCCTATCCAAAGCGACGATGGAGTCGTATAGCCTACTGTTCTTGGCGCAGTCAGTGAGAATCAGGCGATTGTGGCTTTTAACACTTTGATAACGTTGGAGAGCTCAGACGGAGAGCCGATAGTCCACTTTTTTCATACAGAACTTTTTTCTCATTTGTCTTTGTGTGCCCTCCAGTACCCATTGACACATGCCATTGCAACAGCGACGCAGAGAGTTGTACAGAAAGATCGGAGACATGGTTCTCTTGTTGGCTTTACAACAGCTTGCAACATAAACAATTTTGAAAAAATGCATGAGAAGTATCATACCAAATTGGTTAATAAAAATGTCAGCTAGCATTTGAGATTGGGTTTTACGGGGTTAAAATTTACAAAGATTTGCCATCAAACAAAGCATTTTTTATTTTCATTTAGTTTGAAGGCCTCCCCATTTTTCAGATGTCATTAAATTTGAATTTATCCATTGGAGCATTGAGAGCTCAACAAACTTTTCCGAAAAATCGTAAACCTCGGTCGGATACAAAAAAATAGTTTCATTCAACTCCCATCGAATAGGCCTTCAGATGCAATTCAATACTCCTAACGCTTCTAATTTGAAACTTCTTTAATTTTGACTGATTTCCATTATTAGGTAGTATCACCAAGGAAAACAAAATGGTGGACATATCTTGACTTCTTCTGAAATTGTTGTCCGGATTGGATTAAAAAAAATTGAAATTTTCAGATTTGAAAATTTGAGAAATATTTTTGCTTAAAAAAATTGTTTGTAACATTCTACATAAGGTATCATAAGCTTTCCAAATAACTCAATTTCTATAGAAGTCCTCATGGAACAAAAAATGCGTTAGAAAATAAAATCAAATCAACAATAAATATTGAGGATAGAAAGTAAAATGAAAAAGATTAAAGGAGGAGAAATGGTTTGGGGGCGAACGACGTGGTTGGTTAGACAAGTGAATTGAATATTTCCTGGTGAAATGGTTCCCCATCATCTGAGTGACGTGGAGGCGACTACCTTTGAGTCGGTGTCGACAAAGTCTTTGGCTCGGAATTTTCTCTACTATCTTGATACAGTAGTTGAAATGGGTGTATTTTTTTGGTTTTTTCTCTCGAACTCGACGATAAACAGTCGGATTGGAGCAAATTTTTGATATGTGGTGTTAAACTATGCTGTTAAGAGATAAACGTCAAAAAAACTTCTGAAAAAAATTTTTCACAGAAAAATTAGCATTTTCGAAAATCACTCATTCACCGAACTATATTTCAAAAGACTCATGACTCTGCGGTTTCACTCTATACGGAGATCTGAAGCTCAAACTTTTGGAGAGTGTAGTGCGTGTCTTTGTCTTCCAAAAAACACCTTAAGGTCCCAAAAAAAACTTTGGTGTGGACAAGACGCGGGCCCCCGGAAAGAGCCCGTCTCGGTCACTCCATTCGTTAACTTGATTGCAAAGATTCCGTGGGGATTTTCTGGTTGATAACTTTAAACTGCTCGGTTTTTCTAATATTCAAATGTTCACAAAGGTTGTCGCAACACATTTTATGCGACTTCCACGGCTGGCTTTGCGACAACACCTTCAGAGGCCCCGCTATTACCTAATACCAACTTTTCGAAGACCGCGTTTCAGGCTCTTTTGATAATTTCTATAATTTCAAAAACCAAAAAAATACTCATCCATTTCCGCTGCTGCACCTGGATCAATATAATTTTGTGCTTAATTCGGGGTATCGAAGTTATCTGCTTATATCTTCTATTTCAACTTTATTCGTTTTATTTTTTTATCAAACAAAATTATAATTTTTTTCCTGACGCCAGTGAAGAAGAAACGGTTTTTTTCTTTCACGTTGTTTCAAAAACAAGCATTTTCTTCTGATTCGACTTCACTTGAAGTTTAGAGCACTCTCCTCGATTAAAGCATAAAATAACGGAGCGCCCGTCGTGAAATCAGAAAAAGCGAAGAAAGCAGTTTCTGAAAGTTTAAATTGATTTCTATTGGCTTTGTCCACGTTTCAATGCTTCGTCTCTTAATACCAATCGTCGATGAAATCACTTTAGTTTTTGATTGAGGGTTTCGAAACCTGAAAGTATTCTCTTTTTTCTCTTGGTAAGAGCAGGCGTATGAGATATCTGAGAAACTTTGTAATTTATCCGTCGGAATTGCTGATCGCGTTTTTTTCGACTCACATCAGTGTATTGATTTATACTTCCTGTAATGTCTTCCTGGCGGTTTTTTGAATAAAATTATCTTCTTCTTCTTCTTCTTCTTCTCACGTCTTTGTATCACTTGAGCGGCTTCGGCGCCCCAAGTCGCTTGGAGTCCTATCCTGACACCAGTGGACTGGCAATAATGACCTTTCTATCCTTCTGTGGAACGGCGGGATATTTCGGAGCGTGGTTTCCATACTATCCCCACTTCCTAAACCACTTGGTTGGTCGCGGATCGAATTTGTGACCCTTTGGATTGTAGACAATCACACACCCTGTTGCACTACGGCGTCGTCCTTTTTTTAGTGAAATTATGAAATTGTCAAAGTGAGAATTCTCATTTTTTTACTTGATATTTTAAATGAGAACCTGACTAAAAAAATCAAAACATTTCATCAAGTTTTCGAGTATAAAAAAATATTTTTCAAAAAGGTTGTTTCTTTCAGCCATTTTCATATTTTTCGAAAAAATTATTCATGAATAAAGACATTTTTTTACTTGAAGATTTACCGTTCTTTTATACTCAAGACGCTCTCAAATGAATTAGCTGTCCCTATGGAACACTGATGGAAGCCTCACTAAGTCATTTTAATCTTCCTCTTGTCCCCTGAATTCAGGAGAATCGGGCACGCTTTTCCTTCGTATAAGGACATTTCGGCGGAAAATCAGAGTACAAAGTTGTTTCGCGCTATGTTTTTGTCACCGACCCGCAGCTTAATAGTATGCACGCGGATCGATGTTGTTTCTCAAAATTCCGAGGAGCGCGGCACGACGAAAACAACGTTTTTTTTTCTGCCCGAGGCCCACAGGGCGAGCTCTCTCATGCGCTGAGAGAGCAGAGAGATGCTCTTGGCCACGTTCACGACGAGAGAAAAATGCGGTCTGACGAGTCGTTGAAAGGAAGGACAACGTCGGTGCGCGCGCCACGCCCCTTAAGCGGTCCCTGGCGTCTGCCGCTCGCCGTGCCAAGGATTCTTGCCGGCCACTCTCTTTCCGTTGTTGTCATGGACGCAATCAATTCGTCGCCGCCTTTTCTGTTTGTTTTTCCGTTTTTGTTCATTTCACCTCTTTCCTCTTTCTCTATAGTTCATTCAAAGCAGCTTTTTGAGTTCTGAGGTGAAGAAATGATAATTTATAAATCTTAATTCATAATTATTTATCGATAAGTTGAGTCGATATCAACCACGTGTTCAAATGTTCTGTATGCACTTTTTTTTTGAGCCTACTGAACTTTGTCTTAACTGGAATTTACATTCACCATTTGCTTAAATTTAATTTTTTTTTTTGAAATTTTCTTAAACATCAGAGCGCTGTTTTCAATGAACTACATTGTCCGGAAAGCTTTCGAAACAAGTGAAACAGAAAAAAAGCCTGTCGAAGATTCATTTTATTTTTCTTCCTGCGTCTGCTGCCCTTATTGTATTTTCCGATTTCCTCGCGATTCTCATATCATATTGATTCCCAACGTTTTACAATCGCGCCGCGCTCCCTTTTAAAACCATTATTCTGCAGTTTGCACATTCTATTTTTCTACATTTTGAAAATTTCAGGTGATGGCCAAAACTTCCGTCGTCCTTAGAAAGGACGGCATGAAGAAGGAAGACGTCCACCACATCTTCCTTCAAGAATTCTGCTCAAAAGTCAATGCATGTAAGTATTCTTTTTTTCATTTTGCAGATTGGTCTTTATTGATCGAAAATGTGTCACGTAACGTTCTGCCCGCAGAACTTTTTGGATCAATCAAAAGTTTCGAAGCGATGAACTTCACGACGAACGGCGATTTCTATCGGATAGGAACTTGTTTTTGGGTGCGATGCTTCGATGACCGTGAAAATTGTTTCAATCGACAAACGTGTAGAAAAAAAAACGTCTGGAAACTTTCAAAATCGTTCGATTCCGCGTCTAGGCGATATGTATATCTTTCACGGTTCATTTTTTATTCGCGGCAAGGTTCCCACACTCAATCGATAGCGCTGACGCGTCGCGAGCCGCGCAATTATAGCAATAAAAGTTTTGAAACAAATAAAAGTAACGCGGAATCTGCCACATTTTGCCTTTTTCAGTTTTCTACTTGGCTCGCGAAAAAACGCGTGTGTGGCTGTACGTCATCAGAAAGGGCCAGAAGTTCATTTTGGACGTTAACACGCCATTCACAAGCTGGTGCAGTCAGCCTGTCAGCGCTTCTCGAATGTGAGTTCCCTGTTTCTACATATTTATAAAACAAGGCTCGAAGCTTCATGCAGAAATTTTTGAAATAGAACAAACAAGTTCAAAAATTTCGGGATAAAAAAACACTCTAGGCACTTTTATTTTGGCGAGAAAAAGCGAAATGAAAAATAAAAGATTTTTGCGCTTTCAGTTAGGCAAGAATTCTCTTTTTTTTTTTTTAAAGAAAAGGAATTTCCAAAACAATAAATTCAGCATTGACGCGCTGATTAAACTCCATCGCAAAACGTTGTCAAAAGAGGTCCCGAAGGATTTTCTGAAATTGTTGGGTAACTATATGTGATTTAATGCTGAAAAGATCAAATAATTTTCAGACGCGCTTTCTGCTCTGCAGGCTTTTGAAATGGCTGACAATGGCTTCGTCACCGCCGTTTTGGGCGAAGTTAGTGTGAATAAAGTAAACGTGAAATGGAATATTAAATCGCAGAAATACGCCGAGGGTCGTAAAGAAAGCTTGAAGCAGCCGGGGACAAAACGCCAAGCTGTGAGTTTCTTCTTCTCAAACGATGCAAATTCTGATGAGAAAACGTTCATCATTTTTTTTCAGAATGCGAATGGATCGCCAACACGCAAAAAGACTGTTTCGACAGCCGAAGATCAAGAAGAAGCGAAAAAGGAAGGTGATTTACGAATTTTCATTATTTTCATTAATCTATCCATTTGTAGAAAAATACCTTGAAGTGTATTTGAAAGCGGAGAAGGAGTACTTGGCGTCGAGAGCGTTGTGCGATGCTGAGAAGCCTGACAAAGTCTGGGCTGAAAACGCTCAGGACGCCCCAAAAGCCGTGAATGGAAGCTTGTTGGACCTCGTCCGAGGCCAAAGCGAAATAAGCTCTGTCACTGAAGGGCCGGACGTCGAAGTCAAGAAGAACAAAGAAGCTGAGAAGGAAAAAGAAAAGAAAGAAGAAGTCGTGCTCCAACAAGAAGAGCAAGACGAACATGATTTTGACGACAATAAAAGCCCTCCAATCGCCGTTGAAGAAGAGAAAAAAGAGGAAAATGAGAAGATGCCTGTCGAAGAAAACTTAGAGCCGGAGAAGGAAGAGTCGGAAGACAACAACTTGGAGGAAGAGAAAGAAGAAGAAACCGACGACGACGAAGACAAAAGCACTTCTCAGGCGATCGAGACGGTCGAGTGGCGCACGGACGTCGAAGCTGTTGCTCCCTGCGTGCGCGGCATTCTTGCGGTCGGTTCAGCTTTCTACTGGGAAATCATACAGTTTACTGCCTTTTGAAAAATGAAAAATCTCGGAAACCACTTTCTAAAACTAAAAAAGCGTTTATCTTATTCTCCAAATTTTAAAATCAAAAACTTGCGAATCTCGAACAAATGCAGTGCACATCATGGCTTCAAAAAAAGCAAAAAAATTGCAATTTAGTGGATAATGTGTGAAAGTTTCATCAAGTAGCGGTTTATAAAAATGCATGAAACATCAATATTTTTTTAAATCTTTTTAATAAAAGCAACGTTCACTTTGGAAACATGAAACAATGATTTACGCATCACACAAAAAAATAAATTATCAACAGAAAAAAAGATACATTTCGCGCACCAAAAATTCTCTTGGCGTTCTGACCGCAACCCATTAAAAATAACGAAGAATGATATCTATTACAAAAACGTGCAATGAATCAATTCATGAAAACTTAACACCGAGGGGAAAAATTACAAAACTTAACACCGAGGGGAAAAATTCTTTTGAGTGCAGATCCGTCAAGCTCTAAAAAATTCTTTTTTAGATCAATCAAATCTTCGACTTCGATAGCCCGAGCTTCTACCCTCACGTCGCTCGCAACATCACCGAGGACATTCTAAAAAAGAAAAACTCGGAAATTTTCGGCGCCTTGGGCCCTCTCCTCGACGAAAGTCATGTCAACAAGGCTGAACGCCTGCGGTTTTCCCTATCAGTTTTAATTTATTCAATTTCAATATTTTCCAGCTACAAGAAGTTCCGCGCTTACTACAAAAACCTCTCAAAGATGCCGGACGGTGGCTTTTTCGTGAATTTCATTCATCTCGACTACTTTCATCTGGAAATTCTTGAGAATGGCCGTCGCTTTGCGACCTATGGAACCGGAGTCGAAAATGATCCGCGCATCCCGGTTGTAGCAGAGGTTGAGGTCAGTATTAGTAGATTTACATTTTTTTAAACAACCTATTGCAACGATTGAATGAATAACGAAACCGCATAACGAAATAAAAAGTGTTTATTTTTTCTGTGGCCTTATATCGTTTTATCTAGAATTTTTTTCATTATTATTGATAAATCGAACAATACTCAAAAATTTCAGGAAGTAACCCCTGATCCGATCCTGAACTGGAAAGATCTCCGCATCGGCGAGATCACGTGGGCCTATTGGGCAAAAAGCAAACAATGGTGGCCGTCGACGATTTTCAACTTCGAAGTCGTCGACAATCAAGTCAAGGTTTAAAAAAAAAACAAAAAGATATATGAAATAGCTCCGCTTTTCAGATCATCGTCCGCTTCTTCACTTCTCAAACAGCGGTGATCCAATACGGCGACGTCGAAAGGTTCGACGACGCCTTCCACTTCCGCTACATGCGCACAGGAATGCCCCCGAACTACTCGCGAGATGTCGCCTTTGCAATCAATACAATGGGCTGCATCGGATATTTTGAAGAGTTAGTTTTGAAACGGATGAAACAAATGAGCTGAGTTAGTCATGTACTGAAAAAATCGTTTTTTTTTAAACAATGAACGTTTGAAAAAACTAAAGTTAATACATTTCATTCAGATTCATCAGCCCGGCCATTGCCAATCTCCTTGAAGAGCAAGGCCGAGTGATCGACTATGTCTCCAAATACAACAGCCTCCAGTTAAAGAACAACGCACGGGTCCTCAAGGTAGCATTACCTGGAAAACCTAACAATTATACTCGTTTTCCAGCTGCCGAACCCCGAGCACCTAGAAATTGTGCGTAGTATCGAAAACGCGCAAGCCGCCAAGAAAACTGCTTCTGGAGGCAATTTGGCTCCACTTCTCCCGGCTCTCAGCCTGCCAAAAGATAAAAACCAGATGAAGAAGTTTGAGATGGTAATGCAACTGTCCTTCAAAATTCACATCATTATATTACTTTCAGAAGCGCCAAAAAGACGCGGGCTCGATTTACGAGTTCAATTGCTTCTGCAATCATATCGTGAAGTTCGACATGCGCAGAGAAGAGATTCTTGAAAGCAAAATATTCCCGAAGGGAAATCGATTCATTCAACTATGGTGAGGCACCGTTTTAGAGAAACAGAAGCGATCACGGGACAGCGTGAGAACCGCAGAGACGCAGGCGTGCTCACTTCTCTGGCGTCTCTGCTGGCTTCTACGCTATCTAACAATTTTGAGTTGAGAGGCACTCTGCCTGATCAGAAAAGACTGTTAACATTTAAAAAAATCTGAAAGTTGATATTTAGTTTTCAGTATTTTTACACACGACCACCACCTATCAGAAAATAAGTGAAAATGATTATTGAAGTGAAACGTTTTGGGTGTTATGGAGCGACCTTTTCTTTTTCGAAATTGGGTCTTCGGAGCTATTCTGTTTGCAGCATGAAAGAAAAAGAAACTCTCCTGAGCGACAATCTGAAGGAAATCGAAGCTACAGAAATGAAGAAGCGATTGAATGTTGATGCCCCTACCTTCGCTTGGTGCCCTAAGGTTGATATATCACTTCTCAATTGGAAATTAATTGAAAAAAACTTCAGAACTATTTTAATCTTAATGATAAAATGCCGTCGCGTCGTTTGGCCGATAACGCTCAGCCTCCCTATTCGGCAGGGTCGAGCTCTCGCTTCGGGCGTTTTGGGTCCGCCCGACGTCGTCGCAACGACGATGACGACGACTATGACGTCACTTATTGAAAGATGTCACTTGCACCTTTTTATTCCTTATTGCATATCCTCATGATGTATCCAATTATATCTTTAATTTTTTTCCACTTCACCTTCTCCAAATCAAAAACTCCTGTTCATTATCTAATCATTGCATAATTTACTTCGCATTCGATTGATAAAAATTTCTTGACTTCTTGATGTAGGATTACTTGATTCTACTTCTCATTTATTTTTTTTTTAACTTTCGTGAATGCGTTTTGTTAAGAATTTTTTGGGTTGAAGATTTTTGTTTTTACATTACATTACGCTTTTTGACTGCAATTTTTCAGTACTCTACGCTCTACCCTGAACCTTTGATTGAACATCCTAGTGTTTTTTTTTTTGATTCCGGCTTCTCTCGTCAACCTTTTCTTTGTTCTCATTCCAAAAGTTGGGCGACATCTTTTTCCTTCCTTTTCACATTGTTCGCTGAAGCTTTCTTTTCCTGTTCATTCCCATTTGAACACGTTCCGAGTTAGAAAAATTCGGTTTTATTAGGCACCAATCTTCCGCTGATCATGATAGATTCCGGATAGTTGTTATGATACCGAATCATCTTTTTGCTTATCAACGCTCTTTCTTTCTTTCGGAATGGTTGATCCTCTTCTTTCATATCCTGATCTTCTATTTACGGTGCCACTATAACTGGTGATTACCTGCATCATCCCCTGTTTTAGTGAGATTCGTTCGTCCCGTTTACATCTTCTCCAAATATATAATCGATTGGTTCATTCATAATATGGTATTAACTCTAATCCTCTCCACTGCCAATGCGGAATCCGTTAAAGGTTTTTGGGCTCCTCTATCTGTAATCATCGGAATTTTTTGTAATCCTTTACAATATCTGTTGAATAAACGAGCGTTTTATTTTAGCTGCTTTTAAGGAAACTTGCCCTGGGCATCACAAACTAATGTACATGCCATGTAGAGTCACATCTTGGCGTTGCCTCAGGGCGCAAGTCGCATCACCGGTAATTGGGCTCCGCGCTTGGGTACTCTTGTCGACGTCGCTGCTCGGAGAGCAATGTACACCGGCTTCTCTCTTTCATTCTTTAGTTCCACCGTCGGAAGCCTCAAAATTTGATTGTCTGACCCAGAGCTACCGATCTTACTCTTACAAGGAACGTTTTTCGGTCCTCGGTCAAAATTTGATTAAACTTGGAAAAAAGGCACGTTAGGGCCATAAAACTGCGAAGCGAGGGAACTTTTTTTTTTGCAATATACTGTGTTTTCGAGTAATGAGCCGCTTTTTAAATAGCGTAATTTACATAAACGATGGAAAATGCGTTATTTGAGAGGTATAAAGCTTTCTTAGAAATCAGATCCAAACAAACTTCTTTCTGGATTCAGACGACCCTGAAGTACATTTCAACCAAGTTTCATCAAATGCACAACTGGGAGGCCGACAACATTTTCTTATTATTCAATAGTAGTATCACTTTACTCGGCTCAAAATTAAAAAGATTTACTTCTTGAAAATTCTAATGAGTCAAAAAAAAGCCTGCAAAACCTTTTCGTTCTCGAGAAAAAAAAAATTGAAGTTGACACTTAACTCAGCCAAACATTTTTTGATGAAATTCCCTCATTTTGAAGTGGCTGTCCTTTGAAAAAACGCTTTTTAGGTTCAGATCGTCTTCATTCAATACATCAGGAGCTTCTCTGATCTTTCTCAGGATTATTCAAAGTGCAAAAAGAAATTTAAAAACTCTAAAATTACCGGTTCTTTTTTCGCAGCCGGTTTCAATAACACATCGATTTCTTTGCAGTCCGTCTTTTCTTTTGACCCATCTTATTGCTTCCTTAACTTTACGAACTTTTTTTCATGTCTCATCTTTTCAAAGCTTTTAACTTTAAATGCTTGTTCAGAAGAACTGTGTGACTTTCGAATCACATTAATCGAAAACGAACCTTTTTTAAACTTTTGCTTAAGCTTGTATCTTTTGATTCTTTCAAAGAGTCGAGTGTGAAAATAATAATCTCAAATTAATTTTTAGTTTCTGAGTGAAAAAAGCTTTAAAAGAAAAACTTCATTGTTTTTAGAGCTTCTACCTATTTTTTACCTTTTCCCGTTTCTCCCGCCTGAAACAATGTAAAAAGTTGAATTTTCCAATCAAACTTTCCTGAGATGGCCCAAAAAATAGCAAAAATTTTCCGTTTTTTTTTCTTCTGACTACTATGACATCATTCGTAAAATCTTCGGAAGTCTTTCAAATTTCACATTTTTTTAACGAGCTGTAAAATTATCCTGTGAAGGTGGTTGTTAAACAATTTGAATTATTGCTCAAACCTACAAGCATTCCTGATGTCATCTGGATAATCTTTCTTCAAGAAACGCTTGAATTTGCTGTCTTGCTTTGAAATATGGCTTTTATCAAGTTGGAAACAAATCATTTGTCAAATCCTTCCAAATTTCTGAGAGAGCGGAACGAATTCGATCTAGAAAAGCTTCCTATGAGATAAGTTACAGTAGGGTCTTGAATTATGGCTTTGCATTGCCAAGGCTACCTCAAGGTTCTTTGAGCTTAAAACCATAAATCAAGGCTTTACAATATCCTGTAGGTGGCACATTTTACGGGTAGCTTCAACGTTCGATATTGGAGGAACGTCTTGATTTATAACTGGCATTTTCGAGCTGTTCTGACGTCATATAAAAATACAACCTTTCTCTTTGTTTTTATGATAAGGTCTAACCTTAGAACCTTTTCAAGTATGATATCTTTCATCGAAGGAATACGAATATTCCGGGATTACCGCAGTAGATTTGAAGGAATTTATGTATGAAAAATAATGATGGTGCCAAAAGATCAGAGGAAATTTTGCAGCCGTTCTGAAATATAGCTCCTCATCAACATAAAGATTTGCGATTTTTCAAATTTTTTTCCAATCATCCAAGAGAACAGATATTCCAGAAAAGCTTTTATGAAGACAATTTTCAAACGATCTTAAATTATGGCTTTCCATTTCCATGGACACTTTAATGTTTTTTGAGCTCAAAGCCATAACTCAAGGCTTTACAGTACCTTCAAACTAGCACATTCAAGGAGGAAGCTTTGACGTTGGATTTTCAGAAATGCCTTGATTTACGATTTACCCAAGCAAACTTACAAGCAAATGACGTCAGTCCGAAAAAAAATCTTTGGCAAAAAAAAGTTTGAAGCAAAGAAATAGAAAATTTAGCAAATTATTCTATGAGAATTCTCTTTTTGCTTATATTTCAGTGCAGCTGGCCGCAGTAAAAGGGAAGAAGGTAGCAGAAAAAGTGCGCTTCAGAAGATTCAGAGTCTTCATTTTGAATGAATAGTTATCAACTTGAAAAAAAATCCCTCGAGAGTCTACTGTTTGTGGAAAGAACTGAGATAAAAATAAAATTCACATCGAAATTATGCGTTGCTTACAAAATTCAAATGTTAATGTTTTCGGTAAAAGCATTGAAATAATATTAATCATTTTTCTCAGTTACTCACAAGCTTCAGACATATATATTTTTGAAAGCTCTTTCTTGAAACTTCAATCATTCCTTTGATGTTTTCGAACAAAGATTCAAAACTTCATTTAAGTTCCAAACTTTATTTGGAAGTCTGGCTGTAAGGTGAAAGCATTTTTGAAAGACATTTTTGTTTTCTTGGAGTCACAATCTTCAGAGAAATCGGGAAAACTTGAATAGAAAGACTTGTTCAAAAAATTTTGACGGCTTCGCTAAAGAGACAGAATTCGAAACCGCTACGCGACCGCGCGCAATACAACTTCAAAACCTGATCAGATAAAGCAGAGGCTGAACTTCACATTTTTCTGTGAAAGACCAAAAAACCAGCCATTTCGGAAGTGAAAGCTGTTTCTCTGCGTTCAGTATGAAAAGTAATTTTGGAGCCGAGTTGAAATATAACCTCTCATCACGTTGAAGATTAATTGTTTTAGCATTTTTTTTCACTTATTGAGGAGAAAAAAAGCCGTTAGTTTTAGAAAACCTTCCAAGAAAAAAAAATTCCAGAACGGCCTTGATATATGTTTTTTCATTACCATGGCTACCTCGACGTATTTTGAGCTCAAAACCATTTCTCAGAGCCTTACAATACCTTTGGCTGGCACATTTTATGGGAGCTCCCACGCACGAAATTGCAGAAACGCCTTAAATTATGACTTTGGGCCCCTTTAAAAACCGGTGCGTATCCAAGAGAGCCACCGCCGAGGCTTCTTCTTCGCCTTTTTCCACTTCAACATCGGCTCTTCTTCAGAAACCTTCTTATTCAGAGGTTTCTTTTTTCGAGGCAGCACTTCAGTAAGTTCAAATATTTCTCACTACCAAAAAAAAAAAGATCATGGTTGGTTCCCAGCCGGTTTTTGAACGACAAAGCAAAATTCTATGATCTTCCAGAAAAACGTAGAATTTGCAAAAGGAAAAAGAGGCCTCAATATTTATTGAATGAGTGAATTTTTTCTGGAACTGTGTATCTCCTTCAGAAGAAGGCCCCTTAAGATTTAGCCGAAAGATTTTTCTGGTATCAAAAGAAGAAGTTTCCAAAACCTAACCATAGGCCAAAAACATCAAGACCTTGAAAAGCTCTCAATCCTTTTGTGATTTTTTCTGCCTCTAGGCGTTCTACCTCATAAAGTTTTACATTTTGAGTCTTCCAAAGTTCTTAGAAATTAAAAAATGGTCTGACGACTCAGGTAAGGTATGATGACTTCTTTTACAGTGCCGAGAAGAGTTTCCAAGTTTTTCCAGTTATTTGTTAGAACCTGTTCATGCCATTTTTTAAATATTCCTAAATTTGAGATTTTCTTCTGAAATTCCAAAGAACAACAGAAATCGTGAAAGCCGTCAAAATTGGCCACCGGCGGCAAAAGCCATTGTTTTTCGGAGTTAATGTGATCGTGAAACAAAAAATGGAAGTTTTCCATTAAACGGACGTGGGTTTTCCGTTTAAATCCTCGCTGTTTTGGAAATTCCTTTTTGAAATAACATTTCAATGAAAGTACTAGGAACTTCTTCTCAAAATTAACGAGAAAGAAGGAAAAGTCAAGAGCCTCCCTGTGAAATCTCTAATGAGATCTTTAGCTGAATGACTCATTCGGTAATAAATCTTTAATACACTCCGGCCTTTTTCATGAGAAATTAGGATTCTTTGCCTTAAAACCCTCATTTTTGCGAGAATTTCCAGAATTTTTTCGATTTTAGAGTGATTATTATCGCAAAAGACTCTTCAAAATTCACTTAGAACATAGATTTTGCTTTTCAGAGTTTTTTCTTCTCAAATTGACAAAAAACAAAGAGAACTTCCAAACTGACGTCATCAAATATGAAAAGCGGAAAAAATTACAAAAAACAAACTATTTTCTCATATACTGCTTATTCAAAGACTAATTTTCGCCCGAAGCAAACAAAGCAAACAGAAGTTCCATCTCTTGATGAGTGTTTTTTCAAAAAATTTCGTTGTTTTTTCTTAAAAATGTTTGGAATCTTTCGGTTCAACGTTTGGGGACATTTATTTTTCGTAGGTAGGCTAAGGGCACTTTTCAAGACATTCCTAGACAACACATAACGCAGATTGGTTCTCGGCAAATTGAACAAGAGATATTTGGGTCCTCCCTTATTAAGCTGTCAAAGGGGACAGTGAGAAATGGGCCACAGATTATTCTTCAGTCACGCTATCGACCTTTCCAATTTTCTTCGAATCCGTCTTTTTTGGTCATATTGTGCTTTCGGTTTTCCATGTTTTTCAAAATCACAACGTTCTTTACACGATATCCCATGTCATAATCGTTTCGTGGAATCACTAAACGAAAAGGAAAACCTCGATGATTCCTCTTCTAGAGGTTTTTTTTAGTTGAGCCTGAAAACCTTCCTCGTCAGTCTTTCATAACACTCCCTATTCACTAATTCTTTTGATTTGTTCGTTTGCAAAAAAAAAAAACAACCTTATTCAAGGGCTCCTTTGATGATCTGACCGCATCAGTAGAAAACGAGGGGCTCTTGTCTTTGCAAACGAGATTGGCTATGAGGAAGGAACGGCAGGCCGACGACTCACTAACTTTGTTCCAAACTATTCAATGCACCTCTCCGCAATCTCTTCCGAGTTAACTTTGCTTACGATTGCCTTCGCAAACTTTTGAACTTTTAGATTTTTCCTCTCGATACAAGTTCAGCCTAATTAAATGAGTTTTGTTTTTCAAGTAGAACGAAAGAAGATAAGGAAGTCTATTTGCCGAGGTTTCATCAGTTGCGCTATTGAAGAAAAATAGTTTCAACTCTTCTGAACGATTGTGAAATTACGATACTTTATTTGTTTATCACATTCCTTATTATACAAAAATGCTCTTAAGGATGCAAGCTTTGCGATAAGACAGGCTGAAAACATTCCTTCAGAACTTTTACTCATGGCTTATGAGACATCAATAGATAGTTCAGATAAGAACTTTCCCATGAGCTAAAATGTTTCACGCACCGTCTCTTATCTGATGAAAAATGCTTTGAGAACTCAAAACGATGTCAAAAGGTCGCCTTTCGGCTTTTTCTTTTGAACATTTCCCTAAGCTTGAATATTTCCGTAAGCTCCATAATTAATTTTGGGGACGAATTGAAAATCGATTTTGTGAACTAAAAAGTTAACTCTTCCATTTTTCTTTAATAAACTTTTGGCTCTTTGAAATCAAACTTTCCAATTAAAACGTTGATTTTTCATTTGAAAACATATTTCACTCTTTCAAAACAGAACACCAAAAAAATAAGATGGCAGTGTAGGTTTTCCAATCACCGTGCTGTTAATTTCCGTTGTTTTGTAATGTTTGCGGGGTTATAACTCATGCGGACTCAGCTTCCGATTAATTTTCTAACTTATTTCGCCCCAGGTTCCGTTTCCCGGCGCTTTTTTTATTTTTTTGGATCTCTCACCGTTCCACTTCAACATATGAAGTGTTCAAAGAATTGTTCCTTGTTGGACATTTTTCAATTCATTTTTTTATTCGATAAACGAGCTTTATAGTGAAGATTCGGATTTTTCTTTGAGTTAACCAAAAGGAAACTTGAGAAAGTCCCAATCAATTTCAAAACTTCTGAATGTTTTCATCGCTCTCGCTATGTATTTTATTTCTTCCTTCTATTTTTTTCGTCAAGAAAAGAGAACTCCCAAACTTTCATCGAACTGTAATAAGTTCATGTGACCACCAAACACATTTTTTTTTCGGTATGATTGGAAGAGAGAAACATCTTTCCAGTGTAACATTCCATCCAGAAACGAAGAAATCAAGTTGGTAACCTCTTGTTCTTTCCGAAGATTTATGTGCGATGTTCATGTGATTCTAATGGTGTTTCTTCCAAAATTTAGGGGTTTTACTCAGACCTCGCGGGGGAAAACGAAATAGTCGTTCTTTTTGACAAATCCTTCAAATAACGGCTCCACTCAAATGACCGCTCAAGTCGATCTAGTTGCTATTAAAAAGTCTGTGACTACGCCGTTTGACTCTTCAGAGGTTTGATGATGCTATGAAGAAAAATTTCTTTCCGAAGTTTAGATCTATTATGTTAGTAAAAAAAAAATTGTCTCAGAATCTTTATCGGATTTCAAACTAACGTAGAATCTTCACGAAATCTGAAAGTTGAAAGTTTTAGCGGCACTCAACAAAACTTTTCCAAACCATATCATGTTAATATGGGTATTTTGTGTTTCCTCACCTTTCTTACTTTTTTGTAAACATTTATTATCAACTTTTATCTAAAAGTTATTTTCTAAAATCGCATGGTTGAGCTCGAAAATTTGCTTTTCCGGTCGTGCGCGGTTGAATAATAACCGATCGGATAAATTGCCAAAGTTTTAACTTTTTGTTGAGTAGAATGGATTTCAGAAGTATTTTTCTACTGTTTCATTTTGTCGGTACTCAATTGAATCTGAAATCCTCAACTGTGGAAGTTTTTTCAGACAATGGAAGGACCATCTGTGAACATGACGCAACAGGAAATGGAGGAATTCTTGAACGAAACCACCCAACTTCAACAGTTCTACAACGAAACGATCGACTTCGAAAGGAAAATTGGGATAATAATCCCTTCAATCTTCGCTGTGATCATTCTGGTCGGCGTGGTAGGGAACCTGTTGGTGGTGATCGTGGCTTTGAGCCGTCAGATGCGCAACTCCACCAACACCCTCATCATAGGTTTGTTCTGCTCTTCTCAAGAAAAAAAAAACAGATTTCGATTGAGAAAGGTCAAAAGACCACTTTCTCAGTGCAAAGTTCAAACCAAAACCCGGAGCAAAAATTTAAATTCATGCGAAACTCTGAGTTTCAAACTCTAATGCATTCAGGCTTTTGGTTATTTATGAGTTGATTTCTGCTATCTCATAAGAAAAACCTCAATGAAATAGCTCTAGGCGCTTCATTTTGCCTCAAAAATGAACCGATCAAATCAATATTTTAGGAAATTGGTTAACTAAGCTACACGGTAGTATCATTTTTTTTTCCTAAAAAAAACCTGGTCTTCCTGCGCCCTCTTCTCTCTCCCACGGCACGGCTTGAAAACAATAAAACGAGAATGAAGAGAGCCCAGAAAAACAAGAATATTCCAACTTTTAGGAATAGCTATCTCGAGACCGATAAATTCCAGACGCAATCGTTAATCTTAACAAATTTAGTCAAACGCCAAAAACATTGCTGGATTCATAATCTGAAAACTTTTTCGTTTTTTTTTCCAGTCATTTTTTATCGCTGCTTTTGAAAAATCTTTAAAAGCTTTGAACTCACTTTACTGTAGTTTTCTTCAAACGTTGACATTCTTGCAAAAGGTTGATGAAGGAGGTTTCCAAAAATAGGCTTCGATCTAAACTAATTAATAATGCTCGACTTGGTTAGTTGCTAAACTCAATCTCTGTATTCGGTTGGGTGAAAGCAAGAAATTGGCTTTCAGGCCTGGCCGTGTCCGACTTGATGTTTCTGTTGTTATGCATCCCGTTCACCGCCGTTGATTACGCCACGCCGACTTGGATTTTCCCCGAGTGGACTTGCTCTATGATCAACTTCTTCCAGGTTGGTCGATGACGAGAAAAATGTCAATTGGAGAGTTGGTGGCAGGAACAAAAAGTTAAAGTAAAAATCTGAAGCAAGGAAGTGGCGATAATTGAAAATGGTTGAGTAATCAATTGGAATTGGTTTTTCGAGCTTCCTTTCATTCATCATCCAGTTATTCATCGTTTTAAAAGTGACGGCAAACTTAATTTTATTTAATGCATTTCAATACTTTGAACCGAGAGAAACTTTTCAAAATATAGGGTCGTACGAAATAATGGGAAATAAAATCAAAAACGTTTATTTTGACGGAAACGCAATAATTCCTAGCTTTTTTCCGTTCTCTAATGTGAAAACATTATAAAGAACAATGTTCAAATTCACAAAAAAAAATGAAATCAATATAACTGTTCACATAATAAATGATTATTCAACTTTTTTTTTCATGTTACGGAGTCAGGATTAATAGGGGGACAAAATTTTTCTGATATAACCTGAAAATGGATAAGCGGGGAAAAATAGGTCTTTTTCAGCACACCTCGGCCTACTGCAGCGTTTGGACATTGGCTCTGATGGCTTTGGACAGATACTTGGCCGTCGTCTATCCCGTGGACTCCATGACCCTTCGCACTCCCAAAAACACCTTTCTCGCTTTGGTCGTCATCTATGCGGTTATCATGGCCTCACAGGTAAGAAACATACAGCAAGAATTCATGAAATAATTTGAAAAGCCTTTTTTAAAACAAAAAAACGCTATAAACAACGGAATCTTTGGAATTTCGATCAAAATTGTGATACTTTGTTTATTGACCTTTTGGCCAGGTTAATTTTGTCGCCGAAGCGTCTGAACTTGGAAATTTGTAGAATACTTGTTTCACCTGATATCACTGCGCAGTAGTTTTTTTTCGGTCTGGCGCGAAGAAATCGGGTTTTCAGAGCGTGTCATGGTAATCCATCACCCTCCAAAAGGAAAAGGAAAACTTTATTTTTAGACATTTTCAAAAAAACTTGATTTCAATAAAAATGAAAAGTTTCAGATTCCGGTTGGAATGATGCACGGACTCTACAGCTACGACTTCTTTTTTGAGCGGCGCCAAACCTGCGCCATAATCAGTTTCGCGACCTTCGAAGCGAGCAAATTCAAAGTAAACTTGAAAAGAATTTAATGATTATAGGCGAAAACAGTTCTCTATTTTCTTTTTAAAGTAGAAAACTCCCAAGTCTTTCAAAACTACAGAAAAAAAATAAGGATTAAACTGTAAAAAAAACTCGAATGAAAGCCTTTGAATTCAAACTTATACCTTGAAACAGAATAAAACTATTAACTCCCAAATCGCTGTTCCATAGGCCCATTTCTACTTCATGACGTTCAACCTCTTCGGATACGTTCTGCCACTGGGAATTTCTGTTTTCTTGTACTGGCGGATGCTCAGAAGACTTTGGGACACTCCAAGACCCGGAAATGAGCAACAAGTACGGAAAATGGAGAGAAAAGGATAATTCGTTTTTGAAGTTCCAGAGTACCATCGCTCATTGTGGATCTATACGGTCTCGGCCAGAAGCGAGAAGAGCAAAGAAAAAAGTTCATAATGTTCTGAGAAATTGCAATAGTTTTGTCAATTTAGGTGACTCGACTGGTTCTTTGCGTCCTGATCACCTGGGCTTTGTGTTGGCTTCCGTTGAACGTCTGCTTCTTCATGTCAGGTTTGTGAACTTTTGCAAATTTGAAGAATTTTTATATTTCTCAGGACTTTCTTATCCTGAACCTCTTGTGGTTTCCTACGGCGTAAGCATGGTTGTCGTCCAGATTTCCAGCCAGGTTCAGATCTCAAAAATTTTCTATAATCAGACACTTCAAGGTCCTCGCTTACATGAACTCCTGCCTCAACCCAATTCTCTACGCTTTAATGTCGGAAAACTTCAGGAAAGGTGTCAACGTCATAGGATTTCTTTTTGAAGGAGTTTTCCAGGGTTCATCCGTATTCTGAAGCTCTTCGTGAATAAACTGACTCTCGGCCAAATGTGCAAACCCAGCGACAAAGTGAGGATTGGAGATTTTTGTTAGTTTTTGTGATTATTTTTAGTTTATCCGACTCGAACTGACCAACTGCAACAACACGATCAACAGCTCTCTGCGCCAGGCTCCAGGAGAAAAATCGAGTTTGCTGAAAGATAGGACCGCTTCGACCCGACCAACCAGACATGTACGCAAAATCAAAGGCAACGAGGTTAGGATTTCAACAATTTCTTATAAAAAAGAAAATTTTTCAGTTCAAACGAAGCAACACGACGCGGAGTTTCAATCTCTAAGCTTCCGCTTCCATTATAACTCGCTCTATAGTACCGTTGCCTTTTATCTAATGGGTTTCTATCATATTACTAGCTTACTTCTCTTATTTTGCAAATTTTATTTGGCTTGAATAAATAAATTGGAATAGAATACTGGCATAAATGTGGAAAAAAATGGACAGTTTGATATGAAGCACGGGCAATATGAACAAAATGACCATGAAAAATAGAGAATGAGGTTTTGATGATTTCCTTTGAGATCCCATTAACAATAAAAGGGAATGAAAGCAAATGGAGCGCAAATTGGATTATCTAGAGAATTCTATAACATTATATCTACGACTTTACAAGAGCGTTGTTTTTCCCTTCGAGGTAAAACGTCGTACACTCGCCTTTTCCCTGAAACCATTTTTTTGAATGGACAGTATTTTGAAAAAAATAACGCACTTTGACTTCAATTTTTCCACGCTCCACGATGATGAACTGCGAGTAGAAGCAGTGGAGCAGGTTGTAGGAGCTCTCGGAGATCTTAACATTTTTTTTTGAACTGCATTGACATACTCAGACCTATAATAATAGGCTGCAGGTTATTTTTATAAATGACCAGTTTTTGGGAAAAACCTCGTAAAAAAAGCCTTTTTTTAGTTTTTTTCTGATAAAAAAATAACTAAAGGCCGCAAAAAAATAAAAATCAAAAAAATTACAGGACAAAATTCTTGGAAGGGTTCGAAAAATTTTCTTGTCAAAAATCAGTCCAATTTGTTAAAACAATACAGTCTTTATTAAAAACAGCCCAAAAAAACCCATTGTATGGTTTTTTTTTCTTGATGATCCTGACCTGAATCTTGTTTGCAACGCCGGTACTTTCCATGCGTGACGCTGTGTTGACAGTGTCACCAAAAAGACAGTAGCGAGGTGCAGCCAAACCGACCACGCCGGCGGCGACGGTTCCACTGTGGAATCCTATTCGGACCATCATCACCTCTTCTGGTCGGTGAGCAAGTTTGAAGTTGGAGATGAACTGCAAGAGAAAGTCGAGTTTTTTTATAAACAAAAGAAAGGTTCATTTCAATAGACAGGCTTTAGAGCAATCTGGCTTTTCTGTGCACTTTTCTCACTAGAAAACAAAAGAGATAACTTTTAACTTTATTCTTATTTTAACACTCATGCATTTTCTCGAATTCTAACCGCTCTCATCTTCAGAGAGATGTCTGCTATGTTCTGGACGTGAGCATTTCCATTCTCTGTCGGAACTCCAGAAACAATCATGTAGGCGTCGCCAATCGTTTCCACTTTGTAGGCGTCGTGCTTTGCGATGATTGCATCAAAACCACTGAACATATCATTCAAGAATGTGACGACCTGAAAATTCCTTTTTGTATGATAATTATAGAATAGAGTTACTTGAAGAGGTGTGGATGTCGAGGAAATTCTGGTGAATCCTCGGATATCCGAGAAAAGGACCGTCGCTGAGCTGTAGAGCTGGGGAAGGACTGGTTTGCCAACTTTCAAGTCGTCGGCGATTGATCTAAAATTCTGATTTTTTTTGTTCAAATACGAATTCAGAAGAAAAATGACGGGAAACGGAGATAACGGGGGAAATAAAGCAACGCCGTCGCCTACAGATGTATAAGATTTGCACAGATAGAAAGCTGAGCCAATCTATACATCCGTAGGCTTCAACGAGCATGGCAGAGGAGGGATTGAAATAAAGCTTTTCATGTATGATAAAAACCTGGGCAACATGCTATTCAAAAGACGGTCGGCCTGTTTTTGAGCTTCTTCCAACATAGCAGTTCTATCGCGAACCATTGACTCCAGGTTCATAGTGTACTCTTCCATCATTTTCATCATTTGATCGACTAACGACCCTTTTCCACTTCAACCAAAAACATTTTCGTGTTTTGTTCAAGTCATCTTACGAGGATTTGAGATTGGCGTTGACCATGGCTCGGACTTTTTTCACGTTAGGCCTCATTTCAGCTAGTTCTAGCCAGGTTGCTTCAAGGCAAGAGAGAAGCTGGAAAAGTAAAAAAGATCGTTTAAATATAATTGAGCCTACAAGGACGATTTCTAACACTTTTTTGTGCGCAAAAACTGCTGAAAGTCTCTCTTGAAGATCTTATGGCCTGTGTTGCTTTTTTTGGCGGCCTCTTTTTTTGAACTTTGAGTTTCATGATGATTTTTCAAGTACTATTTGTTAAACTCACAAAATGTTTTGGAAATGCCATATAAAACTGAATCTGTTGAACTGGACTAAGAGTCCCTGATCTCAAAAAAAAAGCATAAAACTTCACCTGCAAGCTGTAGCCTTCGTTCTGATTGCTCGAGGGGAAAACTGGCCTGATAATTTGTTCCTCATCATTGGACATGGCTAACTTTTCCAGAAGTTCTGTTTAAGATAGAGAAAAAATTCGAAACATATTTTTCCTCTCACTGTAGACACTTTTTCCTCGTTCGTGGAAGGGCTCAACTCGGAATAAAATTTGATAAAGAACCATTCCAAGAGCGTAGACATCGGCAGCCTGAGTTCCTTTTGGCAAGCATTTTCTGGCCATGACCTCGCGGATTATCTCGGGGGCTTGTTGTAGGTATTCTGAAAAACTCTGATTCTTCAACAAGTTTTCAATCAGAAATAAACTTTTCGAGGAGATATCCGCCATCTTCTCCTCGTTCACTTCGCTTTCACTCTCACATTCTATCGGCTTGATTTCACTGTGATCGAGTTTCTCGGATATGAGCTGCTCAGTCGCGAAATTCGACAATTTCACGGTCCAATTCGAGTCGACGAGGCAGTTTTGAAGACACAGCATGCCATGGCAACCGATAGGCGACGCGTGTAAAAAGGATAAACCCTGAAGTTTTATGGATTTTGATTATCAGTTTGTTGCCTGGATACCTTCACGACGTCTTTGGCGAAAGAAACTTGGAAATTACGGCCTAACTTGAGTTCGTCGTTGAACAGAATGTCCTTCGAAATTTTAATGAATTTTAGAATAAATACGAACTAACCTCCAAACTCCCACGACTACATAAAACCCACATAACAATGAACTCGTTCTGTTGATTGAATGAGATTCCATAGAACTTGTTCAAATTGTCGTTTTCTATCATTTTCAGCTGCAATTTCGATAATTTCATTTGAAACCTACAATCTAAACACCTCCTTTAGCATTCTCAACTCGTTTTTCGGGAAAGAAAGATTTCTTAATTGGCGATATCTCTGGAAATCGAATATGTGATGAAAATGTGGATATTTTTGCAAAAACCTTGATCGCGACCCGTACTCCATTGGAAATGGCTTGTTTTGCAGCAATAAGTCCATTTTGTTTCGAACCTTGACTTCCTGAAAAGGAGCCTGAGCTCATCGACTTGCTTATTAGCGAGTGCTCAGATCTCTGAAAATCGATTTTTCGTGCCTAGAAAAAAGACTAGAATCACCGATTTGCTCTCAAGGATACGAATCGATTCTCTAGGAATTCTCCATGTCATGTCGTACAATAATCGCTCAATCCTGAGTTAATTTCAAGAACTCGTCATTTTCTTCGATCAGAACTAACTGTTTGAGATAAATGAAATAACCCAGAGGAGCGGCAGTACATAAGAAGAAAAACAAGGCAGCGCAAATGAAATAAATGCGATAGTCGCATTCTGAGCCGGTAAACCCGCATTTCGGAACAGCTGTAGGAAGTTTTCCGTCGCTTGAGCCCCAGTATAACTGGACGGTTTCATGGGCAACCTATAAAAATTTTCTGATTTTAGTGAAAATATAATCTTGCTGTTAAGAAAAAAGAGTTTCAGTAACTCTTATTGAATCAACTAACCTCAACGTACAAAGAAAAAGTTACCGCTAACATAAGAGTGTTACAAACTTTTTTTAGAAGAGTTATGGTGATTAGAAGACGCCAGAAATCTTGTAACGCGAAAAACTAAATTTTGGATAATTTGGCTAAAAGATTGATAGAAAAAAATTGAGAACAAAATGAAAAAAATAATAAAAAGTAAACGTCTACAGGGAATTCTCAAGCGGGTAACAAAAACTAAAAGTTCTTGAGAATCCTTTGGTAGTATCTAGCCTGGTTCTACTGTGAAAACATTTCATAAAATTAAGTCTCTTTTTTTTGTCGAAAGCTCAAAAAGAAGCTATGTTGTTGTCATGAAAGCTTTTCAATTACTTTCCCGTTTCAAATAGAAACTCAGCAGGAAGTTTAAAAAAAAAGGCAAAAAATACATGTTCTGAGCACTGGTCGCCGTTTTCTTCGCACTGTCCACGGTCGACATTTTTGGCTTCAAGCTCGACGACAATCTAAAAAGTTTGAATAAGGAGTGAAGAATGAAAATGTCTGCCACTTCTGTTTTAGAGTAACGTGAGAAAAGAAAGTGCAGAGAGTCGCTCAACAGTGGGAAAGTCTGAAGGAACAAAACACATCACAACGTTTATGAAAAATTCGGTAAACTGACATTCAAAGTGCCATTCGTGGTGTGATAAGTAGCGTAACTCGGGACACGGATCGCCTTGTTGTTCATGAGAACTTGGCCGGTTGTTCATAAAAACAAGTTATTAGATTATATGGTTCTAACTTTAATTAGACCCTTCGAAAAGAGTCAAAATGGAAAGTTTTTCTTTCAAAGTTTGCTTCATGATGGTTCAAAGTCCACAAGATATGCAACTCCGGTTAGGAAGGTTTTTCAAAAAAAAAAGTGCAAACTTTCGTTTAGTGTTCAATATTTGAGAAAAAAAATGAAGAAGGTATCAATTAAACTTGCCTTCGAACTGACGATTTGTCATCATCGACCAAAGAAGTGAGCCGTTTTGATGAACTTCGTACCCTCCGACGGCTTCGTAGGCGTCCCGAAGTGCAAGACCGTAAAGAAATAAGGCATCGTAAAGGGACATGTAGGATAAGGTGGCGTACTGAAAAAGGAGATTTGGTTATTAAATATGAAAAGCGGTGATGGTGGACGTCCGCCAACAGCTTTGAGCTTTTGTTTCATCCGTTTTCAAGGATGAACCGGGTTATTTTTGAAAAATTTAAATTAAGTGCTTCTTTGAAAGTGAAAATCAATGACAGAATTTAAGTCTCCTTATGTCTACTGGGAACTGAAATAAGAGAATGTTTATAATATGATAGAAAGTACCGGTGAAAAAAATAATAAAAAAACCATAAAAAAATATCGGTGAAAAAAATTGAAAAAGTTTATAGCTCCAAACAGCTATGCCAAATGCTTTTTGTTGGGTTTTTTTTCTTTTTGATTTAGAAAAATTTAATGTGGAAAAAAATTCGCTTCTTGCTAAATCTCTCAAAAAAATATAAATTCGAGTTGAGAAGCGTAAGAAAGTTAATGCAATCAAAACGGAATTTGAGCTTTGGATCTTTTTGCTTAATTTGCTACTGGAAATCACGCTTCTCCCAAAAATAAGCGTTTCAAGAAAGTCAACGTAGCTGATGAAAAGTTTGAAAAAAAAATTTGTTTGTCGTTTTTTCACTAAAAAGAAAACAAAAAAAAAAGCTTCTCACGTGTGTAGCCAACATTCCCGTGGCAGCGCTGAACTTCTTCTGGAACTCCTGGAAGAATTTGTTGTCGTAGCCATGGGCAGTGATAATGACACTGTGCTCGAAAGCCGCTTTGACTTCCTGCTTGTCGAGTTTGTCGGCTTCCCAGGGATAATGATCATGAACCTGCAAGCTTTCACGTCGGCCTAATCGGATTGGAAAAGTGATGTTACGTGGGCGAGCCAAGGGAGGATAAAAACAAATTCTTCGGTCTTCATTTTTGCTCTGTGGACGGCAACCATGAAGTTTGTGACCGCGTGGAGATCCATTCCGATTTCAACCACGATTACTAAAGAATAAATTATTGAAACTTAAAAACTTAGTTTTTTTATTCTTCAGAAAACGGTCAGAAGACTCTTCACGTACTAGAAAAACTGTTTAATAAAGAAATATCACAAAGTAAAAGCTTTCCAGTTAAGAAAAAGGCTCGAAACCCAAAAGAGGAAGTAAAGAAATAATGAAACAAAAAAAGTAAGTAGCTATCCTTGAAAAACAGGATAATTTCAAATATGGAAAGCGCAGTAGTAGGAGAATGTAATTTCCGTTATAAAAACTATTAGAAATGAAAAGTATGGCAAATCCCAGGGCTTATAGCGGTTCTGGTAGACCAATCCGAGTACTTAAATTTTCAGGATGGAGAGGTTCAATTTTTGAGCTTTCCTAAAAAATGATCCGGATAAATGTAACCGCTTTGTGACTTCTACTCTTTGAGATACTTTTAAAACCCTTAGAGCCTCATGATGTGCATAAATAATCCTGTCAACACAGATGAAAGTTACAATTGAAAACACCTACTTCTCGCTGCGTTTTGCAGTTGTAAAAGTTTGCCAGAAGATAGAATTTCTTCAACCGAGCTGATCGGATCAATCTCAATCATCACGTTCAACTGGATGTCTTTTTTCTTGCAGATATTGATCAGGGAGAAAGCCGAAAGCCGCTCATAATTAACTGTAGGCCGCACGATTCCAACCTAAAACGCATTTGAAAAATAATTTGTTCTGGCTCCGGTTACCTGGTCCCAATTGTTAAGTTGCAGGTAGGTAACAGTAGCTTTAGCCATTTCACTCGCTGACGTCAGTGCAACCGACCCAAGAGTTGGAAACTCGTTCCTGTCGCTCAAAGCGTCGTCTCCGGACATGTGGGCGATAATTGGCACGTTCCATCTTGGAGCCAACCTTCCAATTACCAGCATTTCTCAAAATTAGAAGTTATTCTCAAACTTCTTTCAGGCTGAAAACCATTATTACATCCGGGACCGAAGTAAATGGTCGCGTTTTTGATGTAATGAAGATACGCGGCATTCTCAACCCCGCTGAATCTGTTGCAGCTTTCTTTGGTGTGGATTCTAAAAAGTTAAAATCGAATTTTGGTCAATTTGAGCTGCATGATATTAAAAAGCGTGATTGAAAGGTTATTTCAGTTTCTGAAAATGGCTTTCTCAAAATTTTGAATACACTCCAAGAATATCTGCCAAGATGAACGCGAGGTCACTGGCGGTAAATTGAAGATCTTTTCTTTTTTTGAAGATCAAGTTCCGCTTGTCAGCCGCGCCCAACTCTTTTCTCGACGCGACTTCATTGTTAGGGAATTCTCAAGATTTCTTGCTTGCTTGAGGGAAGCGAAAGAATGCGAAATCGCGCCTAGAAAAATGCGAGACCCACGCGATGACAGAGCGACATGTTGCGAGCTTTATTTTTCCGGGTTTGACGTTTTTATAAGAGGTCTTATGGCCAACAGATCAGATTTTATTTGATGAATAAAAAATGAAATCGATGATGAGATATTTTTGTAATCAAAAGCGTTGTATTTGACGGTAACTTGACAAAATATTTTTATTACGGTTTCTTGAAGAAAGAAAAAACCCTGAGAAAAAAGCTGTTGCAGCTTTGTAATATCACGCAAATTTGTTTCTCATGAAATCTTCATTCATATCAAACAATGAAGCTCAAAAAACATTTTAGGTTTATTTTATTTAATGCTCAAAAATCGACTTTGGGATGGCTTTGGTTTCTCATGCCAAACTTCAAAGAAACTCACTCGACAGTATAGTTGACCGGAAGAATATTTCTGGCTTTAAGATCCCGAGCACACATCTTTAGCACGTCCGGCTCATGAACGATGTTCGGCCTTCCTGGATGGAGATGACCTATTCTGACGACGCCGCCCGAGGGTTTTTTCGGTTTCACGTTTCCGACGCTGCTGATTGCTCTGGAGCCGCTCGACGCGTCAAAGATCAAGAAAACGACGATCCACGGAATCATGGCTTCATGCTGAAATGAAGAAAGTCAATGGGGAAAACATATTGAATTTTTTACCATTAAAACTCACATAAGGAATGTATACCCAACAGCTGCAAAGACATTTTTTTGGTTTTTTTTTTTGCTTCGACAGATGCGTTTCAGACTCCACTGGCACCTGGTTATCTTTTTTTTCGAGAATCGAAATCTTAGTGGATGAATTTTTGTTTTTGATCGTAATCTTCTTCTTCTTTTTCCTACGCCTTTGTACAGCTTGAGTGACGTCGGCATCCCAAGTCGATTAGCCAAGGTTCTATCCTGATATCCGTGATGATCAGTTGACAGACTCTCATGAAATATCTATTCTTGGGTGTGACGGTTAAGGATTATGAAACAGCGATTTCCCACTGACAACTATTTCTAAGCCCCTTGATTGAGGGATGATTGAACTTGTGACTCCTTGAACCGTAGACAGGCTCACAAACTTTTTTGAAACTTTCAAAGCTGCTTTTTTTGCGGATTGAATTCTCACCAAAATACTACAGATAAAAATCACGCTTTTGTAAATTTACTGACGAAGCTGTCCAATTCAAACTGGTTTGTAAAAACATTGGTCGCACTGGGACCACTAGCGAAAAAAGTGCGACCGACCATAAAACGAGTTGAGCGCGCTGCGTTGGTAACTGTTGGAATCGGCAACTGCTCACCACAAAATTGAAAGCTCGCTCGAACCTTAGCAAGGCTGAGAACCTTGGAGCTGTTCACCTTGCAACCAGAAATCTCAAGTTAAAGCGAATGAATTGTACTGGCTTCCAATCTTCTATGCGTAAACAATTCAGTCATATCAAGAATCAGAAACGTATTGATATAATACCTGTTCTAAGAAGGAAATACTGTTATAGCGGAATTTTAAAAAAAAGTTTTCTTCTCGAAGATTGTCTTTTCCATTTTTAACCGATCAAAAGTAGTCAAGAAATATCGAAAACTTACGGTAAATGGTGCAGAAGCAATGTGACGACTAAAGAAGCGTACGGAAGCGATTTCCAGACTGATTCAGAAGGAGCCATTAGGGTGGCAAATGCGGATCGGAAGCGGTGGACGTGCCTAATGGAGGTCTCGCTTTTCGAAATCATCACAACACCTTCAAGATTTTGACAAGTCTGGCCCAAAATCTCCGGAAATTAACATTAAAACCTGTGCATCTCGGAATCTGGATAGTGGTCTCGTCGTGTTTTCGGGAACGACTTTCGATGTTAGCTCACCAAAACAAAATCACGAATTTTTAGCAGAGAAAATATTCAGCTGGAAAAGTTTTTTAGTATTACTTTTTTTGCTTTAGCTTAGAGTTGAAATTTAGAAAAAAAGTATGAAGAGTTTAAAAAAAGAAAAGTTGAACTAACAAAAGAGGTAATTTTAATTAAAAGTCTGTGATTTCATTAAAGCACGCAAGATTTTTGGTAGCCCTGTTAGCTTTCCTATTCTCGGAATATCATTTTTTTGGAATTAACCTTCCGAACCAATACTTTCAACCGATGCGCCAGTCTCTTAAAAAAATCAAATTATTAAAAAAATAGATTTTTTTAGGAATGATACTCAGAATGAAAGCTCGGAAAAACATGGGTCACAAGGATTCTTAAACAGTTTTTTTCAAAGAAAAAAATTAAAGTTAATGGACCAGAGCTTGAAATTTTATAAAAAGTGTGAACTGAAAAAGGAAAAAAAGTTTATCATATATAAGGCTAAAAAAAGTGCAGAAAGTCTCGAATAGTTTATTTTTTAAATGCATTGAAAGTGTCAGAACAAAACTTTTGCTCTACTCTATCAAATACGAATAGGAAATATTTTAAAAGGGCTAGCTGAATTTATGAATAATTGAGAACTAACCTCCCGGATCTCCAAAGTTGAAAAAGGGAACATTTTTGGGAATATTCATAAGCCTGTGACTGCAGGCTATTTATTATCTTGTTTCTAGAGTTTTCAAAAAATGTCCCATCTTTTGGACTATAAAAATTGTATTATAATTGACCTGTTGTTCGGAAAAGGAAATAACGTAGGCTTTCTCTTATTAGATTGAGAAAAATCGGCTGGAAACTATAGGTGAAATTTCGGACATCAAAGTCGAAAAAGTGGGCGAAAAATTATCATAAAGTAGAGAGCCATCTCCATTTTTATTTTGAAATGTTTCGGACAAAAAGTAAAAAAACCCAGTTCTAATGATAATGAGAATCTTTTTTTGCAGTCTTAGAAAACTTTGAAAAAAAGGAGAAATAAATAGAGGAAATATAGCAAAACCTATGGCCACACGCAATTTCTTTTTATGCTTCCTGAAATCCTCGAAATTCCTCTTCTTGTTTTTTTTTCCGGAAATCTTTGAATATTCTCAAAAAAGGCACAAGTCTAACAACTTGAGAGATAAAATCTCTCTGCATTTGATCTCGAGAGGGGTCAAAGTATTGTGTATACACGCGGGAGACCGCAGACATTTCTGTTCCCCGCTCTTTTTTCCTGCCGTCGTGGATTCCCGTATCATTTCTTTGCAACGTTCGTCCGATTTCTTTCATTTCGAATCTTTTTGTAAAGTTTGGGGATTTATTTATTTTTAGAACGAACGGATGGTTGAAATTCTAAGAAATGTTGATGAAAGATAGGAAAAACACTTGCGCAAAGAGGATTCCCTCAAGTTCAAAAAGTTTCTCATTCTTTTAAAACGTTGTCTTTGTCTTATTTTTCAGTGTGCGTAAGCTATTTAGGAACATGAATTTGCAATGATAAGAGAAATTTTCTATTCGAATTTCATTCCACAAAACGAATATCAGGATTCGAAGATCAAATCTTGAACCAATCAAATTGTTTTCTAAATGCTTTTTATCCGTCAGATACACAATTGATTTGTTGTTTATGAATCATCCTATGTCGAAACAACAAAAACAGATTTTTCGCTTCAAATCCTGTTTCATTTTCCTATCTGATTTGTAGGAGATCTCAATTCTGAGATGTTTTCCAGTGGTTCAAAAATTTTTCAAAAATAAAGTTAGGATATTTGTGCGGTCTTTACTCATTTCTATTTTTCTTCCAAAAAAATTACAAAAAAATTGAGAGCAATTGTGAGGCAAATAATACACGGTTTTTTTAAAGCATTGCGAACTGTTTCTAAAAACTTTTTTTCGATTTCTGCTATCTTTTTCTAAACTTTGCGTAGAACTTGTTTTTTTCAGAATATTATTTAATAAATCATTTCAAACGCAATTTCACTAGATAAAAAAATGAATAAATCAGCAAGCAATATTTCAAAGATTATAATATACACATAACTGGCCCAGAAAAATTTTTTTATCTTAATTTCTCACCAACTGATTCCCTCTTTTTACCAAATCATTGCTCTCTATTCATTGGCTGGAACTTTACGTGCCGTCTTTTGGAAGGACCTTATCTACGTTTTTTCGTGACCTTGGCACACGAGACTACACGTGCGTCGCCCACATTTCTTTTCCATTGCGTTTTTGTGTCGACGTGGTCTCTTTTTCTTTTTGTTAGCTTCACAGGTTTTTTTCAGGATGTCGCAATTTGATAATATTCTTCGCGATCTTAAAGTTGGGGACAAGCAGTACAAGTACTACGACATCACTGCTTTGGGTGATAAGCGATATGGTCAGTTCCTGGAAATCCGCTTTTTGGAAAAAAAAAGAACGGGGAAACAAAAGATTATTGCGTTTCAGAAACTTTCGAACTTTCAGTTCTAATTTTTAATTTCAAAAAAGGACAAAAAAGGAAAAATTTTAAAATTAATCATAAAAATTGAAAACGAAGAATCGAACTTTTCCTTCCATCTACAAATAAAAATTGCTGTGTCCAATTCACAGAATTATATGAAACGCAAGACATGAAACTTCTAAGTATCTCAAGTTTACCGCTTCTGTGAAAATTTGAAAAAGACCCTCTGACGGGAACAAACTTCCTTTTCTGATACCAAATGACACTAATAGAAAAGTCACGAGATAGATGTTTTATTATTAATACACCAACTATTACTGTTTCAGAAAATCTTCCAATCAGCATCCGCTACTTGTTGGAGTCGGCGATCCGCCACTGTGACGGATTCCACATCACGAACAAGGATGTCGAATATATTCTGAACTGGGAGAAAAGCCAGGCCGAAGACGCCGAGGTTCCATTCAAACCGGCTCGCGTCATTCTCCAGGACTTCACGTAAAGAAATTATTCATGATGAGATCCAAAGAACCTTTTGCAGTGGTGTGCCTGCCGTCGTTGACTTGGCGGCTATGAGAGACGCTGTTCAGCAATTGGGAGCTGATCCGGCAAAGATCAACCCGATCTGCCCTGTTGATCTGGTTATCGATCATTCCGTTCAGGTTGATCACTACGGAAAGTATGTTTTGGAGTTTAAAAAAGCTAGGTCGCCGTAAAAATTGTTTGCACATTCGGGATTTGAAGCCGCGGAAAAAAAAATTCGATCATATAACGTTGCAACAACAAAAAATTTGTGGAGCCGTAAATCTTTGAAATTATAGCATAAATAGTTTTGGCCAGAGGTAATAAAAATACAATTTAGAAAAATCTGTAAAACGGTTAAATGTATCTATCTTTAAAAAAATCGGTTTTATTGAATCTTATAAAAACTTCCATACAATTTCCGTCTTTTCTATTCAGAATCTTTACAGCCTCGAAGCCCTCGCAAAGAACCAAGAAATCGAGTTCGAACGCAACAAGGAGCGCTTCAACTTCTTGAAAGTTTGTTCTTTTCTCTTTTTTTTTTTCTCAAATCGGCGCTCCTTATCAATCGGCAACATTGTCTTGTCATCGTCTCAAGTTGGAATCGGGTGACTTTATCACGCAATCCTTGCGCGAAATGATAGCAAAAGTGAGAGCAAACCTATGAAACTGAACCTTTTGTACTTTGAAACGTCAAGAGAAAAAAGCAAATTAAAAAGGATTATGTGTTTTATAGTTCTATCACGTTTGTATCGGAATCTACAATGACTTTATTTTTAAATACAAGAAATGCTTATAAAGTTCCACTAACTTAAAAAAAGAATCTGTAGAACAAAAAAATAATTAGAATCTATAATTTCTCGGAAATTGCTTTATTTAAATCACAAATATTTTAAATTTTGTGGTCAAAACTCAACTTCTTTGGTTTTGACCACAAAAATTGAAAAAGCTACTTATCTACAATTCTTTTTCTCAAGTAGGGAAATACAATGTTAAAATAATGAAGGGCATAAAAAAACCTATGATATATTGTTGGCTCTGCTAGATTCAATGACAGTTCCAATATTTTTTTCTCAAGGCCGAACCAAAAAAAGAAATCGGAAAAAAATTTGCTCGATTCTGACAGAATCAGTCTTTAAAAATATAATTTTAATAAATAATTTTACAGTGGGGCTCCAAGGCCTTCGACAATTTGTTGATTGTTCCACCTGGCTCTGGAATCGTTCATCAGGTCAACCTCGAGTACCTCGCCAGGACTGTTTGCGTCGGAAATGTAACTTGGTCAAAGTTGCTTTTCAATTTGATATTCTTCATAGGATGGAGTTCTCTACCCGGACTCTGTCGTTGGAACCGATTCGCACACGACCATGATTGATGGCTGCGGAGTCCTCGGCTGGGGCGTTGGTGGAATCGAAGCTGAAGCTGTGAGTTTTCCTATAATCAACAGATCAAGAAGGTTTTCGAAATCTCCAGGTGATGCTCGGTCAACCGATCACCATGGTCATCCCTCAAGTCGTTGGATACGAATTGGTCGGATCTTTGCCCGACACCGTCACCAGCACGGATTTAGTTCTGACTATCACGAAGGTGACTCATGAAAGACAGATATAAAATTTCCTTCATGATTGAGAGTTTGTATACCTGTTAAAAAATGTTTCAAGGTATATTTCAGATTTCATCGTTTTTTCATTATGATTCCCATTCATCTGCACATTTCGCGAGAAAAGTGCTTTCCCAGACTCCTTTCTGATTCAAGCTCGAAAACAAATCGTTCCTTGTTTTTCTGGACAATAGTTCCCTAATAGGAGCAAAGCACATTTTTTAAAGTCGTGTACTTCAGAATCTCCGTGACCTCGGCGTCGTTGGCAAGTTTGTCGAGTTCTTCGGCAGCGGAGTTTCTTCTCTTTCTATCGCGGATAGAGCTACCATTGCCAATATGTGCCCTGAGTACGGAGCTACCGTCGGATTCTTCCCAGTTGATGCTAGAACTATCGAGTGAGATATTTTTATCATTTTTGATTCTGGAATAAAGTGACTTCAGATAAAAATGAAGTCAAGAAATGAGCTCCAAAAATCTAATTTGTTCGAAAATCAATAAAAAAAAAGGAAATTTTCACTGAAAAAGTTGTCATTTTCTGAAGTTCAAATCCTTCCACAAGTTCCGTTAATAATTTCTTTCTTAACTTTTTGGAATTCATTTTTTTTTAGCTACTTGCGTCAAACTGGCCGTGATGACGCCTACATCCATCGTGTGGAAGAATATCTCAAAGCGAACGGCATGTTCGTCAACTTCTCTGATCCTTCCTTCAGACCTCACTACACCACGGTAACATCCAAGCTGATCCTTTTAAAGTTCTGTCTGAGTTTTCAGGTCCTCACTCTCGATTTGGGAACGATTGTCCCGAGCGTCTCCGGACCCAAGCGTCCCCATGACCGCATCAATCTTGCCGACCTTCACAACGACTTCACTGAAGGTCTCACTGCCAAAGTTTCCTTCAAGGTAAGATTTGAATCGACAACAACTTTTTTCAATAAAGTATACAGGGCTTTGGACTGTCTGCTGAGGATGCGGCAAAGCAGGTGCAAGTGACCAACCACGGAAGAACTGCTCCTTTCGGTCACGGGTGAGGCTTTTGGAGCAGAAAATTAAGTTCAACGAAGGATATTTCAGATCTGTTGTCATTGCTGCTATTACTTCTTGCACCAATACTAGCAACCCAAGTGTCATGCTTGCTGCTGGCCTCGTTGCCAAAAAGGTGAACATTAACTGGAAGCTTTGAAAAAAAAACTAAACCAAATCTTTTTATGTGATTTTTCGGGTTCATTCCTGTTTTTGTGTGGTTTTCAGGTTGAAAGATTCATATCATTTGAGAACAGTTTATCGGATCGATTTTCTTTGAAGTATACCTCTGTAATACCATCAACAACTTTCAGGCCGTTGATCTCGGACTCCAAGTGCAGCCCTTCTGCAAGACCTCTCTTTCTCCTGGATCTGGCGTTGTGACCAAGTACCTCGAGGCTTCGGGTCTTCTTCCCTACCTCGAGAAGCTCGGCTTCAACATTGCGGGTTATGGCTGCATGACCTGCATTGGAAACTCGGGGCCTCTCGACGACAGTGTCACGAAGGCTATTGAAGATGTGGGCTTTTGAAGTGTGCCATCGCTTTAGAGCAGATTTGACACAAATCACAACGAAAAGGCAAACTTTTCTAAAAGTAGAGTGCTGAAAAGCAACTATTTTTTGTAGATCAAACGTTTTATAAAGTTGCTTTCAAGTTTTTCAACAAAGTCAGAAAGTTATATCGTTCACAGGAAAACTATTTTTTTACAATGAACTGGATTTTTTTCCAATAGAGTAGCTTTAATTAAACGCGTAAATATTCATTTTACAATTATGAGAAAAACGATTTTTTTATTCAGAACAACCTCGTCGTTTCCGGAGTTCTTTCTGGAAACAGAAACTTCGAAGGAAGAATCCATCCTCTGGTCCGAGCCAACTATTTGGCCAGTCCTCCATTGGCCGTAGTTTATTCGATCGTCGGAAATGTCAACGTTGATTTAAGCGGTGTTATTGGTGAGTATAAAAATGAACCAAGTGTTTCAAATTAGTGCAAAAGAAAATGTTTTTTTCTAGCAAATTTTTTCTGACTTTTAAAGCCTTTCATGAAATCGTGTGATGAAGTGCTGAAAAGTTGAAAAAAAAAACCTGATGTCTACTCTAAAAGACTTTCATTGCCTCGAGTTTAACCTAGAACTTTTTCAGCCCACACCTCGACCGGCCAAGAAGTCCGGCTTGCCGACATCTGGCCAACTCGTGAAGAAGTTGCCAAGTTCGAAGACGAATTCGTCAAGCCTCAGTTCTTCCGCGAGGTTTGCTTCAAATTAAAGGGCATTTCTCATGCAAATTTTATTATTAAGGTTTACGCAAACATCGAAAAAGGCTCTCCTCAGTGGCAGAACCTTGAATGTCCACCGGTCAAGCTGTACCCTTGGGACAAAGAAAGCACTTACATCAAGAAGGTTCCATTCTTCGAGGGCATGGTAAAAGAAAAGCTAAAACGTTGTGAAGTGTCGGATTTTGTTGCAGACCGCGCAACTTCCTTCTCGCACCGAAATCAAAAACGCTCATGTCCTTCTCAACTTGGGTGATTCGGTGACTACTGATCACATTTCTCCGGCTGGTTCCATTTCCAGGGTTTGTTTCGGAGAGTGGATTCTTTGAAGTAGAAAAAAATTAGCAGTTAAATCTGAAGGCGCGACAAATATTCTGGGTCTACAGCGCTGATAATGTTCAGATTGAGCGACTAGAAGATGTTGAAAGATCTCAAATTCAAAGCTTCACGTTTTTGAAAAAGCATTCTGAATCTTTTTGTTTTGCGTTTCTGCTCGCAGAGCTCTTTTTTATAACATATAATATATTTCAAAAAATTAAACCACGTAAAAAATTGCTCTAAAAAGAATCTTTGCAGATCTCTCCCGCCGCTCGTTACTTGGCCGACCGTGGTTTGACTCCTCGTGATTTCAACACCTACGGAGCGCGTCGAGGAAACGATGAGGTCGGTCAAAACCCTTTTATTTTGTCACTAATTTTTTTTTTCAGGTCATGGCCCGAGGAACCTTTGCCAACATCCGTCTTGTGAACAAGCTGGCTTTGAAAGTCGGTCCTCAGACGTTGCACGTTCCAAGCGGAGAAGAGATGGACATCTTCGATGCCGCTGAAAAATACCAGAAAGCCGGATCTCCGGTAAGTTTTCATAACGTGAAACTGAAAAAATCTTTACCTGGTTTTAAAATTGATGCTTGAATTGTTTGATATAATTGGTATTGAGTTGATTTCCTTTTTGACTAAACTAAAAAAACGAGTATTCACTGATTGATTTACCGATTGTAGGTGATCATCCTTGCCGGAAAAGAATACGGCTGCGGATCTTCTCGCGATTGGGCCGCCAAGGGACCTTACTTGCAGGGCGTCAAGGCTGTTAGTTTCTCTTTCACCTACAGTTTTTGAAAAAAAAGGGTGATAGAGCTGAGGAAATTTCCAGGTCATTGCGGAGAGCTACGAAAGAATCCATCGATCCAACTTGGTGGGAATGGGAATCGTGCCTCTTCAGTTCCTTTCTGGTGAAAATGCCGATTCTCTTGGATTGACCGGAAAGGAAACTTTCAAGTAAGTTGGGAGCTTTAAATGGTTTACTCATGGAAAATAGACTCTTTCTCAAATTTCAGGTTGGCAGTAAAACACTGAAATTTTTTCTTAAATCCTACTTTCCCAGCGCTTTCTTATAGTTCTTGAAAATCTTACTTCCAAAGTTTCTATCAAAACTCATCTTCCAGCATCCACCTTTCCAAAGACCTCTCGTGCGGTGAAATCGTCGAAATCGAAGCTTCTAGCGGCGTTTCTTTCAAGGTAATAACTATTTGAGAAATTTCTAGATGATAGTTTTTTTTTCCAGGCAACTCTTCGCTTCGACACCGACGTCGAGCTCGAGTACTACTACCACGGCGGAATCCTGCAGTACATGATCCGAAAACTTATCCAGTAGATAATAATTAACTTTATCAATTTTAAACTATTTTTAGATACAATTTTTGACGCTAGGGTATCGAACTATCGATCTGTGATTATTATAATTGTGATTGTGATTTTTTTCCCGTTTTTTTATTTACTTGTAATAGTCGAAAAAAATTGATTCCATTGCCTTTAATGCATTTATTTGTTTTTTTGTGAGGAAAAATAAATATTGATTGAAAAATGTTGTTTTATGATTTCTTCTACAACAAAAAAATGAAATTTTATATATATCTGTATTTGATCTCAATATTTATTTTAATTCGAAACACAATTCAAGTCAAACATTTGCGATAAATAACAATTTTCAAAAGTTTTGTTTCAAACATCATGGAAAAAAAGCTTATTCACTTTTTCACCAATCGAATACATTTCATCTCGTGAACTCATGTCCTGGGATCAATGAATCACAATTCTGAAGATGAAATCGTACGTAAGACACATAAATCCTCGCTGACGCTCCTTTGAAAGATAGGGCCAGACAAAAGTGATATCTTATAAGGTCGCATCTTTCTTGTCTGGCAAGATTTCCCAAAGAAAAGAGATTTGCGTCATTCAGACTCGACACATGTCGCAGATGCTTTTTTTTTCTCGACCGCCAGCTGGATCACGTAAAAGTGATCAGCCCCTGGCAAGTGTTCTTTTCGATATTCTCTTCTCTTTGTCAGTTACTTCCTCCAGTGTTAATCTCGATTTTCTTCTTTTGACGCTTCCAAATTCTCATCAAAAGCTGTCATACAAATAATGTGGAGGGAGATTCTCGTTGCTGAAAATTTTTTCGATTTTTTTCAGGAATCATTGATTTTTCAGCTTCGAACAAGTTTTAAAGGTTTTATTATTATTTTTTCACTTCTAATCGCTTCACATTTCTGAACAATTCCAACCAGATATTCTAAATATTCAAGGACTTTAGATAGGAGATTTTTGGTGTAGGAAAACTCCGAATATAAAATCTCCGTTGCGGAACAAAACTATCGAGAAATTCGTTGGTATGAACCTATTTCGACGCATTTTTTTTGAACTCTTGTTGTTTAAAGATTGTCTCTAGTAGATTGCAATTTTCTGCAGTTCAAACTTTCTCCGTGAGTTTACGTTCCAAGCGTGAATGCTTGTTTTCAATCAAAAAGCCCTTTCAGATTTTCACTGAACGACATCAGAAACCACGGCGATTCGGGTGTATTTTGCTCATTGGTCGAAAACCACTTTATTAGCGTATGCCCCATCAAAACCGGCCCCAGGATGATCACCAAAACAACACATCGTAAAACTCCTCCTAGAGAGGTGAAAAATAAGAAAGGAATATTCCTTCAGTACTCTCAACAAGAAAACGACTCAGTTTATCTTTTTTGTACAATTTTTGAGACTGTTCTGCTGAAAAGTTTTTTTTACTTACTTTTATTTGAACAAGATATTGGGAAAAATTTTCCCGGTATATTTGATTTTTAAGTTTTGAAACTGCGATTTCTTTTTGTCATAAATCGTGTATTTTGCAAACTTTGAAGCGTCTCAACCTAAAGAAAAATCCAACACGAGACATTTCTTCTTGTTGTTCGGGAGAAGGTTTCAGAAAAAGTTTCATCAAAAAGCTTAACCGGTGGTTAGAAAATGTTCCTAAATTAGATATCCGTCTTTCAATAGTTTTTCCAATAGAAGTGATGCTATTTTTAATTTTCGGTTTTAACTGCAGCTCAAGTTAAAGATGAGAAATTCCAGGGGACTCCAAATTTTCATCGAAAAGATTCAACAACTACTGGAAAATGTCGTCATATTCTTCTAAATGTGCTTTTTTCATTCTTTTGATTGCAAATCGTTATCGTATTAACCCTACAACATGACATCACACTAATCTTATGATTGAAAGGTCACAAGTTTGATTGATATTTTCAGTTTCTCACGTTCCAAATGGGGAACCCCCCCTCCCCTAATTTGGAATTTCTCATTAATTTTTTCCGAAAAAAATTTATACTATTTTTTTAAAAATCAGTTTGAACCCTTTCAAAATTCTTTTCAAATACATAAGATACACTTTTTTTGGACGGGGGACTAAAAGGTTGCCACCATTTCCACCGGCGGATGATGTGGCTTGTTCGCTAAGTGGAAACTTTTTTTATAAAACAGTCCTTTTAGTGAGCCTCCTCATCCCTCTTTATCATCCCTTTGTACCCATTTGACTCATTTTTACATTTTTACTTTTTCCATTTTGTCTTACTGTATCCTCCTTCTCAAAAAATCCTCACTCACCAATAATTTCTTTTTCTTTCATTCCATAGTTACTCAATTGACCGTTTTTTTTATTGAAAATTTTTATTTGCTACTCTATTTTGAAAAATATTTAAATGTAATTTTTTTTTCAAAAATAATTAGCATTTGGTTTTCTGAGACTCTCAGAGTATCAAGATTTAGGCAATTCCTTTTCAGAATTTCTGAAATTTTCTCATGATTGTTGATATTTTCCTCCTCCCTTGTTGTTTGAAAATCGTCATCGTTCTGTTTTTGAACCCTTATAAGCTTTCATGAACACCCTCAAAACAAATAACCTTCAAAAAACTTTTTTTTCAATTCCTAAGAGATCAAATCTCCTTCCGAGGTTTCATTTCCCAACCGAAAGATCGCCAAAACATCAAAAAGTTCCGCCCAGACGTTCTTTGGAAACCAACAAAAGTTCGAGCGGCCTCTAATTTACTCAATGTGTTTGCACTTAGGCTGGTTCTGTTGGTTTTTCCAAATCCGTTTTTTCATCTCTCCCCCCGTTCAAAACTGCCGTTTACCACAAACTCATTGTTTCTTTTCGCCGCTGAAACTATGCTTTCCGACGTTTTTTCTTCTTCTTTTCTCTTAACTATTTCTTCCACAACTTTCTCAAGCAAAAAATCGTATTGATTCTGAGAAATTCTTATCGTCTGGGTTCTCAATTCTCACAAAATTTGTAATGGCTTCCACGTTCCCGGAAAACTATGAAAAATTTCTGAGAACGTTCTCTCCGTTTCCTTTCGTACACTTTTTATCTCTTTTCGACATGATTCCGTCTATTCACAAAATTCTTTTATTTCAGAATCAAGCATGCGTAATATTTGGGTCGTCCGTCATGGTGAAAGAGTGGATCACGTTATAAAAGTGAGTTTTTTGAAGCTTTGAAAAAGCTGTCGAATTGTTGATTTTCAATTATCCTGAGGCAAAAAGCTGTTACAAATGATTCTTAAAAAAAGAAAAAAATGTTTCTGTAACTCTGTTTTTTTACAGTTTTTCACTTTTCGTTCAAAAACATTGATAAAACGGCAAAAAGAAATCGACCCGTGTGATAAATGACCTTTACCGAATAATTTTATTATTTCTTGATAAATTTCTTGAAACAAAAACGACCTAAACTTTTAGTAGTTTTATTTTTGTTCAGATATCAACTTAATTTTCTGAAAAAAATTCTTATTTTTTTCGCTGTTTCAGAATTGGCGGAACACTCCAGACTGCGTCAGATGGGACGACCCTCCATTGAGCGAACGCGGTCTGCGACAAGCCGACGAAGTGGGAAAATTCCTGGCATCAGAGCCCATCGAGCACGTCTTCACCTCTCCGTTCACACGCTGCGTCCAAACGACGTCATCCATTCTGGCCAACTTCCATGACGCCCCGAACGTGCGGGTCGAACCTGGATTTGGCGAGAACCTCAGCTCTTGCGCAGATCCGCCAGGCCGACCACCCATGAAGGACATTCTGGCGATCCATTCTTCGGTGGAGGAAGGCTACAAGCCCATCTACGAAGTCCTGCCAAAAGAACCGCGTCGAGAGGACGGCTGTGCCGATCGGATCGACTTCGTCCTTCGCGAGGTGCTCGACAAGTACCCAAACGGTGACATTCTAATCGTTTCCCACGGTTCGCCGATCGCCTCTGTCCACCTTGCATTGATCGGCTCTTGGAATTACGTTGGCCTTTGCACCATCGGCAAGATTGTGCAGGACGGCGAGAGTTTCTTCTGCGACTATTACAATGAGAAGCAGCATCTCACTGACAAAACCAACTTGCGGGACCACTTGAACGTCTGACGGCCGCTTTTCCACCTGTTGCATGCTTTTTTTTTTGGCTTTTCAACTTTTTTTATTGCTTTATCCCCCTTCTAGACGTTATCTTTCTTTTTTATTTTTTGGCCTTTTATATCGAGTACTTCCACTTGACGGGATTTCGCGGACCTTCTGTTTCCAATGGAATCTATTTGTTATTTTTCTGGTTCATCTTTTTCTTTTTTTCATCTGAATAAAGGCGACCAAACACAATTGAATTGTTTTTCTCCAAAAAAGGTCTTATGAATGAAAAAAAAAACTGAAATCTTGAATAGAAATGTGAATAATCTGAAGAAGGTTAGTATAACTTCAGATCAGAATTTTGACATAAAGTTGGACTTTTGAAAAATGACTCGAAAATGATTTTTATCAGTAAAAGCTCCCAGTTTGAGAATGAAAATTTGCTCCAAGCAAAATGAATATCAAAACGATCAGCGGTGCAATTCGAGAAAGAAGAAATAAAGACGTCTTCAATATATTTTTGTAGCAATGAAAATTTGCCTTTCCTACACAATTGGAGCTAGGTAATTTAACCGAAAGAGATCAAACATCCAATTTTACGCACTCCTCATTAAGAAGCTCTTTTTTAAGCTTGGTTTCTCGAAGATGCACTTTTCTCTTCTCCCAAAGGGTAACAAAGTCCATCCACTTTTTCGGCGATCGTCATCCCTCATAAACTCTGCTCCATTGTACTTCAGCTAGTCAGACAGCGCGTGGTGCGACTCAAAGCCATCTTAGGGCAAAACGAAGACTGGCGGCAGCAGACGGCGGCTGTCTCCACGTTTTGTGACCAGCCATGTGCTGGCGAGAGACAAAATGCTTGGTCAGAGAGCCCAGGCCAACATACAATCGGAGCTGTGGTCATCAGAGTGACCCCTCTGCGTCCATGTTGCCAAAACGCCAATGAGCTTGAACTTGTATATGTTGATCAAAACTCAGCCATCTCCTTTTTTGTTCCATTCTTCAAGACTTTAAAAGACTCTTTGAAAGGTTTTCGTGCATGATTTTCGAAATTTTTTTTTCTCTATTGATTCATACTTCAGGTTCGTTTGTTTGCTTTCTTGGAAACCTTTACTATAACAAGGAAAAAGATGTTTCAAATTAAAAATTCTGAGTTCTTTCATCAAAATTGTACAACTTGATCAAGACTTTTCGACCTTCTTTTTTTCGTTCTTCATGCCTATAAAAAAGCTCGTTGTACAGAAATCTGTTTTCTAGTAGTCGTTGTTTATGAATTTATAGTTTATGCGTTTTATTCGCTCCTCTTAGAGCCGTAATCGGAGCAGGTAAATCATTCAAAAATATCATTTTTTTCAGCTCAAAAAGAACTCGAATCTTCTATCAAGTTTGCAAAAGTTGATCAAAACTCTTTCACTTTTTCAATACTCAACGACAAGATTTTTAAAATTATCATCTTGCATAAAACAGATATCAATTTTAGTTCTCAGTTTATGGACCGTTTTTATGAAAGGAAGATAATTTGAATGTTTTTAAAACTAAAAACTGTCGATTTCGAACACTTTTTTGCGGCACATCTGAGTTTTTGATGAGATCTCGTACTGTCGCTAAGCCGAAAACTCATCCTCATTTCCCCAAAAAAATGATAAAATTCTTTCCCTTTTTCCAAGCCCTGTAACTTCTTTGCAAATCAGAAAAATTTCTAGGAACATAGCAAAATTCAATGGGACTCTCACTCGATACTGTAGTTTCTTTGTTCTAGTTTTCCCAACCATTTTCCTTTCTTTTGGATTTTGTTTGGTGAGAAAAAAAGTTTTTTTTTAGCCCAAACAACTTTTTGAACAAAAAAAGGTTTTTTCTCATATTTCTGCTCTTTTTTCGATTAAAGTGAAATTAGTTCGGAAGGGGAAGCGGTAAAAAAATTCTGTCAGACCATCATTCCAATTGTAAAAAAATATTTGGAAGTTCCTGAATATCTTCTGAAAAAAGTAGACAGTTTTCAAGAGGAATCGTTGAGAAAACGACTCCAACTAAGACTTACTCGCGTTTTTGTCCTCATAAAAGAGCGCGGCTACAAGAAAAGCTCAAATTTTTGTAGTCTCCGGAGGAAATAATCATTCCTACTTTATATCTCCTTGTACCGCATATCCTTAGAAGCTTTTTGGTTGTTTTGGGAGAAACCTTGTGATTTTTGGTCGAGTAATTCTAGAAGCGTGTGAAATACCTTCCCAGTCCGGCTACATAGTATGAATGAAATGCTCACGCGTTTCATTTATAACATGTTGTTCTCTGTTCCAGACGTCTTTTGATTCCGGATTCCTATTTGAAACGGCTTCTTGTTTGCTTGAAGAAACAGGAAACCAGCCACAAAGCTTTTTTTTAGGTTGATATTAGTTTATCGAAATCGCCGAAATTCCCTTGCAACACTTAGGAACTTTGGGATCTCTCGATGCTGAAAAATTTGAATTCAACAATGAACATTTTAATTTTGCGACAGTGAGATGAAATTTTCGCAACCTTGAAAAACCGGGAAACTAATTTTGAATAAAAATTGTTGTTTTAGCAATTTGAGAAAACAATTTTTTATCATAAAAATAGTTATAGAGAAGAAAATGATTTTAATTTCAATCAACCTGTTTATGACTCGACAACCATCGAAACATGAATGAAATACTCTCAACTTTTATTTTTAAATTTCCTATCTGATTCACAAAAATTTTAACGGTCGATTTGACCTTCTACAAAGGGGCTAGCATGATATGATGTTATTTTTTCAAGTTTTCCCCTTTTAATTTTCAAAAAACAGTCGGCATTCAAGTTCGGGATTCACCGAATTTGTGCTTTTTGATCTGTCGTTCAGGTCGAAATTCGGATTCTGCACCTTTTGCAGATTTCTGTCTTTGTGACCAATAGAACTTATGAAATTAGTACGAATTTGTTCCACCCTGTGGCCTTACTTTCAATATTTTTTTATATTTCTGGATATAAAGTTTATATCCTTTCATAGAAACAAAAATAATGTTGTCAGAACTGTTTTTTTCATGAAGTTTTTTTCTTGGAAGAAGTAGAAAAATGATTCATTAAAAATCTTTGAACTCTTCGTGTTGCGTCACTACTTATTTTTCCCAGAGTAAACATATTCTGACTAGATCTGGGTTTTTCAGTAATCTCATTGCATAAAATGTAATTGAAGCTATGAAAAAGATAATAAGAATCACGACGACTCATCCGTTCGTCTCGTTTTTGTTTTTTTTCACGCGTTCTTATCAGATTTTCTAGCAAGCGTTCGCTGTCGCGAGCGGATGGTGGCTCATTGGCATCATTTTTTTGTGTTGAATTGTCTATTCTTCGATATGATGCTATGTATATGCTTAATTATCTGTATATTCTTTAATGTAGAAATTTTTGATCAATGAGCCATACTGTAACTAGAAGACGAGCATTTAAAAGCGTTGTCACCTCAGTTTGAAAATAAAATTGTGGCTAAAAGGAATAGTCCATGTGTCACAGCTGCTGGTGCCTTTTTTTATAAAGTTTTTGAGATAAAAGTGTCACCTGCGACTTGACGAGGAAGCTCTTTTAACGCACCAAACTGCGGTTTCCCTCGACAAAAAACTGTATCGCAATCTGACATTAGTCCGGCTTGAAGTTTGGGTATTCAAAAGCGGATTTAATAGATAACAAGTATGAGAAGATTATGACTCTTTTACGAAATTCTTTCATATTTTTTGCTGTCAAAAAAATTTAGAAGAAAAATTGGTATTTTTTTTGAAATTCCAAATCAACTAGTCATTATCAGAAGCCGACCTCCTATCATTCACTCCAAGCAGCGCTTTCCTTTCCTTCCGTTTTCGCGCTCTTTAATCTCTTCTACGGCAAATATTTAGCCTCTCTTCCCCTGTTCGTATTTATTATTTATTTATAAAAGGTGGCGAGATCGGTAATTGAGATTTCCTGTGGCCCAAAGTAAACCATCTAAACGTGTTCTGTTCTGTTTACAATTGATCGAAAAGCTGGGCCAATAGTTTTTTCTCGCAGTTCAGAGCTATAAGTTTTTTGTTTCCAAATTCTGATAGGTTCAATAGACAGCAAGGCGTTTTATGCCCTGGAAAGAGTCAGTAATAAACGATTCCTGTGGAGAATAGCTTCATAAAAAGCTCATAAAGATGCATGCGACATCTAAAAGTCTGTCACTTAGCGACTGGCATTTCCTGGTTATTCAGCAACAAACATAAAAAAAATTGGGGTTTTTTTTTCCAGGCGACCAGAAATCCATATTTTTTATGTTCAAAAAGCGTAAAAGTTGGAATATAAAATGTTTGGTTCGCCATTTGATTGCAGACGTTGTAAAATGCCTCTTTTTTCGCTGTTGACATCGGATTTTTTTATGATTTCATTTTTTTAAGAGTACAGTAACGTTTTTGAATAAATCAATTTGAGAAAAGTTTCCGAATGATGCTACAAATTGTATTCGCAACCCTTTCCCGTGCTCTTTTCGCCCGAAAATTACCTTTTAGCGGAGAAACGCCAAAAATAAACGCCGTCGTTTTGCTCTACAACAACAAGATGAAAGTGATAAAACTTGTGAAGTGTGAAAATGAAGCGATATCTATCAGTTTCTTGAGATTTTTCTTGACAATTTAATCAGCTTATCGAAGTTTCTGATAAGCAGATAAATGAGGGACATTCCTCGTTTTTGCTTGTTTCGCGCCTTTTCCAATTTTGAATCGAAGTTTGTTTCCGGTCGTAAAACTCGAGCACAGACTGATAGGCGCTGATCAGTACTGATCAGAACTGTTAGTCAAATAGAAGATCTCGCATTTCCATCGATTCAAAAATGTGTTTTTTTCGCATAAATCCCTCGGAGTCCCTCGGAAGAAAAAAATATTTGTTCGAAAAGGAAAAAAATATGAAACAAGAAAATTTAAGAACTTTTTTTTGGAAAACTCAAGAAGTTTCGGAAAAAAAATTCACTTCTTTTTTATTAAAGTTGTCGAAAAAAAACTCGGATGAGTTTTCCAAAAACTTCGAACAGATTAAAATTCAATTGTTCTGAAAGTTTCGAAAAGAGACAAATGATTCTTGGAACGGATTTTTGAGCTTTCAAGTACCAGAACTTTGCTCAGTTCACAAATTTGGACCACAACCGACGTCTTCATGATAACTCCTTTTGACTTCACTAGACCCCAAATGATCATCGTTCCCAGTCTTCCACAGATCTTCAAATGTGGAATCTAATAATCCAGGGACGTCAAAAGCTCATACGCGTTATCAGCGGCCATGTTGCGAACGATATTCCGCGGCTGCATGTCATTAAGCCATTCTCCGAAATTTTCGCGATTGCCTCGAATGTATCCCGCCATCCGCCTATTTTCTTTTCTTTGCGTATCACTTCCCAAAAGTCGAGTTCAATCAATATTCGGGAAACTCTCAAAAAAAAAAACCCAACTGGTAACTTTGTAACGAGTCTCTAATGGCTGTGGGATTTGTTTTTGTTTTTTGTTGTATTGGTTTATTCGCTAGGGAAATTTCAGAACATTTTTCTGCGTTTTGTTTGGCATAAGCATCTTTTCAAAGAGAAAAATTTGGTCACCTGAAAAATGAAAGTGTTTATTTCCAGACAAAGCTCTTTGAAAATTTTTTTAAACTTCCGATTCCCTCTCGAACGTTTTTTTTGTCTTTCTTTTCAGTTTTCAAGTTTTATGGTTTTCACATCAAATGAAAACTGTTTTTATTAAAAATATCAAAGTTCAAGTTTCAATAATGACATTTGAAAAGATAGCGCAATATATTCCGCACTGCTCAAAAAATACAGAGAACATTTATAAAATACACGATCAAATTTTCCAGGAATCTCCAATTTCGCGGCTTCTTCGTGGCTTTTTCTAATCTCAATTTCTACTCCCATTTTACTCAATTTCCCCGTTTTTGCTATATATTTTCTCTTTTTCAAAGCTAATTTTATTGTAGCTTGATTTCCAGCCAATCTATGAAAAATGGACGAATGCGAGGATAACGACGACGAGTCGATGATTGTGCAGCAAATGCCGTACTTCGTCAGGGTATGTTCATTAATCTTCTTTCAAAGGGCGTATGGCCCTGGGGGTAAACAAGGTTTCGGACTTTGTCGTGGAAAAAAGTAAGTCTGAATTTGTGTAATTATCAGCTGATTTTCTCACTGAAAGCTGCTTTATCCAGTGTTCTTTGCATTTCTTTTTAGGATCTTCAGCAAGATTCAAGTTTTGGGTTGACTTGAAGAGGGGTTTTGAAGTGCATGTGTTTTTTCACTTGGACTCTCTTCCAGAAGAGTTGAAAATTTTAATTTTTTTTCCCGCATTCAGATGATCTTCATTTATGTTTTTTCAAATATTCGAAAGTATGCCACATTTTCCGGCTTCCTTCCAAAAAAGCTCAGACAGCATAATTTAAGCTATGATTTTCTCGAAAAAAAGCTCGGGACGCTGGATTTATTTTTCTTTAATTTTTCTTTCTGGGGTTAAATTTTTTTAGGTTTCTCTTAATTCAATTATTTTTTTTAGTGTACTCAAGATATACGGAGCACTTTTTTGAAAATTTTCCATCAGTGTAATTATCAGCTGAGTCTCTCAACAGCCGCAGTTGTATTAGCGTTCTTCGCGTTCTGTTCTCAAGATATTTTTCCCAAAGCTCCAGCTGTATTTAACGTTTTTCAAACGTTATTTCTGATAGTTTGAGGATTTAATGAAATCAAAATATTCAGCATCCCAAGCTGAAATTTTCCTCTTTATGGATTTATGATGAAACGTGTTTTTATCATAAAATTATTGTTTCCATCATTTCTTCAAAAAAGAAATTCCTATCTGAAATCATTAGAAAATCGGGATCATGTGTTGATTTCACCGTTTTCTTGAAATTTCTGCAAATTACCACAATCAGAACATTGCCATGTCTTTTCAACTTTTTTGAATTTTCGAGAAAATCGAGCAAAATAAATGAGTTTTTGTTTACGGAAAAATTCTTCTGTCTTCCGCCGATTGAGATCATCTATCAAATGGGCGGCACGCGCACCTGTTCATCTAATGTCAAGATAATGAGAATTTGTTTGGATGGTCATTTTTCAGCGACAAATTGAAGATGATTTATAGGCTAGATCTGTAGAACATAAAACTGAAACGCAGAGAAGTTGAACTATTTTTTTTTGGAAAAAATTTTTTTCCGATTTTATTCGGTAGTAATCATGGTTTCTAATCGTATCAGAAACTAATATTTCGTTGCCCAGAAGAATCAGCTGAGTTTATAAGAACGAGAAACAAGCTAATCATTTTCAAGGTAACATGAACAGACTTTTTGAAAAAAATTTTAATCTTCAAAAAAATTTTCAATTTTTTTAATGAAAACCTCATAGATTCGACAAAGGTGTTTTATAACAAAAAAGAAAGCACCAAGAAAATTTTTCTCGCAATGGAAAGTTTTACTCTTTGATGATCGGAAGGTTCGAGTTGACTGATTGCCGGATTATCGATAAGCCAGAAGCGCCGCGGCCAAAACAACAATACCAAGAGCTTGAGAAAATATTTAACAAGAGCTTAAAGACCAAGATCAACTCAACGAAATCAAACGTATTAGTTTTTTTCGGGGCGGGCTAGCCGCGAAAAACCCTTCAAAGCGTCTGAGACGATGCGATTTTGCAAGTGTAAGCGTCAGTGAGACACCACGTGTTATTCGTAATTTATGTATGACCTTGTAACTATTTCCGTACGATTAGCAAACAAATTGTTGCAATTTTTGATAAAACGAGGAAATTAAGGTGCAACATGGTCGGTTGCAAAAACAATGCATTTTTATCAATCGCTTATCAACTCTCAAATTGAACATTGAGCGGCTTCCTTACCTTTCATTCAGCATTTGTCGCTAATTTGAATAGTTCTTCATTAACAAGGTTTGATGATTCTCTATTGATTTTTCCCCAAGAAAATTGCAAAAAAACCTCTGAGGTAATCGCCTTTTTTGGCAATCTTTTCATGAGTTTTCGCTTTTGTGAGGTTTGTTTGCATGTGTCTTGACCCGGAACACGGCACAAACTCGTTTTTTTCTGCCATGAAATATGCTCCTTTTCTTTTTTCGCGTATTCACGTTTTATTCGATTCGACGTTTTTTTTTATTTCGGTTTCCAAGCTGTTGTTCTACAGAAATAAAGAAATCAACCTGAAAGTCACACGAGTGTTTCTTCATTTTTGATCCATGAAACGAAATGCAGGTGAATAATTGATACAAAAAATTGATGAAAAGTTTTTCGGGAATTCGTGATTTTTAAATCTGAAATGGAATAATTGCACTTTAAAAATAAGACAAACTTTTTTTCACCCTCTCATTATTTTCGACTTTGAACACGCCCATAGGAAGGAAAAAAGTAGACTGACATTGTACTCATGTCACGATACATCTAGAAATCATTAATCATCGAGTTGTCCGTCAAGGTAATGTTGTAATACCTGGCCAAAAAAAGAAATAGAAGAACACTTATAAGACAAGAAAAAGTGATAAAAGGTCTTCAGAGTGACACCGACTTGCTGCATGCTGGCGTTAACAATCTACCGGCCGAGAATCACCCTTTGATTTATTCCGACCCTACCTTGCTGTACAGTCAAAGTGATCCAGTTCCTTCGGTTCGTTTTGATTTCGAGTTTTCAATGACTTTTTCTCCATTATCGATTGACCTATAACCCTTTAGCCTTTTTTGAATACTCAACTTGTAGAGTTTTTCAAACTTGTGAAACGTCTCTTTTTCATTTATGTGCGTAGTAATCATTTTTTTGAATTTTTTCATGAGGGGAAGATTTCTGCTTAAAACAGCACTTGATGAAAAAATTTCAAGTTCAAAGTTGAACTTTGAAAAATTTACTTATTCACAATTGATAATTTATATTTCATTCATCCCATTTTTTTATGAAAAAAAGAACTGTGGTCGGAGAAAAAAAGCCAAACTAGGCCGTCATTCTTCTCTGTCACTCTTCTTTCCACTTTTTTAGTTTCTATTGCTTATGAATAACTATTTATCGTACTATTCCTGAAGAAAATTTTACTTGAAAACAAAATTGCGCGAAAAGAGATGAAAAGTCGATGATTCAGGCCCCCACTCCAACTCCTACTACAAAGCTCCCATCGGAACTTTCTTTTGACAAAGCGAGCATCACAACATCAAGAACCAATCAGTCAACGGATAGACTTCAGTTGCCGCCGTGAGCTTCGAAAACAAAAAAATTCAGAACATAAATAAAGTTTCAGAAGCGCTGCTCGACTCAGAAGTGAAATGGAGATTCGCAATCAGCACTATCAGAAGCAAAAGCAATATGCTGCGGAAAGTCAGAGGCAAAGAAATCTGACGGACATCGACTTTGAAGGTAAATTGATGGCACAAAAAAAAAACAATTTTTTTTGGTTTTTAGCTGGTGATTTTCTCACTGAATTCTCACTTTGAATGTGAACCCAAATCTAGAAAACTTGTGACCTTGAAAGTCGCCCACCATAAATAACCTGCGATCTGACAGATTTATAAGTTTTCAGGAATCCTCAATCTGATCGGAGGATGTTCAACGTGGCAAATTCTGATCTATATGATGATTTCGGCTCAACAAGTTCCTCACGCAATGTTCAACTTGAGCGTCGTCTACATGATGTATCAACCTGATCATTGGTGCAAGGTATTGTTCGAAGTTTGATGATTCAAGAAAAATAAAAATAACAATAAACCACGAGAAAACAAAGAAAGAGTTTGTCTTGCTATTGAAAAATGGCTGAAATTCTTGTCGTCCTCGAAATAAGTAAAGTACTGATCTTTTATATTTGCTTGATCTTGAGCGGTTTTTCCTCATTTCCTCGTTTCCGAAGTGCCGTCGTCAATAGTTAGGCCTCGCTTGCGCGGAAAGTTGGAAGTCTTGAGGAATTTCATTAGGTCTCGGAAACCGTTGCGTGACCACAACGCGTTGATCCATGGTTTTAAAATCTGCAGCGATGAAAATTCTGAATCATTGATTAATTAAAAAACACTTCAACTGCGAGTGCAGAACGCAACTTCAAAATATCTTGAATTTTTTCAGATTCCCTTTTTCAACGCCGAGTCATTCAGTGCTGAAGACGGATACACGAACTATACCTGGGAACAAGTTCTCGACTCAGAAATCGCCTTTCCTAAGGTTTTTCAATAAAATATTCAGCTTTTTCTTCAAGTTTTAAGTTCAGACTTACAACAAACAACGCGCCAGAGCTCATCATGACCAGTGTCACTACTACAAACGCGACTACGTCCACATCAAGCTTCTGCCTTGGGACAAAGTATGAAAAATCTGTTTTAAAAAGAAGTTTATTGATCTTCGAAAAAAATGTATCAAAAAAAGTTTCAATGTGTTTCTGATATGTGTTCTTTGAGAAGATGTGTGAAATGCTGTTTTGAAGTTAGAAAGACAAATCTAATAAATTTTGAACTTTCGAAAACCGCAAAGTGCTGACACAAAAAAACAAAAAAAAAGGTTTCCAGAGAACTCATTTCGAAAAATCACATTGTTAGATTATAATATTTTTTGAAGACGGTTGGTAATTTTTAGTATCACAAAATCACTTTAGAATAATTATAACCTCCTGAAATTTGAAAAAAACCATCTGAAAAAAACTTAGTATACTCTACTCTCCAGGAAAACTTCAAGAATTTTATCCAATCATTTTTTTTCTCAAAAACATTCTTCGCAGGTGAGAAACATGACGATCGAAGAAGATACACCGATCATCAGGTGTGCCGAGTGGGAATACGATACGACGGTTAGTTCGCAACATTTTCCGTCAATTCTAATCATTCCGACGGCAGGTGATGGAAAAATCAGTTGTGACTGAATGGAACCGGGTTTGCGACAACAACTGGAGCCGTGCTCACGTACACATGAGCTACTCCCTAGGATATCTTCTTGGCTGTCTTGTGGGCGGTTTTGTCAGTGACCGGTCAGTTTGAGAGGAAACTAATTGACGTGGAGAAGTGGAGAAGCTCACCATCTCGTGGAAAATGAAAGAGAAGGTGTAGTGAAACAGCAGAAAAAGTCTAAAAATTTGAGATCCATGAAGTTATGTGATTATTCGAAAGGTGCCAAACTCCAAAAAAGATGTATATTTCTAAATAACTTGACTAAGAACAAAGCTTCATTTGAGCAGTTGAAAAGAGTGATACGGTAAGGGAAGAATCTTTAAAAGATCCCAATCAATGTTTCGAGCTCTACTGAGTCTTGCTGAGATAAAAAAAAAGTCAAAACCGACAATTTTTTCAGTTTTAATGAATTTGCAGATATGGAAGAAAAACGGCTATTTACGGGTTCGGCTGTCTGTCGCTAATTTTCGGTTTCCTGCTCACTTACTCAAGAGAGTTCGAAATATTTCTGGTTGTTCGTTTCCTTCTTGCCGCTTCGAATGAAGCCGCCGACTTGGCGGCTTACGTACTTTGTATGGAAATTACCGGTGAGACCAACATCAACAGATCTCGATTTATTTCATTCCATTCAGGTGTCAAATACCGATCAATTGTGGGTTCTTTGCTTCAAGCTCCTTGGGCGTGTGGGTACGCGTTTCTGGCTTTAATTGCCTACATGACAAAATCTTGGACGGCCATCCACGTAATTTCTGGAAAAGCAGAGAAAAACCTAATTTTATGAGTTTCAGATGATAACGGTGTTTCTGCACTTTTTCGCCATGATTCTGATCCATTTCTTGCCTGAATCTCCTCGATGGCTCATTCTCATGGACAGGTGAGTTACTTCATTTCTTTTGAAGTTTTGAACACCCGATGACTTTTTTTTTTGATAAAACAGAATTTTACAGAGTCAAAGACGCTGAAAAAATCATCCGCCGAGCATGTCAGTTGAACAAAAGCAGGCTACCGAGTGATTTGGGCTTGGTATGGCATTTGATTTGAAAATATGGTATCTAATCGGATTTTTATTTTGAGTCGCGTAATTCAAATTGAAAAGCTATAAAGTTTTTTTTCATTCATACAAACAAAAACTTTCGATCGAAAGGGGTTTTCACTCACAGTGGAGCTTTGAAATATGATCATCTTTCATTCGGACCACCCATTTTTTACAGATTCGTCATGCAGAGAAAAGAAAATGGATGAAAGGAAACGAACGGCCTTCATATTTTCATCTTTTCCGATCCTCTGAGCTCCGATTCCGCAACGCCACGCTCTTCGTCATTTGGGTTTGCTGACCAGAAAAAATAATAAAACCCATGAAAATATTTAGATTGCCACCGCTTTGGTATACTACGGTTTAGTCATCGCCCTGTCGGATCAATCTTCTCCCGGACGGTTTAAAAAGGATGTAATTCAATGAGGGAATTCAATGTTTCAGAAGCGTATTCGATGGTAACTTCTTCTTGAACAACGCCATCGCCGGATTCATTGAATTGCCCACGCTTGTACTCTGTGTATTCCTTCTGAAGATGGGAAGGAAAAAGTTTGTTCATTTTTCTCCCATATTTTCATTCTGATTGTTTTTGACTTGAGCTTATTTCGTATACTGACAAAAACGATCTGTAATTTATTTTTCAAGAAACCTAGAAAAAAAAGGGTGCTTAACTGTTTACCGTTTTCTAACCATAATGCTGAATATTCCTCTTGAAGGTGATATGATGTAATGATCTTCAGGTCCCAAATGATAACGCTTTTTGGAGCAGGAACTTTGATTCTGGTTGCTGTGATCACGAGTAAAACCAAAAGGACAACGGTTAGAATATTCCATTACGTTGACAAAATATACTTTTTTATTCAGATTGCCCTGATTTTCATGTTCTTGGGTAAGGCATGCATCCAAGGAGCGTTCAATATCTTGTACATTTTCACTTCCGAATTGAATCCTACTGTAGTCCGCAACAGCGCTGTCGGCATTTCTTCTATGGTTTGTGGAGTTTAATTTGATTTCTTATAGTGGGAGGTAGTCACGAGCTTCAATAATTCTAAAGTGTGTTGAGAAGTTTTTTTGCAGATAGGGCTTTTCAATAAGCGAAAAAAATATTTTTTTATTTTTTTCACCTGAAATTTACTATCGTACTAAAAAAACTTTTTTTCACGTTTTTAACGGATTACCTAAAAATCAAAATGATTCAGATAGCACGCATGGGCGCTGGTGCTTCTGGATACATCGCTATCCTCTCTGATGTCACGCTTCCACTTGTTCCTATGATAATTTTCTCCGTTTTCTCACTAGTCGCTGGTTTCTTGGTCATTTTCTTGCCAGAAACCCAAGGTCTTCCATTGCCCGAGACGATTTGGGTCAGTTTTTTTTTTCAATCATCGCACTTTATTCAGTCTTGATCTTATTTTTCTGATGATATCATTCCAGGATGCGGTTATCATGTACACTTCGGACAAGCAGGCTTGCCTAAAACATCCTGAGAACCCAATCAATACGAAAGAAGGAGAGCCTCCAGGCCATGGACCTTCTGACAAGACCATCATGACTGATCTTGATTCGATCGGCACGGAGGATGATCTCGACGTCAGGGACGACTCTAAAACAATGCTTGAGCCTAAGGCTGAATCCCCGAAAGTTCCTGATTCTTGAATATGATTTTTTTCCAATCGAAGCAAAGTAAATTATCAATATTTTCAATAAACAAAACTTTCAAACTTTCAATCTTTCGACGCCTAAATGTTCGAAAAAAAAATTTTTTTTTAATTGTGATGTCTTGAGAAAAGCTTGATCAGGTTTTTGCGTTTTGCTTTTACTTAGCCGTTTAAAAAAAAACACACTAATACTGTTTATTGCTCATTTTATTATTTATGTTGACTTTTCGCGAGAAAATCAAAACTGAACTATTCTCGAAATGTCTGTCCTTTTATGATGTTTACTTGTTTCTGTATATGAATCCAATAGACAGTGATTCATGGATTCAAAGCTTTATCATAGAAAACGGATCGCTCCACGTGCTTTATCCCTTTTATGTATAGTTTCCTCTTTGTATTTCGATTATTATATTCAATTGATTCACATCAACTTCTATAGACCTCATCTTCTGGATTTGCTGTAATCACTTATTAAACTTGTGAAGTGCCTTTTTTGCCTTCTACGGTATTCCAACATTCTGCATTTTATCCCCTTCGAATTGTACCGGTTGTATGTTGATGCAATTTATGATTTATACTAAAATTTCCAACAGCAATAAAAATTCTGATGATTCTTGAAATTGCGTTCATATTTTTCTTGTCAAAGTTAGCGGGGCTCGCAGTAGAATCTCTTGGTAACCAAGTCCATGGCCTGAAAAAAAATGGAAAAATATAAACATTGATACTTGTTTCAAGTCTCACCTTTTTGTATTTCTGAGGGCCGTCAGAACAGCAGTTCGGATTGGGAAACATACAAATTGAATCGCTGTTGCTACATGGGGTTGGGTCGACCGAGGTATCATCTCCACTGTGGAAAAACACATGAACACTCTCAGTTTTTGAAAAAAAAAAACATCCGTGAAACCAGTTTATATATTTTTCATTTTTTTCTGAACCCTGAAGCAAGACACCGTTTTTTTAATCTTGTTTCGAATTTATTTTAAAAAAATCTCCGTTGGGGCAGAAAAAGCGAACCCTTTCTCCACTTGCGTGAGTTCCAAGAAGATCGTGTTGATTATTATTTTTTTCGTCCTTGATGCCGTCACGTTTTTTTCCATACCAGGAAAATCATACTCCAAAATTTTCATTATAGAGAATTTGGAAAAAAAAATCTTTTTGGAGTCTCAAAAGTTGGAGTTAGGTTCAGTTAGATTTGAGACGCGTGTGTGGTTCTGCTGAATGAACTGAAAAGTTTTTTTGGTGAAAGAAAAGTCAATTGATAGTCAAGCTTCAATCGAGTATTTGAATGAAAAAAAAGTGATTTTTTCTCAATCAACTAAAATATTTCCTTCGAGATAATCACGATAAAATGAAGATACTTACACGCAATCAACAGCAGCACAGCCGTCGACCTGAGTACAGCTTCTGGTGCGAGATCGTCGACCACAGAAACCACAGTTCGGCTTGCAGGCGCTGGCGGCGCTCCACTCGCCCCATAATCCTTCGGTCGGACAGTTGCAAACCGTTTCCTCAACTCTCGATCCACTGCAAAAGTTTTCTCTCTTTTTTTCTTTGTCTGACCGATGAAAAACCATTACCAAATTATTTCATCGCATGTATCGGATTACACCATGTGATCGGATATACTTTCAGTACAGTTCAAACAGTTTCAATTTGATTTTGGTTTGTAGTTTCCGCATTGGAAAGATCAGAGAGCGGAAAAAAGAGATGATCATAGTTTTTCTGCTCCTCAAAACTACAAAAAATTAAGAGTTTGTAAATGGATTTTTAGGAACTCAATTTCAATCTTTCAAAAAAATTTTTTTAGAGCACTTAAAAAGTAAAAACATGGAAATAAAAGTTTTTAGCTTGAAAAGTTGGAGAACTTGAAAAAAAAATGTTGCCACTTCAATGTTCACCTTCACATGCAAAAAAAATAAGGAACCAAATTTTTCAACTTAACTTATATTGAGATTCAAAATTTTAAAAAAAATTTTAAATTTAGATTTTTATTAGCAGGATCTCCCAATTTCCGGTATGCTGGTTTTTTTTTTAAATTCAGCGCTTTGCCTAAATTCGAGTTTTTCCTCAAATTATTCGTTGAAAATTCATTCATTCTGGTGAGAGAGCCCGCATAATTGGATTATCTGGGGAAAAAGATCACGACAATTGATTTTTTTCTCACCCAACAAAAATGATCAAATTGGGAGGAACTATAACCCACACGCAAGGTTCGTTGGTTCCATCGGCAGCAGGAATACAAACTCGCGTGCGGCCACGGTAGACAGAGGTGGATGGGCAGTTCTGGAAATTATTGGTCTTGTTTTCTAAGTAGTAATTTCTATTTTACTCACGGCACAGGTATCAGCCCATGTTCCCCAGGGAGACCAACTTCCGGCAGTTGCTTCAGCTCCAATCATCAGAAAAAGCAGATAGCACCATTATAAGAGGTAAGGTCGTCATATTTTCTGAAAAATTTCCTAGATTTTGCAGTATATTCGTGAAAATAATACAGATCTTATAATGATCTTGTCTCAAAAATCTATAACCATCAGAAGCGTGCAAAAAGGAATAACTCAATAGAGCTTCGATCAAAATTCTGCAGTTTGTAATTGGCCAACAACACTCTTCAAAATTGAAAAATTTCAAAAATTAAATTCTCGAAGTCGTTATTAGCTTGAAATCCGATTTCTGAAGCTGAAATTTACTGAAGATGCTCACTTCTTGCCAAGCTATTCACGCGAATTCATTGATAGAGTTCGAAAATTATGTAAAATTTTAGACTCAACTGAATTCAATGATAAGACATTCATATATCCTGGCACGATTTTTCTACGAAGCTACAAACTTTACTATTGGTTTCTAAACAGAATCAGTGTTAAAAATATTCCAGAGCAATAAAAAAATCTGCAGAAAATGACCAACTCACCAGAAAAGTCTACTCTGCCACACCTAACAAAACTCAGAACTCATGCGATTATAATCGTCCCAAAAACTCTTTTTTTGATGGCCGCCTTTTCTGCAAAAAAAGGGCGGGATGATCAGCAATTATCCGAGATTTGCCACAAAACACGTGTCAAAGTCGCCGGTACAGATTTTGAGTTTGCTCCCGTCTCATTCTCGGTACACAATGTTCCAGTGGAACGAGAGTCTTTTTTGATTTTTTTTTCACTTTTTAAACTTTCAGGTTATCGAAGTCGGTCCCAACAGCTAGGTAAACATGGACGGGAAATATAGAGCAATTACGGTAAATTGAAGCTGAATAAAATTGATGAAAATGTTCGATTTCAGCTCTTGTGCACTCTGGCAGTCGCTGTCAACACTCAAAGTGAGTTTGTGATATATTTTGTTAATATGATAACCGATAAGCTAACAAAAACACAAAAAAACAAAAAAATCATCAAAAAGAGGAATTCTAAAAAAACCTCTGAATTGGGCTTTTTCTAGGTTTTTTTGCTCCTTCTGAATATTTGTCAATTATAAAAAAAGTTTTTTTCCACTCAACTTTTTCAACAACTTAGATAAATGCTGTTTTTCAAATTGCAGCCTTCGGATGTGTCAATCCATCCCTAACCGATCGAGACCGTCAGATGTTCTACAATGCGCACAATGACGCTCGTCTGAGTCTAGCCAAAGGATTGGAACCCAACAAATGTGGCCGACTTTCATCTGGAAAGAACGTCTACCAACTGGTCTGTTGAAAGACTTGTTTTCGAGGAAAAAGGACATTTTGCAGAATTGGGACTGCGACATGGAAGCAAAAGTCCAAGAATGGGCGACTGACTGTCCCAACTCTTTTCAGACTTTTGATAGCACTTGGGGACATAACTATGTTACGTGAGTTTTTTAAAAACACATCTTAAAACCATGGAGACATGTTTCAAGGTTTCATAATCGTGTTTGAAAGCAAGTAATGTGTAAGTTGCAACATCAGAATTTTTTTTCGATCTAAACAAAAATAGAAACTTCAAGGTACACTGGTACAATCTCTGACCAAATGGGTACGGCTGCTAGCGCTGTCAATAACTGGTGGAGCAGTGTCCGAACCAACGGATTGACGGATCCAGACAACAAATACACTAACTCTGCACTTTTCCAGTGGGCCAATGTAATTTATTTATTTTCTTACGCAGTTTTCAAATTAATCAGCGAAATTGAAAATTCAGATGGCTTTCGGTAAAACGACATCCTTTGCCTGTACTTACAAAGCCTGTTCTGGAAAGTTTGTGGTCGGATGTTTCTACAACAAAATGTATGAATAGAGAGAATATGGCCGGAAAAATGAATCTACAGAGGATATGTCACGAATGCAGTTATTTACGAGAAAGGAGAAGCTTGTTCCACAGACACAGACTGCACGACTTACTCGGGATCTTCATGCAGAGATGGACTCTGTTACCAAGCTCCAGTGGCTCCAGGTGAGTTTCCGTTGGTTTTTTTTCGAAACAGCCACTTCGAAGCTCAGAATGATCATTCTGCAAATTAGGTTTTGATAGGTAGAGTTTTTTTCTTGAAAGCAGAAATGTGCAGATCTTTCATTTATTTGAAAAAGGAAACTCTAGGCTTCCTAAAAATTGATCTTTTTCTTTGTCATGATGTAAATTTCACCTGGATTTCAGTTGACCCAACTTTCACCATGTGTCCTGGACAGACTGTGATGTCGGATCAATCGCGCCAGAAGTTTGTAGACACCCATAACTATTTGAGGCATGTCCAGCTTTTATTTTTTCTGATATTTGAAAATCTTCCAGATCGAGACTTGCCAAAGGACTCGAAGTTGATGGCATTTCGGCCGGCGCACTCGCTCCTGCTGCTAAGCAAATGACCAAAATCGTAACTTTTCTTTGGAAATCACATCATTTTCGGCTTTCTTCAGGTTTACGACTGTGCTATCGAGCAAAATGCCCAGTCATGGGCACAAAACTGCTTATGGCAGCATTCTGATTCTTCTGCTCGTCCTGGACTAGGAGAAAATATGTACTACACCACTGCTCTCAACGTGGATAGGATTCAATCTGGCGAAGATGTTAGTGCTTTGATCATTTGTCACAGAGAAAAAAATAATTTTTTTGAGTTTCAAGAGTCATAAAACAAAATTGATTTTGGAAACGTCTCGCAAAAAGTCATTTTTTGTAAGGATTGATGGAATTTTTTACACATTTCGCACCTGATCAGATATTTCATAGCTAGTTTTCTTATCAATTCAAGTCAATCTGATTCCAGTGGCCCGAGGTTAGTTGGAATACGAAATAAACTTCAAGAATTTATTTATTTTCATACTTTCTTACAGGCCTCCGTTGCCTGGTGGTCCGAGCTGAAAGACTTTGGAGTTGGGCCGGATGTTATCCTGACAAACGCAGTTTTTCGCCCGAGGGGTCGGCCATTATACCCAAATGGCTTGGGAAAACACTTACAAAGTTGGCTGCTTTGTCCAGTATTGTTCCGACAAGACTTTCACTGTTTGTCAGTATGGGCCGGGGTAAGAAATTTTTTTTGATTAGGGACTAAAGAAAAAAACGAAAAACATTGCAGTCACTGAGAAAGAAAAATACAACTCGCTTCACTTCTTTTTTATGAAAAAAATCAGAATTTTTCGAATTTTTCATCTTCAAGTTAGGAGCACTGTACGGAAAGATGGTCTTTTTCAAAATTGCCGTAAATTTTGAGAATTAATTAATCACGAAAATTGAGTGAAACCAACTCTTTTTAAAATGTTCACTTCTTAGGGTGTTTTTCTCAATCGAATAAATGTTTGAACAAAATTTTAATTTGCCTGCTGTCTAAAAATAGTCTAGTAAGAAGCAAAATTTATGCGAACTATAAGAAATAGCCTCTAACGACCAGAAAAATTTAACCATAATGACATAAACTCTCTGTTCAGCGTGGGTTGATGAAAATAAAAATTCTTTTTTTCCTTTTTTTCAACTCTACAGTGACGAATTAAAAATTAGTGTGAAATATCAGAATGATATACTTCAGAAATATGAAAAAAATGAAGAAATAAAAATAACAAATTTTTGTCATCGAGGCAAAAAGATTTTATCTCTCATTCTTTGATTTTCAGAGGTAATGTTCTCGACCAGTCGATCTACACGAAAGGATCAGCTTGTACGAACGACGCCGGTTGTCCCGGAACCCAAACCTGCAGCGTAGCCGAAGGACTCTGCAATGTTGTTTAGTTTTAGAAATAAATATTCGAATAAAATTCCTATTTCAACACCCTGACTGCACTTTGATTCTTGTTGCTGTGACGTTATCACTTTTTTTTCTCATTATCAGGTTCAAACTGTTATATAAAGAGTTCCATATCGGTAGCATTTTCTGATAAGCTCGATTCGAGTCTTGCGAGTGCTTTCGAAAACACATATTTCTCGCTGATATTTCTCGTTCTCACTTCTTCTGACTGACTTGGTTTGGCAAACGTTTTCTGAGACACCTGTTGAACTGATGGTACGAAAGTTTTCTACTGCTTTTTTTAAATATATTTTTTTATCAAAAAAATAAATAAACCTCAGTTCATAACTTCTAGAAGGTTTTTTTGAATAGCAACGTTAATTTTTTTCAGGTTAGGGTGGTTATTTTTCAAAAACTTGAAAAATAACCATCCTAACCTTTTTTTCTCGTTGGTTTAAAGCGACTGAAACCCAATTTGAATGAGAGACAAGGACAAACTGAACCTTCATTGTGTGTAAAAACTTTATATGAATATTTTTCAGTCTCGAATTGACAAGTGCATATAGTGAAAATCTTGAAAATTTAAAAATTTCAGACAAAGTATTGAAAAACACCTTTGGAATTTTAAATTTTCGAGTTAGTTTGTGATATTTAGCAAGTAAATGCCATCTTAAAATTTTCGATAAACACTTCGGTGCTAAAAAAAATTGAATAACTGTTTATTTGAGAGAAAATCCCCTTTCAATAAAAAAAAACCAATGAATTTTCGAAACTTTCCGAAAATTACGATTCTGAGGTGATCAGCTTCAGCCGCGGAAAACATACATGGAACCAATGAACGATCAATTTAATACTATATTTTTTTACTCGTTCATACTATTCCTTATTTTTTTCTTTCAATTCATAAAGACCTAATTCGTCGATTGAGACAATGAAATTTTGTGGATCGGCGGTTCTTCCTGTCCTGAAAGTTCAGAAGGTGACAATGGAATTTGTGTACCATTCTGTTTCGCATGTTCATCTACTTTTTTGGAAAAAGTGTATCAAAAAGTACAATAATATCATTTTAAGGTGTCTACTCAGAAAACCGGAAACTATAAGGTTCCAAAAATGCCAATCAAAAAGAAAAAGAGCACGAGTTTTGGTAGAGCGCTGAGCATGGCGTGATCAAAACGTTATCAGCTTCAGAGGACCTTGTCCTTCTCATATCGGCATCGATTTTCCTACTGTTATTCCCAGGTTCCAAAAATTGCTTCTTTCGAGTTCCTCGTTCCTGAGCTTCTCAAACTCTGTTGTTTTTTTTTTTGTTCTTCACACCTCTTTTTTTTTCAAATCAGAAAAGAAAAAGTTCCCAATCTTTTGAGAATTTTCGGAGTTGACCAACGTAACATTTGATAAGCTGAGCTGAGGGGGCGCAGTATTTTAATTCCCATACCGATAATCGTTGCTTAGTGGTCGATTCTCAACTTTTTCGCCGTGAGCATCAACTTTTCTAGTCTTTCCAAACTGCACAACTATTTTACAAGATGATAGTTTACCTTTTTTTTTTGATGAAAACCCAACGAAGTTTGAACTTATTTATCTGAACTTTTAAAAGTCAGATTTTGCAAAATATTGCCTTGGAAATTTTTATTCCTGAAAGAGAATTCATATTTGCTCCTAACCCTTTCACTTTCATTTGTTTTTTTCCAGAAAACGTGACTTCCATTCTTATCCGTCGTTATCGTGATTTATTGTTCTTTTTGTTGAGCCGCGTGTCGCTCACAAGATTACAATAAATATTTTCCTCATCATGACAACTTGACAGTTTAGGGTAAAAAAATGGCTTTTCGCGTTGGCGAAGTCTACGCTGGAAGTTCGGTATTTCTTACCGGAGGAACAGGATTTTTAGGAAAAGTCGGAGAATTATGAAATTATGAGTTTTCAAAATGAAGTTCAGGTTGTCATTGAAAAGCTATTATGGTCAGTCGACGACATTGGAAACATTTACATGCTCATTCGGCCGCAAAAAGGAAAGAGCCCTGAAGAGAGACTTCAAACATTGTTGAAGGTTAATTTCAAATATTTTAAAGCGTCGAAATGCGGAAAAAACTGAGAAATTTGATTGAAAGAAAGTGAAAGTACGAAAAATGATGATTAAATTTGTTAATGGTTCTAAGAGAAGCTCTCACATTGAGCGATTGTAGAAATCGCTCTTGGATTTTTCAAAAACGTTCTATTTTTCGCTACAGAATCTATTGAATATTGGCTCAAACACTCTAAAAATATCCTCTCAATATTATTGATTTGGAAAAAAAATACTTGAATGAAATCGGAAAATATATGCATGCTTGCACTTTTCAGGACCCTCTGTATGAACGTCTTCACAAGCACAAGCCAAAAGCTCTGAAAAAGCTGATTCCAGTAGCCGGAGAAATGATGCAGGAAAACTTGGGCATGAGTCACCACGACCTGAACCTTCTGTGCAATGAAGTATTCCTTCACTTTTTATTTTTTCGAAACTTCAATCTAGGTGAGCATCGTGATTCACAGCGCGGCAACGGTCAAGTTCGACGAGCAGCTGAGAATCGCCACAGAGATGAATGTTCTGGGAACATCTCGGATCATTGCTCTTTGTCACAGAATGGCAAAACTAAAGGTATAATTCAATCCCTATCAATTTGAGACGTCCAAAAGAGTGTACCAAAAAAAAAGTTTTGACGTCTTTGTTCAAGATATCAATGAATACAGTATAACTACGTCGTAGCTCAGCCAGCTGGTTTTTGGTTCTTTTCTGCTCGCCATTATCTTCTTATCAACCTCAAATTTTTGGTAGCGGTTTTTACGACCCCTAATTGACAGCTTGAACTTCTCGACTATGTTTCCGAGGCGAAAATAAAGCGACCAGAATATTTTTCTTTGAACTTTCAGTCCATCGTGCACGTCTCCACAGCTTACGCCAACTGTGATCGACCAGAAACTGAAGAAAAAGTAAATTAAGTATAATATTCTTAGTATTGAAAATTTTTTTAGATATATCCGCCGCCGATTCCTCCACAACAATTTTTTTAGAAGCTTGCAAATGGATGGACGACGATATGATCGACTTGGTGACGATAAAAATGACAAAAAAATATAATCTTGTTAGACATTTTAGATCACTCCAAAGCTTCTTGGCAACCGTCCTAACACCTACACTTTGACTAAGGCTTTGGCTGAGGTTGGTTTAACAGTTATATCTAAAAATTAGAGTTCCCTAGCTAAGTGGTTGATCCAAAAAGACCCACAATACCCAACAACGAAGGGTATTTTCCTATTGGAATGAACAAGAAATGAGATGATAACAAGATATAAATTCAAATGAAACAATACTTCAAAACTCGAACCACTGATCAAACATACCCATTCTCGGAATAACGATCGATGATGAAATAAAAACCGGGGCAAATGAAATAGCCACAATTATAAGCACAAAAAATAAGGTGTGAAACATTTATAACCAGTCACACACGGCGGGCATTCAAAAATAACTGAATTCTTTATAGTTATAATGGTCAAGTGTAAAGAACTAACGTTTAACAATGTGAAAAAAACCCTATTCGGAATAACGATCAAGAATTTCCAAAAATCAAAAATTGAACAGTTTGAAATAGGTACAACTTCTTGATTCAACAATGAAAACATTAACACAAGTACTTAAATAATCATCAATATTACGCCCCCCCATTAAATAAAAAGAAAAAGAATACCCGGATAACCTAAAAACCTTTATGACATTCCACAGAGCCAATTCGAAATCGATTCTGTCGGCCTACCAGTCATCGTCGTCAGGCCTTCCATTGTTGGTGCCATGTGGAAATCTCCGCTTCCCGGCTGGACGGATAACATCAACGGTCCCACGGGTATCATGGTCGGAGTGAGTTTCTACTTTTTGAAGGAGAAAAAAGCAAGAATAAAAAAAACAACTTTTGAGTTTGTGTTACATCAGAGAAACTCATTTCATAGAAACTGTATGGCATCTTTGACTAACAAATGCAAAAAAAAGTGTAGAAATTTTTGCTGAGAAATCTTCCAGGACCTTCTGATTACAGAATGCTCTGAATGTAATGTATATCTTTCCCTGTTTTGAATATGGTGCCTCAAAATTTTGTTTGGAGATAACACATTTCTCATATCAATTAGAGCAAGCTTCAAAACGTTCTCTCATTTCCAAAACAAGAGATTTTCAAAATCTTGTTCAAAGTCTGTAATCAGGAACCATTCACAATTATGAATATTTACGATGAAAATATGAATGAGTTTCCTTCTATTCACTAGAAACTAATGAAAATTTATTTTATCATCTTTTTCAGGTTGGTAAAGGAGTTCTGACAAACATGTGCGGAAACATCGATTCGAAGGCCGACATCATTCCAGTCGACATCGTTGCGAACATGATCATTGTCTGTGGAGCACATCGCGCAACTTCTCAGTGAGATCTGAAAAAAAAACCGGTGAAATGACATCACTGCTTCAGCTATGACGCTATTCCTATCCTCCATTGCGCTTCGGGCGATTTGAACCCATTGAAGTGGGGGAAGTTGGTCAATTTCTTGCCGCAGTTTTATAAAAAGGTAATTTTGTGTCCTTTAACATAGTTTTCAACATGTTATCGAATCTCTATTAAAAAGTCTACTCTTTAAAGTAATTGGAATAGAAAAAAAATGTTTTTCGAAATTTTTCAAGAGCCTTATGTGTTATTTGAAGATGTTTTAAGAGAGCAAAAATAGGTTTGAAGCCGTCAAGGCCGTGAATAAATCGAAATTAGCAAAATTTGATAAATTTAAGTCTTTTCTTGCAAAAACCTAAATCATTATTTGAAATGGTTCTAATGTCTTACTTGGAAAAAAAACGCAAAAAAACTAAATTTTAATGAGGAAAGACACACTTTTCCAAACCCTTTGAAATCTTCGTTTTTGAAATTTCAAACAATCTTTCCATTACAGTACCCTATGGAGCAGTGCTTCGGAGTTCCTTCTTCCCATTTCCATCGCTTTAGAAACGGATTCCTCTTCAATTATTACTACAAACACTACTTCCCCGCAAAACTTCTCGACATGGTACAAACAGTCGTGGGTGGCAAAAGCAAGTCAGTCCCATTTTTCATAAACTATTCATCAGAAATACTCTTTCAGCAACGTTCGATTGTATGGAAAGATTTGGAAGATGATCGAGGCTCTCCATTTCTTCACTACACGCGGTTGGGACTTCAAATCCCAAGCCCTCCCGGCGCTTCTCGAGAAAATGCATCCTGAAGATAAGGAGGTGATCAAAAACTCCTTTTTAACGTCTATGAAAAAGTTATAGGAATTCAACTTCGACATCAGACAAGTCAACTGGGATTCTTATCTGTTTGATTACATCATGGGAATCAAGCGATATATCTTGAAGGAGAACTTTGAGAGTTTGCCTCAAGCCAAGTACAATCTCAACATGTGGGTTTTTTTTTATTCAAAGTAAAAAAAAATCATTTTGAATAAGTCACAACCTAAATTTGGCTCGAGCTACAAGATTTTTGAGTCGAGTTCCGACCTTTCCTTTCAGAGTCAAAAATTAAGCCTGAAAAATGTATTTATTTTTTTAAAAAAATGAACAAGAATTTTAATAGTCGGGCAGGCAGAGCAAAAAGAATGAGTAAAAAACTATCTAGAAAACTTTTTCCATCGCAAATGAAAAAATGCTCATAAGGATCAATAAAATTTAGAGCTGATTGTAATCACTATTTAAAATCTTTTTTATTTTCAGATTGCGTTTCAAACGAATTCTCGTTCAATCCGCCGCTTGGTACTTGATTGTCAGAACTTTCGGATCGAATTGGAAAACCCAGAAAAAAGTTTGTCTTTTCTTTAACTCTCCAGTTGATGTTCCGAAAATTTCAGTGGCTCGTATGGTTAGGAGGATTTGTCGGAACGCACATGTACCTCGACATGGACTTCAGAAAAACGATCCACATGAAGTCGCTAGAGGAATACAAAAAAACAATGAATTTCACTCCTCCGGAAAGTCGCTCTCAAGCGTAGTTTTCCTATTTTTCTCGCCATGAATTGTCCCTATAACAAATCCCGCACAAACTTGAATAAAAATGATTTTGAACGTAACTGAATGCAAAAATACTTCTACCAGTTTTTTTTTTGCCAACACAACGATTTTTCTTTTAATTGAAAACTTTTTGATTAGCTTCAAAGCTATTTAAAAAAAAGGTGAAAACTGTCCCAAGGCATCACCAATTGAATTTGAAAACTTCATAAGAATCTTGAAAATGCATTCACTTATTATGTAGTTTAAAACACGGCAACCGACTGTAAAAGGAATAGTTGAAACACACGAGGATTGAGAAAAAGGCTACAAATAACAAAATTAAGGATATTCGAAAATTTTGATTGTGAAAAAATCCCTTGGGAGCCAACCTTCATTCGAACATATTTTTCTTTGAATCGTCTTTTAAGCATTTTATAGCCGAGTTTGCCAACCTAGGAGTATTTTATTTCGGGATGGTCTTCTGTAATTGCTTGTTGGAGACGCCTGGGCGAAACCAGCTAAGGTTTTGGAAAAAAGCTTTGAAAAAGTTATTTTGAGCAAGGTTCAGTATTTTTCGCTCAAGGAGCGTTTTCTTGAAACATTCCGCATACAAAATAAGAGATTTGTGACGATACGAATTCACCACTACGGTCAAAATTCCCAACAAAAAAGATCTTTCGCATTTTTGTCCCACTTCATCGAATCAGACCGAAGCTTCACACACAAATCAGATGAAAATTCACCGATAGACTATGATTTTTAGATCTTAGATATGATATCAAATTTCATTTTTCGTATGCCTTTACAACTGACGACGCCATCAGAGCTTATCGATGGGAATTGTCTGCAAAATGTAGACCGGTTTAGGCATGCCATCGGAAAGTACATTGCATCACACGAATTTAATCTTCTACTAATCGTATGTGCATTTCATTTTCCGTTTGAATTTGAATCTGCCAAGTTTTGGGAAACTTCATGGCTCTGCCTTTGTTAGTTAATTTCAACCGAACTTCATTCTACTTTTTTTTTTCCTCTCAGAGGTTATCAAAACCAAATCTCTATGAGAAAGAACATGTTTCGATTGATTCATTTAAATTTGAAATTTGCTCACACTTAGAAAATGTTCTTTAAAGGCAAATTTTTTGTAACACCTTTGAATCTGAGTTGAAAACTGCGTTTTTCGCATCCCAATTATTTCAATTCACCTTTTGGTTAGGCTCGACGTGGAGCGTGAAAACTTTGATGACACTTGAAAAAAGCTCGAATAAAATAAAACTTTTAAGAAACACAAAGCAAAAAAAGCGGACCACGAAGTCTTCTCTACTTTATAAATGCAGTAGAGATAAACTAGAAAAACGGCTCTCTTATTTGAAGAGTGTATTTTTCTTGAAAAATTGAGATGTCAAATCACTTTAGACACTTTGGTCTTTTGCAATAGAAAAAAATTATAATCCGAAACGGTGATATATTTGAAAGTCTCTTTTTTTGCGCGCAATTGCATCATGTTCCGCTATGCAAACAGTGCGCAGTTGACGGGTTGTTTTTTATGTTTTGAATGGAACGCCGTTCCTTCTGGAAAACGATGAGTTGTCACTTGTTGCATTATTTCAAAATACACCTGTCCTCGCTTGTTTTATTCTTTTAATGCCTCAATTCTGGTTTTTTTGTTTCAATTTGTTTAGTGCTACAATGAATTGAAGTTCGAGAAATTGAAGAAAACCTCTGTCAAAAGGATTTTTTATCGGATTAACCCAAATGTTGCCAAGTGCGTGTTGCGAAGTTAAGCGCCGGTGAAGATAACAAAGGGCACGCAATCTGACAGCTTTACGCCTCTATCGTTTTCTTAGCACTCATCGAGTGAACGCGAGAAGTCTCCGTCACGGACTTTGTAGTTTTGTTCTACGTGTTCGTCGTCAAAAAATCCTTTTTATGACGCTTTTCCAGTGAGAACAAAAAAAAAATTTATTCCGCCGTTTTATGTCTTTTATCGAAACTTATAGCTTTTTCTTCCCAACCACGCATTCATTCAATGAAACTCTTCAAGTTTTTCAGGTGCTTCTCCAAGATGTCCGACGAAAAACTTGACGCCATTTTCAAGTGAGTTTTCATGGTTCTTATCATCATCATAAAGAAACCGACATTGCAGGGTCATCGACCAAGAACAAGATTCATTTGTCCAGCAATTGGCCGAAGTTGTGGCCATCAAATCGATTTCCGGCGATATTTCTCTGCATTCCGAATGCGTCAAAGTCGTCGAGTGGGCCAAAGAGGTCAGATTTCATTTTGATACTCTCAAGGTACAAAGAACACTAACTAATCCGTTTCAATGTACTCCGAGCAAAAGTCCTAAGATAGTTTTGCCCATAAAAGAAGCACCATTCATAAAACCTTTCTGGCAGCGGTCCAGAGTTTCTAAAACGAGTGAGTGAAGGATCTTATAAACTAGCCTTGATCCCGTTCACAATGCCTAATCGCCAGCCAAAAGATGCTCTTATCAGAATGCGCCAAACTCTTATCATCTTTTTTCTGAGTGTCTGGTTTAGCGCCTGGACAAACTTGGCGCCGAAACGACAATTTGGCCGTTGGGCAAACGAAATCTGCCTGATGGACAGGACGTCGACCTTCCCCCCTGCGTCTACTCTGTACTTGGTGAGGGGATCAACAACTGAAAAAAAAAACTCAAAAAAGCTTACCTAAGCTAATGACAAAGAGATGAATGATTATTTCATAATGTTCAGGAGATGTTAAAAATATGAAACATCTTCGAAGTTTTTTTTAAAATGATTCATCTGTACAATTTTCGAAACAAAAAAGGTTTCCTAGAAACGTGCCGTGCAAACGTCAAAGTTTTATACTCAATTTCATGCCAAAAAAATTTATCAGACGATATCTTATATTGCTATCAAGAATAGGAGCCAGATGGTGCCAGGAAAAAAAAAGCAATCATCAGGTCAGATGATTATTTTGCCCGATTCCACTGCAAACATTACGTCAGCCAATTTTTTTATTGAATAGAGTGCCATTAAATTTTATGGAAATGTACGATTAGGGACTGTTGAAATCGAAAAAAATTATATTGCAATCTTTTTGAATATTAGTGATTTGGCAGTTCAGTTTTGTAACGCTCGCAGCGCAGAGCCTTTTTTTAACGTTAATTTTTGCAACGAAAAAAGTTATATTTACATTATTTGCCAATTAAAAATAGAAAATTCAGGAGTTTTGAAGCAGAAAACTTTCAAAATTCAAATGTTTCTTCTTGAAAAATATCTGTAACAGTTTTTTTCAAGAGTCAGCTGTGACGTCTTCACGCAAAAATCTTATCAAAACTGCATTAATGACTTCACGACCCTTTAAATGCGCAAATGTTGTAGGCCGGGACCCGTTGAAAAAAACTCTGCTCGTATATGGACACTTGGATGTGCAGCCAGCTGATAAGGATGTAAAAACGATTCCCAGCAAAACCAGCACGTGACACTTTTTCCTTCTATAGGACGGCTGGAACACTGATCCTTTTGTACTGACGGAGAAAGATGGGAAATTGTTCGGTAGAGGCTCGACTGATGACAAAGGACCCATTGTGGCGTGGTTCGCGGTCGTTGAAGTCATGCAGAAATTGCAGATTGACATCCCAGTCAACTTGGTGGTTCGTTAATGCTGGGTTTAAGTATGGAGAGAATAGTAGTATACTTTGCTTGAAATTCAAACAAGCAAAGTATAATTCTCTATTTTTGAATGCCCGTAACATAATTCGAAAAATCGGAAGTTTCTTCGAGTTTGGAAAAAACGAACAAGCGACACAGAACATTCAAAAAAAAGCAGTTGCCAAGAAAAATAAGCCTGTAGAATCGAAAAAATTTGATTTATTCCTTTTGTTTATCCACAATGAAATATCGGAAATATTACAAACCAGTTTCAAAGATCAGCCTAATAAAGCTACATAAAAGGTATTTTTCAGTTTGTTCTGGAAGCCATGGAGGAGAGCGGCTCTGAAGGTCTCGATGAAGCTCTCAAGAAAAACGCAAAAGTCTTTGAAAACGTGGATTTCGCTGTGATTACCGATAATTACTGGCTTGGCAAAAACAAACCTTGCCTTACTTATGGACTACGGTAGATTCAAAATTTTCCAAACTTGAAAAAAAAAAAGTTTTTAGAGGTATTTCTTACTATCACTTGACTGTTACCGGGGCTTCACAAGACCTTCATTCTGGAATTGCTGGAGGAACTCTGTTGGTTTCAATATGAGCAGCTTTCATAAAAAGTGTTATTTAGCCCAGAAGCTTTGAATGATCTCATTTGGTTGATGAGTCAACTGGTGGACGGCAAGGGCAAAATCTTGGTCCCTGGACTTCAGGAAATGATCGCTCCATTGACGGATGAAGAGCGCAAGCGATACAAAGATATCGACTTCAACCCTGCAGATTACAAGTGAGTTTCTAGGTTCCTTCTAAAATCTTGCCTGAGAGGAGAAAATTCCGTCAAGGAATAAAGGAGAGAATAGAGTGTAGTTTCCAACAAAGCCTCTTGCTCTGATTTATTCATAAAGTCCTCCGTTTTCAGAAAAGAGATGGGCGCCCAGGGTCTTTTGTCTAATGAGAAAGAGACGCTGCTGCAAAACCGATGGAGGAATCCTTCTCTGTCGTTGCACGGAATCGAAGGCGCTTTCAGTGGATGGGGATCCAAAACTGTGATTCCCGGAACGGTATAGAAAAACTCAGGATTTGAATCAAGGCAATTTTACAGGTTATTGGGAAGTTCTCTATTCGATTGGTGCCCAACATGAAGAATGAAGACGTTGATAAGGCCGTTATTTCTTACCTCAACGATCTTTGGGCCAAGCGAGGTTCTCCCAATGTTTTCAAGTGGGTTTTATATTCTTTCATCGCTGAAAAATAGTTCATTCATGTCGAAACTTTCTTACAAAAAACAAAAAGTTTTTTCAGGCCTGTTGCCGGTCACGGAGGACCGTACTACCTTGCTGACTGTGAAGGAAAAGGCTATCAAGCCGCCGCGACTGCAATCGAGAAAGGTTACTTTTTTGGTTTTTCAAAGCATGAAACGCCGTAAATGCGTCTGAAAAATATTTTTCTGTGGCTTTTACATGTAAATTTGGGCGAGTTTCAAGAAGGGTACAAAACGATTAGAAGCCGAGCGCTTTGAACAATTTTATTGATGTTAAAATAAAAACCAATATTTAAATTAGTAACACATGAACACTGGAATCTATTCAAAATTGAGAAAACTGAACCAAAAACGATCTAACAAAAATATATTTCAGTTTTCGGTGTGAAACCCGATTTCACTCGTGAAGGAGGCAGCATCCCCGTGGCAACCAGTCTTCAGGTTAGTACATTTTGGTGACAACCTTTGTAACGTCTCTGATCTTTCGGTTTCATTATCATTGAACTGTCAATCAAATAGTCCCATTTCTTCGTAAATGAAATTCAAAGATCGATAGGGGCTTGAAAGAAAATATTTTATCCAGGAAGTCACTGGAAAGGCGGTCGTCCTTCTGCCTCTGGGCGCTTGTGACGACATGGCTCACAGTCAAAACGAGAAGATGAACCGCTCCAACTTCATTCAGGTTCATCACCTAATTTTTTTTCAAATGAAAATAAACTTATTTCAGGGAACCAAGGTGCTGGCCGCTTACCTCCTCGAACTCGCCAAATAAATTCTTTGTGGCGTCTGTATAAATTTTCACTGCCTTCGCATTTCATAAACGCTTATTTCAATTGTGATAATAAATATCAATTAATTTATCATTTTGGTAAAACAAAAAATGCTAGAAGAATCTAAGAGGCGTCAAATTGTGTAGTGAAGATCGACGTCATGGTTTAGAACGACCGTTTTCTTTTTCTGAAATGTAGGAATGTTGATGGGAAGCAAATTATAAACAAAGAGTGTTTCATGAATATCTTGAAAAATTGGTGTAAATAGCGGTGATGGGTTTAGTTTTGTAAGTTGACGAATATTTTTCAAAGATCTAGAAACAATATGAGTAAAGAACAGATTGAAAAAAATTTTTTTTGAGCTCTCCTTTGTTTCTGTATTACCTTCTAGAAAGTATTTCTATGCTGAGTTTTTAACTTGAAAGGTTGGAGTACGCCCTGAAAAAAATTTTAATTTTTTTCATTAAACGCAATACTTTCCTTAAAAAAATCTAGAACATTGATTATACAGTCAATTTGACATTCCGTAGCTTTTTTTGTTCATTTTCAATGCTCCGCGTGAGAATTCCTTTTTTTTTAAAGTTGCCTCAAAAACTGCTTTCTGATGAACTAGTTCAACTACAACTTTTGACATCCAAAGTCTTTCCGAGCTTCCAGCTAAAAAAGCTTCGAGAGCATCTTTTGAAAAACCGCTTCAGTTTATTGGGACGTCTAGTCTACGACCACTCTAACTCAATCAACACAAAAACAGAAATATGAATGAAATAGTCATTAATTATAAACAATCCAGACAGACACGCCTTATTCTATTCTTTCGCAGACGAATTTAATACTCTTACTGATTTGGAAGACCTAATTTTTCTTTAGTCATACCTTTTTTTATTTAGCTGAAATCAAAAATATTAATTTTTCACTAGGGAATTTTTTTGACGTACCAAACCTGCAAAAGAGACAATTTGATGATCTCATATCTGACTAATGACTTTTGCCCATTATCTCTTCAGTTTTTTTGGATTCCATTCTTACTCATCAACTTTTTCTTTTCTTTTTGCAGTTTTTCTATTACATAAAAGATTTTGGGGATTAGGGCGGTGCAATTTTTATGATGTTCACTCGAAGCAAAACACATAAAGGAAAGGAAAATGAGGCCTTCTGGGATCTCATTTTTCAAACCAATTTTGGTTAGTTTTGTTATTGCGGTTTTATTTTGGATAGGTAAAGCTTAGAGTCCTTTTGTCCTGAAAGTTGATTTTTTTGGGGAGCAGTTGACTTTCCCTTCATTTTATGAAAACTATTCAAAATGCTTCTATAACGACTATCTGACCAATGAAGTAAGAATGAATAAATGATTACTGGTTCCAAAAATCCGACATCAGGCCTTTCGCCTTCTGATCATTACCGATTCTTTTTTCTTACACTTTTGAACCCACGCGCCGTCAGTTTTTTTGGCTTTGGTTACATTAACCGTTGATCTAGGTTCTTCTTGGGTCTTTTACCCGCCTACTCTTTTCTCGGGAAAAAAACCTAATCCTCTGAGTAGAATGAAACTTTGAGTAACGAGGACGCCCCTCGAGAAGGCTTTGTATTGTTAGAAACACCTCGACGTTTTTTTTCTGTTTCAACCACGCGGCCACTCATTCATTCCGAAGACTTGTCATTTTGTCTGTTGCAGCTCCGACGGGCCATGAACTTCCTTCTGCTTCTGAGCGTTTTTTGCGGCGTCATCGGCGTCCTTGCCGCACTTCCGTTCTTCAGCAGACCCGTGGTATACTTTTTCATCTCATGAAAATACACCAAAACCATTAAAAATGCGCTGATTCAAAAATGATTCAGAACTGATTTCAAAAATAGGCCGACTTGGCTTTGGACTCAGTGAAGGCCTGCACCATTTGAAGAACTTTTTTTCTTATCTTTTTGATAAACTCCAAACTTTATGTTCAATCTGTGATAAATAAATAGCTGAGCTTGGTAACGGCAAGATTTGAAAAAAACAATACGTGAAAGCGGTTCACTGCACTTATGATATGAGGTTTTTCCATTAAAAATACTCTTATCAATAAATTATTTGGGAGGATGCTTTAGTGTCCCTCAAAACGGCAATTGAATCAGATTGAATTCAAGAAAAATTCACTGGAGTCTATTTTAAAGTTTAAGAACGACACAAAAAAATACCAGGAGTAAAGGCTTCAAAAACTTTCCCATTGAAAAAGCTTTTTCAGTATTTTTCTACAGCGAAAAATTTTTAACGTAAAAATTTTAAAGACTGTGTAACGTTTATTTTTTCCTATGATTGAAGCAAATTTGGGAAATTATTAGACAATAGCTTTGTTCTGAGCTTTAGTTTTTTTACATTTTCTTTTTTTGTGATGCACCCGCTGTTTTTTTAAAAAAAGGGTCAGATAACGGAAAAAACAACCAAAAATATGTACTGAAAAAAACTTAAAAAGCAGTGAGAAAAATATATATGTATTTGCAAGTTTTTCCAGGCAAACCGCGAGAATCAACACTGGGGAATCGTTTTTGATGCCGACTTAGACACGTTCGACGGCTCAAGATCCAACAACTACGTTTCCAGCCGTATGCGTGGCTAACCAATCTGTTTTTATTAGAACTTTTCCCTTTGACGATTTGTTGTCATTGATAAAGTGCAAGTTTTTTATGCTGGTTGAAAAATAAAAGGCAATAACTAAGCTAAGCAGTGAAGCAAAGTAATCAACTCAAAAAAGAAGAGCTTTTTGTTAAAGTAGTAGAAATCTGAAGGTCGTCTCTTGTGGGTTGATTGTCAATAAAAATATCAATAGGGGCTCAAAATATAGAACTAAATACATTGAACAGCGGTTGTTAGTGCCAACTTCACAATGAGAAACGAACACGTTTAGCAAATGGCACAAAGTGCTGTCTAGCACTAATTAGAAGATATACCAAGAAATATGAAAGGATCTAAAGGTTTGTAAATTCTCTCACACAACATGCGTGTCGGGCGCCTCTGTCTCGCCTTCCACGGCTTCTTCTTCGGCTTCTGTGTAGTACGTGTCACGATGTTTGGCCAGGATACGCAACAACGGACGCAGTTTCAGCCACCTCAAAGTTTTTCACATTATTTGTAAAAAGCAGTTGGAAGAATGAGATTCTCAAGATGGTTGGTGGGAACATTTTAAACTCTCTTGGAAACAGTAAGTAAAAGCTATCACAGGTAACATCAAATTTTAGTCAGCTTAGGCTCTTCCCAGATGTGAAATCATTTAAAAAAAAGAAACAAACAAGGTTTAAATTGTGAACGTCCAATCAAAGTAACTGTGTTCAAATCAAAGCTCAGATTTTGTCTTCTGTAAATATACTATGAAGAGTTTTTAAATGATGATAGATTTTGAAACGATTCAAATCTAAATTTTAATAGGTCTAAACCACATGTCTCACAAGAAAAAGGCAAAATTCAAACTGAGTAACAAAATTCACTTTTTAACTGGTGAAGAAAATTACCCGGAAAAGTATTTTGTGTACAACTTGATCCTTTGTGGCATTCCGAAAAATTCCTTTTTCTAGAGATTTGCAAACATACCATTGCGAAGATGGTAGTCGATGCTTGAAATCCGTTTCTTCGGCAAGCTCTTCGACAGGAGTAAACACCTGAAAACGTTTTTTTGCTTTTCTTAAAACAAAAAGTCATCGAGATTAAACCATAGATCATCCAACGTCATTCAGAAACTGGCTCATTGTCATAATGTTCTCAGAACGTGGAATTATTCACAAGTTCACACATTGAAAATTAGTCCGAAAGCTTTTGGCCCTACACTCTCGCATAATTCATTCAGTTTGCGTCAGAAAAAAAGCGACTCACAACTTTCCGGCCCATGAGTCCAAGCAAAGTCGCCGTGTCAGGGGTGTTGGCGTTGACGCCACCGTCTTCTTGTCGGTACTCCTGTGAAGTGGTTAAATTTTCTCAGTTACTATCTTTCCATAAAGTTTAAAAATGAGCTGTTACTGGTTTAGTGATAATTTAGTGCCATTAACAAGAATAAACTCTCCTGGGGAAAGCTGGAACATTTCCTAAAAGTTTGAGAAAAGTGAGGATATCAATAGATTAAAATTTTCGAAAAAAGGCTTTTTTTTGGATTATCATAGCTTCGAAAAAAACCGTTAACAACTCAGGAGTATGCAATGTTTCTCTTTGAAAACGAAATTCCGATTTTTGAAGAAATCGAAAATTCTCAAAACAAGGATCCCAAATCTTCTGTTCAAAGAAATTTTGAATTTTCAAAGGATTTACGATCAATTAAAAATATCCTCACCTTGATCTGAGTGATCAAATACTCCAAAGCTCGAGCCGCCAATTTGGTTCCCATATTTCTGTCAAAAGGAGTCGGGCTTCCACCTTGCTGTGCGTGTCCCAGAACGTTGACACGGGTCGAGAACTGAAATCAGCAATTATATTCTAACCATTGCATTTTCTCGAACCTCGCCAGCTCCTTCGGACTCGAACAACTTCTGGACGAAATCAGTCGTGAGGTTCTTGTCGGCGCATTCATTTCTCACGATCAAATATCGTTTCACACCGCGCTCCATCTTTGCGGAAATGACCTGAAAATAAGGTTTTGGAACCCGAAGCATTTTTCTGAAAACTCACCCTGACGTCTTCTACAATATCTTCAACGGTAAAGCTTTCTTCGAAAATGTAGGCGTTATCGGCACCCGATGCCAGAGCAGACAATGTGGCGAGATAGCCACAGTAGCCACCCATAGTCTCAATGATAAATACTCTGAAAAACGATCTTGAGGATTAGAAAAATCAAGTTAAATTGTACCTTCGCTTGGTACCAGTGGCTGACTGCTTGATTTTGTCAATCATGCTGCAGATTTCATTGACTGCCGTGTCCGATCCGAGGGACAGGGATGTTCCTGGAATTGAATCAGTTTTCATGAAAGAATTGAAAAATACTTATTCATTGTTTCAAAACGTGGGGTCAAGTTTTGGGAGCTTGGACCTCATTTCTTTCAAAAAGCCCATTAAAAATGCAAAGTGATTTTCTTTTGACTTAAATACGCCTGACCTTGAGAGTTATGGTAATTCATTTTTAAAGTTTTTATGTTCTGTCTCACCAGGAACATTGTTAGAAATAGTACAGGGGATGATGCACATGGGAATGCGGAGCTCGGGGAACTTCTCACGGTACCGCGACAAGATCAAAGTCGAATGGTAGGCCTAAACTCCAATTGACAAACATATTTCTGAGCTTTGAGCACCTCGAAGCCTCCGACAAGAAGCAGAGCTTGAATATTGAACTTTTTCAGTTGCTCAGCAATCTTTCCAATCGTTTTGTCGGTTGGCAGCGACTTTTGGGTCCCAAGGAATGAACCTCCGTACATCACCCAGTTAGTCACATCGCCCCATTTGAATTCCTGAATTTATAAAATAGTGAATAAGAGGATAAAAAATGATGAACAAACGCGGAAAGATCCGTTGGCAAGGCCTTCGAAAGAGTCTTCGATTCCATAAACTTTGCACTGATGGTAGAGTCCCATTCGCACGAAGGAACGGACAGCCGCGTTCATACCTGGAAACTCGAAGTTCAAAGGAAAAAGAAGTTAGTCAAATTTCGCTCTGTCGTTCATATTCAGTATAAATTTTTTTATGAACTTCCGAAATTTCTTTTTGAATTTGTTGCTTGAAATATTATTTGCAGATAGCTTACCTAAAAAAAGCATTCTTTCAAAGACTCATTGAAATCATAAAAGTTTTTTTAAATTCAAATGACTTGGTGACATTAGACGCTTTTTTTAAGTGCCGAGGTCTTCATTTAGACCATAATTTCGAAAGATTTCCTAAGTTTCAGAAAAATTCCATTGATATTTTTTTAAACAGGAAATCTCCTTCATTACCCCCAGAAGGAGCGCCGACGTTCATGACAGCCACATTGAAGTGATGGCCTTCAGAAAGATTGTCTTTCTCAACCATGCGCAGTTTCGTCAGAAGCTTATAAGTCTCCAAGTTGCGTTGGAAACTGCGACCACGCAATTTGACAGCTGTTTCCCAGTCCTTGTCAGCCATTGCCTTTTGGACCTGTAAAACGAACTGAGTCAAAAAACCTTTTACAGCTTCTCCAAAAGCACACACGGTTTTAGGAGCAGCTGTAAGAGAAAAAAGACTTTTTTTTTAAAGCGAACTGTCATTTTTTCAAAATTTTAACGGCAGAAGTGTCCATATTCATTGTAAAATCCGGGAGTGAAAATATAGAAACACCTGTTGGGTTCTTTCGACGCATTGCATCAAAGGCACACGGACCATCTGGTTACCATCAATCGAAATGACGCAAGGTTCCGATTCCTGAAACAAAACTCATCGTAATTTTTAAAACTTTTTTTCGATCTCACATTGTCCATTTCCATCAAAGCCAAAACAGCTTCAGCTCCCATTCGACTGCCAAGAAGTCGGTCAAAGGCGGATGGAGCACCTCCACGTTGGACGTGTCCGAGAACGGTGACCTGGTGATAATAACTGGGGTTTGGAAGAAAATATTTGAACTCACTCGAGTATCGTAGTGCAAAGTGTTTTTGATGACGTCTTTCACTTTCTCGGCTGTGATGGGCTGTCCTTCGCGGTCAAGGGCACCTTCAGCGACGATGATGATGTTTAGGCGTTGTCCTTCTGATCTCATCTGAAGTTGCTACGGTTTTCAACACATTTTCAATTGTTTAAAAAATTTTCGTTTTCTTTTAATTTTTAACATAACTTTAATCTTTAAGCTCTGAAAGTTGACGACAGAAGGAAAAACTAAGGAGAAAATGACCTGAAGGATGTTAAGATGATAAATAATGAGAAAATATGTGCAAAAAACTTGCGCAGTTAAAATACCACTTATTCAAGTCAGCATTATTGTCCTCAAAAAAAAAACCTCATGAAGTTTTTTGCAAAGGACTTCAGGCCAGTTCGATGGAGCCGGCCACTCGGGAATGAAGCAGAAATCGGCTTCGGAAGCCAAAGCAGCGACAAGGGCCAGGTAACCGCAATGACGTCCCATGACCTGCAAATCATCAGAATGTTGATTACCTTCCACAAAAATTTGTTCACAGTGGAATAAAGTTCACCTCAACGACGAAAGCACGCTGATGACTTTGGGCCGTGGCGACTACAGCGTCGATGCTCTCAATGATTCTTTGAAGAGCCGAATCCGTACCAATGGTCATGTCGGTTCCTAAAAGGTGATAATCCATCAAAATATGGAGAATTGTTTTGAGAAAAGATTCTCATTAGAGTTTCTACATGAACAAAATAAAAAATAGATATGCGAACCACAGAAATCGTTGTCGATTGAACCGACCAAACCGACAATTTGGATATTGGGAGAGGCTTCAGCTTGCTGTTCGGTGATCTGAAATTTTTTGATTGTTTTCGAAAAGTCAATAAAATTTCAAAGTTTCAGAGACACGAAGTTTAAACTTTTCAATGAATCAAAGCGTTAAAAAACCTATCGTCGTCAAAAAATTGAACGGCAAATTATAAAACAATTCGACTGCTTGGAAAGGCAAAACTGTAATTGAATACGTGAAAAATTTACCTTCTGAGACTCCAGAAGGGACTTGACAAGGTCTGGCCAATCCTTCCGGAACTGGTTGGCTCCAGTAAGAGTACCATCACCACCGATGCACACAATGTTGCCGATACCTCGAGAAATGAGGTTGTAAGCCGCCTGGAAAAGTACATTTTTTTCTCGAAACTTTTCAGAAATGATTGTGACCTTGAGACGACCTTCGGGTGTGCGGAAGTCAGCACATCTAGCCGAGCCGATGATTGTGCCTCCCTAAAAACCAAAATGATAAATTTCATAAAATTCATGAGGAGGAGGTAAGTTCCGGGTAACATATCTTTGATCTTCCGTTTATATAAAAAGATATTTAATCTAGTTTCCTTTTTAGGTTTCCCTATGAATCAACCGCTCTAGAGTTGGAACTTGGAATTTCTTTCTGAGTTTCTGAAAAAATTGTAAAGTGTTTTGAATCTATACAATCAGAGTTTTTTTCAAATTTTTGTCACATTAAAAATGATCAAAAAAATTGTTATCATCATCATCATGAAGCTCTGTGAAAACAATCTGATCAATAGATTATCTATTGAATTTTTTTCTAATTTGTCAACATCGGTGAAAAAATATTTTTCTTAAAATTGTGCTTTCTGCTAAATCGCTTTAAACTTTCGAAGTTTCAAATTTTCTCCTTAGACTCCTTCGTTCTCAAATTTCGTAGCCGTCCTAAATTGCTCTTGAATCATTTTGCTTCTTTTGTTCTCCCTGCAATTCCGCCTCAAAGTCGAACCTTCTGAATGATGTCGGAAACTTGGTTCCAGTCGGCTTCCTTGACATTGTCGCCACCATCCACCATCCCTTGGTAGCCTTCATTGATGCAGTAGACCCGACATCCCAAGTAGATTCCCATTCTCACCACGGATCTCACCGCGGCGTTCATTCCTGTTTTTCAGAACATCAATCGGGACAAAAAAACGGAGATACACGTGTGAATCTACACATTACACTGAAAAAGAGCTCATGCTCTGGTTTGTTCAGAGTTTGCACAGGTTCCATTTCTCAGCAATGAAGATATTAAGATGAGAAAGCCAAAAATTTTTCATATACTGCTTTTACAGTTTTTCTAATAACTTTTTGATTTGGGGGTGGCTTTTCTGAATTCCAGTTTTATAAAAAAATTAAATTAAAAAAACTTACAAAAATATGATTTTAGTCTTACTTTCGTCATAATAGTAATTTTATTATCCTTGAACTCAAGAAGTTCGAATATTGACGAACCTTGAGAATCGCCTCCGGAGGTGAAAAACGGCCAATCCACGGCCTTTGTACAAGTTGAACATGATGTCCGATCCTTCTTTTCCCGCCGTCGGGACGATGGAATCGAAACGGCGCATCGTGTTTCTGTCTTCGCGGAAAGATACTTCCGTCATCCTCTGAAAATCGAAAATATTCAGTTTAATGAAAAAAATGAAATGAAAAAAATGTTTGCCAAGACAAAAAAGAACTGAGAAGTAGGATGAGAAAAGGAGACTTAATCGATTTTAGGCGGAAAAAGGAACGCACAACATTCTCTGGGTTTTTATTTTGCAATAAGAAAGGACGGCAAAAAAACGTTATGGAAAAAAAGGAAAAAAACGACAAATAATTTTCTTGAAACTGTGAGCTGTAATCCCAAAATTGTACGATACTGATTAATTTTTTTCAAATTTGATCAAGTTTTTTTGTCTCATAGGAAATTTAATAAGTTTCATGAGAAAAAAATTTTTCATGTCCTATGAATGAAAATTAAAAGATTCATCAAAAAAATTTGAAGGTGTTAAAGGCTCAGGGAAAGTTTTTTTCGGATATTTGTAGCGTTCGGGGAGGAAATGAAAGAAAGGACTTCGAGGGTATTTTTAGGCCTGCGAATTTTTGGTTTTCAAAACCCCAAGAAAAATTTTTGAACAGATTTGAAAAGATTTGGTCCAGAAATCCTACAAAAACAGAGTTTAAGTTTATTTAAAGAAGAAAAAAATTATTCGACTTCACAATGGATTGATCTTTGTTTTTGTCATTATCAATTTTAAAACGAGCACCTTCGCTGTGTTTTGATCAATTATTTGATGAAAAAAAGACAAGAAAAAAAGAGTGTTTTTAAAAAAATTTCCACAAAAATACTTCCGACTCTCTTCGAACTTTTCTTACTTCTTTCTGAAAAAAAGAAGTTCAAATGATCATCACCAAAAACTTGAAAAAAATGATTTTCGAAAAACGCATTGTAATTTGCGTAAACATCTAAAACAACAACAACAACAAACGAGAGAGAATGCGAGAAATCTGTTTTTTTCGGAGTGACGACGCAAAAAAACGACTCGGAGAAGGGCAAAGGGGCCGCTCGGCAGAATTCGCGCGTTGACCTACACGAATCCTTCCCTCATAAAGGTCAAATGAACAGAGTTGTTTTTGCAAGTTCGATATGATAAAAAAATATTTGAGTAAATGAAAACGGCACTTTTTTTCAAACAATATTATATTCATATTTGCTCGAGATCAAAAAGATCAAAACAATCTTTTCTCGTGTAATAGGAAGCAAATCCTAAAACTGTTTTTTTTTTACCGAACACTAAATTTTTCCGTGGAAACTTCACGAATAATAAAAAGTTTTGATCTCAGTTCATTCGGGTCAAAAGATCAAAGTGCGTCTCACTTGATTGATAAGTTGAACACCTGTTTTTTTTTCTGAATCCGAATTGGAGCGTAGGATGTTGTTTTACATTTGTAGCAACGACAAGAAAAATACCTAGAATCGAAAAATCAATTTTTAGAAAACAAGGTCCCAAGGCTGGAGAAAAATTCTGAGATTTCTCACGTCGTCCAGTTATTTTCAGCGAAAGTATGAAAAAGTACAATACAAATTATCATCACTAGTTTCGAGAAAAAATAGCTCAAAAATGATTGACAAAAGCTATAAATTGAATTAACTTTCAGCTGGAATCAAAAAAAGGCAACCTTTTTATCGATGGGCATTGAAAACAACAGCCGATAAGAGACCAAGTAGTCAATAGAAAATGTGAAAAAATTCGATTTAAAAAAAAAAATGTTTGAAAGATCAGTTTCCTGAGTAACTAAACTCGCTACGGTTTAAAATTTTAGGTCTGATAGGCAACTAAAGGGATCTTGAAGAAACTGAGAATTTTAGAAAGAAAAAAAAAACATACCGGGTCATCGAAGGCGTCAACTTCATGATGTGTAGAAATCATTTCAGAAACAGGAAAGTTATCAACAGCAAGTTTTCATAAGACAAGACTCCTCCGGATGTTGAATAAATTGATAGATGCCCTCAGGGAAAAAAGCTCTCGAAGAGGCGGCTGTTCTGTCTTTTTTCTCTGCTGATGTGCGAGATATCAGCCAAGACGAGAAGTAGAAAAAATGAGCACAGAGCGATTCGGCGCTGAGCAGCGGAAATTTCTCAAGCAACTAAATAAGGAGCCGCCCTTCGCAAGGATTTTTTTTTCTTTTTTTCTTGCAGACGTTTCTTGCCACTGCCCTAAGTTGCGCCGCCCAGTTCTTTACACTAGAAACCGTCGACTGGTCACAAACAGTTCGGTCTGCTGTTGTTGGAAACCAATACCCACGTGATCAACATCAACAGCAAAGTATGCGGAAAAAGTTGAATTTGGCCCTAAAGAGACGTCTTTTCTCTTTCAGATGAGACTCCATAGAACTATCATTTTAAGGAATTAGGATAAAGATATTTTAAAATTAAATCGAATCTTAGTTCAAAAAACATCTTTTAAAAACCTTGTAAATTTTATGTGCACAAGCTCTTTCTGAAAAACTCTCACTGAAAACGCAGACTCAGTTTGAGAAAAAAAAAGAAAAAAGATTTTTTCGCAATAGGTATGATTTTCGAGCTTGTACTCTCTTTTCATAGTTTGCGTATTTTGAAAATTGTGAAGATTATTAAAAGCAAAATTTTTTAGATCCAGAAAGTCCTGCAGTACAATTTAGAAAAGTCTTATCCAAACTTCTCTCAAGGGCTAAAAACGCTCCCTATTGGAAGGAGCTTATTTAAAACTGCCTACTTCTCTCACTTCACTGTTTCATGAGAAACCAGTTTTCAATAAACAGGCTTTTCCAACATTATCATTTGAAAACTTCCCAAGAAAATTTTCAAGTTTCTTACTTAGACTGGAGTTCAAGAATTAGAGGAGTATTGTTAAATGAAATTCGAAAACATGAAATACCAAAAATTTGTGAAGAAGCATGAAAAACACAAAAGAAAAGCTTCTTTTAAGCTGAAACTTGCATCATATTTTGCGCAAGAAAGGTCTAGATGCTGGAAATTTTTGCATCATTCGGTTTCGAAATTTATTCACAACACCTTTTCTTTATTTTCCCACTCGTTGTTGAAAGCCGGAATGTTCCTTTTTTTGAATACGTTTAACGTGGTGAATAGAGTGTGGGACTTTTTCTGGATCGGAGTATTTTTAGATTAAAGTATGATCTAAAAGCGCCTTGATTAGAGAAGCCATGAAAAATAGAAGGCTTATCAAAATGAAAAATTTGTTAAACTTCAGGATTAAATGTTATGTTTTTTTATAGGAAAAAAAGATTTAGAAAAACGCAAGTATGAATAAATTAGATAGAAGTTGTGTTTTTCTAAAAAAATCTGGATAAATTGCATGAGACGGAGTTACTGAAAACTTTTTCGCACCGATTCTCCTTTTTTTATCAAAATTATTCCAGTTACGAGTGTATTTGCAGCTTTTTTTCCAGAAAAATTCGGACAAGCGGACAGTGAAAGATGCTCCTAATTTAAAAAAACCTGTTATTGGAAGGAATAATCATAACAATCAAGAAGAAATTGTGAAAGTTTTTTTCAAAAAAATTCAAGAAGCTTAGAGCTGAATGAAAAAAGCTGAAGGGAATGGAAACTTTGCTTTTTTCAAGGATCAATTTATTCAATTCAGAAAACTTTGAAGGCTTCCGGGATTTTTCAAAATTTGAGCCATAAAAATGCTGCAAACAAAGATCATCTTTCATTTGAAGTTTGAATTGTACCTCAATCACTGCTGTCCTGGAACAATTCTTTTATTTTTTTGATGTATGGAAACTTGAAAGTTTAAGTGATGTTTACGATGAGTTTTGAACCATTTTGAAAAATTGAGGATAAAATCTTGGCAGAAAAAACTCGATTTTTACGGGAATATAACAAGTATTGAAGAGAAAGTTGTACGACAAGCGAAGAACTCGGTTTGAGACCAAGGACTTGACGTTCGGCGCGTACAATGAGCCCTACTTCACTCCTAAACTTCCTTCTCGCAGCTGTTTTCCTTGCCGATCGATGCCGAGCAAAACGCAAACAACGGGGCTCCCGTTTAAATCTTTGCCAAACGACATGAACCGCCAATTTTTTTCAGAGGAAATGCGGAAATTATGTAGTGAAAATATTTCAAAAAAAAAAAATGAAAAATTGCGAAAAAAGAGAAATCAAGCAAGTGATGGTTAGTAAAATAGTCGAAATAGTGTTAGTAACACGAATCCCCAAAAAATTTGATTTTTTCAAAAATTCATTTAGAACAATCATCAATAACAAATAAAGTATAACAATTATGCCGAGAAGTAATACTGTTATGCGTAAAACCCTTCAAACTGTTGACAAGAAAGACACGAATAAAGTAAAGGCCACTTGAAATACAAAGATTCTAATTCACAAGAGATAGTTCATTCATCACGGGCTCAAGAGATTATATTAAGAGAGTTGTGAAATCGTTCTGCAAAAAAAAGCGAGCTTTGTAGATTTCCATATTAATTTTTTTCTTGAGCTAGTGATGAATTGAAAAATAACAATAACTTTAACAAGTATTTTCAAAAGAATGAAAACCGAAAAAAATGCGAAAACCTGGCGTTGAGAAGAGAAATTGCATTACTACGTGGTGCAGCCGCGAGGAAAAGCTATTTCTCTCTCATCAAGTTTTCCGAATTAAAGCTGGGTTAGTGGGTTTAGTTTGAACTGGAGATTAAAGCTCGTCATTTTTTATCTTTGGTAACCGAGATTCTACACGAACCGGTCAAGGATAGCAGTAAAGGCAGCAAATAAAAAAGTTATGAGGTGACTAGCATAATAATGACGGGACCAATGCTTTAAAGTATGTTGCATGCTGAAGCCGTATTCAGATTCGTCGTCGGTGAACGGCATTCCAAGGTAAATGAGGTGGTAGATGGTCACGAAGGAGAAGAAGGCGTTTATTGTGGAGGCGAATCGAGAAACCTGAGAAGAAAACGTTTTGTTGAGATTTAATGAATGTATTTTCTACTCGTTTCAAAAGAAGCGCCTCAACATTCTATGAAAGAAGGAAAAAAACTTTTTTTACATTTTTGATAATAGGCTTTTCCTCAAGTTGAAAAAAATATTAACTTTCGAACTTCTTGGTCAAAAATTTTTCAGTGAAAGCTCGTCAGGGCGAGAAAAAAATTTTTCAAAAGGGTTTTTTAATTTTTCCATTTTTGTTTTTTGAAGAAACCTGAATTTCAAAAAAAGCCTAGAAAGTTTTGATGACTCGATTTTTCTCATTGAACTATTCAAAAAATGTGTGATTTGTTGAAAAAAATGTGCAATAAAACTATTACTTCAACAAAAAAAAAAGTTATTAAATTTCGGAAAATATCTTCAAAGAAAACCACCTCCGTTCTTGAATGACTGCAATTTCGGCAAGGACGACTTTTAACACAAGCATCTAACAAGCGACTGAGCCGACTTCTCAACGCTGAAACGAAGTCGGAATTTCCTACATGAATTCATCAAAATACCGCTTTCCACTACGCAGTGCAGCCCGAGTGATAGTAAAACAGCCGTGAATTGGAAGTTGAGACCCTGAAAAACATTTTGATTTTTTTGATAAGTTATGTCAAATTCAGAAATTGTAATTTTTAAGTGGAGGTTTGAATAATTTTATTGTAACATACGCTTCACTGACTTTTGGTCCACTGAATTCAACATTAATGGTTAAAAAAATCAATTGTATGATATGAAGTTTTTTTCTTTATAACCAAGACCAATAATAAGCAAGCAATAAAAAAAAACTCACATGAAAAACTGAACTGACAGCAAAAAGCTGAGAATATCGCAAAAATCAGCCCAAACTTTCGGCAATTCAAATAAACATCTGGAAAAGATTTTAAAATCAAAAAAAAATCTCTGAAAACTCACACTTTCTCAGAAAGGTGTGCATCGGAACATCCCAAGCAACAACGACATCGACCAGAGATCGAGGAAATTCAACAGAGAATGGGTCACAGACCACGACCGAGTAACCGAAAAGGGCGGCCAGAGCTGAAAAATGATTGAAACAAGAAAAAGATAAAGGAAAACCTTGAGTCAAGAAGCCGATGAAATAATGGCTTGTTCTGAAAGCGAAGGCGGTGACGTAGTCGCGGTATAATTCGTGCGAAGGTTGGAGAAGGGTCTGGCCGCAAGAAGACACCAGAAGGAAGAAGATTGAGACAAGTAGTAGTGCGAGAAACTTCAGTATATTCTCCAGATTTTTCTGAAACGGTATAAATTTCCGAATTCTCAATAAAACGTTATAAAAATCCTACAAGGGAACGTTTTTTGGGTCCCTGTTGAAATTTAGAGAAAAATTTGCTGAAATGTGCCTCAAAAACGTCCTAGTTCCAGAACAAGAAAAGAAAAAAAGAGTAATTTTATTTTTACTTCGTATAAAAACAGTATTTTTAAAAACAATTTTTTTTTGATATACCAGAGTTTCAATTTCACAATGGGTGACTCATAAGTTTTTTTCATTACACATTGGAATAAGTAAAAATTGAAGTTTTGATAGCTTCCAATATCAAGAGTCTTATCAAAGTTTTTTTTTTCAAATTTTCATTTTACGTAAAACAAAAACCTTATGTATGGTTAGATATCAAAGAGAGAAACTCGAAGAACACTTGTGTACATTTCAAAATAAATTTTCCTTCAAATATATTGACAGTCTTTTGAATTTTGGTGTCATATAGAAAAAAAACTGACCCTCAGCGGTTGCCTCTCACTTTCCACAGCGCTGAACTGCTCTAGCGGTATCCACGGACCAAACAAAAACAAAGCAGGTTGAAGGACGTAAGCCAAAGTTTCGAAAATTGATTTCGAACCATCTTCAGTTTCAAAAGCGACTGTCGTCACTTTCATAGCCAGAAGCATGAATAATCCTCTGACTGAGACAAATCTATTTGCCGGAAGGTAAAGATTCCTGTAAATTGAATGAAAAACTTTTTGAAAAGTAGAAAAAACTCACATAGAGACTATAATTGAAATGGCGGCAAGTAGTGTACAATAACCTTTGTATTGGAATTTCGGCACAGACGCAATGGAAAAAAGGACCAAAAATGCAGTAAAACAGTAGATTAATTCTTTTTCGAAAGTGAGGAAATGGGATATTAAATATCCAGTGGCCAACAGCCATTTCAAAGTTTTGAGAGGGTATGGAGGATCTGAAAAAAATTTATGTGTCGAGTTTTTTTTTTCATTTTTTTGTAAAACAAGAACTAATTCAACAGAAAACGCTTTATTTTAATGCAAAGTGCACTATTCTCGGAACGAAAACAATTTTTATTTATAAGAAAGCTAATTGATTACATTGATGGTTCGAGGCATATCTTGACAGTACCAAAATATGAATAAAAATGATAGGAATAGTGGATCTACGGCGAATTTTAAACTCAAGCGTCCCTTCAAATACTCTTGCGTCAGAAAAAGTACTCATAAACCTTCTCACTTCAACTTCCTAACATGCTGCCCAATCTTTTAAAACCTTCTGAGGCTTGGTTTTTTCTTTGAGAACTAGAACTTCTTCTGATTTTCACAAATGACAGTCAACACAACTCCAAAAGATTTCAAAAAAATTGAACTCCACATGAAAAAATTAAAAAATTCTGAATTTGTAATTTACTAAAGGTCCCAAAAAAATATAAACTCACTGAATATTGAACCAAACTTGATCAAAAATGCCACGTAAATCAACGGCGCAAGGTTCCCGGAAGCCGATTGGAGTACTCCGGCTGAACAACGATAGGCAAGGGAACTTGGATTTTCTGCGGGATAGCCCCAGTCTTCCTCTCCTTCATACTCTTCCATTTCCTCGATGTCATAGTCCATTCCTAAACCTCTCAATAATTCTTAAACGAGCCAATAAGGGATAAAGAAACAATAAGCATTTCAATTCATCTTAAAATAAAATAAAAACAAATGTAAAAATCAGTTTTAAATTTGAATAGTGGTATTTTGCGCCACGGTGTTTGCAGATCAACTGATTATCGTGAACTTTTCTTTGAACCTAAAATGTTGTTAAATTTAAAATAATTACCAATTTTTGTAAGCTTTGGAAAGTTACAGTTTCGAATATTTTTATTTACCGATACTCAAAAAAACTATTCTAACTTGCCTTTTTCAACACTACTGACAACTTCTGGAAGTTTACCTCAAAACTTTTCGAATTTAAAATTTGAATTCCTTTAGTGTGATTTTGCGCCTCGGTGTATGCACAGTAAGCGATTATCGTACACCACACGTTAAGCCAAAAAAATTCTTCTAAATGAAGTAAATCTTTAAAGGTATCTAATTTTTTTGTACGCTGCGAAAGGCTCCGATTCTGAAAAATTTTTATTTGCTAATATTCAGAAACATAATTTAAACTTGTATTTTTTTCAACAACTTTGATGATTCAAGATGATATACATCAGAAAAATTTTTTTTAGAAAGGTTAAAGTATTGAAAGAAATCAAAATAATCTTCAACAGACAAAACTATTGTTTTGCAAAGCTCACGAGTACATTTTAGCAACAAAAAGGGAAAAGATAATCCGCACGAAATCCCTGTCCCTATTAATCTCCAACTATTTGCACCTGAAAAGTACGTGAAAGCGAAAGTCCTTTTTTCTAAAACTGCCGATTTCATTATTCTAACTTTAACGTCAATAACTTCTGCAAAAGGAAAGGACAAAATATATCGAGAAAATTGGTGAAAGCAAGGAAAATACAATTCGAAAATGAATTTATAAAAATTCTTGGTGTTGGCTAGAGGCTAATAAGTAAAGGCTAATACCGACGAGAGCTATTGAAACAGAAAAATAAGTGACTGTTTTTCTAAAAAAATGGTTTTTTTCAGACCTCACGAGTAGTGATGGAGAGCCAAACTGTTTTAACCTACGAATATTTGTTCAAGTAATATTTCTCAGGATAACAGCATCAAGGTAGTGCCAGGCTTGTGCGTCAAGCCGGGCGGCCCGGCCTGGGCCGGTCTGGCCCAGGCTTTGGGCCTTGTTTTCAGGAAAAAGCCCGCGTGGGCTCGGGCCGGACCGGGCTTCATTAAAAATTTCATTTAAAGAATTTTTCACCGAAATGTGACTTTTACTTCTGAAATCATAGTTTTTGTTAATTTTTATTAGAAAAAAATGAGCAAAAAAACGTAATTTTTTTGTCGTAAAATAATTTGATATCCGACTAGAAAAAATTGCGCGATTCGGGCCGGGCGGGCCAATTTTTCTTGAGGCCCGCTAAGGCCGGGCCGGGCTTACAAAATGGTCGGGGGGCCGGGAGGGTGACATGCCGGCCCTCGCACAAGCCTGGGTAGTGCTAAAATTTCAATTGAACCGATTTCTAAAGGAAATGCCGATACTTTGTATCAAACACATTTTCCGAAGAAGTGAGATACACACAGGATGGTTGGTTTCTGAATTTTTAAAAACTGTGCTCAATTTTCTTGAGCGGCTTGAACCACTCAATTTATTATTTTTGTTCATTGAGAGAATTACCAGCTCGTGATACAGAAGCTTCATAAAAGCTCCGAAATATTTTTAGTTTCAACCAACACAAAACTCAAACGTTTCAACTTTGATCTTCTATGTTTTTGAGACCTGACTCATTTTTTTCTCAATAAAATTCACAATTTATTTTCAAGAAAAGAAATTTACTGAATGTTGTCCCTAAAGTTGAACCTTTCCAGTGAAAAAAACCCTCAAGGTGCAGTTACTTTTTCACTCGATCTGTTTTGGCTTGTCTTTTTATAATTGCTAAGTAAGGTAGTTGTGACTAGAAATTTTTCAAACGACGATGGCTTTTTTCACCTCGAGAGAAGAAATAATGAGGAAGGCAAAATGACTCTTTCCTCCAAACAATATTGTTGCGGCAGTTACTTGAGCTTCTTGCCTTAAACGCCTTTTTTCATGTTTTGAGGACTCTTCAAGTAGGTCCAATGAAGCTGAAGCAAAGGACGGAAAGTGCAATCGTCTTTTTTTTTTTTTTCATTTTTTTCAAAAATTTTTTTCTGATCGCAAAAGCTTCTTGATTTCATATTTTCACTGGATATTTTTTTCCCAGATCTGAAAAACGCTGAGTATGCTTTACTTTTTTTCAAAGTAAAAAAAGCTTTTAATGTATTCATCGCTGCCTCAAAACCATATTTGAGGATAAATAGCCCGATTTTCAGAAACTTGAAAGAAGAGGTTGATACTTATCTAAAGAAAACTATTCCTTAGCCAGATGGGGATTTTTTTTCCAACGAAAACTCGGAAAATTGATCATTTCCATTGAAATTTTCAAAATGTAGCCTTTCAAAAAACAGATTTAATTTGCATCCAGAAGAAAGCTTCTATTTTTCTAGAAGTCGCCGTTTTCGCTGTTCACCACAATAATTATTCCACTTCTGTCTTTGTTTGGGCTTTCACTTACTCTTTTTCAGTTTTATAAAACCTTCTGGAAAAGTTTTATTTGAATCTTCAGTAGATCTCTTTGTTTTTCTAACTTTCTGTTTTCTTACCACTTGAAATCAAAAAGGCCCCGGAACTACTCTAGCGTGAAAAAAGATCATTAATGGATGAAAAAGCTGACTAGCCTCAATTTGTGCCCAAACAAAGAGAAATGATCAAATTTAAACGTCATTCCACTTAATCTTCACGATTTTTCGGCAGGGATTTTGGGAAATAACATCTGCAAGCTTGAGCGAGAAGAGTAACAATATAATGTGCTCTCTTTTATATTTTTGATGATGTGAACTGCAAAAACATTACGTTTCTCGAGAAAAGAAGCTCAGCTCAACGTTCAGCTTAATCTCTCTAGTTTTATCCAAAGGCTGCGAAAACCGTTTTTTCGTGCATATTGAAGGCAATTTCCTCTCTATTCATTATCGGTTCGCTTTGACTTCTTCTTTTTCGGTTTTTCCTCTTCTTGCACTTTACAAAATTATTGAGGTATTGAGGGAGACGAAACCAACGAGAAAAAGTCGAGCTTAGCATTTCGAAGCCAGTCTTTCGGACAATGGCAGAGGAGAAAGCGGTAAGTCAATTTCTCTCGTTATCCCGTCCATTTTCAATTTGTTTTGTGATATATTAGACCGGGAGCAGACTTCTCACCATTATTTGTGAAAAGTGCTTTCCGAGGAGCTTAAATTTGCATTAGGAAGTTTGTTTTCAGCGCGCTCGTCTATTCGTCTTTTTGAGATGAATAACATTTGAAAACAAAATCACAAAGAAGGTCATTCTAGTCAAGCTTATGATTTTCTAGGAGTACGGCTGAAGGTTCTCCGAGACTTCATTGAAGATCTAACCTAGTCATGTTTTTTTTGCAGTTTTAACCACTTCCATGACGGATCTTTTCCCTCAGATTTTCGAAACGTTTCCCTCCACATTTTCAGGAATTCTCTGGAATATGTGGGAAACGTCCTTCCATGAGAGAAGACTTCAATATCAACGAAAAATAAAAAAAGGAATTTCTTCAAAGAAAAGAAGACGCATTTCTTGAACTATTTTGTTCACGGCGAGATTTTATTTATTTTTTTCTCGTGGTAACTGAAAACAAAGCTTTTTCTGGGTAATAGAATAAAATAGGTGTTAGTAGGAGAAGAAGTTCTAGCAAGCAGTTCCAAAAGATTTCCTGAATTTTATTTTGAAGCTCAACGAAAATCTTGTAAATTTTTCATACAAATAATTTTTCTGAAGCATACTCTAATTGACTTACCTGTTTGAAAAAAAATTGTCTTAATAAATACTTTGCCTCAAATAACAGAAACTGTTATCGAAAGCCTAAAGCCATAAGTTCAACGTATGACAGAGTATTTTTTTCTCTCTTTTTGTCTGTTCATAGAATATTTGAGTCAGTTCATGCATGAAAATGGAATTTTGTCACACCAAGACGTGTTCTGTCCCTTCGTTCTATTGTTGGATATTAATTCTTAATGTAGTTTTTGTCTTCTTTAAAAAACGCGTTAACATCAAGGACAACCCATAGAAAAAAGACGCTCGGAACTCCATTTTGTCTTCTTTTTCAAATCTAGGATTCATTTTTTTGTTTCCGCGTTTTGAAACATAAAACAGCGTTCAAAATACTATTTCTCATTGATTTTCCAGAAGTAGCTTCCTTTTTTTAAAGATTGGGGTCAATTTTTTGGGGATTAGTTCATTTCAAACCTGTTTCGACTCTTGAACACACATTTTTCCCTCAACTACGCTGATTGGATTTAACATCATCTACATTAAGAAGTTTATTATAAATAACTAACTTTTTTCTATATTGCAAAGTGAAACTTGAAACTGTTCTGTCGACCGAAGAATTGTCGAATTGGCCTGATTGAAACTTGATTGAGGATGAAAAATCATTCATCTTCTTTTTTTTTCTCTTACCAAAAAAGCCACAACTCTCAGTACCCGGAAGGTAGTAGTCAGAGAAGCCTCGAAAGAGCTCGCCGACCAACTCTTCGTCAACCTTATTAGAAGCCTGTGAGGTACACCTCATCCCGATCACGAAACTAGTGGCAAACGTGGCGAAACGCAGATTATGCGGATTTAATCCGCTGCCCTCTCCGTGTCTGGCGCCGGGAAACTCACGTTGCTTCGGTGGCGCTTCCTGGCTAAGAAGGAAATCAAAAAGTGGATAGAGAGACGAGTGGAGCATCAAAACTTGCGCGCCGGCCCGAGCGGATACGACCCACGTAAACTGAGGATCGGACGACATCCGGAGTGTTCAACTCCACCAGTCGGCTCTAAAACTTCTCACCAGCTCCCAGTCGGCCGCCTTGAACCGTCATGTCTTCCTCGCCTCAGCCTTCTCCAGTTAGTGTAATCAAGCCTCGAAAAGTTAGAATAACATGTTGCTTCCAAACGGAAAAAAATTCATATAAAACTGGTTCGGCGGTGTATCTTATGCTAACTCAGTTTAGGTTGAATGACATCAGATGTCATGCTCCTCCATGAGAATTCAACTATTACTTTAAAAGTAATTCCTTTCACTTTAGCAAGGTTTTGTTTCAGTGGCATGGAATTTGAGTTCTAGAGTTTTTCAAAAGTTATGAGGAAAATTCTCTGAAGTCACTCCTTTTCAACTCGAATAGATAGGAGAAAGGACGCGACGCGGATTTCGGCGGGAAAATCGCAGTCGATCCTGTGCAATATTTTGATTTTTTTCCTTTTTGTGAACCTTACAATAATCTTTGATTTTTTTATAATTTCCCAAAAAAATTAGTTGAACGTAAAAAGGTATAAAAAAACAGCAAAAAGTTTTTTTGAACTTGTTTCAAGACCTCGAGTTTCCTGCCAGAAATTACCTCCGGTAAGCAATGCTTCACCCGATAAAATCAACCTATCTCGCAAATTGAGTCGAAAAAAATTGGCTATATCTGTACCTCCAAAATATTTATATTCCAGCTTCGTTCCATTCCGAAGAGAAACTATCTTTTCAAAATAATAATCCATTAGGATTCATTTCAGTCAAATTGAATGAAACTGAGTTTAAGGACAAAATCAAATATACTTTGAATAATTTTCTAGAGTAGTTTTTTTGGACTAATCTCCAAGTTTTCCAAATTTTCCGTCAAACTATTGCAAAGAAAAAGACGAAAAAACGTCAACGCTCTTCTGGTTACTCTAGTTTTTGTTTACTTCCTTTTTTGTTTTCAAATTGTTTACAACAGGTGAAACTCAAAACCCGAGTACTAGCCAACTCAGAATTCACTTCTGAAACTCAGAATTCACTTCTGAGTTCGTTTTGGCTCTAATTGTGCGCAATGCAGCTGTCCATAAGAACTCTCATGCCTAAAGCGCATGATGGTCACTCATTTCCTCTTGGAGTAAGGAGTAAATTTTCATCTTACGAGGTTCTTGTTTCCGCAATTTTCGTGTTTAACGGCACACATTTCCCAAAAGTCCCCTGATTTGTATTCATTTTATTTTTTTCTTGAAATGCGAATTTTTGCTTTTTCTTCAACTCAAAGAACAAAACCCGACGAACACACCAGCCCAAATTCTCAGAAGCAAAGAAAAACCTCGCCGTTTTTCTTTGCAAGGTATTTATTTTGTATCCATAAAATTTGTAGGGTCATATTTTGGCAATCTTGAAGCGTTTTTTGGTTCATAAACGGTAGAAGAATGTTCAGGCGTTGTCACGTCGCGGAAAACTCAATTTTACCTACACTCGGCCTATTAGTCTCTTTTTCCCGGTTTTTGTTCCATTTTTCCAGTCTATCTCTCAAAGAACTTGGAGATTTTAGTGCCCTTATAGACCGAAATAGAACTCCATCCTCTCATCCGCTTAGGAAATTCGAATTAAGATGATAACACAAGAGGCGGAAATTTTAGCAGTTTGCGTGATCGAGCCATATTTGGAACGTCTTAAGCTTCTCCTCGGCTTTTTTATTAATGGACGTTGAACACTCATCAGAAACGCTGCAGGATTGAAGCTTAAACATCATGATGTCAAGGAAAAAAGGAATGATCCACTCATTTTTTTGTGTGGTTTTCATTTATTTATTATTACTGGATGAAAAACATAAGATTTTGAAGCAATAGTATATTATTAAAAATGAGAAATCAACTTTTCAATATGCTAACACGCTGGCGCTCTACGGATAAAAGCCTCAGAGAAATGCGTTGATTTTTTCTTCTGAATAACGGATAAAGTTACGGCATTTTTCAATTCAAAGGTTCAACTTGTTTCTTTTTTGTGTGTTTTTTTTTGGTTGTTCCAATAATCGCTTCAAACGCTATCAAAGTAAAGATTTTTGATGTAATTCTCAAGATTTTCTGTTATTTTGTTGTTATCAGCTTCAGAACTCCGCTTTGGTGGTTTCTATTTTCGAAGGTTAGGAAAAATCCTTCAAATACTGGCCTGATACAATATTCAGAAAATTGTGCGTATTTTAGGGGTACCCCTCGCCTGTCGTTGGCGGAAACCGTGTAGTGGTCGTTTAACGTTATCTTTTTTTGTCTTTTTGATAACTCGAAAACTCACGGCTCTGTTGAAAATACAGCCGAATCAATTTAAAGAAGCTTTATTAGAATTTTGCGACCTTCACTCCACCTCAACGCAGCTCGTTCGGAGCCATAGAAAACTTGGAGCAGGAAGAAAAAGGCAATCTGAATGAGCCGGCATTGTTTTGTTGAAGGTGTTGTCGGTCGTCAAATCAAAACTTGCCACCAGTCGTGCCGTATTCATTATTGCGACGTTGGGGGCCGCCGTTGTGCTCGGAAACTTTTCCTTTTGGAATGCTTAATGACGGTGCGCTGCCATCCTGCAAAATGCTGCTTTTCATTTCGTCTATTTTAATCCGATTTAATTTCGTCAAATTTTTGTACTTATTCTTGAGCACTTTTGATAGGTTACAAGGGTCCGGCTTAGACTTGTGAGGCTTGCAAGTGAGCTCAACTATTGTTTTTGTTTCTTTCTGTTAGCTTTGAAAATAAGAATTTTAAAATAGAACTGTTTTTTTTACAATAAGCATAAAATAACAGTGATAAACTAATCAGCAAGAAGCCTAAAGATCAATTCAAAAACCTGTTAATTTCATAATAGAATACTCTGAAGTCCGAACCTCAGAAATTTCTGACAATCATAGAGAATCAAAGTCAAAACAACAGAAAATAGGTCGTAAACTCGAAACACACAAATCGAAGGAATGCTTAAAAATGAGACCGGAAATCCACCTGGATCACTTTTCACTGCTTTTTTTAGTTTTTCTTTGTTCTTTAATCACTAGCCATAGTAACAAAAAGGAAACTTTTCAACTTGGAATCTACCAGATGATACATTTGAGAAAGAAATATGGGCCTTAAAGACAATTTTCAAATTTTGACTCACTTACCAATGTTAAATTTGTTCTTTCAGAGTCTCAGACAACTTTCAAAGGCTATTTTGCCCATTTTCACTAAGTATTAAGTTTCTTGAACAAAGAAGAAACTTCCTCGGCTTTCAAATTTAAATCTGCACTTTCCTCTGCAACAAAATCTTCTCCTTCCTTTCTCCCTCCATTTATTATTATTCTATTCAGATCGAATGCGTAATGTGCGCAAGTACATATCGAAGATTGTGGGAAAAATATTCGCCCATTTGACATGGAATTCAAATTTGCGCTTTTTCCTCCTTATTAGGATATTCTTGTTTAGTAACTTTCTAAGCCATCAAGGGTTTCAAAATTTCACAGTTGATGGGATTTGTGAAAAAAGAATAAATTTTTTCGTCGTCTGCAGACATGAATACCCACTTCCTGTTTCAACTTTTTTTCTTTATTAAAGTACATGAAGAGATGAGGCTTTTCGAAAAAAAAAATGAAAACGATTAAGCCAGTTTTATAATAATTTGATCAGTAGACTTCTTCTTTGTCTTTTTGAGAAATAAATGAACTTCTTCAGGGGGTCGAGATGTGCGAAGAGCGGTACCGCCTCGTCGTACTTGGCTCGGCGAAAGTCGGGAAAACCAACTTGATCCGACGGTACCTCTACAACGACTTCTCCACAAAGTACAAAGAGACCATCGAGGATCTTCATTCTCGAGAGTTTCGAATCCAGGTAAAAACATGATTAAACTCTGTCAGCATTTCCAACAAAATCTAGAAATGAACTGGCTCAATCCATTTTCAGTTCTATTGGGCCATTTCCGTTACAGTCAATTTTTGAAGACTTCATCCATATGAGATAACAATTTAAATAAAATTCTTATTTATTTTTTTTTGTATGTCCAACCTCTTTTTTTGAAGCTAATTTGTGTAGTTTGATTTTTTGTTTATTTTAGCGTTTCCTTCTGAATTCGTTTATTCAAGTGAAACGTCGTGTAAAGAAACTAGCTATAGTGAATTAACTCGAAGATTATTCAAGCTTAAAAAAACAGGTAAGTTAAACTGAAAAATGAGCCAAAACTGTTAATTTATTCAGTTCGAACAGGGGAATAAGTTAAAAATTTCTCAGAAGTTTCCCAAAAAAAAAAGCCTTTTTTTCCCAATCAAAGTAGCTTAAGGGTGTTCCACTTCCACTGGACATCCTGGACACCAATTTCAACTTTCCGGACATGCGGAGACTCGCCATCTCCTCAGCTTCCGCCTTCCTTCTCGTGTTTGCCGTTGATGACGTTACGAGCTTTAAAGAAGTTAGTAACTTTTTTAACTAATTCTTTCGACTATTTTCCTACATTGTGGAAAAAAAAAACGTTCTACTCAGCTTTCAGCAACGGAAAAAAAAACGAAAATGTTACCGTTTTTGAACATGAGACAAAAATATCAAACTACGAACATATTTTTTTAAGTTTTTGTCTCTTTTATTTTCAACCTTTTTTTTGCCCCCATTTGTTTGAAATCTCTCATTCTCATTTACCTAATTTTTATCATTATTTGGTTTTCATTTTTTGCTATCAGTTCTGCGTTCAAATTTCCTGTCAATCAGTGCCGGAAATTGTGGCTTTTACAAGCTTTTCCTGTTCTATCGTGTACTTTTTTGGTTCAGATGTCGGATCTGTGGCAAGAAATTTGCGAGCGAAGGCCAGATCTCAATGAACTACCCGTCGTCGTCGTGGGCAACAAATCCGATGTCGTCACAAAAAAGGCAAATTTTGCTGGAAATTTTTGATTCACGAGCAACGTTCACCGGCTTTTATTACCTCGGGAAGGGGCTATAAAAGTTTTCAGAGAAAGGAAGAAGTTTTCACGGAAAAGACGAATTGGAAGTGCTTCAAAGTTAGAAGAATAGGGCTGATTGAAATGTCACGATGAATATACAATTTTTTCAGATCTACGAAGCCACTGCAGTCGCATTTACTAGCCGTTTGAGCTCCGACGTCCGATATCTAGAAGTTTCGGCGAAGGAAAATCTGCGTGTGACCGAGACCTTCAGGACGTTACTGGAATTGAGCGGCTTCCCCCGATGCAAAGTTGTGCAGAAAGTGCATATTTAGTCTGAAACATTTATGTTTGAAGGCCGGTGGAGGAGGATTAGATGACGTCGTCGAATCAGAATCCGAACACAGTCCTTCCTTAAGGAGAGCGCAGACCGTGAGGGCAAAGCCTATGAATAGGGATATCTACAAGCAAAAATATGAGGTAAGAAAGTTTGGAAAGTACAAAATTTTGGGAAAGAAAATTGCTTCAAAGTATTTTTTCGCAACTTGGTTCTTTTTTGAAAATAATTTTGCGAAACCTCACCGTTCCGGTTTCTTTCTATTACCAATGAAAACCTTTTTTTGCCTACTCACGTACTTGAACATCTTTTTTGCAGGGAAGGAACGGCTCATCGAGTGCTCGAGAGCCGCCAACCCAAACGCTTGAGAAACAAATTTCCCACCAGGCTCTTTCCATCCCGCAACATGTGAACGAATTGAAAAGAAATCTCTCTTTAAGGGTATGTTTCTATGATTTTTTTAAATAAAAAAAGTTATAAGAAACAAAATTCAGATGAAGTCGCCTCGACGAGAAAAAAAGATAAAGAAAAGGAAAAGGAGAAAGAGCCTGTTGAACGGCGGCTATCCGACGAATCGAAACTGTCTCGTAGTTCCAGTTTGATCAGGTTTTTCTCTTACTAACTTTTGGGAGGAAAAAGTTAGCTGAACATTTTTCAAACAGATTTTTAACAGTTTATCCTGTCTTTCATATAAAATATGACTTATTTATTTTTCAAATTAAATCAAAATTTTTTCATCGCAGGGTAGTATTTTTCAAGAAAAAAATTTATATCTTTCGAAAAATGCCTGCTGCTTTCATCAATGGTTGAGATCTTTAAAAAGGTTCTTTCATTCAAATTATTCTATAGATCCACTAAGACGCGTTTTTACAGAAACTCTTTCTTAAAACTTTTTTTCCAATCTGTTTTTTTGGAAAACCATTCTAAAGCTTTTTTCGGTTTCTCATATTTTAGTGTTCATATTTCTTTTTATTTTAAACCACAAAAACGTTTTTACAGGCGGACCAAGCACCTCTCCCTGAAAATGCGACGTCATGGCGAAAAAATTGCCGACGACAAAGTGGACGAAAGCGACTGTAAAATTCAATAACATTGGAACATATCATATTTATTTATTACATTTTAATTCATTTCTAATCAATTTTTGTTAATCCGATCCGTACATATGTGAGCTTGTAAAAAAATTATCTAATTGAGAAACGATGAGAACACTCAGAATGATTCATTTGAAAAACATTTCTGAAGCGTTTGAAGATCGAACAATATTTTTCGGTCTGATGACAAGGGATGGCATTTTACAAACAAAAAAAAAACCGGAGATATTTATAAATGTATGTGAAAAACTTTTTTTATGGCACTTACTGAATTTTCAGAAACCATCCCCTACCTTCACTACAAAGTTATTTTAGAATCAGAAAGAAAAAAACTCAATTTTTGAAAATAATCACTTTTCCTATACAACTTCTTGAATTTTACATAGAGATCTTTTTTTTGACATTTATAAGAACTCTAAAACCCCGTTATTCATAAAATTAATTGACTGAAAAAGGCATGATTATTCAATTAGAACTTACTTTAAAAAAAACTCAAAAAAATGTTTCTTTCCACAGGTGGAAGCTCATGACATTTCACTAAAAAAACCAATACATCATCACATTACTTTATTCATTGATACATAAATAATAAACATTGATTTTGACAAGCCATAAGCGAAGACAGAACATTTTGCAAGGAAAAAGCGTTTTTCGATGAACTGACAAGGTTTTGGCAGAAAGGGAGAAATCGAAGATAGGTTCAAGCATCAAAAATGTTTCGTTTTAATTCAAGCAGTTTGGTTACGCTTTTCTCTGACCGCCGAGATGATGACGCAGGAGAAGATCATGGCGAAGACCTGAGTTTCAATAATAACAAGAAAATGAAACGAAAAGCTCACCTCAACGACAAGGACAACAGCGGCGGCGACGATAACGTAGACGAGGTTGGATTCGAGGAGAGTGTAGACCACAGTAGCGCATCCGGGCTGAATTATCGTTGTATGTTCCTATTCCAAAAAAGGACGCAGTACTCGGATCAAACTACTGTTCGAAGCCAGAAAAATGACTACTTTAAGGCTTTCAAGACAAGAATTTTTTTCAAACAATAAAGCAGAAAGTTCACACGCGATTTTTTCCCAAGCTCTCCATAAAGTTTTTGCCAAAAACTTCACATAAAAAAAGAACCTGGGTGAGGGTAGAACATTGGCAGGAAAGAGGGAATCCGGTGTACGGTATGTAGTCCGAGCAGCCACTCGCGCCACAGCAGTTCAACTCAAATAATGAGTAATTTAAAAAGGAAATGAAGCTCAAGTTTGTCAGAAGTCTGTAGGTACCGATTTTTTCAGATTTTCATGTTTTAAAGGCACAGAAGTCTTCAAAGACTTCTAGTTTCCGAAAATTTCAATAATTTTGTTTACTTTTTCAGACATTCATTTGGGAAATTTTAAAAAAATTGTACTTCAATAAAAAACCAACATTTCTCTGAACGTTGTCCAACATGTTGCGGATGTTTTCCTGGGTCGAGTATTTGGCCACGAGCTCATTTCTCCACACATTCGTGAACGTTTCGCGGAGCTCAAAAGTTTTTTTTTCTTAGTCTTCGGAAAAATGTTCTACCGAGGATTTTTTAACGAAGTATAAAACAATCCCAAGGATCTCCACGCCAAATAGCGCCAACACGAGTAAAAAGTACTGGAATACAGTTGGCAATTATTTGCAAACCAGGAAACTTTTACAAGTGACATGGTGCAGACACTCTCGCAGCAACTTCCACAGCATCCGAAGAAGCCAAGTACGAGCAAAGCTGCTCCAATGCCAAGGGTCAAGTAGAGGAAGAGGTAGAGCTGGAAAATTCCCATCTGCCATCAAGAAAAGTTGGTTTACAGCAACTCGCTACATTAAAACAGATCTCTCAAACTTGAGAAAACTTGATTTTTGGAAACCGAAAACGGCCAGCGAATAACTAACTTTGCAACTGAATCTTCTATAGACTGGCACAAAAAAAAAATACGAGGTGGTTATCAAAATAAAATCTGCGCTAAAATCCATTGAAATTGAGGTTCAACTGCAAGGCAAAGTTGAATACTGTGGAAAAGGACGTTGAAACTCTAATTTTGCTGACATTTTGGAAGTTCACTGCGCTCAAGTCGATCTTCACAGTACTGGATACGGTCGATGAGAAATTTTGATCAGTGAGGATCCAAATCGAGAGACCGATGATAACTGCGCCAAGGATCTGAAAAACGACTCTCGCGTCATCAAAAATGCTCCACTCCTCACAAAAAATAAGAAGTTGATGAGCCAGAAAAAGTACTTGACACATTTATTGCCGCAGCCAGCCACCATGGTGCCTGAAAAATGGGAATTTGTGCAATCTAAAAAAAGAAGACTGGCTTCTCGAAACAAGAAACACGTGCGTGAAAAGAGACGCGATAAGAATGGTGAAGGTGAGACGGAAATCCCAGTAAAAACGAGCAGGGACTTTGTCAATGTCCGGATTTTATGTGAAGATGAATGGCTTCAGTTGTGGTGGCGAGATCCTTTCATGGATGTTCGTGCAAAATGATATACTTCGTGACGAAGAAGTGAATAAAAGGAAGGAAAAAGATGAGATGATTTAGTTTTATAGTGCTTTTGAACAACACGTCGGGATAATTGTGAGTGTGGGAAAAGAAAAATTATGATAAATTTGGCGCCTAGATAATTTTTCCCGGTGTACATCTAGGCCACGCCTATGTCCTGCGCTCTAGAACTTCAAACGAAAGTAGGAATAAACTGCAAACCTTGAGATATTGATGTCTAATTTCGAGTGATTAAAACAAAGTAGATCAGAAGGTTTAAATCTCAAACCCACGAAGAAGGCCGGTCGTCAATTTTGAATGAAAAATACTGTTGAATGGAAATCTTCACATGTTGCGAAACTCAAAATTTCTTTTAAGTACATTTTTCTGATCTTTTTTTCAGAAAAATCTGAAAATTCAAGAAAAAAAAATCTCTCTTTTTTAGAAATTTTCACTTTTTACGAGTTTTTCTAACATCAGTTTTCAGTTTCAATAAAATACTCTGGCTACAAAAATTCGAGGCTCAACAAAAACTCGCAAAAGAGTATAGTTGGATTTTCCCAGGGCCTGTTTCTATTTCTGGAAAAGTGCACTTGAGCTTTTTCTCTACTCTTTCCTAATTAAAAGATTTGTTTTTCTTGCCAACTACACGTGGGTGAGGATGGCGGAAGTTAGATTAAAATGTAAACAAATGATTCGCGTTAAGAAACACGATTTGGTATTGCATGAGTGAAGTTATCTCTAACGGAAGTTCTACAAATTTGCGAGAAACAAAAAAAGGCGCAAAAAAAGCTTGCAAATTGGGTGATACAAATATTTTTTTCACATGACCTCACACGCGCTTGTTTTTTTCTTAGAAATAATTTTAGAAGTTGAATCTGAGATGAAAGAAAAAAAGATTGGGAATGGATAAAAGAGCTGAATAGGAGAATAAAAAAATAAATGTTGCTTTTATTGCGGGAAAAACGCCCACAAATTCACAGAGTAAATGGCTAAAAAAACGGTCATCGTAAAGTTTTACGTTTTTATCCTGTCTTTTTTTAGAATCTATTTCGACAGAAAAAAAGGAGCTGATATTAAAAAAGCAAATTCCTGTAAAATAATTTTTGTTGGAAATTGGAAATTTAGTGGCATTCATTCTCCAAACTTCAGTTTGGCTGGAATTCATTTGGAAAAAAATCATGGTGAAAGGTGTCTGTTATTTTCTTGAAATTGAGAAGAAGGTCAAGTTCGGCAAGATTCAAAAAGTTTTTAATTGATGGCTTGTTGCCATATTTGGCCAATTCGAGCTGAAAAAGAAAAAAAAATTCAAGAAGAACTAGAATCCAGCACACTTCTGATTTCGGTTGCCTTAAATTCATATAGATATCAGAAATTGTTCACAAATTGAATTCTATCATGAAAATAAGTCAGGTGAGATCCGCTAGAAAAGAGAATCATTTTGAATGAGTACATCCCAGAAAATTGGAAAACTTCCTCGTTTTTAAATTAGATGTTGAAACCCTCAAATACTCAATGGAAGTCGAAAACTCAATGAGTCCACCTGAAGTTATAGAATCAGAAAGAAGAAAAATCTACACGTTTTCCAATCAAAAGTTCTGATGAAGGGCATGCAACACGGGAAAACAGACGATTGTTTGAATTCAGGGCTGATAAAATAACAAAGACGGAGGCGGCCTAATATCCGGCCCCTAGGACTCGGCTTCTCGCTCTCTCCGTCTCGCCCTGTTACCGTGGAAGCAGCCCCTATCAGCCACAATCAACTCTTTTGTCCGGTAATTACAAATGAGGTGAATGCCCCCGCGAGGCCTGGATAATTGGCGGCGACCGGCACGAGATTGGAGAGCTCCAAGGTGATTCGCTTCACACGGAAGAAGGCTGGAATCAAAGCATCAAAGCTGCAAGAAGACAGGAAGGATTTGCTTGGAATGCATTTCGTAACCAAACGCAAGGGATTGACTTCTGAAAAAGGTCTTTACACCCTCATTGGTAGTTTGGTTGGTATCTAGAAGACACAAACTTTCATAATTTACCGTTTCAGAAACTTAGGAAAAACCTAGGAAAAACCTACTTGTCAATCTCTGGTCAGAGGAATTGAAATCTATCAAGAAATAGATCACTAAGTTTCTTCAGCTTCCCAAAGTTTTGACTAAATACGTGGAAATCTGGTTTCACAACGTTTAAAAAGAGATGTTTGTACTGAAAAATGTGTTCCCAGTTCACATCCTTATCATTGATAGATTTGCTAAAAAAATCTTCGATGAAAGTTTTCCAGGAACTTTCTTTCAAAGATTTTAGTAAGAAGATATTCAAGAAACTTATTTTATTTCTGCGACCTTCATTCAGTATATCTAGACACGTTTGATAACATTTTCAGAAAGCTTGAGATTTATAAGCATAATGACCTTCTATGTGTGAAAAAACCGGCCTTTCAAAAAACTCAAAAAGGTAGAAAGAAGTTGAAAGGGCGAAATTCGCAAGTTTGACTTTTAATTTCCATCGCTCAGAACTTTCAAGTCAAACTATTGAAAAGTGTGAAGTAAAAAGAAATAGCCAAGCTAAGCCAAGGAATAGAACACTATCATTTTAATGTTTGAAATCAAAAAGAATGGTTTTGTAGTTTCGAGCACCTGATGAAAAAACCTTTTGTTTCTGCCCTTTTGTGGTACGAATCAAAGGACAAAAGGTGGGTTCTTTTGTATCCTATAAAATTGATAAAAGTACAAGCTGAGTTCTCTTTTGTACTGAGAACCAATCATTTTGTATTTTTCATTCGTCTATAAATCAAGGATTCGAAACATAATAAAAAAAGAAACAATAACTGATCGGCTGAAAATTAGTTTTGTGGCTAATCACAAGTTTTTTCTATTTTCCGTGGAAAAAAATCTCTCATAGTTCAAACTGAAGATGCGTTTCTTTTTACTCTCCTCATGAACCTTTCTGCCAGAAAAATTAATTTTTCGTCAAAAAGAAAGGCATAATGGGACATATAAATTTGAATGATAAATTGCAAAGAAAAGAGAAGAAAACGTTTTGTCTTTCTCACAACCACTCATCCACTTTTGAAAGTACGAATCAAAAAAAAGAATCATATAAATTCGAGAGAAAAGCAATAAGCAGTTCTGAGACTTCTCATATTTTATACGCATGAAAATTTGTTTGCGAGAGCTGAAATTTCGAAATACGAGTCGATTCCCAGGAAACAAGCCAATTAACAATAACACAGCCGTCAGTTGATTACATGCGTTGCCAATGGCGAAAGAGAAGACAAAAGTTGCTAAATCCCGACTCTTATGAGCTCATAAGTGGATTTGTCAGGCGGGTATTACTTTTCCAGTGCTTTCGAGGCTTCCTTCCCCTTTCCCGATACATTCCATTGTCTATTTACGGCGAGCTTCTGTAATCAGCGTTAAGAATTGAATTGAATAGAAAATACTTGTCAGAAAGGGGAGACACCTAAACTCTAAGAACTTCGAACTTTGATAACTTTTTTCAAGCTGAAGAGAGGCCTTTCTAAGATATGGATGAACTGTGAAAGGTCAAGAACATAACAAAGAAGACAGGATTTGAAGAAAACTGTTAGTGGCAAGAGATAAATAACTATGACGTTTTTTTCATTTATTAATGTGTTTCGATAACGGTTGAAATCAAGTTTTCAATTTTAGAAAAAAACTTATTTCAAGCAGTTTTGGTTGAATTTTGGAAAGTTCTTTCTTTTTTTCTCTGTAGTTTACATGGAAAGATGCCCTAAACGAGAATCTCTACGCGCGACGCAGAGACGCCTGTGCTTACGACCACATCACGTTGAAAAACACGCCAACCCGTCCGATCTGGCAAGTTAAGCAACGTTGAGAGCCGGTAGTACTTGGATCGGAGACGGCTTGGGAATTCGGCTTGCCGTAAGCTTTTTGCTGTTCAAATAATTTTGGAACAGTTCTCTCTGCTCACAAAAAATGTTGAAACACTAAGAAATCGTTTTTAAAATGCAAAAAAAAATTTTAACACGAGAGTGATTTTTTTCTCCATTTTTTACATTGAGAAATCCCTTTTTTTCCAATCCTAAGGTCGTTCTGATTGAATCTACTCAGAAAACGATAACTTGAATAAAATTTCACAATACAACGAAGTTGAGCATTTCAGGTTTTTTCCGTTATCATTTATCGGTTTTAGAGAGTTTTCAAGAAAAGGGCGCGCCGTAGCGCAACAGGCTGTGTGCCTGTCTACGGTTCACTGGGTCACAAGTTCGATTCCCGCCCCGACCCAACCAAGGGGTTTAAGAAATGTTGGTAGTGGGAAACCACGGCTTCGAAATCACCAGCCGTCCCACGCAAGGACGGATATGTCACTCGAGCCAGTCCACTGATATCAGGATAGGACCTTGGCTAATCGACTTGGGGCGCCGACGCCGCTCAAGCGGTATAAAGGAGTAAGAACAAGAAGAAGAAAAAAGCATTAAAAAAAAAATTGAAAAAGAGGAAAAACTAAAAAAAAATTAGAACCAATTTTTCTTCGATAAAAAAAGGGAAAATAAAACAAAAAATAAGTTCTGCTGTTTGGACAAAAATATATTTTTCCTTTTTTTCGCAAAAAGCAAAAACAGCAACTTCAAGAACATCTGTTAGTCTGATTTTCAATAAAAGGTAAACATTCAAGCAAATAAAGTGCGTCGGGAGTTGGTTTTCAGTCATTATTGAAGTTTTATGTTCAAAATTTAAGTGGATAAATTATGTGAGGCCAAAGCGAGAGGACCTGTTCAAATTAATTTCCAATTTTTGCAAGTTCCTGCTTTTGGCAGAACCTAAATATTTGCCAAAAATAGAAGTTTCATTGACTCAAATCATTTGAAAAGTTTACGTCAAACAAAAATTGGGAAAAAAAGAAGATGGGAAAAACTTTTTGAAAAATAAGGCATTGCCTATGAAAACTTTGCCATCACAAGTTATTGTTCAGAAAGAAAGATTTTTATTTTTCGCTCCAATCGAACCCTGCAAAAAGAAAAAAGAGTTTAGGGGAAAAACTTTTCTTCAGCGTTGTATGATAGAACTTTGTTGCAAAAAGTTGTCGTCAAAAGAATTTTTCTGATTTTTAAGTCGAACCACGAGAGCAAATGAAGGTTTTCGCCAAAAAAATCACAAACTCGCAGGCTTTTTTTTAATGATAGAAGCATTTTGGAGATCTTAATATAGCGAAAAAAATATTTTGTTAAAGTTTTTTTGTCATTTGCCTGTAGAAAACATTCACTACACAATTGATTACAAAATCGTTTACTTTCGAGATTTTTTTTTAGCGAATTCTAAAAAAAAACGTGCTTGAGCCAAATTTTTGCTTGTCGTCTTTTGAATTAATATTCTTCGCAAAACTCCGTTCTAAGGTGAATGAGAAGCACAATGAACTCAAAAAGGGCCTTTTGGCAAAACTGAGCTGTAAATAGAGAGTGAATATTCTTTCATTCTTCATGGTTTATTGCAACTGGTTGATTTTCACAAACTAAAATTTATTTTAAAAAAACGCTGGCATAGGTAGATGAGGCGAAGTCGCCATATCAGTGATTATCAGTGGGCTGTCAATTGTTTTTGAACTCCCTCGTCGGGTCGGGGATCGAAATTGTGACCTTTCTGATTGTAGACAGACACACAACCTGTTGCGCTACGAGGTAGTTTAGCTATTCGTTGCGGAAAAAAAAATAACTGAAATTCAAATGAAGAACCCTTCTATGAATTATATTTTTTTTTTCTAGCAGATAAACCACGTCTCCCATTGAAAAGTTACTCGCGAAAGCGAAAATCCACAGTTTTCTACTGATGGTTTACTGAAACCAGTTTTCTCTTGAGCTGAGCGTTCTAAGCTTAGTCCCAACACGAAACTAGAGACAACGGATAGAGTCCCGATCGAACCCAACCGCCTGTTTTCCAGTTTTGGACTGAAGCAAAGTGCCCACGGTCAGAAGAGTCTACTGTGGTCGTTGATGGAGAAATTCAGGCATGACTCATCTCGAAAATGGACTGACGCATCGAATAGCACTCTCACCTTTGTTGCTGTTTTTGCGGGTGACAACAGCTCGGTGAGCTTAGTAGTAAATCGCGAAAAAAATTTTGACCTCATTTTGTTCAAGCCCATGACAACCTTAGCTTTTAATCTTGCAAATATTTTTCCATTCATTTTTGCCCGAGCAATTTTTCGATGCTGCAAATAACTTGAGTAATTATACTATTTACTTCGAAACGAAGAGTAAGTCAACAGGTGAAATGAAGTATGAAAAATGGTAGCACTGGAAAATGACGAGGGAAAACTAATAAGTAACAGTCATCAAAAAAAGCCCGAATCATTTTGCTTTCTGTTTTTGATTCCAATGTAGCTCAAAAACATTCCATACCCTGTAAAGATGTGAAAGGTAAATGTGTACTTTCTTCGAAAGTGATAGTCCCCAGACCCCACGCGCCGTGTGTTCGCCTTGCCCACGTCTTTTCCTCTGTTGCGGCTGTATCGAGCCGCCTGTCGGGATAACAGCTCGCGCGATTAATCTTGGACTTTTTGCCTGGTCCCGGTCGCAGTTCTATTCTCGCCAGTCTTTTTTTCGGATAGCATGTTGCACTTTTGAAAATACGATAGAAATCATGTGCATGATTGGTATTTTCTCACCCTCAAATCAATTTTCGCTCGCGTAAATCTCACGGAAATTTGTTCAGGCACACTAAGAAAAGTATTTTTCTTTAATCTTTTTTTTTCCCTTCCAATATTTTCATTGTTCAATTTGTTATGAGCTTTTTTCTGAGAGAGGTCTAAAGTTTCAACAATTCATCTCGGATAGAGTGTGAAAAAACTTACAAATATTTTAAAATGACGCTGAATTTTAACTCAAAAACAGTCGAGATACTCGAAGATAAGATAAAGCAATCAACAGCTCAACATTTGCAGTTTTTGCGAACTACTGTCAAATCTACCGCTGTGAGCAGTTTCGCTGTACAAAAGGTATAAGTTCACTATTCTGAAACAATTGACGCGTTTTTCAGAAGCCAAAAATCTTGGAAAACAAAAACTTCAAGGCTCTGCGCGATTCTACAGCACGGAAATCATGGAACCAGGTACTTTTATGCATTCTTCATTCAGCTATGTCTCATACACTTTTTGTGGCAAAGTACATTTTTGCATATTTATAAAAAAAGCGAGACTTCAATGTTGATTGTTAAAACAAAAAAAGTGTGGAGTTGAGAGTTTGATAAAACTTTGCAGGAAGAGATCAATTAAGATTGAAAGTTTAAAAAGTTTTGTTTCGAAGAAATGACGTTTCAAAATTTGCCAGAGGCGCGCTTCACTGGGAGAACAATTCAGTAGAGACAAAAAGTTAGTTTTTTTCCCCGACTCGGAGCCCGAGATCAGTAGATTGTCAAGAATGGAGCGTTGCGTACGCGACGCGGTTTTTTTGCGGGCATTTCGAGGTCAAACGCAATCGTTAAAAAAATAATTATTGAAACATCGAGTTCTTATATTTTTTTTACGTTTATTCGTTTGACTAAATTTTTTTAAATTCAAAGGACGTTTAAAAACAATCAGAAAAAAAGGTCGAAAAAAACTTGAAATATAGTGGCTCGCGTTTACGAGTTTCCCGACATGAAGTACTTTGATCTTTTCAAAACCTGTCAGCAAAGTTTCATCAAATTCTTAATATTTCTTCTTTTTTTGTAATGTTAATGGACTGCTTGTTGTTACCGACTTGTCGGCTGCGAAATGAAGAGTTTTCGAACTTTCCTCATTATCCAGCAAATCTGCTCATAAACGAACTCTTTAGTTTTTTTCAGAACTCAATCACCACGCAGATTACGTGAAATTTCTCAAATCGTTTAATTGAAATTGATTGTTAAAAACAATAATAAAAACTGCTTATCGGAAGGAAACGTCTCTGCATGAACGGATAACAAAGAAATATCCCGAATCCGGGAAATCAAAAGTGACTGGAGCCAATAAAAAATATTTCAGTGATGATCACTTCCTTTCCGGAAATCCAAATGCCGTCGCCGTTGCCGATTTCGCACCTGAAGATCACTTTGCTCGACGCCATCGAACTTCATTTGACAAAAAAGAAATACTTCCAAGATCTGATTATGAGGCCGGAAGAACTGAATGTTATACTCGAGGGTCTAGATGGAGACTATTATAACAAGTACACTGGTATGAAAATGGATTTTACGACTCCATTCATTGTCAACCCTCACGACTTGAACAGTCAAAACTTTTATGTGAGGAGATCCGAAAATATTCTTACTATTGAAAATCACTTGAAATATACTTTCCCACTGTTGTCTGGAATGATTTACCCAAAAGCCCCTTTAATTTTCAGCCAAGAAGAAAAAATTCCCTTTGCGTTAGAGGAAATTGTATTAGTTAAACACAGATGCTTGGTAAATGAATCCTTGAAGAAATATAAAAAGAGACCTTCCATCTATGATAGCGATTCTGATTATTCTGACTATTAACTTTTTTGTCTCTTCTTTTTCAACCTCACTGTCGACATTTTCGCAAGATTAGCTAATAATCTTCCTTTGTTTCTTTGAAAAACGTCGTTAGGTCTCTTAACTCCCTTTTTCATACGTAGCTTGCTTCATTTTCAAGTTTGAAAGACGAATAAAAGTAAAACTTCTCATTTCATCGAAGGGTACATATGCAGCATCGAATTATGGAAGAGTGTCTGGTGAGACAAAAAATTCAACAAAAAAGTTTTTCGAAAACCTGAAGAGTTATCTTGGGATGTAATTGACCATACGCTTGAAATTCCTTCAACTTAACAACTCTGAAATATCAATCAAATAAAAAAACCGAGAGCCTGACTTCATTTCCTGATTTTTTTGTTTTTTTGACATTATTTAATAGAATTTTTCAGGTCGCATTTTGCGAAACTTCATTTTTTAATAGAAAAAGAAGTCGTGACAACTCAGAAGGGCATTCCCTCCCCGACCAAAATCATCGGAAGAGATTCGAACTTCCCATGTTTTATTCATTGCTAATTCACGGCTGGATGAGACCATCGAAAAAAGATTTTGAAAAACAAAAAAAAGCAGACAGGCCACGCCTCCCTAGCGTTCCGAGTCGTGAATCGGCTATACTTTCCGCAGTTTTTTTCTTCTTTTTGCCATCTTATTCATGATCAGTTTATTAGTTTTGCAATAGTTTGAGTACTTTTTTTAAAGGGTCATGAGAGGATGAAAAAAAGTCTTATAAGGGAAGTAAAAAGAAAAAAACCTTTTAAAAAAATACTATCATAAATGGTCAGAATGGAATTATTAACTTGAGACTCAATTTTGACTATTTTCATAAACTTTTCCTTCATTTTTTTGGTTTTTCAAAGTTTAGATTTTACATTTTTTTATGTTTGCAAATTCATGCTCATTCATTTCTCTTGATTCATCGTTTCGACATTTTTTTGTCCTTTTTTTACTTTTTCTCATTGTTGTTTGCAGAAGTTATTCCTTTTTTTTGTTGTTCTCGACTTCGAAAGCCGCTATCTGAAGTCGCGCCGTACAGCTCGACGGGAAGTTCAAGATCCGCGTGAAGGAAGTCTACGCAGGCAACATCTTCCAGTTACAGTAGGTTTTTTCAAACCAGATAAAATCAATGGCAAAGTACAGCATTCCTCAGAATTAAAAACATTGCAATCTAATAATAACATCTAAACTCAAAGGTTTTACATGCATTACCCATTTTTTAATTTAAAAAAAACCAGTGCCTAACTTTATAGTCCGTATAAATGCCAAAAGGTGAAGCACAAATCTGTGAATGATGAGAAAATGGAAACTCAAATAAAAATGGTTTGAGTTTTGCACCTTCCTTCTGAACCTGAGTCGAACATTTATTGAGTTTTTCTTCTGTGAAGATTGGGGGACAGTTCAAAGTGTGAAACAGGAACACGGACTTTCATGTTGGTTCCCTTGCACTCAGCCTTTCTGCTGTGGCAGTTGTATTGAACCGCCTGTCGGGATAACAGCTCGCGCAATCAATTTCTTCCCTACTCAGTCGGTCTTTTTTATCACTTAACGTTTTCTTATTTCCCACTTGCGATCAAAATTGATGAAAATCATTGGGAATTATTGAGCTTTTCAAGATCAAGTCCCCCCGAGTGATATGAATTGTTTTGAGTCGTCTGTAAAAGAGAATTTTACACATACTTGGTTTAGGGTGACACAGTTGACCGTACTCTCAGAAAACGCAGCCAATTTGAAAATAGCTAAAACCCATATTTTTTAGTTTCCTTGAGATTTCTGTGCTGATTTTTTATGTGAGCGCACATGGCGTGCTGTAAGTTTGTAATGTAAAATAAATAAGAAGTTAATAGGAAACTTTCTATTTTTTTCAGTTTTATTTGCTTGCAATTTTTTTCAAAGTTTTATCTTTGATTTTTTTCCCCGTTTTTTTGGCTCTAATATGCCAGGCAGCTGGGAAGAAATGATTTTTATTTTTCTGAGCGACGTTCTGAGTTCTTATGAAGGTGAGAAAAGTATCGACGTATTCTAGTTTTGGCTGTTGATCTCCAAGGGACTGAAGTTGCAACCTTGAAACGGGCGAAATTCAAATTGATTTTGATTTCTGATAAAGCTTATGAAATAACTTTGAAAATTCCAAATAGTGCAGTTTCAATTAAAAAAGCTTATTCAATGATTTAACGATCAATGGAGCACTTCTGAATCTTTCTCGAGATTAGAAATGAATACCGAGCCGGTTTAATTTTTTCACTGCATTGAAAAATATTTCGAAAAATCATTTTGCGATATTCCAACTAAAAAGAAAAAAATAAAAAAATTTAGCGGTTAAAAAGGCATTTCGCATTAAAAAGATTTTCAAAGGGGGAAAAAAATTATATTTATGCGAATAGAAACGTTTTTTTCAAAAATGAAAACAGCGTTTAAAAAAACTATCAACAAATCTTCGATCAACTTAGGAAGAAAAAAATTTTTAATTTAAAAAAATCAACTTATGCTAGTTTCAAGGTCACCAACTTCAGTCGTTTGAAGGTCACCTGGATCGCCCAAAACTAGAACATTTGAATATTTTTTTCACTCACACAACGTCTCAAAGTGTCGATTACAAACATGTTACTATTACCATTTCTAGCACCCTGGCAAATTAGAGCCTAAAATTGTAAAATAGTCAAAAAACGGGAAAGTTGGAAACGCAACAAAAAAATGAAAAAAAAAGTTTTCCGATTTTTTTCCGCTCAATTTTTTTACAGCACCAACTTGCATCGTGTTTACATAAAAAAATAAGTTAGCAAAAAAAGATAATCTTTAGAAACCTAGAAACTTATGAAGATTTTGCTAAGTTTTTAGTTGGCCGCTTTTTTTCCAAGCTTACAGTCAACTGGATCGCCCAAAAGTTAATTAAGTGGATATGTCTCAACAATAAAAAAACCCTCACATGTCGTTCAAGCCATGAAAAATTCGCATATTTAGAAATTAATATAGCTTCCTGACCTTGAAAAAAATTAATAATTCTAAAAAAATCGTTATTTTCAACTTGTACTTAACGATGTATTCTTACTACAGTAGCCCTAAAAAACGGGCGGAGCTTTTCAAAGCTTGTCGCAAATTGTTTAAAAGATTGCATTGTAGCAATTCTATTCCGACTTGATCGATTTTCTCATAGAACGCCTGTTTACTTCTTGGGAATATAACACTTTTCTATCTCTCTTCATTTTTTTTTCATCATAAAAATCTCTTTTTTTCTTTTTCGGAGGATAATGGCGCTGATCTGGTTTTTTTCAGTTTCGGACGAAGAGTTTGCATGAAAAATATTGGCTGTGAAGATTAAAAAAACTAAAGAAAGAGAAGTAAAAAAATTAAAGAAGAATGACGATTTTATTTGAGCGTCTGAAAAAGTTACAATGGTGAAAAAAAGATTTTTTTATCAGTAATTTTGATATTAATCAATTATATCTGATTATGCTTGGCACCCAATTACAATAGGGCAGAATAAATAACTTGTGCAAAATTTTCTGAATTCGGCATATATATGAATGGGGACCTTCAAAAACTGCCTAGTCGTATGCACATTGACACGCGCGGTTTGGTTTGTGAATCCAGCTCTGTCTTTCGGAATGCTCATTAGTGGAAATTTGAACTTCTTGAGAATGTAACAGAGGTCAAGTTCATTGAAAAGGGTTGACTGCGAAATTTCACTCGGAGTGAATTTAGAAAAAAGTCAGCCTAGTCCGCGTCCTCATAAAATAGATGAAATGAGCCTTCATGAAATAAATAGAATGAGCCTTGTTCTTCATTTTTTCCAAAAAGGGGCTTTTCTCAAAATTTTTTAAAAATCTTTCTTGCAAACTCTATTCAAATCTCTAGGCTCATTTAATCTGTTCAAAATGTTCTCTCACCCTTGCTGAAGTTAGCTCATTCACTGCCCCGTATCAAACACTTTTTTTTCAGAAATGACCGACCCGTATCCGGAATTAATCGGCGCCTCACCGTCGTACTTGAAGCTTCCAATGGTTGAAGTTATCAGAAGACATCTGAGATACAACCAAACTTTGTCTTCAATAATGAAATCTTCAAAAGAAATTGAGACAATGTTTTATATCTTGTGGACAGGTTATTTTGACAGATATACGGGTAGACGAATTAGCGGGGTCCCTGTGGTCAATCATTTGAACTTAACGAGCACCAATTTTTATGTAGACTCAGGGTTTGGTTCTGTTGTAACGGTGAAAGATTATTTGAGCCTTCATTTCCCTCATCTTCCTCAGCTGGAATACCCAGAAGCCCCTTTGCTATTTGTCCCGGGGGAAAATATCCCGTATCCAATTGAACGAATGACAGTTGTTGCTCGTTCTTTGGATTCTTCGATAAAATGGTACCAAGACGGAGCTGATATGGATAGTGAATAATGCTTTCGCAAAATGGAATTTTTCTAGATTTTACTAGTCTCGTTTTCAGCCTCATTACACTGTATGCTTTTTTTCATATTAGTTGTGTTTTACGTTTCAATTTTTGATAAATTTGAATAAAGTTATAGAGAAAAGAATGAATCATTGTTATCTAGAAATGGACACACCGACAAAAGAAATTGATTCACCGCTACAAAAACTGACTTACATCAAAGAAGAAAAAAAGAGAAAGAAGATAAGTGAAATCATATGATCACATTTCTGTCAGCATTTGGTTCGTAATTCGATAAATTCACAACAGTTTCGCGAGAAACAAAGCCAACTTTTCTCACAAAACAGGCTAAATCAAAAAACGCTGAAAAAGCAAAGTACAATTACGATTACTTCGAAATTCTTGACCCAGTCATCACTAGGAGAGTACAAATTTTCGAACTGGAAGCTTTGTAAAAAGCCGTGGCTGACTCATTTCCATAAAAAGGAGCTATTCAGCGAAATTGTCGGTTCGCTCAACGATGAGGCGCTTGCTGTTGGTCGCAGCTCGTTCCTTATCAATGATGGAGTGTTTACGGTCAGATGTGTGTTTTTTACAGTCAGAAGGTTGTTCCTTGTTTGGAAGTCGCCTCGGGAGGCGTGGACACCCATTTGACCTGGTATAAAAGATGAGCGCTACTGGAAAACTACAGCGAATCGTCATGAAGGTTCTTCTTCTGATTTTCGCTATTCTTGCTGTCGTCAGCTGCGGTCCGTTCGGGTGAGTTCGATTTTCAACTAGAAACAGGCAAGTTCGAAATGGTTCAGTTAGGCTTTTTAAGTATTCAGATGAGCGAAAACATCAATATTAGCTTAAACGAGCTTTTTCTCTCGAAAATTACAGAATTCAAAAAAAGAATTATTCACCGGTTTAAGCAAGAATTATTCACACCAAGAAAAATAGTTTTTGAAGCGACAAGGTTTAATCCTTCAAGATTTTTTTCTAGAGCTAGCAGTGAGTTTTCCAACTTTTTGCAAAAAAAATATCAGAATCTGCTCGCTCCGCTCCATCAAAATACTCTTTTTTCAGTTTAAAAATTTTGATGGAAGTTTTAAAGATTTCAAATTTTTTTAGAGATTCATGGTTCAATTTTGATCAAACTACACATATAAGGCAACCGAAGTCATTTTTTTTGTATTTTCAGTAGACACCGTCGTGGAGGATATGGTCCTCCACCAGGCATCGGCTACGGTGGCGGCGGCGGCGGTTACGGCGGCGGCGGCGGTCCTCAGTACGGGGGCGGCGGCTTCCCTGGCGGCGCTCCCTATGCTGGCGGCGGCGGCAACTACGGACCTCCAGGAGGTGGCTTCGGAGGACCTGGCGGTCAATGGGGCCGATAAACCTTTCCTTCATCTACTCTCCTCTCAACCTATCGATTCGATTTTTTCTTTTATTTTCTGATAAATATGTACAGATTCGAGATGTCGCAACAACATCAGTTGATTTCACAAGACAAATATTTTCAGTGGGCGTTGATCGGGAGTAAAAGAAGAAAACTGAAAGTTTTCACTTGTTGAGAAATGTTTGTGAGTGGGAATTCTGATACCTTGGTAGCTACTGAAAGATGAAAAAAATAGGCGATCGTTGTTTATTTGACTGAACTTTTTTCACTTCATCAAACAGGGTGGCATTGAAGCTGATGATCTTTGCAAATTTGTCATGAAATTTGTTTTCTGTGAAAATAATAATCCCATGACGGTCGAATTACAAACCACGAGATTTTCATTTTATTACCAAATAGCTTAATAATTAAGAAGTTCACAATAGCTTTTTCTTATCATTAGAAACATTCTTGAAGGCTCGAAATTCCAGAAAAAGATGAATTCTGCCTGCAATGTAGTTTATTAATGTCTGGCTTTACAAAACATCAATTAAAAACTCAGCAAAGTGGTTTTCTAAAAAGTTGAATCGAAGATTAAGAAGTCTTCACAGTAATTATCATATTGGGATAGTGATGAATATAAAAAAATAAATTAAAAAAATTAAGTTTTTCAACCAAACTGTGTTTTCCTAACTTTATTAATTACTGAAAAGTTTCAAAAAAACTCAAAAAAGTGTTTTTCAAAAAGTTCCGTTAAAATACAATGATTTTCATGTATTCTACGAATTTAGAACCTATACCTATCTTGTCGTTGACAGAAAAAGAGTTCAAAATTTCAGTTTTCCGTCAATTCTCATCAGTTTTCCGAGAGAGAGAGAAGAAGCGAATCGAATGTTTTTTTTTAGACAGGACGATAACAACGCCGGACCATTAGTGTAATACTTTGATGGATTTCGTGTTCAATCGACTTATCATTTCTCTCGATTCCACCTATTTTTTGGGTTGGGTTAACAGTTCACTTTCGTGTTGTCTCCAATTGATGGGCCCATTGATCAACACTTGAACAAGTGGCCGAGTTGTGTAAAAGAAGAGAAACTCCAGGCGGTTCGCTTTTTGAACTCTGTTTGAGGTAATCAATTGCACTTAAGATCTCACAGAGCAGCCTTTTTCAGTTATAATACCACACCAAGAAAATTTTTTTAGGACCGATTGAGGATTTTATGAGACTCGCGTAAATTTATTTCTAACCTCCTAATTTTAGAAACTATGAAGTTTTGTTTTGTTTTGTAATGTTTAGTAATGTTAAGAAGTTCCGAAATCTGGCTGTCATTAATAGCATGAATAAAAAAAGAATGTTTGGCGTTTTCGAGGCATCAGATCTCGATAAAAAAAGTATTTTTTTACAAAAATGTTTTGTGATACGGAATGAAAAAAACTTTAGAATATTTTGCAACTAACCTTTGGTATATTTATCCTTTTTTTGTGTTCAAATGAAAAAAACCAATGAATAACTCAAAAAAATCAGAACTACGGATTTTTACCAGAAAAGTTAATAACTGCAGGTAATTGAAAAAAACCAGTATCGAAAAACTTTCAAAGTTTTTCAAAGTTTTGGCCTCTGTTTTTTTGAATTTTCCTGTAGAAACTTGGATAAATCAGTTGACACACTTGAAATGCGGAAGTGAATCCGAAGCTTCCGAATTGCTCACTGATCCTTCAAAGACGCCAATTTCCAGCGCTTCTTTTTGCGGGCTCGAGGACTGATCAATCACTGTTTCTTTTCGCATCGGGCAAAGTGTCTACGGATCTCAAAGCGATGAACACATGTCCGGCATCAAAGAAGCCGACAAACGCGTCTGAGGTGACTGGAATTCGGCAAAATGAAACAAATTTGGGACACTTATTTAAATTTTTTTCAAGCTATTATTTATTTGAAAGACGAACGTCTTTAGAATGATAAAACGACAAGTAGAACTAGAAGTCTTCCGCCTTCACAATATTTTGTGGCGAGCTATATATAAATAGATTGTAAATTTGGTTTTTGACTGTTTGATAGTTGAATAAGAGAGATTTTTTCAATGTCGCAGGGAAAGCTGCACATCGAAATCTTATCGGATATCTTTTTTTTTAGATTTACTTTTTTTCAATTTTCTGTGTCTCAAATTCTTGATGAAAGAACCTTTATTACAATTTCATGTGGTTTGAACGAATGCGACCGGTCAATTTTCTGAGAGCTAAAGCGAGAAATGAAAAGAAAAAATAGGGAAAGATCTGGTTTACACTCGAGACGTGTGGGTATCAGTGGAGGAAGTTTCGGAGACCGAGTCAGTGGTTTTTGGAGCGACGTCAGCAGCGAGAGGAGGTGGTGGTGGTCCTTGTTCGGATGGAGCCGCGTCGGCTGCAAATCCAGCTCCGGCCTCTTGACCTCCGAAGTTAGGTTGACCTCCGAAAGAAGGATTGCCGCTGTTGCCGTTGTTAGCGTCGAAAGCGGGCTGCTGAGGAGCGAAAGCTGGACCCCGAGAGAATTCTTGGTTGTTGCCGAATTCAGGACCAGAGTTCAATCCTCGATTGGGGAATCCTCCTTGCTGTTCGAAGCCGCCGTTAGGATAGTTGCCTCCTTGTTGGTACTGGTTTCCGCCGTAGCCAGGTCTGCCGTAGCTGTTTCCACCATACTGGCCTTGAGGAGGTCCGTAGCTGCTCTGAGGTCTGCCGTAGCCGCCGCCGTTCTGGTAGGATGGCGGCCCATACGACGACTGCTGAGGATAATATCCGCTTGGTGGTCCGTAAGATCCGCGCTTGGATCTGAAAATATTCATATTTTGCTCGATAATAAGACCAGTTTGTTCTTAATTTTTTTTTCATGATTTTCGAACAGTCAGCTCCTGAAAATGGCTGATGAAAAGAATCTCATAGCTTCTGATTTTTTTTCGGAATTTCAAAGTAACCGAGAGGTACCCATTCAATAAATCAAGTTGAATTTAGTGGTAATTTCAATTGACCTTTCTTGAAACGCTTTAAACTTTCCTGTTTATTATTTTCTCTGCCAAAGGAGCAAGATTGTTTCAAACTACTTTCCGTGAAAGAGATGTTTTTTGAATTTTTGTAAAAATTACTGTTCCTTATCTGATGAACCTTGAAAGACGTGAGAATGATAGAAAATGAAAGAATATGAAAAAAATAGGTAAAAAAGAAACTGTGAAAATACTAGGCGTTTTATAGGGTTAAACCTTTTCAGATTTATTTATTATGTTTTACACAAGTTGAAGATATAAAAAATGTAAAAATTGGATTGAACTGACCGGTAAGGAGCCGCAGAAACGCAGACGAAGACGCAGAGCGCGACGCAGAAGTATTTCATGATGGCGAGAGGTCAACTGATGACTTCCCTGTCAGACGTCCACTGTTTTATACATCGACGAGGCGTGGCCGAAAGTGGCTTTCTTAGACGAATTCGGACAGGAAACGGCGTATTACAATATTTTCTTAGAAATTTCGAACTTTTCGCTGAGGTTCGATTGACCTAATGACGATGACGCATCCATTTTTCTGTTGCTGATGTTTGAGAAAAGCAGAATAATTACCTTTTGTTTAGAACAGAGAGAGTTTTTCAAAAAAAAAGGAATAAATAAAAGTTTTTGTTGAATTGTTTTCCTCGTTTAAATTTCAATTGCAAAATATTCATTCGAAAATTGCTGAACAAGAAGTAAAAACACGTTTTTTTGTTGGAGACATGATATATGTTGCAATATCATGTGTACCAACGAATATTCACATAAAGAAAGTGATATTTTGCAAAATACAGGAAACAATCCTTTTCTCAGAAATGTTTGCTTTAAAAATAAGAAAATTGAAAAAACTTCTTATTGATAACTTGTGACCCTATCACTATTGGTGATATCTCTTTCAAAAAAATTAATTTCTAATTTTTTTGGGAATCTGTTCGAAACCTGCTCTAAAGAGTTTTAAATTGCTGGTATCTCAAATCTATTGGAATAAAATAAAAACCTATTGAAATTTACGTTTATGAAAGCTCGTTAGATCCGTCTTTGTCTTTAAAGCATTTTCATAAGAGTCTCTTATCGAACCATCTGGAAATAATAAGAAACCTGCAAAAAATTTGCAAATTATAATAAAAAACTTATCTCGAAAATATTTTATTCGGTAAAATGAAACCTCGTTGAGTTTATTCAGAAGAACATGAGTCAATCGGAAAAAAACTACTTATATGTCTTTTTTTGGAGTTATGACCCCCAAAGACTCCAAAAGAGCCTTATTTTTTTATCGAATTCAAGGGTAGTGTTCAAATTCTGAGATTTTACAACTGAACTTACAAGAAAAAAATGCTCAATTCATTAATGGGTTTGAAATGATGTAGTCTTAAGTACATCTCAAAAAATTTTCCACTAATTTTCGATTTTCTTTTCTTTTTCACGCCTAAATTCATAAAATTGGCAATTTTAGGAAAAACCAACTTTTCATAAAAGTGCAACATTTTCTTGACAATCATCTCTAACTGTAGTTTTTTTATTTTATTTTTTATTGAAAGATGTTGATTCACATCTGTGGATTCAAAAAAATAAATCATTTCTGATCCTCATGTTAAGCCTCTTGTTGTCATGAACTAGCAACTTTCGCTCGGAAGCCGTTCAGACGATTTGCGCAGTGTGCCGAGAAAGGAAACAGAAAACGAAAGCAGCTGATACCAGACCTTGAAAACCGATTTTATTGTCGCCGCTTCGACTCGGTAAGCGATTACAAGTTAAAATCGTGCCCGAATGCATAGAATTGAATTGAGGTGACCGTGAAAGATGCGAATCAATCACGACGTCGAGTTCGACAAAATGGCCGCGTCGTGACTCAGTCGTGCATTCAGGTCGCCAGATTTCGACGTGATCCGTCCTTCCTTCTGAAAACAGCCATTGGCCATGTTGCGCGCGGCCCTTCTCTTCACCTTCCTTCTACTGATTATTGCCCTTCCCATCTTCGAATCTTCAAGGTTTGCTTTGTTTTGTCTGATGCGATATCCAAAATCTTGGAAAAAGTTTACCGTTACTCAAAAACCTCAAAAGTGTGTGTAATCCGCAAACGTGGTGAGAAAAAAAGCAGACGAACGAGAAAATAAAAATTTTCGAATTTTGAAATCTTCAAAATTTCTCATCTTTCGCAAAGTTTTTGCATTTCATAGGAAAACTCATTGGGGGCGTTTTTAGCCACCGATCGAAATTTCAATGAAACTATGCAGAAGTACACTACAAACCCTTCCAATTTCAGGACCAAAAAAATTTCTCGTAGTAAATATGTATTTCGAGTTAAGACGCAAGCTTGAAATAGCGTTTTTTGTCATAATTAGAGTATTTTGCAAAATTTGAAGCTTCTTGAATAGGAAACAATACCTGAAAAATCTTATTTTTTCTTTTCAAAAAAACCTGATAATGAAAAAAAATTTTTTTTTTCAATCAGTGTTTTTAAATTGACAAAGTGTGAGTAATTTCTCAAAATTTCTCAGGATTCAGTTCATGAAAAAAATTTGCGACCCAATGCTCTGAACGTTATTGAGTTTAGATTATGATTAATTTTTTTACATCTTCAATAGAAACAAATTGAATACATTTTTTTGAAAAACTTTTTTTCATTCTCCGTTAAAACAATACCTGAAAAAAATCTTATTTTTTTTCTTTTCATACTCCGTAAAAAAAGTTTTCTGTAAGAATCAGCTCTAATTGGTATGTTTATCCATTCATTATTTTATATATGAAAAAAATGTAGCTAGGGGTTAATCATTGATAATTTTATCATAAGCTCTTGCAAAAAAAAATGTTTGAGTAGCTTTTTCTCTGAAAAGCTGATAAATAGCAAAGGTTGGAGATGAAAGTTTGTACGATTTTAAAAAAACTAGGAAAATTTTCTGCAGCGTTTCTCTGCGAAATAGGAAAAAAAGAATCTATTTTGGTAACTCTTATCAATTGTTAAACTGAACTGTGAATATCAAACTTCCGGATGATCGTTTATCATTATTACTATGAATTTCATCATGAGCAAATCATTCAAATATAATTTGATTAAATTCATGAATCCTGTGGGGATTGAGCATGTTTTCTAAAACATTCTTTTAATTTGCAGGGTCCGACGTCAATATTACTGGAATGGATATCCAACTTCGAACGGATGGAATAATTATCAACAGTACGATAGCTGGGGGCGTCCAATTAATTTGAATTATCAGGTGAGTAATATTTTCAAAAAATTTCTTCCTGATGAGCTGTCCGACAAATAGATTAGAATTTGCTGGACTTTTTGGGCAATTTTTTTTGCATGAGAAAACGTCTATTGAGCAGTAAAGAAATGAGTAATAGGGAGGTTTGAAAACTTGAAAAAAAAACAAATTTTTCTCAATCTTTTTCACAAGCTATCAAGATAAGTAATCATCGTAATCGATACTCGAACTCAAAAAAAGTAAAAAAAAGTTTTCTTAAATATCTTAAAAATTCTAAGATTTTCGAACTATTATCAGATTCATGACAAACCTTAGTTGCTGTACCTGGAAAAACTTCAAACCTGTTCTAAGTTATGCAAAAGTAAAGTTCACAAACAATAGTAATCTATTGTCGACATTTAGAGCATTTTTTCCCCTTTCTTTTTCACCTGCGAAGTTATTTTTTTCAGGATTACTACGTCAATGTTCATCAGCAACAACAATTTTCCCGCTATCCGTCCTATTCTCAGGACCAGGTGTATGGGAACGGATATCGTACCGGCGGATACGGAGCACCCATTTCTCAATGGTCCTACGCCGCCTCCGCAGACTCTTACGCAGCCCCTCCAGTGGTCACTTCCACGCAAAGGAGCTCATACGGGATTCCTCCGGTAGTTATTGAAAGAACCAACTACTACGTTGGTATTCCATCTCGTCCTCAAACCACTACTACTTATCCTCATGTTGAAGAAACAACTACAACTGCTCTGACTTCGACCGCAGTCTCGCCCTTTGATGGGATTGTAGATGAGATAACCGAATCTGAAACACCTCAAACCAGCACAGTTTCATCACCTTTTGAAGGGATTGTTGATGAAACAATTTCAAGTGAAAAACCAGAGATTTCAACGACAGCTCAACCGGAAATTGAAGTTTTGTTGGCCACTCAATTTAAAATCAATCCCATGAATCGCGAATCGGAGGAGCAGGAATCGTCTGAAAGCTTTTTGCGTAGGAGCACATCCACTCAGACGACGACCACATTCCATCCGACAGAAATAGACACGAAGAAGAATCAAAAGAACACAGAAATTTTGAGCTTTAGTTTTGGAGAAACAGAAAATCAGAATACAACGGTGGCAGTAGAGCCTGAAACCACAGCACTGGTGACAGAAGCTTCAGAAGTGTCTACTACAGAATCTACAACCACCACAGAGGCTGCAACAGAATCTACGACCATCACAGTAACCGTAACAGAATCTAAATCCAGTTCTCCATCGACAACTCTTTCAACAACGACGTCAGAAACTCCGACATCTTCGACCTCATCAGAAAAGCCGTCTACCACTGAACCAACCACTACGATTGAATCGATTGTACCTGCTTTCAGTACAACAGAGGCCGATTTCAACTCGAGATGGACTGATTTGAATGAAACTTCAATGGCCTTCGAAGATCCTGAACGGGGAACGGCGCCGACTTTCGTAGACGGAATTATCGGATTGAGAGCTCCCCCGCTTCCCAAGAACAGCTTCCAGGACGTTGGCGTAGAAATTATCAAGACTCTCGACGAAAGCATCTAATCTCCAATCCTCAAACCATGATCTGTTCCGTTTCTTGCCTCATTTTGCATATTTTCTGTTTGAATAAATGCTCTTAGAAAGACCAAAAACAATGTGATGATTCACTTGTTATTAGGCTGAGAATTGGGAAGAAAAACAGCCATGTGTCACTCCGTTCTAAGAACGTCGCGGCTCCAGTTTCCACTCATCTAGAGAAAAAACTCATTAGTGCATAATTGTCGAACAATTTTTGATCGCAAGGAATTAGATTTTTTTGTTTAACATGCATGAATAAACTCGCGTCAAAGTAACGTCAAACATCTTTGTCATGTTTTCCTTATGAATTTTCGAAAGTTAGTCAGTTCTACAAAGTCCAACAAGGTCATTTCGAAGTACAAAATTGCAGAAAAAAAATCTGTGCACAGAATAGATGCCATATCAATTTCTAAACACTGCTGAAACTGAAGCTGACAATTTCCAAACCCAAGCGTTCAAATTTCTATAAACTGTTTGTGTATCGAATGGCCAGTTTATGTCCCGTTTTTCAGTTTTGATACTGACTTCTTTGTAATCAAAACACTGAAATTTGAGGAATAGAGAATTTTTTGATGGTTCATAAACTTCTTCGACGAGAAAAACGGTTGCAGCAAAGTTTATTCTCGAAAAAAAGGCGATTAAGAATGAGATAAAGATTCTATTTTGCTCTTTGCTGAAAAATTGCTGGAAAAAAAGTTCAAAAACATGAGATTATTGAAAATGAATAAGAAATTGAATTTTTTTCACAAAAATTGTCAGGTTTCCACAAAGTTAAAATTGACTCCGTCGATAGTTTATGAAATACATTTGTGGAACGTGATTGGACAAAAACAGGAGGCCTAATTTACTTGGATTACTATTTGTTTTTCTCAGAAAATCCTACTTTTTAGAACTGCAGTGAAACGTTTTTTCTTTGAAATAGAAGCAATTTTCGCTTCAAACTTATCTCCCAACAATTTAATTTGGGTTTTGAAGAATTTTTACTGCACAAAGTGAAAATTGCAATCGAAACTATATCGCATTTTGAACTTTTAATCCATCTCGAAACTTTCTTTTTGAATGAATTTAAAAAACATGCTTGTAGAACTGTTCCGAAAATCATTAGTGGAAGGGAAGAAAAATCTCAAAAAATTCGAGAAATCTCAATGCTTCCAATAATTCGAGAACCAAAATGATTTTAGAAAAAAATGACACGTGGTCTCAAGAGATGAAATTCGAATTCCTAATTTTTCCTTTTCTTTCAAGATTTCTTGCACTTTATCTTCATTTTCATAAAATTTCAGGTTAGGACAATTTCGTTTTCGGAGAACCAAATGATCCGTATTCTCAACATCACTTCACTACTTCATTGTTCCTTGAATCTCAGATATTCTTCTTTTTGCTTCCTTTTTAATGAGCACAGCTATTCGTCAAGAAAACTTGCGTGGGTGTGAATGAACTTTTCGAAGATGTCGAGCCATCGATTCCAAAAAAAAGTATGATTGAGGGATTCGTGTAAAAAGGCAGCGGCATGGAGGGGTGGGCGAGCAACACGCCCACTTTTGTGCCGGCAGCCGGTGGTTAAAAGCGCCGATTTCGCGGTTGCCACGGCTCGACCGACACCTCTCGCCTTGCTCCTTCGTCCGTCCTTCTGCTGGTATGTCTTTGATGGCTCAAATGATGTTAAGCTCAACAATCGAAAACTCTGAAAATTCCAAAAGCTCAGATTTCCGGCACATTTCGATAATTTTTAGTTGTTCAATCAAACCGCTCAGTTAAGGTAGATAATGTTACTGATGACATTCCAATGATACATTCACAATTTCAAGAAATTTCGAATTTATACTTGAGTGTTCAACTGAAAAAATTAACGCAAATGATGATCCTGAGCTTGAAAAGCTTTTATTCTCAGGTCATTAGCGTGAATCGAAAAAGCTTTCGAGCACCTAAAGACATTTTCATAGCATAAAAGCTAGAAGAAAAAATGAGAAACAAAAGTCAGTACCTGAGGAAAAAAATTTCAGTAACATTTCTTCTCTCACTTATTTTTCATTCGATTCCCGAGAAACTTCAATTGAAAAAATGATAGAAGGAAAATCATAAAATTGATGCGTGGGCACATGTTTTTTTGTCTCTCCGCAATTGGCGTTCGTTGTCGCCTTTGCCGGGTGCAATATGTCGATCGATTTGAACGAGAAATAGCGCCTCGATCAACGTTCTTCGGTTCATTTTTCGCTTTTTTTATTCTGTTGTTGAAAACAAAAAAGGCCTACGGATAGACTATTTTGATAAACCTAATCAGCGCGCCAAGAAAAGTAATAAGATTTTTAGCTGGTGGAATGAAAAAGAATTCCGTCAGAAAGGTTGAGAAGAGGCAAAAAACGCACGAAATTGGGGCCAGAGAGCAAGAAAATTGCTGCCTCCGCTTTTTTGATGCTCTCTTACCGACCTGAGCTTTGCAGTCAAACCAATCTTGCAAATCTATAAATATTTTTTTCTCTATAAAAAAAGGTGCAAAAAGCTTTGAGGATTCTTGTAGACTCACTTAGAAAAATGAACAAAAAATTCTCAAGGAGATTTCGGTTATTAATTTCATGAGAAAATGGAAAAGTTATCAATTTCAAGCTCAAAATAAGAGCACCTTCAAAGAAATGTCAAACCTAGAACTTCAGAAATTTTCCAGAAGAATTCAGTCATTTGTTCAGCGTTTCGAAGTTTGGAGAAACCCTATTAGAAGTAGGATTCCAAAACGATAGCATCTGATCGAGAAGTTTCAGATGTTGACAAATTCCTGAGAGCTTTTTTTCATTTTTCTCTGATTCTTCAAATTTTAATCTGATCAGTTGGAGCGCAGAGCAGAGTAAAACATTTGAAATTTTTCATAAGATTTTATAACTGATTGAATAACACTTGCTAGGTCTTTGAAAACGCGAAGCTTCAGTCTAGCCGTTGATCGCTTCGAAGACCTTCGAAAATCTTCGACCCTTTGTTTTCAAAAAAAGTGCAACGAACTTCTAGGCGCGACCAAGAATGGCGCTCCACTCTGATGCCTTCAAAAGCCAGACTCATTTGAACGGACTAAATATAGTAACAAATCTGGGATTTTACACGCTCAGCCAGTAAAAATCTTCCGATGAGCCGTGTTTTCATGAATCTGATTTCTTCGAGAGGAAAATATTATAACTGTGTTCTAAGTGTTTTTCGTCGGCATGTTGCTCGTCCATCATTGTTGTGATTTTGCGGCAACGAATGGCGTCTGGTCGAAAAACGATTGAAAAAGAGTTAGCGCCGAAACGACCTTCTCGGCCCATTCTTGCGATAAAGAAAAAGACTGAGTTTGTTGTTTCTTAGGCGTGGCCATTGCAGTTGGTTGAGCGGATTGTCGAATCAAACCGAGCAGAAATCAAACAGTAACGCGGTCTTTCTCGATTTTCGATCAGACGTGTGAAATTGCACTGAGTTAGGGCTAACAGTTCTTATTTGCTTGGAGTTTATGAAAAAAAAAAACAAGGCTGAATGGAAATCAACGCAGCAATTGTGACATCAAAAAACAACTTTCTTTCAAATTGAATGATTCAAGCATAACTCAACATGCTAAGAAAAACTTCATTTTTGAGCTTCAAATCCGACTTTCAAAGTTTTTTTACCAATTAATATAAAAAAACTGGAATCTCAATTTTTATGATATCGACAATTAGATTACTCATTTTAATTAAGTCAAAAAAAGTTGAAATTTTTTTCATCTTGCCTTTATAGTATTCAACTTTAATTCAACAGTACAGTAAGAATGTTTTCTGTCTTTTTTGGAGGAAAAAAAAAACTTTTGAACTCTTCTATCGCTTTTGCAAAAATCTGTATTAGCCCGTTTTCAACAATTTCACGGTCGAGAAGTGACATTGAGATTCAAAATAATACCGGAGCCAATAAAAAAGCGAAAATTCACATAATTTTTGACTGAACCTTCAAATGAGCTTTAATTTAAGCTTAAATTTCAAAAAGCACTTTTCCAAGTAAAATTCGGCTACCTGTTTTAATGACTTCGTTTTCTCAAAGACTGAGATCTTAATGATTTTGCGATGTTCGAGCGAAGTATCGTGAAATTTCCTTGAATATTTAAATATTTGTTTCACTCGGGCATTTCTTCATTTCATTTTCCGAGCCCGTTCCTATGAAATCTCTCAGTTCCGAGTAAGAATGCGGGGAAACCCGATAAAAAGTTGCACGGTGTCGAACCAATCTCTCAAATTGCTGCGAACACCTCGAAGCATCTCAAAATGCGACTCCTAAGCGCATTCCTAAGCAACTGCTCGGCGCAGACGACGAGGGAACGCTGGCGGCCGCCGGCAGCCGAACCGTTCCTGGGCAATCGATGCCCCCGTGAATCAGCAAAAAACTCACAGCCGCCGCAGGTCTGTTTGTTGCTGACGTCGGCAAAAATAGGTCAAAGTCGGCTGATGGGGAAAAACGTTCTTTAAACGTCATCTCAAATGGTATTTACATCAACGTCTGATTTGTCAGCTTTTGTGAAAAGCATTGTGAGATCAATTTTTCGAGAGGAATCGGATTGAACTTGAGGCCGATAACTTTTAGAATACTTTAGTTTCCACATTTCACAACTGTCCATACTGAGGATCATCAAGATTTAAAAAAATATATCTGAAAAGAGCCGAGTTTGAACTCTGCATTTTTTAGTCAAAGTCATTGAGCTTCTTCATGCGCCTTTGAAGCCTTCATAAGCTGTTTATCCCTGTTTCATTGAAAATGTGAAGAAAAAAAGCCCTTAGCGACAAAGATTAAAAACTCCATACTAAGCCTAATAAATAGGATTCTTGAGTCTTCTATTAGAAAAAATTTTTTTTTCAAATTTTCAAAACTTTTGGGAAAAAAAGTCACGTTAATTAAGATACTCTGTCCTCTTTGCCTGGCTTGTAGAAAATTATCATTTCAGATACAATTTTCGAAATAGAATCAGAGGCTAATTGTCCTATTTGAAAGCTCCTGAATATATTTCAGTTTGGGATTAACTTAAATAGGATTTCTTTATCGACTCAAGCTTGCAAAATCATAATTTTTGACAGCAACGAAACCATTCAAAAACCGATTCTCCCACTCCAAAAATCTATGAATTTCATTCTTAAAAATAAGAAACTACAGATTGCGATGATTGGAAGAAAGTTGAGAAGCCCCTCATCTCGGAATATTTCCTAACCAATATCCATCCGCTTGTAACTCAGAAGTTCCCATCTCTTTTTTTGTTGGGTGGTCCCGTGGACATGGGGAAGCTGTTCATGTTTACTTGGTTCTTTCGCTCCTGTGAGCGTGAGTTTTTTGTGCGCGTTAATATATGTCGTGTGATGTGAGCGTTCGTTTGCACCTAAAGAGGCGATACGTCATCAAAAACATAAGTTTGGAAGTTTTGGTTTGCCTCATGATGCGCATTAACGAGAGGAGGCTCGAATAATGTGATATCTTATCATTTTTTGAAGGATCCTAGACCTTATGGCGTTTCTCAATGGAAAAAGATGGAATTTTTTTGAGTTATTGAATGATTTTTTTCTATTAAATCCGAAAAAAATAAATGAAATTTCAAGCTTCGCAGCTTGAAAGTTCCATTTTTATAAATAATAATTTAATTTAACGACTTTTTCTGTATTTTCTCATTGTCGCAATAACGTTGGAATTCTCCCTAATTCAGAGCCAGGTTAGCCCAATTCAAAAATTTTTTCCGTGCAGACCATCAATTACTTGTTTTTGCAATTCTCGAGACTATCAATTGAGGCTTTTTTTTGTCGCTACCAACTTATTATTCTGACCTGACTTTTTCACATAATGCCAAATTTCAATTTTTCAACTAGCAGCTCAAAAAAAGTTTTCCTCACTGGCTTGATTCTTTGATTTTTCGAAGGCTACATGTTTTTTCGTTGCTCTTTCTGAGTGATAAGGACGCTTCCAAATACTCACGTTTTCGAAATTTTCAGTATAAAGACTGAACAAAAACAGCGCAAAATTTAGAACCACCCACTTTCATCAAGTTTTTTTCCTTTTTGTGACGTGAGCGGCTTTGTGAGCGTTCGGAACGTGAAAAAAAAACAAGGCCGATGATTTGAAGGAAGAGAGTGCCGACGGCCGTGCTCTCGGCCGCTCTCGGCGTCCGGCTGGCGCCTCGGCGCCAGTTAACTCCGCCCTCTCTTCGTCCCTCGCGCCGCCCGCTGCTCTTGTGACGATCAGCTGATCCAGCAGTGTTCGCTTTCGGCCTTCGTCCCCACGGACGCTTCATTCCTTTCCTTTTTTCCTTTAACGAGTATTTTGGAATCCCTATCCAATTTATTTATTTCTATGACCAGGTTTGTTTGGGAAAAACCATGAAAAACGGTTTCAAAGAAGTATGTTGATAAGCAATCAAAAAAGTTCGAAATGAGGGAATAATTCAAAAGTTCATGAGAAAGGCTAAACGTTCCTAAAACTTTCAGTTCTTAAAAAAATCAAAGATTTCTAGAAAAAAATCAAAAAAAGAACCTTCACATTTTTCATAATATTAATCTCGAAATAAGGTCAAACTGAGAAATTTTTTAATGAATTATCATAAACTTTATCGAAAGTCAAATTTTCGATTTTTAACAAGCCGCTTGTAGTATGTTGAGCCTTGATTTCCTCGTGTTTTCCCATAAATTTTTGTACTAATCGAAAATTCCGGATACAAAAATTTCAAAATTCGAAGTTCTTTCCCACCACGTTGAGTGAAGCGTGTTCAAATCTCAGTCGTAAAATTTACACCAAACTCATTCCAAACTTTTTTCCCTGTTCAAACGGTTCACAGCAATTGTAAACGCAAATTTATGAGGCCTGCGGTGATTTGTTGTCAGTCCCCCTATGTGAGAAAAGGAACATTTTGAATTTTACGACTTTCAATGAAAGGCCAGAAGTTCTAATCAGAACAAAAGATTTGTCTCGGAACCCAACAAATGCTTGGATGTGATTTGAAATTAAACAATTTCAAAATTTTTTGATTTTTTCTTCTTTTTTTTCCGGAGTGATCAACTAGTAGGTTTATATGGCATTTCAAGAATATTTTCGCTTTTAGTCACGCAACGTGATCGATTCCGAAAACCATCATCTTGCTCAAGAAAACTTTGCTTCACAATTCGATACCTCATCATAGCCATGAAAAACTTCCTTCAACTCAACAACTATGAGCAGATTTCGACAACAAGCTCTAAGATTGAAAACCAGAAAAATGGTGAGAATTCGCTAACATGTGACCCTTCCCAGTTTTCTAGGTCCTTCTTTTCGAAACCTCGCATGGGACCATCGGTTTCTCCACTCACATGTCTAACTTTTTTCTTTTTAGAAAATTCAAACATCACTCTGTTTCCAAATCCTCGTTACTCTTGAAGTTTACAGATTTCTGAGTGAACCTTAAACTTTTCTAGAAAATTTTCAAACAACAAATCTCCCAAAATTTATGAGGTTTCTGATGTTTTTAAAGAAATACTGGAGCGTATGATCAAATTTTCTTACATGAAGCTCCTTTCCGCCAACTTGTGGCATTGTTAACGCGTTCGTTGAACCTCGGCAAAAAAGAGGCCGCTGCGGCGTTTGGGACACGCCCCGAACGACCGACCGGCGATATTTTGTTTTTTCCTCCATCTTTTTAACTTGTCCGTTCACTCTGTCGTATGTTCTCTGCTGTCGACTGACCTCCTGACAACTGCGAGAAGATATTCAGCTGACAACAATCTCGAGGCTTCCACTCGCTTCTTCATCGAAATGTAGAGCTTCAACATTATTAGTCTTGGTTATGTTTTCAGGTTTCTCAAAACGGCTTCCAAGGGTTTGATTTGGCCATTTCATGTGACGGAGAATGACCTCAAACTTCCCTCTCGTTTTTACTCTTCAGTTAAATTGATCAAAACGACCTCGAAGTCCTCATCTCAGTTGAGACTCTCAATCATTGAAAAGGACAACCTTCGCCTCCGTTTTGGATTCCTGAGGTTCACTTTTGAGATTTTGAAGTTCTAAAAAGGATTTCCGCTTAGGTTTACGTAAGTTGCTCTTAGAGCTTAGACTTCAAATTTCCTCATCTAAAACTTTTTAGAAAAATCGTATTCTATTCAATTTTCAGATTACTGACAGCGACTTTGCAGTTTTCTTCATGATTCAAATTACTGATAACTTCAAAGAACTCAGATTCTGCAAAATTCCAAGATGTGAACTTTCCTCATCTTCTACCTCCCTCTCCTCACTAAGCGTTTCCGATAGGCAGTGTGGTTAGCTGGTTGCCGATTTTGGGTCAACGGCTACCTCCACTGCCAGCCCGGAGGCGCTTCTGCTTTTCTCAATGGGTTTTCAGGAAAAGGAAAAATCCCGATACCTCGAATTTGAGGCTCCAGTCATAATAAGCTTAAAAAAAATGAATCGTGTAAAAGAGGTCAATTTGAGAGAAAAATTTAGGTTTCAAGAATTTCAGAAAATCTTCGAACCCTATTACAAATCATGAGTCCTCCCATTTTTTGACTGCGAAGTTTTGAATAAATTCTCACAGCTCTGAAACTGTATTGAAAAGAATCTCATATTACATTTAAAGAAATCGTATTTGTTCTCATGATGAGAAAAATTGTTTTTAAATGATGATGTTTCAGGTTTTAGAACGAGTTTTGAAATTTCGGATTCGAAACGTGTTTCAGATAAACTGAAGAATAACGGGCCCAGAAAATCAAAAAATTTTCAGCTAAATGAAGAACCTAGAAAAATGTTCAAGTTGAAAGATCATAACAAACTTTTTCAACGACATATCTTCAAACTGAATTTTCCAATCTCTGACATTTCATAACTTTTTCCAATCGCTGATAAACCATCAGTCACGTTCCAAAGTTTGTTCAGTTCGACATCAATCTTTGGATGACGCGAGGATGACCGCCATGTCTCGTGAGTTTCTTTCTCAATCGTTCGGGGAACAGCCAAACAACCAGTCAGAAATCAATGGTCCCGTCGACGAGTGGACGAAAAATAAAAAAGAAACAGAAAACACTGAATGAGAGTGTGACTGTCTGTCAGGTGCTTATCGAAGAGTTCTCGTCGACCGCGTCGCGACACGCCTCGCCCAGATCCTTTTTTCCTCCTTCTTTTTCTTTCGTTTTTTTCGTGCTTCACTCTGTATGTGCGATTGTTGTTGCACCCCGCGTCGGGAGCGCCTTTACCATAAAAATCCGATGAAAATGTGTGCCGTCGAGGCTTTTTTTCTGTTTTTTTGGCTCACACGGTGGCATCCCAATAGTTATTTCAGATAGAGTTTCGAGAATGCAACTTCTCGGTTCGAAGATTTCTGGTAGGTTTTCAATATGAATCAAGAAAATACTGCTAGATTACGAATACCTACTACTGCAACCCGTAAATATCTTTTTTGTGGTTTTGTAAACCCTCTTTGAATATATATATAAATTTGAAGAAAATTCAAAATTTGAAATGTCAAAGCTTTCAATGAACCTTCAATAAAAAAATTACTCCAATCTCTCAGTCTGCAATGAAATGCAAAATGAATCTCAAAAAGGAAAGTCCAGACACCTTTGAACAACCCACCACGCTTCTTTTGTGGTGAACGAAGATATCAGTCTTTTTTTTCGTTCTCTCAGAAAAACCGTTCTTTTCTTCACAGCAGCCGTCGACAGATTCCGGCAAAAAACAAAAAAAACACATCTTTTCTTTCATTTTTGGCCCGGCTGTTTACTCTGTGTGGCCTTTTTGCCCTTTTGGTTTGGATCAATTTTAAATTTGTTTAAAGCTGGAAAAAAATGGAAAAAAACAATTTCAAACAGTTTTTTTGGTTTTTGAAAAAAAGTTGATTCTTCCTTAGAAAAACTTGACGAAAACTTGTTTATCATAAGGTTATTTACTCTATTTTTGCTTCTCGAATACAAAGAAACTTATTTTCAACTTGAGAAACCGGTCGTTGGAAAAAAAAAGAGTTTAAACAAGTCTTTTAGACAAAAAGTCAGCGGCCATTGAGATAGTTCCATTGATGAAAATTTTCATCCATCTAAGGAAATGACGAAAATACAGAATCTCTCACATCCTTTTTTCTTGTTCAAAAAAATAAAGAGCTTTTTGGAGCAAATAAAAAACCTGAAACTAACTTTTTTGATGTTATCAAGCAAATTTAAAAATAAGGTCAATCTAAATGATATCCTGATTTTCAGAATAGTCATCGATTGTTCCCTTCTCTTTTGAACAAAACAGCTTCAGAAATCGTTCGACTTTAAGCGCTTGCAAATTTTGTCATTTTTTTTTTTGGCTGATATCCCAGATCAACCTAAAAATCGTCAACCGAACTTTTTCATATGTAAGTTCCAGAATTTCAATTGAAATAAAAATCCAACAGTTTTTTTACAAGAAGTGACATGATTGAACGTGATGATTAGCTTACTTCCTTTAAACGGTATGAATGTTATCTTGGCCAGCTTTGAAATACAAAAAGAACACATCAGACGCAAAGTAAAATTCTTCCTTTTGAAAGTTTTTTACAGCCATACACTGTGAAAAAAGTTTATTGCCGATTTCATCGTTAAAACAGTTATTGCACAAGAGATCATCTGACATTATGCGTTTCGACACAAATTCAAAAAAGACGGAACGAATTTGAAAGAAATATTTTCGAGTAGAAGAAAATGAAAATACAATTTGCAGACAAATCACTGGCTTCACGACAAGCGATCCTAGTTTCATATGACATTCAAACGGTTATCTATTTATCAAATATCACAAAGTCTCATATTGAATTTCAAAGAATGACAGGGAAATTTATCGCCGGGAGAAATTGCTTGATAAAATCACAGTTTTCGCTTTTGTTACATCTGGATAAAGTCATTAATTACAAGCAGGAGCTTCAAATTTTTGTCTGAAAAGCTGCCTAAAAAGGCATTTTCAAGTGGTTGGTTTATTTAAAATTTAACTTTCTGGATTTTTGCGGGTTGAACGCTGTGCTTACTACACATTGAAACTCGAAGGAGTGAAAAAAACTTTTTGTTAAAGATATGTCAAAGCAGAATTTCATCAGAAGACGTTGAACATCGATCTTCATCGTCGTCGTTGTACCGACCTGTACCTGGAAATTTTTTTGATTTATCCCAAAATTTAGTATCAACCTGCACTTTCACCGCTTGGCTGTAGTTCTATGAGAGCTGTTGTCGTTAACGTCGTCGGTGTTGAATATGTGGCTTCATCTGAAAAATCGAGAGTTTATTCCAAATCGGATGATTATTTTTTGAAAGTTTTGGAGGAAGTTTCGTTTTTTTCGAAAAAAAAAACTCTGTAGCTCACCTGATGATATTTTTCAAAGTTATTAAACTAGTGATGGCAAGGAATATAAACTTTTTTTGGCTCAGTAAAAAATCGAAGCTGTACGCTGACCACATTTTCAAACGATTATCAGAACATTTCTAGTTGAAGAGTGGAAACTTGTCATTTTCCCGTTAAGAAGTTATTTTTAAAGGATTAAAACCAACCGGAGACGCTTTTATTGTTGCTGACAATGTTGTTGTTGCGGTTGCGTGGCGTTTGCGGTTCCGCACCGTCTTTCGAACTCAATGCGTCGAGCCGCTCACGACATTGGCTGATCCGTCGCTCTTTCTGAATTATTTCAAATATCGAAGGTCTAAGTCTTTTTTGAATACAACAGAAAAATCGAAGTGGATGAAAAAAGAGCCACGCTAAAAAAAATCCATTATTTTCAAAAGATAAGTTAGCTGTGATGGTTTTTTTGTTTGAAAAAGATTCTGAAGCTCAAAAAACACTTATGAACGAACCTCGTTAATTTGGGCCTGCAAACTCTCATTCTCTTGTCGGAGAAGTTCATATCGTCTCTGATCTGGCTTTGATAAGGTTTTTACCAATCCATTTCCACTGATTTGAATCTAAAATCCATAATTTTTCATTGATCCTGAAAAAAAAATTTAGGTTACAAATATTCAAATTTTGACCTCAAAAACCATGATTAAATATTTTTTTTTTTAAAACTGAATAACGCTGGTCATTCTATAAAATATAATGAAGAAGCCCATCTTCCCATGAGGTCGTCACTGTTAGAAATAATTTTTAGATTGATTTTTTCAGGTTGAGGAATTACATTCAGTTCATCGGTAGCAGTTTGGCGGACTGTTGGAATTTTCGAAATTCCAATGATGACCTACCAAATGGGATTCTTCAGCTATCGACCCCTTTTTGTTTTAATTTCAAAAAAAAGAAGCCTTGTTGTTTATCCTCAATATGTCTTTTTCCGAATCTATAAATCCTGGAGAAGTCCTTCATCATGCGAAAGAGAGCGAAAAACTGACCTCGTCGGCGCTCGGCGGCACTTTGTAAATGTGCCTGATTTTGGGGACGAAAACCAGGCCCAGCGAGATGTAAGTACATATCAGGACTGAAAACAAGTAACCTTTTAGGGCAAGCTATTCTTTTTCGTCTTTGGACAATGGGAGTGCTGGGAAATTGGGCAATGACCTTTGAGCGGGAGAAAACAAGAGCAAACGCGGGGTTTTTTTCAGGAAAGTCGTATCTTCGACGAGCTTAAGACAAAAAGTGACGCCTTCAGGCTATGCTCAGACTCTAGAATTAAATAAAGAGTGGAAATATTAAAATAGCAGACAATGAATGGACTTTTTCTACGAACTTGTCTGGTTCAGGAAATAAAAAAGCAGGTTCTCAAGAAATCCCATACCTGTTAAAGATATGAAAGCAAAGTTGGCGTTGGCTTGTCCCCGGATAAGCAACGTCACCACAGGAGCAGTTATCAAAGTCACAATGGCGACGTTGTAAATGGCGAGTCCAACCAGTCGAGAATCATTGACAAAACGGAGTTTGAGATTCCGAGACTCGTAGGACAGGAAAAGGCCAAAAACAAGCAACAGGCACTTGTAACCCAGTAGAATTCCTGGAAAAACTTTCCTTATTTTGCATTTTTTGATACAATGATCTAATTTTTTAACTTTGAAGTGAACAAACCTATCCAAACTTCTTGATGGGCGCTCTGACAGTGATAAATGATAGGAAGGATCATGATGTCGTCATCCGTTCCTATGGGAGCGTCCTGGAAATCTTGGAATGATGAAAAAAAGTATAGTTTCAAGAGAAACCTGAAGAGGAAATCGTTCTTCTCGAGGCTGCAGTGGGTCCAAAAAAATCCACACACAGACGATAAAAAAATCGAATGCAAATAAGGCCGCTATCACCATGTAGAACTTGGTGGCAGGAATTGGCTGGAAAACAAAAGTTAGTGAAAATTTTCAAAATCAAAGTAACTCTTTTGGTGGATACATCAGTCGTGAAATATTCTTCAAATATTGATTGAAAATCGAGTTCAAAAAAATTGTTTTATGTATGAGTTTTTTGTCAATTTCAAGAAACGCAAAGTAAAAAACGTAGTTTTATTTAAAGTTCTATAAGAATCAGTGAGGTTCTTCTTGAGTTATTTTGGGCCGTAATTGCGAATTACTGAAGTTCAAGGTAGAATGACTTTTTTCTAAGAGTGTTTTTCTGCATTTCTAAGCTATAAACAGCTACCAACAATTAATTCTCAGATTTGATTTCCCTATTTCGGATGGTTCATAGATTTTCCTGATGTATCCGCCTCTCGACAAATATTGAACATGAGTGCTTCTTGCTGAGAGCATTCCCATGCCTATATTTTTTTTAGAAATATATTTTTTGTATACATAAAGTTAGTCATGCTGAAGTGCGCTGAAGCAAAGTCCGAAAAAAAAGAAAGAACAGTAAACCAAAGTTAGCAAAAAGAAGCAACAGAACTGGCTAGAAAAAAATAATCAAAATTCGGGCGGTTAGAAGAAAGAACACACAACATGCGTGAGTGATAGGACATCAAAAAGCCGGAGAGATCTCATGCCAGCCAGAAAAAAGTGGAGTTGAAACAGTAAAAAAATAATTTAAAGAAAAATAAAAAAATGGAGAAGAGTTGATCGCCTCGAATAAAAAAAGGCGGATTCGGCAAAGTGGTGTTAGTAACAAAAAAAAATTGTCACAGCAATACAGATCAAGTAAGAAAAAAATTGAATAGATCTTGTAGTTCAATCGCGATCACCCACTGCAGAAGTGGTGGGAAAATGTTGCAAAGAAGTCTAAAAATCCTGCATTTCCTCTTTCTATGTTTTGCTATTTCTGAAAGTTCTTGCTTAAGGACCGACTATAAGCAGATCAAGGTCGATTTTTTGGTGAAGTTGCAACTGATTATTCCTTTCTAATCAGCCCTTTTTCAATTCTGGAAAGTTTAAAATGTCAGTGAAAAAGAAAATTTAAAAAAAAGTAAGCTAATACTATTTCTAGGATTTCTTCATGAAAATTATAGTTTCAAAGGGTTTTCAAACAGAACTCTTTCTGATTTCCACCGGTGTTTTGTTGAAAACGTCGTCAAAGTGTTGATCCTTAATTGAGATAAGTTTTAACATTGTATCATTCGAAATCTCTTCCCATAGTTCTAACCTGAATGACAGGACAAAATTGAAAAACTGTGAAAATAAAAAAAAGTGTAAAAAAAACCTCTCACTCCGGATGCACAACGGTTAGCGCAAGAAAATGGAAAAAAGAAAAAGTTGCAACTGGTTAGCCGACTACAGTCGTTGTGTTGAATTAGACACCTGATTTAGCAAGGTATTGCGTTTTTCGAGAAGGGCGCCGTAGGCTTGTCCCGACGCTTTGCGAGTTGCGTAGCTCTGGCGGCCGACCATCGTCGAAATGAGCGTCCGGATGCCTTCCCAAGGAGTTCCCTCTTCCTGCCAAACCATCCACCGATTGTTTCGATTTATTGTTATCAGCTTCAAATCTAGGCACTTCTAGAGCTATACAAAGCTAGAGAATGAAAATCAAAAAAAATAAATGAGAAAAATGGGTACACGGTAGAGTTTGTAGTTGAGGGTTTTTAAAGATCAGCTTTGATTTTATTGGTGAAATCTTCCAGGCTCTTGAGAATTATTGCAAAAACTTTCCATGAAGTTTTCTATAAAAAGACCGCTGGCTGGCTTAAGATTTAAAATTATGAAGGCTTTTTAAATTATCGTTATTTCTCTACTTTCCAGCAGCCGCTGCATTGAGGTATCACAGAAAATGTCCAATGCAGAAACTCTGTGATGAGAATAAATATAAAATCCTTCGTTGAACCTCAAGTCAGCGGTAAATGGAGTACGCAAAATAGTTTTCTCGCTCTATGAACTTTGAAAAGCGGAGATAACACAGGATTAACTTGTGAGTACAGTTTTTATTGAATGGTCTCAAAAGCAGAAATGACTCCGTGCAACAGCTGTGAATCTTAATAAGCAGTGATTTTTTTACGGGGTCCAAGACTTTGATAGGGGAAATTAGAAAATATTTCTGTTTGTTTTTGAAACAAATTGATTTTTTTCTCAAAAATAATCTGAAAGAAAGATGAAATAAGTTCTAAGAGAATCATGATTAAAAAAATGAAAAACAAACCATAGTGAATTCATGAAATCGTCGAGAAAGTCGTCTTCTCTATAAACATCAAGAATCTTCCAGGAAAAATTTTTGATAAAAAATTGCTCTACTGGACAAAAACATCGGATCTGATCTTTTCGTTCAAAAACCTTGAGAACATTACAGTAAACCATGAACAAATAAAACTTCCACGAAAAGGACAAAACGGAAAAAAGGAAAAAATAAGGATCTAATTGTTTTTATAGCTAGCGAAGCATTCGAAGAACAAATCACCATCATCATCATCCACGACGCGTAAATCGTGCCAAATCATCGAGAGACAAAAGAAAAGACTAGAAAAGAGAGCATAAGTCACTAAAAAATCAAGAGAAAAGGGACATAATGTAAGAAAAAAGATATTTTCGAGCATTCTTCATTCGCCACTCACCTTCTCCGAATAATTACTGAGTAATGGCTTGTACTGGAAATATTGATTAGTCGAAGCGTTTGAAAATAGAAAAAAAGCAAGAAATCAAATGAAAATGGCGCAGAACTCTCAAAATCAGATAAATTAAAGAAAGGAAGAAACACTCGGAACGGAAGACAAATGTTATACAAATGGACGAAAACCTGAAACAATGTTGATTTCGATTTGAGAACATTAAATTCTAGTAAACTTGAAAAACTTGGAAAAAAACCGATGGAATCGGAAAACTGAACGGAAGTGAAAAAACCTCGTCTTTTTGTCGACTAGCCAGTTGTTGGTTTTGCGTGGCTCCCATTCGATGAACTATCCAAACTTTTGCAAACATGGACCCGTAAGCAAATGTGAAACCGAAAAGTAAAATAGTGATACGAGCCTGGAAAAGATAAAGTTTGAGGGAATATCGAGGGGACTTTTCGTCTTCAAACATTAACATTTTCCACAGGAAAACTAAAAAATTGAAGTAACTTTTTTGAAACACGCTTCAGGACTTCTTTCATCAAAAGATAAAACTTTTTTTGAATAGCTTTTTTTCTCGATTAAATCAATAACTTTCTATTCAAACGTTTTTTTAAACTTTTACTTGATTTAAAAAAACTTTTTTTATAATTCTCGAAATTGTTGAGTTTCCACAATTAACTCGAAATAAGTCATTTTTTTGTTTTTATGTGAATATTTTTTTAACTGAAGGAAGTATCCAACTCACATGACACAGAAACGAAAAAGCAGCTTCAGGAATGGCAAAATCATCAGAAGGCAAACCAAGGAGGAAAAGGGCAAAAAGGCAAAGAGAACAGCCAGCAATCAACATATTGTTGCATTCTGGTTGAGACTGGATCAGTATTCTGGAAAAAGATTGTATGGTAAAAAGTTAATAAGAAAACTCACAATCGACTAGCGTGTTTTTTGGTAAACGTGTAGATCGCAGCGCAGAGAATAATTCCTAGGGTGGCGAAAAGAATGGCAGGGTAGTAGACCTGGGAAAAAGTTTCAGTTTATCTTTTTCGGATAATTTTCGGGATCCCAAAATTTTTTCTTTTTGAACTCTCACTGTATTTAGGTACTAAAAAAATTGTGAATAAAAATGTTCGATAGATGAAATTACTGTTTCTCGTTTTTCAGAGACATGACGTAACACTTAGAAATGTTTGGAGGTCGTTTGTTTTCAAAAAGTTTTTTTCTTCGGAACCAGTTCAGGAGGACTTTATTCACGATAGATTAATTTTTTTGGAAAGTTAAGATTCCTGGAAAATTATTTTACTTTTTGAAAAATTTTTATTTTGATATACTCCATTTATTTTTCAAATCTTGAATCATTTTCGGATCTTGAAAAAAGAAGATTTTTTCGTCGATAAAGTCTAGAAGATATGGCTCAAAGGACGTTTTTCAACTCTGAAATGAATTTAAAGCTCACTTTCTGACTGACGGTCAACATCGCCCGTTGGATAATCGTCGAATCCGGAGGTGGACCTTTTATCGAGAACCATTTCTCATTACCGTACCACTCCACTTCTCCGGAAGTCGCGTCGTAATATCCCATGATCTTATATTTTCCGTCTGAAAAATGTGAACTCTTTTTTCTGTTCTTTTCCTTCCGATGGTACTTTGCATTTGCTCGATTTGCGTTCTGGCTATTCGATCACCAGAGTCAGAAAACATCACTTTACCCTACAAATACAACAAATGAGTGATCATGATGCGCTTCAAAAGTTACCGAAACGCCTCGAAATGAGGTATTTTTAACACATTGGAACAAGGTGGAGGCCATCATCTGGTTGGTATAGGAGAAGTCTTCCAACTTCACTCCCAGTGGAAGATGTTGTCGAGTGCAGTTGAAAGCCAAGGCCAGAGCCCTGAAAAAGTAAATGATTTATTTGGGTCAAAAAAAGCTAAATTTATTATTAATAACAAAAATTTAAACACATGTTTTCAGTTCAAGAAAATCAAAAACAAAGACTAAATTTATATTATTTTATACATGCTTTACAGTACTGAATAATTAATAATTCACTTTGTACTTTCTTTCCAATCTCAGGTCGTAATTTTTCCACTTTTATGCGTCCTAATCACAAATAGTCCGGGTTGTCGAGCATTTCAACTGTTTTTTTTAATAGAAATAATAATGGAAAGTATCTCAAAAAAACTAGTTTCTCCGATGGATGGCTGTATAACAAGACGTTCGCATGTTAAAAGATATGACTAGGCGTAAGCCGGTGCGAGTCGGGACAGCGGAATCCTTATAAGAGGACGGCGACTCTGCACAGTCGCTATTACCATTTCAACCAACATCATAGCAGGAAGGCTCGGATCGCTGCCTCCGCGTGGCGCCTTCTGGGTGAGACTCAGTCTCAGCTAAAAGTGATCCATTCTTGGAACAGCCAGCCTTCGGGCTGGCAAAAAAGTATTAATAGAAATATATACTAACAGAAAGTATTCTCGAATCATTTTCTTCCCTGGATCGAAAGTTAGGACATAACTTATGTTTCGGGGAGTTTTATTTTTTATTTTTTACAGTTCCTGCGGAGGCGGTGTTGGAAATACACTCTTCAAAGAAAAGAAATATCTGGCGAAGGATTCAAATAATTCATAAAAATTCGGACTCTTGAAAAGAATCGCAAAACCATTTTGATTCCTTCAAAATTGCAACAAAAAAAGCTCACCAAACGGCATCATAAGCAAGCGGAGCCTCGGGGAAGCCTCCCACATCGCCAACATTGTCCGTTTCTTTTTGTAGACGTAGTGCAAGCCGTTTTTGGAACTGCTTCCCCGTCATGCCGGAGATGGCTGGATTATCGTCTCTGGACAGCATCACACTTTCCGTTGTGAAATGGTATTCCGCCGCTTTCGCCATCTGAAGAATGATATTACAGTAATTGAGGTAATTTTGAACGGTTTTTCAGTTCTCAAACAATAATCAAAACATCTCTTAGTTCTGAACTTTTCTCTTTCCATACGGACTCTTGAGGTTAGACTTTAAATTTTTCGAGTCGTATCGCAAAACTTTTTAAAAAACTTTCGAAACCATTTCGTTAGGTCTCCCAATTCAAAAAATTCCTTTCAAATCGCAAACCTGCTCAGCTGTACAGTTGAGATGCTCGTCTGGCGGTGGAATGTACCACGTGTCGGCGTACCAACCAATTAAAAACCATACATGTTTTCTACCATATAACCCGTGATGATAAGCCTAAAAAAAGAGAAAAAATAAAATGTAAAATTTTGAATTTTTCGTCTTGAAATGTTCGGAATTGTGCAATTTCCTCTTTTTTTATACGAAATTTTTTTGATTCACGATTTCTCTTTTAAGTAGTTTTGGTATTTTTTTGATATTTTGGAATCTGCAAAAAGTTTTGCTTCTTTATCACACACTACTGGACATAAAGAAAAATTCAAAAAAATTTTTGTCTCAATTTCGTAATAACCTCAAATTTAGACAATTTTTCATTTTTTTGTTTCAAATTTTTTTAAGATAAGTTATTACAACTTTTTGAAATGAAGGTTTTCGATTTTGCGCTATAATTATTCATCATTATCTTCTTCGACGATAAAAAAAGTTTGTTAAATGTTTTCAACATTTTTTTCGCCGAGCCGAATTCTGAATTTTTATCTCCACTTCGACATCTTTTGTTCCAGTAACAGTTTCTAAACTTTTTTCGAACATTGTTTACAAGTTTTCCATCAAACTGCCTCAAAGCGAAGTAACTCACCTGACAAAGAACCTTCCGCGCTTCAGTGACGTAGTATAACCCAATAATGATGCGAGCGTCCTGCCGAAGAAGCGTTTTCATTGCGTCCGTCGGATCCCCGTAAAAACTCTGCCGCTCCACTCGAATACCTTTGCGGCGAGCCAAATTCTTCAATTTCATAGAATCCAATTGCGTTCATATCATTTTTGGAACGTGTTCCAAAATGCAATACTTACTTCCAAGTCTTTTGCGGTCGCTGTGAAGACTTCCTCCACCGACATGAGAATGGTGATCTTTTTCCACTTGAACTTTTCCATAATGCGGATTCTGAAACAGTGAAGGTACTTATGAGCTAATTGATGTGTGAATACGAACCTTGTCGGATTTTGCATGTTTGCCGATGGATGAGTTCGGAAAAGAGTAGGAAATCGTTCACGATTTGATAAGGCTGGTGAACTGCCTCCATACGATATCTGGAACACATTTTATTGGGTTCAGTTTTTTCTCTGAAATTTGACTACAAATGCTCTTGAAACCAGTAAAGATCATGTACTCATTTGAAAAGAGAAAAGGCAAAATTTTCGATGAAATTTAGAGAAAGTGTTCTTATTTTTTTTGAGTCGTTCTTGACAGGTCAAACTTCTTCAGCAAATCCTCATCTTTTTTTGCAACCCATCCCTCATTTTTGAGTCCATTCTCATCTTTTCAGTTCAAAACATTTTCCAAAGTGTACGTCATCTGAATGTCCGCGAAACTTCCTCAGAAGACACGGCAATTTGGCACAATCTCGTTTCCGCGCAACAACGAATAGCACCGCTGGGGGCAATTCATCATCCGCCGGTCGCCCTACGGCTCTTTTTATGCAAATAAATCACTATTTATGCAACAAAAGGCCGTATAAAGTGTGCCCCTCAAAATGACGATTTCTTCTCAGGCTGTCGCCTTTTTCGCTTCTAAATTAGGCTCAATTCGAGTGAGAGACAAAAAAACAGCGCCAGCGATCAAGAGTATCAAAAAATGGTAGTTTTTTATGCAATCTTCTCTCGCAATTTTGAAATGCTTGCCTTGATTCGCTGAGTTTATTCAATTGGTCCAATAACATAAACCAATTATCTTCTTTACAGTATTTTATTAGTGAAGTGAAAAGAAAAGAAAAGACTGGGTTGTTCTTCTCTGCTTTAAAAAAACATCTCAACTCTTTCTCTTCAGAAAAAAAGTATTTCAAGCACGGTTCGTGAATACCAGGATAAAACTACAAAAATCGTTAAGATGATTCTGTAAAAACAAAAAACGAGAAAGAAGATGATTTTCAAAACTAAAACTAACCACTACAAGCTTCCAAACAGGAGCTGCTTCCGAGATGACGGTTGTGACAGGACTACATCCTGTCAGAAGCATAAGTTTTGTCGGAGGTGTGTACAGAAAATCGTAGAGTTGTTGCATGGCAAGACCTGGTTGGCACTGGAAAATTAATAATCCATATTGATCAAAAGCAAGTCGATTTTTGCTGAAATTTCGAAGCAGCTGCATAGGTTTCTGAACTACATAAGACGGTAACACTTGACATTCAATAAACTGAGAAAATAAAATGAACAAGACGGTATCTCCGTTCAATGACCGTGTTATCAAACCTTTCTTCAAGTTTCATAAACTTTATATTTATTGAACTTTTTGTTTTATCAAAGATGAAAGCTGAAAGTCTACCACAGAAAGTGAAGTTGGGGGGACAAAATTGAAACTCAAAAAAAAAAAAAGAAACTGAAAAAACCTTGGAGTTGCTGGTGTTCATGTGCAAGATGTACCCGGGAAGGACGTCAGATCGGCTGTTGACGTCTTCAAGAGCCATTTGAACGGCTGGTAAGCATGCCTAGAAACATTCAAACTTGAGCAAGCGTGGAAAACAGTTATGAAACTTTTACGGGACGCTTTTTTTCCATGCCCTTATAAGGATAGTTGTCTTACTTTGCGGTTAGGAATTTTCTAAAAACTGCCCGGAAGACTTCTTGAGAAACCAGATAGAGACCTTGGAAGTATGAAGTTGCAAGACTTTCTCATTTTCGATAATTTTCATTTCGAAATCAAAGAAAATCCTCAAAGTCCGGGATAATTCTCAAAGTCCAGGAAGTTCGGGATTTTAGACCGTTAATTTCGAGAAATTAGAAAGTTAAACAAGTTCAGAATTTCAGAATTCTCTTTTCGTTCATCAAGGAGTGTTCTAGCCAAGTTTTAGGAAAATCCCAGGCGCAAACTAAACCGATCTTCATTGTATAAGAATTTCAATCCTGATATTACTGTTCCCACAATTATTACAAGAAAACTTTTTACAAACCCCTTTATTCAGAAAAAAAAAGTGAATGAAAAATCAAATGAGAGTAGGAAACGATGAAAAACGCTCGAAGAACCCCTCAAAACAATTATTCTCTATGTGAGAAGACGAGGTTGGTGGTAAATAAGTAATGAAATCCTTGAAATGAGCTGGGATCGCGCTAAACTTTGGGAAAACGCCGTGAAAAAGTCAAAGAGCAAAAGTTGGATTTTGAAAAAAGTTTTTCATGTTCCTCTAAGTTGAAGACGAAGGTAGCTGAACTCTTTGATTTGGGATTTTTCTATAGCAACTTTTTTTTCGGAAAATGATAGGAAGAAAAAACTATAACAGTACATCTTTGGTGACATGAGAGAGATTATAGGGTCTGGTAGGTCGAAATTACCAATTTTTCTGACTAAAACTTGAGAACGAAGTAAAATTCGGATAAACCGGTGTTACCTCAAATTTTTTTCGAAGTTGAGAAAACTTTTGTTAAAGTGTTAAATTCTGAGTTTTGGAAATCCGTTTTCCGCTCTTCTTCTATTCTGAAGTTCATTCGAAAAAACATTTGAAATTTTTTTTACAGATTAGGCTTTGAAATGAAGGAAGTTTTCGGAAGTCGTTTCGAACGCTGAAAAACAGATTCGCCGATCTTGAGGTTCTTCGTTCATATTTTGACTATTTTTTTGCTCTCAAATTCACAAATCAACCTCTCCGCCGGCCCATCCGCCGGAGCCGGACTCCATCGGAAAAGTGCCGCCGATGTGCAGAGTGACTGGGTCGTCGGTCCAGCCGGCCACCTTCACCACCCATACCGAGCAGACCAGCCAGCACGCTAGCTTCTCGAACATCTATTTCATCGCTGAAAAAACCTCGATTTGATTAGAAGTTTACGCACGGCTGCCGCCCCAAATGGATTGCGGCATCGACGTCAATGTGTAATGAACAAGACGAAAAACGAGGAAAAGAAGAAGAAAAAAATTCTGAGCAAAGACTGGCGTGTTAAATCCTTGGCCCCGATGTGCGTTTCTTATGGACGAGTGCTTCTGCCTTTTTTCCGCCTTTTTACGCTTGTTAACTTTTGGATGGTTGATCAGATAATATGTTATTATGTCGAGAGAAGGGAACAAAAGATTTTCCTTTCGGAAGGGTGCGGGATATAAGGAGCCTGCAAAAATGAGCCACTAGGAAGGTCAGTGATTTTTAATTGCTGGAGGTGATTTGATATCAATAAAAGTTTTGGCGAAGCAAATTATGATGTTTTTGTTCATTTTGTACCAAAAAATTTAGTCTTTTTCACTCTTTTAAAACCGGAAAAATCGGATCTATATTCTTTTCTATTTGGCAAGACTATTAGTTTCAGAAAACTTTTCGGAAATTATCTGCGTGTTACATTGTTCGAAGGAGCATATATAGAAAAAGGTCTTGAGCCGGAGAATCTTTTTTAGTTTTTTTTTCGGGTCGAGCAAGAAATTTTTGCTCTCAAAACTAAAGCATGACTTTATTAACAGACCAAACTCAGAAAATCTAAAAATTTTTCAAATTTTTGGAGAAAAGACCCAGTAAATCAGGTTCATCAAGCTCAACCAACGAAATAGCAAAACATCAATATTGTGCAGCAAAAAGGAAACAAGAAGCGCCAAAAAAAGGAGAAAAAGAAAAGAGAAACAACGGAAAAGGAAATGGAAGCAAAGGTCAACTGCACACTGAGAAAAAAAGTGCAAATGTCATTATAGGACTAGTAAAGTTGCTTAGAAGCGTTTGAAGACTGGGAGAGATAAGAAAAGTCAATTTTTTGGCAAGGGATTGCTTATGATTACTGTATTTTCAGGTATCCATTGAAAAAGGCGTTAACTGCGGGATCGCTAGCTTGAAAGATGAAAAAAGCATTTGTTTTTTTCTCCAGTCATGTCGAGAAACAAGACCAATGTGAAGAAATGTTTAAATAGTTCATTAAAAGGCGAAACCTTCAAAAAGTTTATTCAAAAAAATTTTTCATATTATTCTTTCAAGACTCTTTTTGTTTCTTCGATTCGAAAAAAAGCATTAATTTCCGCGAAAAAAATATTAATAGAGTTTGGAACGCCTTCTTTTTTTATTTGGGAAGTTCAAATTCATGTTTTATTATGGACAAAAGATTTTTTTGGTCGCATGAAAAAAAGGAATAAAAAAACTCGAACTGAAAAAGTCGTTTTAGAATGAATTCAATGAAATTTTATGACTTTCTCTGGGATGAAACAATTTTAGAAATAAAAAAATGAAGTTGATTTTTTTGAGAAATTTCGAAAAAAACTGGAAACTCGTTCAAAAATGGGAAAAAAACCGCTCTTTGACAGAAAAAAATAATACGAATTCGAGTAATTTTTTTTCTAATTTAGTGTTCAGAAAATACAAGGGCCCTTAAAACAAAAAACCGAAATTCAAAACTTTAGTAAAAAACGGAGAAAACTTGAGGCGAAAAAAAAAATCCAAGTTCATAGCAACTTTCGGTGGGAAAGAACGGAAGGTAAGGCAATTTCCCAGAAAGGAAACAAAGGATTCATAGATATTCCTTCAAGATGAGACTTTTCGCCTGAAGAAAAAAAAACGAAGTTTTTAAAAAAGAAGTCTGAGGTTTCAAACAATACTCGTTGAAAAAAAGGGAACGAGAGTACTTGATTTTGTAAAGCAAAACCGTGGTTTCCATAAGAAATCTCTCGAGATAAGACTTTCTACCTGGAGAAAAAGGACATGAGTCTTCAAGGAAGAACAACCAACGATGGAGTTAATCGAGGAGCGCGAAGGGCTCCACACACACACACATGCGCATCCACCGGCCTTTTTCGGCGTGTGTAAGACTTCTTCTTGGACTCCCTCGAGAGAAAAAGAGTGCATTTGCCGGTTTGATTCATTTTGACCCTCCGAGGCCGATGCCAATTCATCAGAAGGCGGCGTTTCGCGTGCCTTTTTAGGTTCGACCGACTCACATTTCCTTTGATTTTACGACTCTTCTATGTTGCAATCTGTATAGCTTGCAGTTAAAAAAGATTCACTGCTTTGCTGAGAAATGAACTAAATTCTTTTTGAGGTCAATAATATTTGGTGAAAAGAAGAAAAGGCAGTTATATCGTGTTTTTTTATTCATCAGCAAGTTGAAACAGTAAACAAAACATGTTCAATCGTTTTTATATCTTTCAGTAAATTTAGTCCAGTAGAAACAGGTGACTAATTTATTTCAAAAAGCGCGAACATCTGAAAAATTTCTCGAGATGTACTATCGTTAATCATCAATACAATTATATAAGCCTAGAATTTTTTTCATTGAAAAAGCGGCTCTGTACTGTAACCGTTATGAGAGGCTTCGTGTATTTTTTTCTAAATTTTCCAAGAAATTCAAAGATAGTGATGGTTTTTGACTTTTCGATCTTTCCTTTCAAAATTAGGAATGAGTGAGAACATTGACGTCTTGGAAAAACTTGTGAAATTTTTGAAAAAGAGCCTTTTTTTATAAAATTTCAGACAGAATACTGCTTTTCCTCAGAGCGAAAAAATTCATTCATGGCTCACCAACGCCGTATAGATTTTAATAAACCATTTTTCAAGGGAAAAATGAGGTTCAGCAATTTGAAAACGATTAGTCTCAAACGGAAGACAATGAATTTTCCACTTATTCAAAAAAGTCAGGGTTGTTTTTCGAGAAAGTACAGGAAGTTGTTCAGGAAAACAAAAGAACCCTTCTTTGACCCAGAAAAATAATCTCGATTCCATTTTCTTGCCAAACTTTTTCACAGGATGAGGAAGCTTTCTCGAGAAAAACTTATAGCCACGCACAATGATACATCAATTCATGTCTCGAGATTGAGTCGTAAGGAAGTTATGGGGTTCTAGTGGAGCAAATGAGATGGATGAGCGCCTGGAACTAGTAAAACGGCTTGATTGGGTCTTTTTTGGCGTTTTCCCTCCACACAACTAATTCCCCCCAGCATTTTTTTTTACTTCTTTGCTTAAATTTTTATATAGCAAATTGGTAACGTTTGTTTTAAAAGTTCGTGTGTTTGAAGAATAGAAAAAACAAATGAAAACCTTTCAGGTCAGTTTTTCCCACTTACTTAGCGTGTTACAAAAATTAGTTCGAAAAATTTTTTAATGTGCAATGATACATATATGCCTTGAACATTAATAAAAAAAAGCTATTTGAAAGATTAATAAATGTGACGCGAAAAGATTTTAAATTTCAGAAAAAGATGCCAGTTGTACTCAAATCCAGACGGAAAGCAAACAAATTAACCGAATGAACTCACAAAAAAACTTTAAACTCATTGAAAAAAATTTTTACTTTGACCTTCCGTATTATTTGAAACAGAAAAATACGTTTTTTTGAAGAAATATTCTGCCAAAGTCATGGCCAACCAGTAGTTATGAAAAAAATTGAAAATGAATTTTTCTTGAGAATCAGGAAGTAGACCACACAACAAGGAAAAAAAGCTGAATACTCAGAAAAATTTCAAATGTTCAGACGTAAATGAGATGAAGATGGCGTTCTAAGATAGAGGAAAAAAGGATCGCATGAGGAAATTCAATTTATTTCAAACGAGAGAGAGCAGCCCATATCAAACTTTCGTACATTATCATTTAGGTTTTTTTAATTCTGTTCAGGGCAGTTTAGTGTTCTTTTAATAATCAAAAAGAAAAAAATGAGGAAATGGAATAAAGTTGTGGCTAGAGTTTTGATTTGAGTTTGCTTGAAAAACAAGAAAATCTTTTTTCAGAGGGTTGAAAGAAAAAGTTAATTTCATACGGTGAGAACAAATTTTGAAGGGAAACATTTAATGAAGAGAAAAAATACCCAAACAATTTCAACAAACTGCTGAATTTCCAGAAAGTACTAATTTATGTTCCAAAAAAGTACTCAATTTGCGAACAAGAGGAATATAAACGCGAAAAATAATGGCTATATTCACTTCCAAATCAAGTTTATATAGCGAATTTTTATCTAACTGGCATATCATACTTTGAAAGATGCATGGACGCGCAAGCCGGCGCGAGTCGGGACAGTGGAATCCTTATATGAGGACTGCGACTCTGCACAATCGCTATTACCATTTTAACCAAGATCATAGCAGGAAGGCTCGGATCGCTGCCTCCACGTGGCGCCTTCTGGGTGAGACTCCGTCTCAGCTAAAAGTGATCCATTTTTGGTGAAGCCAGCCTTCGGGCTGGCAAAAAAGACTATTCCAGTTAAAAGGAGATCATTTTTAGAAAAAAGATTAAAACTACTTCCAATATTTTCCTAAAAATAAAATATCTCTAGCTTCGCCAGCAACAAAGCATGATAGTGACTTCTCCAACATTCCAGAAAGCTTCCTGCTTGGAGAAAATTCATACAACAAAGGTCGGACAAATTTTTCGCTTTGAAACTTTTTTAGAGTAAGATGTAATACTACTTTGGTCAATTACGTGAAACTCTTGGAAACTTCAGAATCAAAAAAAAAACGATGAAAACGGTTACAACTGGCCATTCATGAGCCTTGACTTCAATTTCTCTCATTATTCAGAGGGAATTTTTTGAATGTCTCAGGAAACAAAACAAAGGAGTATGACTTTCCTTGTTACTTGTGAGTTATATCCAAGGTTGTGTGAAGTTTTTCAAAGAGAGAAACTTTGCATACGGTAATCATCGTGTCAAGTGATTGGAAGCGAAAAGATACGCATACTGGAGTAATGGCTAGGAATAGGAACACGGTCGAAGAAAACAAAAGAAGCAAGGAGTAGGTAGTGGAAGGAGAGCGACGACGATTGTTCGTGTGAAGGCAACTGGAAGACTACACATGTCGAGAATCCTGTTGGGAGCCACGAATCACCTTCGGCTCCA